GACAGATGTATCTGCTGTACATCCTCAGAGCTGGCAGCACAAAATGATGTAAGAATGACCTACGAGCTGCTATGCATTGCAGTTGTTTATTTGTTTGTTTGAGAGCTGTTTTTGTAGGTGTGATTGATGCTGTCCTGTCTTATTGTCATTGTTGGTGGTGGTTTTGAAGGTAGTGGTGGTGACTGGCAGGCAGTAGGCAATAGTTTTTGGGCATTTAATGCTTGTAGGATTGGGGGGAAAAATACCCAAATGTCCCTTAAGGTGCTCTAGTCCTGCAAGGCTGTTGTGGTGATGTTCCCTTCAGCATCTCTAGTCCTACACTGAGTGGGGTGCTCATTTTCATACTCCATGTGGATATAGAAGTGTCTCTTCTTAGTAGAGCCTCATTATCAGTGAGTGTCCAGTTCTGCCAGAGGATGATGCGGAAGCCGCCTGGCTGGTGGAGAACTCATCATCTTGGGTTTCCTGAGGACCTCTGACTCACAAATAGAAGAAAGAAAGTTGGATGGGGAGGAGCATGAGTCATATCCTGAATCGTTGGGCTTTGCCCCATGCCGAGGGATCACGTATTGTTTATGCTCTGACCTAATGGTGTTGAACAAAAACCTTTTCCTCCTTTTTTGTTTGTCCTTGACCAGTTTTTGTCTCCTTTGAAACTTTTATTTTTTGTATTATTCTTACAACAAATGCTTCTAGTGACAGAAATTTTTGTGCCACTATATATGTAGTATTCACAATTTGAAACAAGTTCCCCAAAGGCACTTTTTCTATGAAGGCTGGGACTCATTAGTCCCTATAGCTTGCATATGAAGCATTGCAGCTTCAGGAATCTGTGTTTCACCCTCAATTCAAGGTTTCTGCTGTTGGTAATATAGACCTAGTCGCACGCCTGTTCTCCTGCTAGTACTTTCCTGCCTCACCTGGTCCCTGACTGGGCCTCTGTGGCCCCATGGTAGGGTGTTGACAAGCTCCAAAGGCTGAACAAAGCAGCTCTTTTTCATTTCCTGCTTCCCTCCCTCTCAATAGCTTAGTGTCCCTGCAGTAGCCAGACCCTGGCGGTGCTGTTGATGGCATTGTGAACGCAGACACACAGCTCATGTTGACAGATGGCTCAGGTGATGCTGTACCCCAGTGCCCACGTCACATGGTGGAGTACATGCCAAAGGCGCCATGCTGTTTTATAATTCATATGGCTTTTGTCTCTATACCGCACCCTAATAATAGACTGATCTGTTACCAGTCGGCTCGCCTGTTTAATAGAGCGTCTTGTAACGCAGATCGAGATTTTTATTACAGTAAGCTAAGAATGGCAGTTCTCTGCTGCTGACATCTATGGAGTTTTCCCCCATTGTTCTGGTTCCATATCTGCACTGAAAACAGATGTAGATTGCCATATTCCCTTGAGTCTTCCTTGTGGCCTCTCCAGTTTTGTGTCCAGTGAGCAGGAATATCTGCTTTTAAGTGAGGATCTCTAGCCAAGAGAGACTGCACAAGTTCAAGTCTACAATACATTTATAAATTGAGATTTTAAAATAGAGATGTGACTGAAGTGTTTATACCAGGGTGTCAAAATCATGTTAGATAACATTTTAGGCCACATTACACTCAGTTTGATGTCAAGTGGGCTGGATGCACAGCAATTTTCAGCCCACTCAACTCAAAACAACCCCTCATAAATGTTTATTTCATAGTAATTAGAAAAAAATTGAAGAAATATCTGAAAGAATTATCACTAACAAAACATATTAGATTTCTCAGTAACTCTCTTGCACGTCTGATGATAATGGCGTCGAATTTCTCTCCATCACCGTTCTCTGGGTTTGTTCTAAGGAATGTTCCCAGTCTTTTTCATTCACATTTTGGGACAAGTAGTACTTTCATTATTTTGCAAGTGGCCATTTACAGTCCACAAGATGATTTTTAGATCATGGCTTTTAAATTAATCTGGCAGGCCGGGCAAGAAGCATAATCGGGCCAGTCTTGGCTACGGACTGTGTGTTTGACACCCCTGATTTATACAAAAATGTAGGCCGGCTCATGATTTAATCAAGTTTTTTTTTGCTGTTGGGTTTATCCTCACCCATATTTTTATATGTTTATAGTCTTCCTAGCTAGTGGTTTTCTGTTGTCTTTTTTGTCACAAGCATAAGCATACACATGATTGCAATGCACATGATTGCAACGCATGATTCAAGACTAATAGTCCAGTTTTTAGGTCATAAAAAATTAATAGCCTAAGCCAATTGGATTAAAGGGGACAAAATAAGTTAAATTGATCTTTCTATATGAGGTCAATTGAATTGAACATAAAGTAAGATCAGTGTGAGAAAACAAATGTTAAAAACTGATGTCCTGCTGTGAAGTCAGTTAAACTCGGTTGCAGTGAACTTTACTGCAGAGGATTAGCTAATCTGCTGTAGGTTCTCATTTTGCTTCGGAATTTAGCTTTCAGCACCCACCACTGAAATATTAATTTAATCAGATTTCCTTTCCACCCCAGCCTTAAATGTGTAAACAGGCGTCATCACAAGATGATGTGGTTGCTAAATATTTTTTAGTTAATCCCGCCTGACTTGATTATGATGACAAATTGCTTTGAGAATGTTATTGAAAGTTGTTGAGTGTTTTGGGCAGATGAAGCATTGATAAACAAAAATGATTTAGCTCAGAATTGCAGGATCCATTCTTTGTTTTTAATGCGTACCTTGTAGTCTCCGAATAGGCTGTTACAATTCTGCTGTAGTACGTTTCGCTTGTAATGCAACACAGCCCAGATTTCTGGGGCCAATCAATGCATCCCAAGGTCATTTATATGTCCAGTACATGACTGGAATCATCACTCTGTAATAGTGGTCTGGGTACCCTGATAAGAATGACTTGTAGTTGGTATGCCAAACCTTAGCAAATGAATCTGTGTAGAAGGAAAAGACTTGCTGTTAAGATGGTGTAATTTTGGAGAGACTTTTATCTGAAACACTCTGGAACAGAACTGCAGCTCTGTCTAACCACGTGTGCCCTCTACACTGCACACTGGCATTGAACCTCAGCAAAAATGTCAATATACCCTCAAGCTCATTGGTGCACATTTGCATTGAACAGTTATCCACTTTTTCTACATGGCTCACACTTAATCAGTGATGTAGGTCTGCATGTTCTGGGGTGGGGCTTGTAGCTCGGTACGTATCGCACAAAAGACCTTGGTGAGTTCAGGACACATTGTTTTACCCTTTTACCCAAGGTTTTTATAAGACTGAGGGACAAACACAATTTTGTAGTGGTTGGTTGTAAAGAGGGCTTCCCTTTTGTGTTGTTGCTAGGAGAGGCAGCTTTAGGGTGGTTCCTGGGCCATCAATGCTTGCATACCCATGGTGGTGGTCCGGAGAGACTTGAGATTCCATTGCCTACGTCACAGCATTGTCCCAACACAGAAGGGAGTCTTCCTGTGTTTGACCTTCCACAGATACAAGAGCGGATAACCCTGCCTGTGTCTATATTTGAGTGACTCTGCCAAAGAAAGAGGGAGGGAGGGAGCATCGAGGGGAAAACGAGCGAGGGGAAGAGTGAGAGGAAGTTCTGACAGCATGAGAAGAATTTAGACGTTGCTACACTTCGAGAAATGATGAAATCACTGCTGTCAAACTAGGGGCTGTTTTTTCTGATCACGGATAAAGCCTGGTCTTGCTGTAACCTAAATTCCACTGTCAGTGGAGATTCTCCACTAACAGCCATTTTAATCTTAAACTAGGCATAAAAGCAGGCCTATGAATATGGTTCTGTCTCCTGATACTAATGTGCCCCTTTGTCCAGATAATTTTGCTGCTATCAATTATCTGGAAAATGAGGACATCATGAGTGTTTTGTGGGCAGGAGCTCATTACATTTTTGGTCAATTAATTGACAGTCCTTATCATCTTATCAGTCCTTATCAACAAGAGTGTTGTTACGTGGTAGAAAATACTTTTTGGTAGAAAGTGGTAGAAAGTACTTTTTTGGATGTGACCCATCAAAACATCACACATAAACAGATAGTTCTGGTCATGAAATCTGATTGGCTGAACCATGCTTGAAGCCCTGTGCACAATTATTAGTGCACAAATTGAGCTGAATTCTGTATTAATGCACTGCGATTTAAAAGTGTTCCTTGTATGGACCATGGAATGCAGGGCCAGGCATAAGCATGTACACGAAGTAACTGTACCACACAAACGTCACATAAGTACTACACAGATGTTTTGTTCAAACTAAGGGGCTGATGATTATATGTAATTATATATTCATGAGTAAATGACCAAAAGCTAAAAAGTTGACAAAATGACTGGAAAATACAATAATAAGCAACTGAAAGTTTGTAATTATGTTTACTAATTATTACTAATCTTGGGCAAGTCTAACATAAAAAAGCAATTTGGTTAAAAATTGCAAGATCCATTTTTTTATTTTTAATGCATAACTTGTAGTCTCTGAATAGGCTGTTAAAACACCGCTGTGCATCACACTTTCTCTCGGACAACAAAATAGGTGCCTGTCTTATAGCTTGCAGATATTTGCTTTGGAGGGGTTGGAGGGTGGCCCGCTGCTGCAAAGTATATAGTTGTGCTAGCGTCCTTTTAAAAAAAAAAATTGGTCCCACACACCACTGTTTTAGCTGTGCTCTTGTATGCAATTCAAAAACCTATTGTGCTCTAGTGTACACTTCAAGCATGTTCCTCAGCTTGATTGATAAACCCATCTGTTCAGATATTAACTGTTGTTTTTTGGAAATAAAATTAAGTTAATGTCTTTTAACCAAAGCATTGGTTGAATTTTTGATCAAAGAGTTACATCCCTATTTCATTTATAACTGTTTTTGGGTTAATTTCCCATGTGCTTGTGTATTAAGGGGCAAAAATACCGAATATGGCGGCATATTTGCCTTTTGCTCTCCGTTATTTTTGACACTGTGCCGTGATCAGTTATTTGCATTTTATACAGTTAATGGTGGTATCCGTCTGTTTTTATAGGAGCCGTTTGAGGATGGATTTGCCAATGGTGAGGAACTGACCCCTGCTGAGGAGGCCGCAGCCAAAGAAGCAGCAGAGTCCAAAGGAGTTGTAAAGTTTGGATGGGTCAAAGGAGTGTTGGTAAGTGTCTGTGTTTCCAAAGAATGAAAACATGGAGGTTGAAAAAGATGCTTTGATGTAAGAATACCTTTTTATTTTTGGTCTGATGACATCTAATCTCTAGCATTAGTACTATCAGTATTCCACACACTTGATAAAAGTATCCTTGATCTGCGAGTTGGAGTCAGTGAACGTTTTTTCACAGAACTCTCTCTCTCCCTCTCATTCTCATTTTCACCTACGGTCTCAATTAGCTGAGCCACAGACAGTGGAAGTATGTCATCGAAACAAAGCAAAAGATATGAATGAGTGCGAGTCGCACTCTACTCAGGATTTTTGGCCCCTGGTGGGAATTACACCTGCTCATTAGTCCCACTTATTCTGTTCTGCCCATAGATCGCTCATAGTAGTGAGCTTATGCTAGAATTTTGTGGAGCTATTATTTTTGACATGCTGCTACTTTCTAAAAACTGATGCCTGTTGAGAACATATTCATAAACTTCATCTTTGTGAAAGAGAGCAGACTATGCTTTCAGCTAAATCTTCACCTTTTTAAGTGAAGGATGATTTGCATTGTGTCTTCAGAGCTGGAGCAGTCAGAGTTCTCTGGTTCTTGTCAGTCTTTCTCTATTTTGACATGTGCAGGCCATACTTCCTCTTGTTCTTAACATTGTCATTATTTCCACCTACTCACATTTGAACAAACAAAAACCAGATACCTGTTCTAGGCAAAGACACACGATAAAGGTTCTGTCATGTCACAAGCATTAGTGTCATTCCTTTTGAAACTGCCGTGCTTGAATACATTGACATGTTGACATCACCGCTTTTATTGTTGTTATATCCTGCATTTCATTTCACCATTACCCAAAGTGTTTTTCAAACCGCGGCAGGAATTTAGACTGAGTGTAGAATCTTTATTCAAGTTAAAGGTCATGTAGCAGTTTACGCAGGAGTTTGAGTGTAGAGTACACAGAGTTTGAGTCCTGCCCTTATCCTTGGATTTCCAGTGCATGAAAACTCTGGTCCAAGGCCAGGTTTGAGGGGAAAACAAGCTTTGGGTAGAAACATTTTCGTCCAGCCTGCATAAAGCCTAACTGCTAACCTTCCTCTGTGCAGGTCCGCTGCATGTTGAACATTTGGGGTGTGATGCTCTTCATCCGCATGACATGGATCGTGGGCCAGGCTGGAGTTGGTAGGTTTGACTCTGAGTACTTTTGTTGGTTCATGTGAATTACGATCTTAATTCACACAACCTACACAGCCTTCCATCACCCCACCACCATCCACCATCCAGGTGCTAAATGTTACTGCAAGGTGCTGCCTGCAGTTAACTGTCAAGCACAAGCTCATTTTCCAGTACCATTACAAAAATTGAAAGGAACTCAGAAGGTGTGAATTCTTGGAAGCTACAGAAGTGCTGCATATCTTGGACAAGCTGCAAACAGCTAATGATGTGCTGAAAAAATCTTTTTAGAAGGGAATGTTGAAAAACGTATGTTACAGTATTTCATAAGATTTAGCTGATACTTGGCATGGTCTGTTGTTTACAAAGCCATGAAAAGTTTATATGATTTACTCAGTAACTCAAGGATAAACCATCGGCTACTTTTATCGCTTGGATCTTGTTTGAAGTGCGTTTTATAAATGAGAGTATGATTGTAACATTTTGCACTTGTTTTGTTTTCTTCATATGTGGGTTTTTTTTTATTTCCACAGTGTATTCCTGCATTATCGTTGCCATGGCAACTGTTGTGACCACAATCACTGGCTGCTCAACTTCTGCGATAGCGACCAACGGTTTTGTGCGAGGAGGTGCGTAAGCTCCCAGTGCAGAAACACATTTTAAATGACACCACTACACTGTGGTGGCCTGTCATCATGAGGCACAGAAATTAAGCTTGACTAGCAGGACATAAACATGAACATGGCGTTTTAGGGTCACCCTGAAGTTTTAGTTAGTCTGGCACAACTTCGCGACTGTGATGGTGAAGGTACCCTTAGGATCTTTTGTGTCAGTAAGACTCTCTTAAGACTCTCTCTGCAGTTCCGTGCCTTGGAATGACGGGCTGGCTGTTCAGCTCTTTTTTGACATTACAGTGTAGCTGTCTTGCCCACTCATTACTTTCTCAGCAATATGAGTATCCACTGACTCCAGGCTTTTTTATTATTATTATTATTTATTTATTTATTTTAAAGCAAATTCACTGATTTTAATGTAGACTGTGGTGGGTGTTATCAGGCAGTTTAAATGTAGTTGTAGTTCAAAAGAGCCCTGGTGGTTAAATCTAAAAACTATTTAAATAAAAAAAAAAAGCTTTTATAAAAAAAGTGTGACCAAAATTGTGCCCTGTAGATAGAGCTCCTGTTGTATCGATTTTATTTAACCTTTGTCATTTTAAATACGTTTAATTACTGTACCCACTCCAAAACCTCCACCTCTACATCAATATGTCATCACCTTCATATTTTATTTTAATCTCCTAGGTTGGTCAGGATATTGCATGAGCTACAGGGGCTGTCTGTCATGTGCAGAATTATTAGGATACTACCCTTGTAGCTGATGTCTCTTTCATTGGCATCCTGCTGGAGATCACTTTACAGCCCAGGCAATAAAACTTAAAACTCTAGACAAATTACACCATCTCTTTGTTGACAGACAAAAGTTTTTTTGTTTTTTTTTCGTTCAGTAATGTGATAAGGATATTTTGATAAGGAAACGTATGAAGTGAGGGAAGTGTTTAGTGACTTCAAGAAGGGATAAGAATTCCCTGTGTAAACCACGCATGGTGAAATGTGAGAGCATATCAGGTCATGGCTGAGGCTGGTCAACACTGAGCTAATGTTGAGGTCATCAGAAGGGCACGAAGTCCTCTAATGCACCTGACTACACAGTTGCCTATTCATCTCTCAGACAAACAAAACACATCTGTGTTCCAGAGTTTAGAGATCAACACTGGAAAATGACTAACAAAAAAACAAAACAAAAACTTAACATTTTTAGATGAAACTTTGGATAAAAGAAGGTGCAAACATTAAGTGTACCTGTTTTTATTTATTTATTTATGTATTTTTCTTTCTTTAGCCTGCCCTTGCTTTTGCAGTCTTAATTTGTTCATAATCCATGTTTGGGTGTCATATTTCTGCTAATAGGGAAAGACGTTATTCCTGTCTTCAGTAGGTTTATTTTCTATGTTTGTGCGCAGTACAATTACCACTGTTAAATTGTGATACCATTAGGACAGACTAGGCTCAGTCCTACTCTGTGGAGTCACACACCCTTTCGAGTAAATCTGTTCTTTACCTACAATCTGCTCAGATTGTATACTTCAGTCAGCTTGTCCGGAATACTCCACAGGTCACCTCAGCTATAATTATTTCCACCTTGCCTCTTCTCACAGTCTGAAGAGTACATTATCTGGAGTGGCCGCTCTGAACTGCACCTCGATCCGCTTGGAGAAGAAGGAAAGCACATTGCACTCAGTTCTCATGGCATGTGGGAAAATTCAATAGGGTGTTTATAAATCCCAGCTCTTTGGTCTCAAGTGACTGAGAGATACCCAGTTGTTGTTTTAAGTCTGAAATTGATACAGGACTCTCCCTACATGTGTTCAGGACCTGAAGGAAAGAGAAAAACAAAGGTTTAGTTGAAGCTTTTCTACAGCATGAAAGCGTAATGATATCATAGCATGGATATGTATATTTTCTGAGATTTTGCCATGGGAATTCATTTTCTGCTATGTGCATTAGGTCTTGTATGCACAGGATCAGTTTATGTTGCAAACTGAGATGGAAACATAACTGGTATTTCAGTCTTTGACTGTTTTGTCTAGAAGGTTTTGCTGTTCAAGCTGTGCAAACCCTCACCAAAGCTGACAGAATAGGGAAATTTAAAGAAGTCAGATTTAACAGTTGCTCCATTCAGAACTTTGTTATTTACCTTCATGCACCCTGATAACACCTACTCTTTTGTGGAAAAGCAACAAAGGAAGTCTTTTATCAAACTACAGAGCAAAATGGTAGCGTGGTTGCAGGTACACCTCAATAAGAGTTGATTGAGGTCACATGCCGTGCATACGGCTTACAGTAATGCCTCCAATCACGGTTGCACATAGCTATTAATTCCACAGAGGCTAATCTTTTTTGGTATTCCAGCAATTTCTCACGTCTCCCCCATTTGACCACACTCTATATAGAGCGTGTCTAAATCTATTTACTAAGTCTGTGCCAAACCACTAAGTTTTAATTTCACAAATAGTTTTCCAAGTTGGCTAAAAATGGGTTACACCAGAAAGGCCAGACTTTACTTCCAGCTAAACTAAAAACTAAGATCTGTTAGCTGTAAACCGTGTACTCAGTTCCCCTCCTACATACTAACTTTTTTTTTTTTTTCTTGTCCTCAGGTGGGGCATATTATTTAATATCTCGAAGTTTAGGCCCAGAATTTGGCGGTTCTATTGGTCTTATCTTCGCCTTTGCCAATGCGGTGGCAGTGGCCATGTACGTTGTTGGCTTTGCTGAGACAGTCGTTGAACTTCTTCACGTAAGGAACATGATCCCAGTTATTCCCTTGGCTGTTCCAAGACTGTGCACAGTAACTCATTAAAAAAAATCTGCTTTTCCCCTTAGGCTGCTAATCTTGTCATGTTGGATTTTAACAACGATGTCAGAATCATTGGAACCATCACTGTTCTTATCCTCCTTGGCATCTCAGTGGCAGGCATGGAGTGGGAGGCAAAGGTAAGAAACTTGATTGCAACTTATATTTTTGTTCTTCTGATTACCATACATGCACCAGAAAAAGTATGTGTGGGAAACGTTGTTTTTTCATATTTACAGGCTCAGATCTTTCTCTTGGTTGTCTTGATCAGTGCCATCTTCAACTACTTCATCGGCACATTCATCCCCTTCGAATCAAAAGAAAAATATGGATTCTTTGGCTATGATGGTACAAATGACAGAGCTTTTGAATACAAATGTCGATATTACTTTTCTAAAAGATTGTCGGTTTTTAAATGCCTTTGCCAATACTTTTGTCCCTTCTTCAGGTGGCATCATGTTGGAAAATTTAGGTCCGGACTTCCGAGGAGAAACATTCTTCTCCGTGTTCTCTATCTTCTTCCCTGCAGCCACTGGCATTCTCGCTGGTGCCAATATCTCAGGAGATCTTGCAGTGAGTTGTGCAGAATATTGATGATAAAAAAATGTGATAATTGTAGCCAAACACCTGGCCACATATTTGCAATCTTTTTGTTTTTTAAGGATCCCCAAATGGCAATCCCAAGGGGCACACTTCTGGCTATTCTTATCACAGGCCTAGTCTACATGGGTGTTGCTGTCTCTGCAGGTAAACAGTGTTCATTAGTCATAAGTTCTGTTCATGTTTTCTCTTGTATAGGCATTGTTATTTTCAACTTGATCTACTTTTTTCTTTTGCAAGGCGCCTGTATCGTGAGAGATGCCACAGGTATTGAGCGCAATGGCACTCTGAGTGAGGGCTTCACAAACTGCACTGGTGCTGCCTGTAAATTTGGCTACGATTTCTCCTCCTGCAGGCCAGTTAATGGAGAAGATCCCCCTTGCAAATATGGGCTCCACAATAATTTTCAGGTAAGTTTATTAACAAATTGGAAGTGGTGCCAGGAGATGTGCTGCATGAAGAGTTAACTTGAACTTAAGCCCATTTTCTTCTCTCTCTTTCTTCTTCTCAAGATTATGAGTGTGGTGTCAGGTTTCAGTCCCCTCATTACTGCAGGAGTTTTCTCCGCAACACTCTCTTCAGCCCTGGCCTCATTGGTCAGTGCCCCTAAAGTGTTCCAGGTAGGCATCTTCTCTCACTTCTGCTAGACCTCATATCCTTTGAAAGGTTTTAATATCTTCAGTTATTTAAATACAGAGTTTAAGAATGTATTACTTATTCTTGTTATGTTTGGCATGGATATGTTTTTGTGAGATTTGAATTTATTTGGTTATTTTTCTGGGTATCAGTGGTAAGTGTAGGGAATCTAAGGGTGGGGCTGAGGGGGCGGTCTTTCATTCTTGGTTTGGAGTACATGAAACCACATTTGAAGATGTAATGGGCCCTTCACTTTAACTCAACCCTATCATAGGGCTAATTGGTGTCAGTTGTAACTTTACCTTGGAAATAAAACAATGTTGTGAGAATATGATGTGGACTGACATTATTTAGTATAAATTGGTCTGGCTTTAGCCTTATCACACCGGTAAGCTATCAGTAGTAAAACTTGGAACAGAACAGAGTTCTACATGACAGGCAAACTCACCTGTCCTGTGGATTGAAATAGACACAACTGTGTCATTTAGTTAGATTAGTAATCTGAAACCCCTGCGTATGCTTATATGGTTTATGCCTACAATAAAAAGAAATGGAGAATTTAAATTTGGGCTTTGTTGCATGTTAGGAGGGGTGCGTATACCTGACCTACTAGAGGTAAAGGAGCGTGTAATCAGTAGCAGTTTGTTTTCTCAGAGAGACTTTTGGAGTATTACTTTCTTTTATTGATAAATTAGATTATTAATAGTGAAAAATAAACACTGCTGCCCTGTATCTTACTGTTGTTGAAGCTTAAATAATGTACTTTTTTCAGTGCACTGTACAATGGAAAAATGTATACAGGTTGCCATTTATCTGGCTTAGAGGTGTGCTTATAATTCAAGTTTGTCATAGAACTTTTTTATGTCTTCTGTTTTTCAGGCTTTATGTAAAGACAACATTTACCCTGGCATTGCCAGTTTTGGTAGGGGCTACGGCAAGAACAATGAACCCCTGCGTGGCTACTTACTCACTTTTGGCATTGGCCTAGCCTTCATCCTCATTGGTATGCAGACATTTACCAACCCACAATACATAGTTCACTCTTATATTTAAGTACAACTTCTAACACCTGTGTATTCTTTCTCCAGCGGAATTGAACACCATTGCTCCAATCATTTCCAATTTCTTCTTGGCCTCTTATGCCCTGATCAATTTTTCTGTGTTTCATGCCTCTTTGGCCAACTCTCCTGGTAAGGCTGTCTTTTGATTATAAATATTAAGTCAGAATGTTACTTTTTTACTATGCTTGGTTTTACTATAAAAAATACCTTTTATACATAAATATCATACGATAACACACTAAAAATGTGCATATTTTGACAAAAAACAGGTTATGTGCCACAGTTTAAGTTTTGTAATGCTTGTCCAGCTTTCCTAATAGCCCAATCAGAGTTTTTTATGTGATTTGATTTTAGGACAGAACCACTTTGTAAAATTATGTTGATTATATTTTAAACATGTATTATTAATCACTGGAGAAAAAGTGATCTTATAAAGGTTTCACCAGAGTCTCACATTTGAACAGATTTCTTGAATAAAGCCCTTAGTTATGGGCTACCTTTTAATCTAACATCCCTTGTAAAATGTTGTTGGCATGTAGATAATTAAGCTGAAGGGCTCAGTTTGATGCGCATGTCATTTATTTGACAGTTCTGTCAATCAGTTTTAAATGTGTTAACCTCACCAATGTGTTTTATTCATTAATGTATTTCAGTATTAAGAAATGATCACCATGTGATTTGAAATGCTTAGATTTTAGCTTGGGCAAGTTATGATCATATCATAAAATGTATGTTTCAAGCATGTTTTAAGTACACATTTATTGTTTGTGTAAAGAGCTATGTTCTCTCTTCAATACCAAAGCTCTAGAAGACTACCAGGTAGATATCTTCAGTGTAATTTTGATGTGCATAATGTTCACACATACAGTTTCATGCACATAAAGGGTACATTTTTTTTTTCCTGATGCAGCATTTGTTTGAGAACTCAGACTAGCCCTGTCAGTCAAACTGCGCACTTTTTTAAACAGTGATATGTACCCTTTATGTCATGTACCCTTAATAGTTTCACAATGTAAACAGTTCAACTGTTAAATTACTTGACCTCACTAAAATCCCATTAGTCTAGTACTACTTGTCTGTCAAAGATACCCTCTAGTTACAGTAACCTCTCTCATATGTATCCGCTAACTCGCTAACTCATTTTAATCCAAGTCTATATCCATGCTAAACTGTGATGCTACTACATCAAATTATGCCAGTATGTTGATGCATTTGGGTGAAGAAGATACGGGGAGCCACCATATATCCAAAATATGTCAAATGTGTTTTCTCTGTATGCAATATCTTGGTCAGAATCTTTTCTCTCAGAGGCTAGACTATGAGAAGCCAAACTTACTGTTTAAAAGGTGTAGAGTTGTTATGTATTTTAGTACATATTGTAATTCTATAAGAAGTAGTACAGAAGATGCCTTTTGAGGAAACAGTGGGCCAATAGTAACACTTTTACCAGATGACAGTATATAGATCCTGTAGCAGATTCCTGGTCATTCAGAAGATTTGGTTAGTATTAGTAATTTAGGGCCTGTATGCATTGTTCAGTCTCTGAATGTTGATGACTGCATGTGTTGGGCAGGATGGAGGCCCAGCTTCAAGTACTACAACATGTGGGTGTCTCTTGCCGGAGCAGTGCTGTGTTGTGTGGTCATGTTCATTATCAACTGGTGGGCGGCCCTACTGACCAACGTCATCGTCTTGTCTCTCTACATTTATGTCAGCTACAAGAAGCCTGGTAAGATTAACTTCAGCCCTGTTTTGTAATCAATCAGTGTATAAGGTGTTACCTGTAGGCAGTATGAAATTTGCTGTTCGCTTGTTAATTATTTCTGCAATACTGGTTTTGCTTTTGTGAGAATAGAAACACCCACAGAGAGACCAGTCTTAGACATTCTTGGGGTGTTTAGATGAAGGAACCCATTTACATTATCCATATGTTTGTTTTCAGTTGCCAGAGCCAGCTTCTGTTCTTTTAATTCATTCGCAGTTTTGAAGCTCCAGCCACACAACTTTTCAAAAACCTCATCCTATTTCCATTTTGCAAAGGTTGTGTTTTTAGCAGTATAGTTCATTTGCATCCCTTTTCAGACGCTATATCTGTTTTCCCCATAAACATAGATTTTTTATTTTCGCCTGGTCCTATTTAACATCTTTCAAGATTAAAACCACCAAACTTGCTGTGGTCATGAGTTTAAAGTACTGTTCTGTTTTTCATGTATTTATCTTTACATTAGCTCTTTTTCAACTCTTCTTTTCATCCAAAAGGCTTGAATTCATTTCATAGGTTTCTTTTCCTACACTTTACATGCTAGAACCACTGAAGTAAATCTGCATAATAAGGTTTTAATAAGTTAATAAGAATCATCAAACAAAGATTCAACTGTTGATCCAAAATGCATTGTTCATTCCTTTTTCATATTACTTCCTGAATTTTGTGGCTAGGGACATCATACATAAAAAGATTTAATTGTTGACCCAAAGCACTTTTATTTTTTTTGTGCTGATATTGTTATTCCTTAAATCTATAAGCCAAATCCTTTAAAACATGGTATAAAGATTCACCAACCTTAGAAACGTTTGAATTTTCAAGCTAGAGCTTGAAAGTAAAAATATTCATTGTGTTCTAGCTGAATTCCATTACAATACTCATCTGCAGTATGTAATTTTAATCTTTTTTTTCCCTCCAATCCCTCCATCCTGCCTTCACTTGAATTTTAGAGGTATATCACACATATTTGGTGGAAAGATTGATCCTAAATATTGCAAATTCGTATTACAGTCAGTGTGTAGTATAAAAACAGGTATTCTGTTCCGTATTGTTCAGTTCTATGGCCTGTGCAGTATCACCCTCTATGCACCTCAGAACGTCAGCAGTACAATTATTGCATATCCCTGTGGAATGATTATCCCTATCCATTTTCTCAGCCTTAATCACTATTTCATTCACGTTGCTTCTTGCTGCTGAATTGGGTCAGTTTTGAGACTTATGCATAATGAAGATGGGACAAGCACAAGATGCCAAGCTCTTGTCTTTTCTGACTTTGTGTCAGTGGCGCATGCTTATCAAGATGGACATTATACACTGGATTTTGTCTTGTTATTGATACTTCTAGCTCTTTTTTTCTGCTGATGCATGGATGTGGCCTTGTGTTATGAAAGAGTGGGGATTTGCATCTCAGTGCAGCGCCACTTTACTTTCTCACACGCACTTGCGCACACACACTGCAGTGTTGGTGTTCTATTTTTGGTTGGAGTTGCAGTCAAGGCTTCCATGGAGAACATTTCCTTAAATAACAAGCCTTAAAAATGAATGTTTTTTTGTTTTTTGGAGTATCTAGACAGGCAGATGGGCTTTATCTATCTATTAGATATTTTTCATTTAAATTTTTTTTGGACCCCAGTCCATTCCTTAAACTGTATTTAGTAAATTGCGAATCATGAGTAGCTCAATTTGAATGAATGAATAGGGCTGTCAAATGATTAAAATAGCTAGAAAGGCAGAATTGGTGGATGAACTTTAAGTTAGCCTGAAAAAGCCAGCTAATTACGTTATCCAGGGTGGTTGCTAAGGTGTTTATAGGTGGTCGCCATTGTGTCCTAGGTTGTTGCTAAAGTGTTGCTAGGTGGCTGCTATGCTATTAAATACACTGGTACTTTAAATCCACTGTTTCCTTAAGTTCACTGCTACCTTAAATCCTAGGTATCCATAGTTACGTTAAATCCAGTGGTATCTTAAATCCACTGCTACATCAAATCTCCTACTACCCGCATCCACTGCCACCTTAAATCCACTGGTGCCTTAAATTCATTGCTACACTAAATCTCCTGCTACCTCAAATCTCCTGCTTCCTTAAATCCACCGGTACCTTGAATACACTTGTAACTTAAATGCACTGGTATTTTAAATACCTTGGTAATTGAAATCCACTGATACCTAAAACCCTCAAATGCCTTAAATCCAATATTAGTATACTGTACCTTAGTATACTGTACCTTAGTATACTGCTACCTCAAACCCACTAATACCTTAAATTTACTGCTACCTTAAATACACTGCTACCTTAAATTCACTAATACCTTAAGTTTTGAGGGGAACTAAAAGCTTTTCACTTTGCTGTTGCTTTTGTTGCTATGCTGCTTGTTGATTTAACCAAAATTCTGACATGAGCTCTGTCGTGTAGTCTTCCTAAACAAAATTACCAGTGGTAACTTTACTGGCGTCAGTGATGTGTTTTGCTTGTAAGTGATACTTTAGACTTGTACTTCAGTGATAAGCAAATACATGGCATGACAGTAGCTAGAAACAACATATCAAAAGAGCCATCAATAAAACTAAAAAGATCATTTTTTTTTAAATGAGGGGCTACAGTCACAGAGTGAGTCATAGCAACAGTGCGCAAGCAGCTGGGTCAAACTAGGAAAATGTGTGAACAAAATGATTGCATTAACCATTTATTGCATTAAAAGGGGTATTATTATTGAGACGGCCCTAATAGTAATCTTTTATCTCATTTTATGTGACTGCTCTTTAGACACGACACAACACAACCCACAAATGTAAATCTTAAGCTACATTGAACTGAGATGAATACTTTTCTGCTGCCACTTCAAAAGGCAAGTTGTGACGCCATTTGTAGTGTTTCACCTAAGTGTTTCTATGGTAATGGTACAGTCTAAGCTGTCTCTAATGTTAAATATGTCTGAGTCGTGCCTGTGCTTTCAGTGGAGCTGGGCTCTGCCATTGTGCAGAGTAATGGTGGAGGAAAAGGAGCTAAATACGTGTGCAGGACATGAGGTTTGCAGACAGCCTGGACCACATGCTGCGCTAGTCTGAGGGTCTGCAGCCCTCTGGGTCGCCGGCATGCTGGGGCCACAGATGCCGAGAACACCCATGCGGCGTTTGTGTACACACGTGTGGATTCCATGCGTGTGTGTGTGTGTGTGTGTGTGTGTGTGTGTATGTATGTGTGGTCTTAGTCAGTGTAAAGGTCATTTATATAAATGAACTCGTATACACACTGCCAAGTAAATGTTACTATGGGTTACTAGGGCACAGGTGTCTTGGTTACTAAATTGTTTTAAATTAAATATGCTCTGTTTGCAGATGTGAACTGGGGTTCATCCACCCAGGCGCTGACCTACCAGCAGGCCCTGACACACAGCCTGCAGCTCTGTGGAGTCGCAGACCATGTGAAAACTTTCAGGTAGAAAGATGCTGATTGTCTCCATTTAATCTTGTCTTTATTTTGTTTTTTGTTAAACTTTGTCATCATCTCCATTATCATTAATGCTTAGCGTCAGACTCAGTGTAGATTTTTCGTATAATTGTGCATCTGTGACATGTTTTCTTTAGTTTTGAGATTTGAAAATAGAGACATGCTTTAAAAGATATTGTATGAGGTAGCTCAGATTTATGTTTTGTGTATATCTCATTTTATAAGCTGTTTTCCACAAGGTCAAGTCACTGTGTAATATCTTTAATGTTTTTCTGACCAAACAAGTAAATATAATATATAATTGGATTTCTATGGAATCAAGACAAGCACAAAAGATATCGCGTCAGCTTTGAGTGGCTTCCAGTGCTTTATTTGGTCTGAAAATCTACTCGTGCAGCACATTTTTTTTTTTTTGCATTTAATGCGGTTTACTACAAAATAAAGAGCAAACCATTTTAGGATTTATGTCATACTCAAAAATTTGACTCTGCAAGTATAGGCTGCAGATATTTTGTCTAGCATGACATCCCCATGAGAGTGTTACATAAGAGAGACCACCTGGGACAGTGAGGCATACTGCATCTTTCAAACTCAATTCAGTGTTCTTACCTGTTCTTGAGTGCCCCAAAGAACGGGAGATAGTCTAACAGACTTTTTTGTAGACAAAGATAAAGCCCCATCTTGGACAAAAAAAAGGATTTTCGATGCAGAATTCCTTTAGAAGTGTAAAGTAGCCCAAGGCTAGACTTGTCCAAATCCAATTCCTGGCCCTATATATATTTATAAAGACACCCAGTAAATGGACAAAAGTATTGGGACACACCTTTTAATCATTGAATTCAGGTGTTTTATTCAGTCTCATTGCCATAAGTGTGTAAAATCAAGTACCTAGGCATGCAGTCTGCCTTTAAAAACATTTGTGAGTGAATGGGTCGATCTATTAAGCTCACTGAATTCAAGCATGGTACTGTAATAAGATGCCACCATTGCAACAAGTCAGTTTGCAAAATTCCTTCCATCCACGAATCTATGATCAACTGTGAGGTGGTATTATCGAAAAGTGGAAGTGAAACTGTGTGCCGGGAACTTCATGGCATGTGTTTCCATGGCTGAGCAGCTGCATGCAAGCCTTACATCACCAAGCACAATTCCAAGCGTCAGATGGAGTGGTGTAAAGCATGCCGCCACTGGAGCAGTGGAACTGTATTCTGTGGAGTGATGAATCGCATTTCTCTATCTGGCAGTCTGATGCTTGAGTCTGGGTTTGGCGAATGCCAGGAGAACATTACCTGCCTGACTGCATTGTGCCAAGTTTGGTGGAGGAGGGATAATGCTATGGGGTCGTTTTTCAGGGGTTGGCCTAGGCCCCTTATTTCGAGTGAAAGGAAATCTTAATGCTTCAGCAGACCAAGACGTTTTGGACAATTCAATGCTTCCAACTTTGTGGGAACAGTTTGGGGAAGAACATTTTCTGTTCCAGCATTTCTGAGCCCCAGTGCACAAAGCAAGGTCCAAAAAGGCATGACTGGGTAAGTTTGGTGTGGAAGAACTTGACTGGCCCGCACAGAACCCTGACCCAACCCAATTGAACACCTTTGGGATGAACTAGAACAAAGATTGTGAGCCAGGCCCTCTCGTCTAAAATCAGTGTCTCAGCTCACAAATGCTCTTCTGGATGAATGCAAACATTTCCACAGACACTCTCCAAAATCTTGTAGAAAGCTTCCCAGAAGAATGGAAGCTGTTATAGCTGCAAAGAGGGGACCAACTCCATATTAATGCCTATGGATTTAGAGTAGGAGGTCATAAAAGCTCCTGTAGGTGTTCCAATATTTTTGTCTGTATAGTGTGTGTGTGTATATATATGTATATGTGTGTGTGTATGTATGTATGTATGTATGTGTGTGTATATATATATATATATATATATATATATATATATATATACACCCTCTTTCTGTTGTCTTGAGTAGGCAATAGTGCTGTTAGTCATACTGAATGAACAGTACCAGAGTTGGAATCTTTAATCCTTACAATGCTGAGCATTGATCACAGTACTCACTGACTGTGCTTAGATGTATTGGATAACATATAAAATCTGAGCTGCCTTGTGTAAGCTGACATTAAACCTCAAATCGGACTCCTTCACTGCCAGAGTTGGCCGCATCTGCCAAGTGTAGGTTCTAAACAGTGTGCAGTGTGAACAAGAATGTAAGAAAGTCATTGATGCACATTTTCACTTACCTCAATAGTTGGTGTTTTAACATGAAGGTGTAAAGAGGCCGATGTGGAAAAATAACAGCTCAAGCACATTATACTTGATTATTTTAGAGTAGTGGGATATTAATGCAGAGTGACTGTAATCTCATTAACCCCAGGCAAATGTGCAACTTGCAGGAACTGTAGGAGTTGAAATGGAGGAAACTATAACCAGAATGTGGCCTCTTAGAGTTCCCATGGCAAAAAGCCCATGGGGGATTAGGGAGTGTCTGATTAATACCTTGATAATCAAACGAGTTACTACCATTGCCTGGCCGTAATCCCTTTTTCTTATCATATTTGCTTTGAAGTACCTTAATCTGAACTTCTCGTGTTCTATTCCTGACCAAAGAGGTGATCTGTCAAGCTCATGTGAGGGTAGAACTGTCTAATTGCACACCATGGAGGCTGTTAGTTGCAATACATGTAGTTTTAACCTTTAATGTGTTTTTTTACAGGGTTCCTGCAGATCCTTAAAAGTCTCATGAAGGCTTGCAATGGATTTATTCTTATGATTAGCTGTATTAAATTTAGGGATGTCTGATCCTGGCCTATTTTCATGGATCAGATATTGGCTAAAGAAAGCCCGATCCACTTAGTCCGTTTTTGTTTTTGCATTCTGTTTACTCTGATGTTGTAGAGATGCCATAAACAGACATTATGCACAACTGCGAGGCACAACAAAACATGTAACAAATGCTCGAAATGTCTATAGTGTTGAACTGTTTTAAAGTGGAAATTTAAAACTTCTAATATCTGCAGCACCAGTATTTCCACTGTGTTTCAACTAACCACATTTCGTGTAAACATGAGCATGTGAAATGTTAGTGCATGGCTGTTACACACTGGTCTGTTTTCTGCCAGTGACATTCTACCAAAGCTGTATACTAAATAATGCTCTCACAATGTTTTGGTGAATATCCATCTTAAAAACATTTGGTGAATGAGGCCCATTACTTTGATAAGGTACAAAAGGTACATCTTGATTATGCAGAGTAGAATAAAATCTCCTAATGACCTCTCACACATAGGTTCAGGTCACCTATTTGCTTTTTTTTTACAGGCCGCAGTGTTTGGTGATGACGGGGGCACCTAACTCTCGCCCAGCTCTCCTTAATCTTGTCCATGCCTTTACTAAGAATGTTGGCTTGATGGTCTGCGGCCATGTGCGCATTGTAAGTTCTTGACCACACTCCACAGACACCAAATCTATTCAGTACATAACACTTACCTGAACTACCAAGACTGTTGTTTCAGCTGCCACTTTAAAGATTTGTTTTAGGGCCCCCAGATGGTGCAGCTGGCTGAAAGTTGTCTATTGCAGGGACTTTAGTTTGGTTCCCAATGTTGCCACAGCCATCCATGGCCTCCTGGAGTTCTAAGTCTGAGCTTACGTGGAAGTCCAAGAGAGAACAGCTAGAACTACTTTTTGATTGGGAAACCTAGCTTAGTTTCTTTCTCCTGTCAGTTTGCAGTGTCACTGCCCAATTGACCTATACATTCTCAGCTCAGAAATCTTCTTTTGTAGTAACTGTCATGTTGAACAAGCTTTACAGAGTGCTGGCAAAACCCCATTACACTTAATGAGAAATTATAACAATATTTAATTAGAGCCACTGGTTAAACTGGTCAAAATGCTATGTAATTTGTAGCTTTTCCAAAAAAAAAAAAAATCATATTCTGACAACGTACCTTGCACATGCATATAGAATGAATATTATTTGGGGGAAAAAATGACTTACTTTAGGTATTTTGACAAAAACTGAATTGCACACTACAGTTTCACATTAGGTTGAATGTGATTTTATTTATTTATTTTTTATTTTTGGCCAGTATTTAGTAAAGCTTGTCCAACCTCACAACAGTTGCTACAAAAGAAGTGGGAGTTGTGTACAGCATTGGGAGATTATTGCTTTCCCCAAAGCATTCAGCTACCCTTTTGATGTTTTGACACTGTGTGAACAGCAGTTTGAAAAGATGGGATGGCTGGCTTCACATGTCTCATAAGAAGCATGTGCTTGCCTTCACTCTCCCAGAAAGGGGTGAGGGTCTTCACTCAAACAGTGTTGATGGAAAAAGGTGATATAATTTGACAAGTGACACCTAAACTTAACATTTATGTCATCCTTAATATAATTGAAATAAACAGAAATGCAAATTTCTTATGTGGAAAAAGTAAGTACACTTTTGTGTCAAACTAAAATCAAGCGCACCAGATTAGGTGCTAATGATTAGAACACCGTTAGATAATATCTGTTAATATCTGTTAGATAATACCTGTTTTGTTTACACCTCAGATATCTGGTCAGGTTTGCTTTTTGTTATTGGAGTTTGGGCATCATCGTACCTAGATCAAAAGAGCTCTCTGAGGCCTTGAAAAAGAAGATTGTGGACACTGAGTCTGGGACTGGGTTTGTGAAATGTTTCCAAAATATTAAAAATCGATCCTTCCACTGTCTAGAAGATCATGATCAAGTGAAAAAGATTTAAAACCATTGCCAAAACGTCCAGGCCAGTCTTTAAGAACCCCACAATTCCATCACAGTATCTGTGAGTAGCTCTTGCCACTGTGGGTGTCAAAGTGCATGCATCTGCCAACAGAATGCGACTGCACAGATTCAACCTACATGGGAGGTACATTGGGAGGAAGCATTTGCTGTCTAAAAAGAACGTCAGGGCAAGACAGAATTTTGCTAGTCAATATCTAGGCAAGGACTAGGACTTCTGGAACAGTGTGCTGTGCACAGGCGAGTTATGGATGAATTGTTTGGCCACAGTATCAGAAACCATGTTTGGTGAAAACCAAAGACTGCATTTAATCAGAAGAACCAACTGTAAAGCATGATGATGAAAATGTTATGTTTTGGGGCTGCTTTGCTGCCTCAGGGCTTGGCCAACTTACAGTCATAGAATCAACTATAAATTCTCTTACACACCAGAAAGTGCTTTAGTGTGTGAGAATGTGAGGCGATCTGCCAAAACAGTGAAGCTGAAACAGTGGTCCTTACAACAGGATAAAGATCCCAAATATACAAGTAAATCCACCAATGAATGGCTCAAAAGGAAGAAATGGAGGGTTGGAAAAGACCTAGTTAAAGCCCAGATCCGAATCCCATTAAAATGCTGTGGGGGGGATTTGAAACAGGCTGTACGTGCAAGAAGCCCCTCAAGCACTGAACAGTTGAAATACTTCTTCATTACGTATTGGGCAACTACTAGATGCCAGAAACTGGTAGACAGTTATAGGAAATGCCTACATTATATATTTTTTTTCTTTCAGAAGGGCCAGTACCAGTTACTGAAGCCAGAGGTGTGCTTACTTTTTTAACAGAAAAAAAGTTGATTTTTAAATAAATTATTGCAAAGTCAGTTTTTTTGTTTTTCGTTCTATTACATAACATTTATCTATAAATACTGTTTAGCTGATGATCAGATACTGATATGCCCACGTGTGTCAACAAATCCAAACATTTCATGGGCTGTACTTACTTTTTACTTACTTACTTGCCTGTATAAAGCTATGTAAATTTGAACTGTTTAGCACAGTAGCTTCTTGTTTTCTAGATTATTAGCACATTGAAGTAGCTCTACCTGGAGCAATAAAGTTTCCAGTCCATTATGCCAGTTTTGGGGATGACAGTGATGTAATAGTTTTTAATGTGAAAAGCACTTTACAGCGGCTCCCCTGCCAGGCTCTGCACACCACAGTAATCAAAAGCACATTGTCTGGATCCAAGTTCCATCAAGTCCCCACAACTGGACCCGAAGGAGCACAGTAACCTTCCACTGGCTTTCACCACATATTCCATTACTAAACCAAAAACTGGAGAAACTGACCATTTTCCTGGCGTGCAGTGGTTCTCTTTCCCAGACCTTTATTGTTGGCAATCAAGACACTATGATCAGACATCATAAATGCACTTTTGCGGATATGAAATTTGAACTTATTTCATATCCGCACTTTTGCGGATATAAAATATTTATGCTTTGGTGATTAATACTAAAGGACTTGTGCATGAATTGTTCAGCTGCAAAGAACATTGCTCTGTCATTTTAATGAACCTTTTCCTGTTCTTGGCATCAGAGCTCTCGTAGGCCAAACTTTAAGGAGCTAAACAGTGACTTGGTGCGCTACCAGCGCTGGCTTCTCAACAACAACTCCAAAGCTTTTTACACACCTGTAGTCGCCGAGGACCTCCGCCAGGGCACTCAGTACCTTCTGCAGGTGGGTGTGTTTTATTTTCAGTACTTCTTCATATTTTTGGGTTAATTAATTTATAAAGCATATTTTTATAACTGTGATTTAGGTAAGCATATCTGTTTTGGCACCATTATGTGTAGGCTCTGGGCTAACATGACTTTCTGTCTGTTAGGCTGCTGGCCTTGGAAGACTGAAGCCCAACACACTGGTTCTTGGCTTCAAAAATGACTGGAGCAACGGAGATATGAAAGATACAGAAATCTACATAAATATGATACAGTGAGTAAGGATCCCTCCTTAGCATGTCAAACACCAGCAGTTTCAAGGGCAAATAGAAATAAAATGTAACAGTGATGTACAACAATGAAATTCTTTGGCTAAAAAAAACTTCAGGACATGCTAGGTTGAAAACCTTTTTGATTCTGTTGAAACAGTGTTTTGCATTTTGTGCGTTTTTAAATGTTTCCAAACCTGTAGTGGAAACGTTCATGGGTGTTGCACCACTTGTCCATACTTGAGCAATTATTACAAATCACTAATGTCCCTCATAATAACCATGTAATAGTTCCACATGACCGACATTTTCATTGTTGATTTGCTGCCACTTTGTTCGAGCTGGTTGAACGCGTCTGCACCGACTGGAACTGGACAGTGAAGGAAAAATGCAGCATTTTCATAATAGTCTAGATCATGATGACCAGATAATAGTCACAATAATACATAAGTCATTGTTCTATGATACATATCAGAGAGAAAGAGATCTACTTACTCCACTTGCTCATCTAATAATGATCCTTGTGCTTTAATAATTAATTATCTTGGCTTTTGCATAATGACACTGCAAATAAGTACCATACTGCTTAAGGAGTGCACAGTGCCTAGCAAGATTTCTTGTAGACCATAGTTTTCTTTCATGTATATGTTTTACAATGCTGTAGGCCCCTCTTTGAGCCATGTGCACATTCTGTCCCCTCCATCACTGTAACATGTGCTCAAGCTTGTTTGTTTGTGTGTTTTAGCCTAAGTATTTACAGTAATCGTTTGGACCTGGTGGAAAAGCACCGCTCTAATGTAAACATGTCACGGATCAATCCGGTTGATGTCCGACATCCTCCCGTGAGACTCTAACTTTTGTTTATTTGTGTGTGTTTGTATGTTTTAGTGATGCCTTTGACTTCCAGTATGGCGCTGTCATTCTCAGACTGAGAGAAGGGCTTGATATTTCCCACATTCAAGGCCAAGGTACAGTGCAAGACCTACCATGTGTTGTAATATTGCTGCCATTGTTGCCAGTTAGATGTTTACCTTGTAAACCTGCGAGGTTGCCTGCTCTAAAAATGAATGACTCTTTCAAGCTGAAGGATCATTGTTTGTTGTACCTTCTCAGCACTATAAACGTGTTATTTGCTTGTCTATTTTTATTAAAGCTAATCCCTAAATTGTCCATTGAGTGTGCTCTTAAAGCACAGGGCACACCTTGTGCTCAAAAAAACGACAGTTTGTAAACGGAGTGCGCCATTCTGGCCTGAAGTAGGAATTAAGAAATTAAGGCTTTGACTTTAAAGGAACAGGAGTTCTATGTTTAGGCAAAATAAATTGTCCTTGTAATTGAGTTGCTTTCCCTAAACAGGAAACTCTACTTATGCTAAATTCCATTTGAAATTGCCTTGATCTCAGTGTTTTGCACAGGAATGAACACACAACCTGGCACATAACTCTATATAATTCTTGTGTCCCCAAAGATGATACTTCAGCCATGAAGGATGTTGTGGTGTCTATCGACATGAGCAAAGACTCGGACGGCGACTCATCCAAGCTTTCATCCAAGGCAACAAGTGTTCAGAACAGTCCAGCTGTCCAGAAAGGTTAGCACTTTCTTTTTGTTTTAATGAAGCTCAATGAGATCTGTGATGTTTTATTGTCCATTGACCGTTATATTGAAGTTCTTTTTTCAATACAAGACTAAGAAACTTGCACTCTAAGAATTCCCTAGGCTCTTAACAGGCTCAGATGGAAGAGAAAAGAAAGGAAAAGCTGTCTGTTGAGTGGATTTCATCTCCTTTTTCCCCATAAGCTCTTTCTTGAGTTCTATGAATGCTACGTTTCAGTATATCTTAAAGTGCTCACACAGGAAGTGTTGTGACATGCTCCTGTGATCTTGATCATCCCATTGGGGCCTTATGCTCCAATCAGTACCACACTTCACGTTTGTCTCACACACACACACACACACACACACACACACACACACACACACACACACACACACACACCCCCAGATGTCCTTGCTTGTGCTTATGAAGGTTCCCAAGATGTCTACCCCCACAGCTGGGTGACAAACAAACATGGACATTATTCCCACAAACGGGAAACAGTTACGCTGGGAACAGGGCAGAACCAGAGTGTTTACATGACACTTGACAATTCTTGGTGTCCAGTAAGCTGAGAGACTTTTCTTCCACAACTACATGGAGTTGGACAGGGGGCAGTCTCACAAGCCAGACCTCTGCCTGTCTGCAGAGAGTCTGGTGCTTTTCACCATGAAATGTGGCCAAGATGCACCTACCTTGTCAAAAAGAGGCCCAACCAGACTTTTTGTCCAAGTAATTTCGGGCTACTTTTTTGGTCCATTCACCTTGAAATTTACATGCAATGTGAAGGGCAACAGGCATTTTCAATTATCTCCAAAAATGGAGAAGAAAAAAAATGGAGATACAAGGTTTTCTTCCAACAGCAGCTGAATGCAACGATAAAGTCCTGCTAGCTGTAGCCAGCTTTGTGTGCCAAAATTTTAATGGTCATATCATAGCCTCAGAGGCTGCATGGAGCATCTGGAAATGGAGCGTTTGAGACTGCACATGATGACCTTGTGTGAGCCAGTCCTCACAAGCTCCCAAGTGACCATTTCAAAGAATGCCATCAGAAACTTTGTTTGATTGGCTGACTTGGGTGCAGGGTCCAGTCTAACATATGATTAACAGATACTAACAAATTGCACACCTAACCTGCTCCAGGGCAGGGCGAGTTCGAGATTTCCGATCATGAACAGCTCTTGGACCAATCAGGGTGAGCCACTAAATACGGACTGACCCCTGTGCTCCAAGTCCTGGTTAGGAGCATATTTATATGATGGACCTAGAGCATAATGATGATATCTGAAAAAAAGATGCCATCGTATTAAAAGACCTATTTGACTCTGAATTATGGTTAAGGAATTGGAATGATGTCTGTCAGATGGACTCCCAAATATGCCTGAATTCCTTTATCCTTGGAGGTTTATGGAAGAGGATGCCATGTTTGTTTTCTTATGGTCTGATTTTGTCCATCTGTCTGTTTTGACTGCTCACCTTCTGGTTGTATGGGTGAGTTTTTTTTGAGCAGTGTATGTTGTTTTGAAATAAAGGATCATGTTTCCCTAAGAGACTTGATGCGATTGGTATTGAGCATGCGTGTTTTTCCCCCCACAGAGAACAGTTTGTTTCATTTGGAGCCATTTCTAATTCAATGTTAACAGAACAGACTTCTCATTGTACCTCACTGTTGACGCATGTGTTTCCCATCACGACAGCAGCGAGCATTAACCCTCCTCTGTTTTCTCCCCTCTCCTTTCTGAATTTCATCCAGATGATGAGGACGACGGCAAAGCCCCTACACAGCCCCTGTTGAAAAAAGGCAGGCAGTCCATCTTGTGTTTTGCGCTCTCTCTCTCTCTCTCTCTCTCTCTCTCTCTCTCTCTCTCTCTCTCTCTCTCTCTCTCACTCTCTCGGTATTCCCTCTAAACTTAACTGACTGTCATCTAAAAATAACTATTCTCTTTCTTCAGTTTTCATGTTGTTTTTTTTTTTTTCTGCTGGCTTCCTTCTAAACCTCTCCTCATGGCTTCCTGTGGCCTCAAGCCTACCTGTGTGGTACTGTGTGCTCCATCATAACTGGGGAATCTGTCTTCTTCACTCTAGTTATGTGTGTGCGTGTGTATGGGTGTTTGTGTGCTCTGATAACGTGCCTCTCTTTCTCCTGTTTCTCTCCTGGACTCCTCCTTCTGCTGCATCTAGTGGATAAAATGCTCTGCAGTAGTATTGTATCTAATGTGATGTGGTGCCAATTGTAATGGTTGCTAAATAGAACTATATGCGTTAATTTGGTGGGATGTATCTTCCTCTTTTTTCCCTTGGCTTACATTCAGAGGGCTTTTCGGGGATCTCATAGTTCTGTGACTCTGGATAAAGATAAAACTTCAAGATAAAACCTTTGAATTGTCCTCTGTGCTGTTTGATATGCACCACCCTGCAATCAGACTTAAATATGGCAAAGTAGCTTTTTTGTGCCATTCTTCCTCACTGAAGTGCTTTCCTGAAGTATGTGTGTGCGGCTGTGTGTGTTCTTAGATAAAAGCAGTCCAACTATGCCGCTGAATGTGGCCGATCAGAAGCTGTTGGAGGCCAGTCAGCAGTTTCAGAAGAAGCAAGGCAAAGGCACAGTGGATGTCTGGTGGTTGTTCGATGATGGCGGTATGTTGCGACTTCCTAAATGTTTCTTCCATCAAGCAGTTTGTTAACATTAGCTACATTTCCCTTGACTTTCTGTGCAAATTACTAGGGATAATATGAAAAAGTGTGCAGTGTTCGCAATTCTTATTCCTTCAAACTGACTTTTAGCAACAAAAATGTGTAACATGATGTCATTTCCTGCAATAAACTGTTGGCATGTAAGGTTTGGTTTATCAGTAATAGCTGTGTTTGACAGGTTTCCATTTTCCTTTTTATTTATTTTTTTTTTTACTATCGGGACCATTACGAGAGAGATCACATTTCTCTGCCATATAGAGCTGTTGGAGCAATTTCTATTTAGAGAGTCTGTAGCCTTTGCTGGACATCTCTGAAATGTGGCAGCATATTAAAGCATTCTCATCTTCTCCTCAGTCCAGCTATTTGTCACTGCCATGCTGTTTGTTTTTGCTGTTAGAGACATGTAAGGGAAAACAGTCACATTAAGTTAATGGATAATTTATGGAAATACATTATTTTCTCCCTTCCCTCCTCTCCACCCCCCAACCACACCCCCCACCCACCACAAAAAAGAGTCTCCAGTGTACATTTTCGCAGTATTTCAGTTATCACCAAACATTATTTAACATTTTGTACAATATTACAATCAATTTCCATTTCTATGACCTTTATCCACAAACCTTTTGAAGGCTTTTTCACAAGCAGTCGTTTGGATGGAAACATAGCTACACTCTGTCATTGGGACTTTTCCATGTGCGCAAGTTGCTCTATTGTTTGTTTGTTTGTTTGTTTGTTTGTTTGTTTGTTTGTTTTTCCTCCCAGCGGTAAGAGCCTCAGCTTTACGTATGTTGAGCAAAAACAGCTTTAAAATTTTTGTTGTTTTTTGCAGGCGTTTGAGCTTTGCTTTTGTGCTTGAGACAGGCCTGACTCTGCTCATCCCATATTTAATCGCCAACAAGAAAAAGTGGAAAGACTGCAAGATCCGCGTCTTCATTGGGGGCAAGATCAACAGGATCGACCATGACCGCAGAGCGTTAGTATCTTATTTTGCTTTGGAAGTAGGGCTGTCACAATCATGAAATTTTAACTGATTAATAATGGTCATATAAGAAGTTGCAATTAACAATTTAATTGCCTTTTTATGTTCATTTTATGTATCTAGTAAACTGGCCACTTTGGCTTATTAGCAATCTTGCTTCATAGCTATGTTTACTTATTAGCTAACACTAGCAGTGCTGTCAAAATGATACACCGCAGTATTGGGTGAACACACATCCTCTCACACAAATGTTTGTTACACAGAATCATGTGTAGTTGAGCAAAGCTTTTTTTTCCTTAAGAGTGAAAATATAAGCTAAAAAAACTCATTCTGCTAGCATGCGTGCTGAACACAGTAGAATTTTTGTTGCGATTTCAAATAATTGCGATGAGGTGATTATGCAATAATTGTGACAGATCTATTTGGAAGGGTCTTTCAGCAAATTAAATTAAAAAGAGAAGCAATTAATAATTCAGCCCTGAGATATTAATCATACTTGATTTTAATTTTCCTTGTCAGCTTCACTGATAATGTAGCTGACGAACTGTTATCTGTAACAACTGGCAAATGTACAAAATTCAGAAGTAGCCTAAGTAGAAGAACCAGTTCAGCATCATGCAGGCTGCTAGGGGTGGGAAAAGAATGTAATGCAGTATTATATTGCAATATTTTTGAGTTTAACAATACTATTGATATATGGCAAAAGTACTGATATTGTATTACTGTATTATTTAGATGACCAAATTGCATTTGTCTTAATAAAAAATTTACATGAGATGAGCAAGCTGTAACCTTTGTCAAATGGAATAAATCACATTGTATTGCAATATGTCATCACAATACATAGCATTTCAAAATTCTTTAAATATCACAGTGAAATTGTATCGTGGCTCAAGTATAGTAATGGTATTGTACCATGAGATTCCCACCTATACAAACTGCAGTCACACTTTTGCCTTAAACAGTGTTGGATTGTTAGGTAATGTCTAATAGACTTACTTATGTTTCTGACACTTTGACATACTGTTATCAAAATTCAGACTTCATGATGGCTACTAGGGATGTGCATGGGTACGTGAGTACTCGGTTCACTGGAGGTCCCAGTATTCGAATACTAAAATCACTATTCAGGTACTTGTTCTGTTTTAGCACAGGGCGACAGAGAAAATACACAGACAACAATAACACGCTGTATTTGTTTCAACTAGACTGTAAAATATTATGATTTTCCTTATATTTGTGAGTAAGTACGTATATTACACTTTGCCACCCCTGAAAGAAGAGTGCATGAAGCTCAGCACGTTACCAGGGATGCATTGTTAAGGACGAGGCACAGCTTTTGCTAACTAAGCTAACTACTCTAGCTAATGTTAGCGAGGTCTAGAAACAATGGAAATATATTTCTCTGACAAACGTGTGTACATCATCCACTGAGGAGAAAATGCCTTGTGTAAGATGATCCGACATCAGTGTTGTACCAGTTAGCTGTAGATTTAGGTTGCTCTGTTACTCATCCAGCACAAAACTACTGGTGTTCCTTGGCCTGTATTATTATTATTATTATTATTATTATTATTATTTTATTATTATTATTTTTTAATAATAATAATAATAATAAAACCTGTTTTCAAATATTTTTACCTGCACCTGTTTAAATTTTTATGCTACATACCAGCGCAGTCACCTAAAAGAGCAAGCCTCTAGCGCTACATCACTTTTGGCCACAGTGCTTTTATTTATTTAATTTTGGTTCCCCTTGGAGTTTACTGGATATCCTTTCATTACTCTTGCGGATACTTGTATATCAGAATTAGTTGGAATGCACATCCCTAATAGCTGCTGCTACTACTGTTTTACTGTTTTGTCCATTTTTATATATAACAGTATGGCATACAGTGTCAGAATCCACATAAGCAAATCTGAAAGGTCTAAAGCTGTCTCGTTGACTGCAGAGAGGACGAACCAGGACTTGTCACTGGCTTTCAGAAATGCTGCTTAGTCAGGGCAGGGCCACACGCCTCCAGCATGAAGCCTGTGCTGTGAGGCCTATTAGAATGCCATGTTTCTTTTTACATAAAACGCTTTATGCATGCTGTCCCTGTATTGTTTCTCTCTCTCTCTCTCTCTCTCTCTCTCTCTCTCTCTCTCTCTCTCTCATATTCTCTGCGTATTTCAGAGAGTGCTCTGAACCCACGTGGCGGTATTGTCCAACACAAATGTTTCCCATTGTCCTTTGCAGCTGCCTGCTGCTCCTTTGTTTGCTAAATTTAGCAGTGTGCCAGCACTCGGTCCTTTCATAGCGCACTGGAGGTAGTGTGGAAGTCGCTGGGTTTCAGTGAACCCCACACAGTATATAAAACCATGCTTGGCTGCCTCAGTGTGTTTAAGGTTACTGCAAGTTGTTAAAAGGATGGTCACATGCAGCTGACTTTATTCATTTCTTCAAAGAAGTTGAATGATGACAATAATTAGAATAATGAGAAAATACTAACTGGTGCCAGTGCATGAGAAAGTACTGTAGGGCATTTTATTTTACCCATAATAGTCAAATCCCATCTTGCTGAGCATGACTCAGTTTTTGTCATGTTGTGGATTCAGAACAATTTATTTGTCAAATGAATCATTTTTTACTCCATTGAAGACGTGAGGGTTCCTTTGAGACTTATATTAAATAACAAAACCTGTAGTTTTGCTCAGAGCTTCAAAATTGCTCCTGTATCCAGCTGTTGCTGATGTTTTTTTTTTGTTTTTTTTTCTTTGAAGTTGTTTCCTTTGAAGACAAGTCCTAAGGAAATTACTATTCAGAGAGCAGCCTTGCGACTGTTATCTCCCAAATCCACAGATAATTTTAACAGTCCATATGTTTCTGCCATGTCAGTTCTTTCGAAGCTCACACTATTTCTGTAGCTTTACAGAGGCACCAGAGTGGCTTTGAATGCCAGTCTTGAATGCATTCCATATCAGAATGGCTTTAGAGGTCTTCGGTAACCCCCTTTGTTCTTTTGTTCTCTCCTCAGAATGGCCACATTGCTCAGCAAGTTCAGGATAGATTTCTCCGACATTACCGTACTGGGAGACATCAACACAAAACCCAAGTCTGAGAGGTAGGATGAGAGTTACACATTCCTTTTATCTCACCAGCCCTCATGTGAGCTGTAATGCCATTTGTGATTTCACACAAACATCTCTATAATTGTGCGGTTCCCCTGAGTCAACCACCAAATGGCTATACATTGCAGTGGCAACAGCAGTGCTTTATGAATTATTAATTTTTTGCCATTGGTCGGTCTCTGTTCTGATGTTGTGCATCTAGAGCAGCTGTGGTGGTTTTTAATTTTAAGTAAATATTTAAAATTATAGATCACATCATGCCTCGATTGCAATCTGTGTACATATTTTTTAATTTACTGCAAACATAACCTCCAATTACAAAGGGCAGTGTGCTGAATGGCTGGAGCTGTTCTGTGGGTGAGCCTTTCTAATTGGTTTTTCAATAAGGCCAGAAAAATTTCTCATAATAGTTTTGCCATTTTGTCCAAAATGATGTGGTCATCTAATCAAACACATGCATTGGCATAACAAATATACAAGGTTAATAGCTGGCTCATTGAGTATGGAGAGGATGACCTGACCTAGGACTTTTATGCATGGCTTACAGAAATGCTGCTTAGCCAGGGCAGCTACACACGCCCGCAACATTATTGCCAAGTCTGCCATTGTGTGCAAGACAAGAATGTCTATACAAGTTAATTTAGTAAAAACGTCCATGTTGTTTCATGTCTTCATGACCCAGCAGTATTATTATCATTCCTGTGCTAGAAATATTAATTTTTAATAACAGTAGTTTTCTTTTTCATTTTTAATATGATCATTATTAGTAGTAATTATTAGTAGTAATTATTATTATTATTAATTACACACACATATATATATATATATATATATTCCTTTCTTTACCTTTTCTCCTTGTCATCCTTTCTTCTTTTTCTTGCCTTAGCTAACAAGCTCGTGATAAGGAACACCATCATTACTAGTGGTGTTGTAATGTAATAATGGAGAAAAAAGTGTTTTAGAAAAATTTGTGTGTCTATTCAGTTTGGCAGCATTTGCCAAGATGATTGAGCCCTATAAGCTGCGAGAGGACGACATGGATCAGGAGGCAGCGGAAAAGCTGAAGGCTGACGAGCCCTGGAGGATCACTGACAATGAGCTGGAGCTCTATAAGGCCAAGGTGAGCACCAGCCCTCCCCCTCCACACAAACCACCCAGGCCCAGTAGCTTCTATTACTCTCTGATTCTCAGACTAAGACCTCCAGGTTCTTTTTAGATTAAAGACACACTCCATATTATAGAGAATAGGTAATGGACTTCCATTGTCATAAGTGTGGTGCCAACAGACTGTGTTTCATTAACTATAGTTTGTTTTGTCATCTGAGAGCCGTATCAGCTTCCACAGCTGGACGGAGCTCTTTTGAAATATGAGCAGAATTACAATTGCCCTCATTAAATGACATGAAACTGAATTGTACCCAGTGTAGTTGGGGGAGTTGGAGTAAGTGGAGCTAGTTTTTGCTTCAGAAAAGATGGCTGGAAAAATTAGGGCTGTCTGCATTCAACAACAGATGGAGTCATCTTGAAACCGGACACGAGTATTTCATTCTAGCCCACATATGTGTTTGTCTGTGTGTTTATTTTACAGAGTAATCGTCAAATCAGACTGAACGAGCTGCTGAAGGAGCACTCAAGCACAGCAAACCTTATTGTCATGTAAGTGGATTTGACCCGGATTAAATGGTTTCATCAACAAGTGTGTGTGTGTGTGTGTGTTTGTGTGTGCGCGCCTATCATCTACCTTTTGTGTATGGGTGTGTGCGTGTGTATGCGTGTGTGTGTAACGGGAGAGTCTTATTTCTATCAGTAAGGTCTGTAAGTGAATAAGCAGTGCTGCAGTGAAATCTGAGACAGCAGTCCGTGTCTTCAGTCCAAACACAACACACTCTGGGCTTTTACCTGGAATTGCTACGTTTTTACCATGCTTTTAATTTTGTGATTTGTGTTGTGTCAGAAATTCTTAAATTCTGTTCAACTGAATGACTAATTCTTAAACAGGCCTGTCTGTCAACAATCAGTCCACACAAATCAAGGAGACTTGCTACCTCTTGTTCAGTGCCTGTGTGTCTGCTTTCATTTATTAATGACAGAAAGGCCCTAGTTTTCCTACATCATTTTTAAAAGGTTAAAATTAATGAGAACATCCTGGAAACTTGCTCTGGTCTCCTTGCAGGTGTCAGGAGATATTTCTCACTATTCCTGCTGGCTCATCCTGTGACTCATCCTGTGTGGCTAACTTTAAATGCTATTGAACAGTAGGCTGTGCTGCAAAATTCATTCCCATTCTTCTAGGAGTCAGATGGCCTTCATGCTCATTGTTTAATATAAAAATATATTCATCCTGCAGATTAATGCATGAATTAACTAAAATGGCAATGTACATTTTTTTCTCTCTCTCTCTCTCTCTGCGTGTGCGTGTGTGCGTGGCCAGAGAGCAGGTATTATATGAGTGGTGGATCATGGCAGTGACACTGATGTGTGTTGTGCTGGTACGAGTGGATCAGGCACAGCAGTGCTGCTGGAGTTTTAAACACTCACTGTCCACTCTGTTAGACATACCTACCTTGTTGGTCTACCTTGTAGATAAAAAGTCAGAGACAGTAGCTCATCAGTTGCTGCACCGTTTGTGTTAACTGCTGGTTAGTGCTGAGAATCATCCACCACTCAAATAATTCCATGCTCTGCATTGAAGAACAGGATAAAAGGGGGCTAACACATTTTCATAATCAGTTATTTGGGAAGCAAAAACCTGCACATATTTTTTTTCTGGCAGTAATGTTTAATTTAGCCAACTAAAATGCAAGAATTAGTCTTCCTTAAAAAAAAAATAAAATAAAACACCTACCTTTTCTTTTTTTAAAAGGCTTAAATCAAGGACACGGCAATAGATTTCCAGCATTTCACCTGAAAACTGTTTTTGAAAAGTGCTGAAACACTGAAGGAACAAGATATGCGGCTTTTCTGTTTTTCTCCTCTAGTCATGACTCAAAAATAAATTAAAAAGCTTCTGTGTGGTAACAGCATGTAATGAAATATGATATGGATCACACACTGACCATGCAGTCATCAGCAGTGTTAGAGATGAAGATCTAAAGCAGCTCATCACACGGAATAACCATGTGCGCAGTGTCAGCGTTCAAATAAATGTTTATCAGTCCACATTAAAACACTGAAAAAAAAGTAAGAAATCTCAGTGACTTAAAGCTCTTCAGTCTGTTTTTCGTGTGGACAAAAGGTTAAAGCCCAGTGAAAACTAGAAACATCAGAGCTAGTCTGTGTGCTGATTCTATCTGCTCAACTAAATCCTTCATACGTTAATACTGTTCCTTGTTGTTTTTTTTTCTCTGTCCAATAGGAGTATGCCACTGGCAAGAAAGGGTGCAGTGTCCAGCGCCCTGTACATGTCCTGGTTGGACACACTTTCCAAGGACCTTCCACCTATTCTGTTGGTTCGTGGTAACCACCAGAGCGTCCTCACGTTCTACTCTTAAGCGAATTGATGATCACCGACCCCCCCCCCCGTGAAGCACACTTTGCCGATATACCGACACTAAACACAAATGTGCACACACAAACACATGAAGGTAGATCACCTGTGACTGTAAGGATAATAATGATGGTGATGGTCAAGAGGAAGATAGAGAGACTAGGAGCACCTTCTCCTGAGAAGCTTCTGGTTTCTGTAGCTCAGTTGTGAGTGTACAGGTTATGTTTCCAGAACGTTCCGGACAATAGAGGACAAGACAAGAACGTGTTCAATAATTTATTGGTCACTGTTTTCTTTGGACCACAGGCATCTGAGCATGAAGTACACATTGTTCTGATTACAATTATCATTATTATAATTGTCACGATTAAAATGTGGATCTATTTTTTTTTTCCTTCTTTTTTTGCTCTTCGAAGCAGCAATAATCACCCTGTTTTCCTTTTTCCTCACTTGGGAGAAAACCATGCAGAATGCTTTGCAACACCTTTTATAGCCTTATAGATGTGCCTTCCAGTTCAATCAAATTAAATGAAACTTTGCCATGATTGATGCTCAAATATCTGTAGATGTATTAGACTATTTTTAAATTGGGTTTTAAATGTGCTAAAGATATTAAGGATTTTTATGCGAGTGGACTGGTGGTGTTTGCGAAGGTTTCCACTTCTTAGCATAAAAAACTTTTTTTTTTCCCCTTTTCTTTTCCAATGAGGTTTAATTTTCCCCGGTCATCTTTTGACCTTTTTCTTTTCTTTTTTTTCCAGATTTCAGTCTTCCTTTAAACTGTGAAGGGTTTTTAGTGTTCCTAGTACAGTACCCTCCACTAATCTTAGATGTTCTGGTCATCAAAGTTAGAGGGTGTATTCAGTTGTACAGAGCTGAAGGTCAGTCTGAACAGAATGCTGTATAACTTTGGTCACTTGAGTGCAGATAAACAGCCAATGGCTTTAAGATGTGCTGCCAGGTTCTTGTCTAAAAGAAGGTGTCTCAGAAGAGTGGCACGTCAAAGCTGCTATGAAACGACGGCTACACAAAGAACAATCAACCAAATATGGCGTAACCTCTTGAATTTACGTTATTCCACAAACCTGCAGGTCTTGCTACAGAGGATGACTTTGCCTTAAAAGCAGAAGAAATGATTGTTGACTTTTAACTACTTCTTTATAAGCCATACTGGCTGGTTGGTTGATTAGCGGATAAGCGCGGACATAAAAATAGAATGTAATGTCAGTTGTAGTGTTTTTTTTAGTAAGTTAATTGTTTTTATTTCATTTCTAAACACTCCTCTATTATAGTACTAGATTGCCTTTTTTTTTTTTGGAAGCAGTCCGATTGTAGCTACAAAGAAAACCATGTCATCAGCGTCATCAAGACTTGGACCACAACCAACTTTTCCGTCTTTGTTATAGTGTTGGACTGTTACAGAGTAGCTTATTATTTTCCTCCATGTTTGCATGTTAAATTTAGGAGCTTCCCTGTCTCGTGCAGTGTAATCCTAAAGGCCTGTTCAGGTATTGCAGCTGTAGTTAAAGGCCATGGCACAGATTACAGGATGTCTGGAAGTGTTGATTAAAGCCAGTACTAAGAATGTTTTTCCACATGTCAGTGGTCCTGTTGAATGAGATGCATTATATACCTCTATGCAGGTGAACTGAGATGAGTGCTCCTCATTTCCCACTTGTTTAATTGATGGAAATAAAAGAAAGTCGCTCATCCAAAACTCAGGATTGGATCTCTCCCGTCTGCAATGCTTCTTTCCCAGTCCTAGCTGAACATTGCCGACGATTGCCGTTTAGAGGTCTGGTCAACAGCAGGGTTTTACGAGGTTGAGTTGAATGACATTGACAAGGTTAATGTGAGATGATTCCATTTCTCGTGTCATATTTGAAATTGAACGAATTGACAAATTGCCTTATGGATGAAATTCTATGATGAACTGGTTTAGTAACGCACACAATTTTGCCTCCTTTCCACACTCGCTGTACTGTTCACCATAATGTGACATTGCTTTAATGAAAGGTTGTTTGAATGTAACACTGACTGAACACCGGCAAGAGGCAGACCTCCGTTTCACATTTAAGCAGTTGTTTTTTTTCTTTTTTTCATCTACAGCTGCCCAAACGCAAGCTTAATACTGTGACGTGTTGTCAGGCTGTGTAGTAATCAGTACCCACATGACTGCATCTCGACAATACATGTTCATCACCCATCACCATGTGAGAAATATGCCATGAATATTTGAATGAATATATTCATATTTATAGCTCTCTCTCTCTCTCTATATATATATATATAAATATATATACTCTAGTGTGTAAAAGGACTTTGTACTTAATGTGTGACACTTGTAGTTTGACTTTGTTTTTAAGACGGTGGGCATTGTGAAGCTCTTTTGACTTCATATGGTACAGTCTTACTCATTTTAAGATCTGTTGTGTGTTGTGAGTGAGTGAGTGGCTGTATAGAACTTGAATTCCCTGAACACCTACAAAATAATCAAGAAATTAACCATCACCTGTTATCTTAATTTATTAAGATATTATATATAAATATAGTTGCAATTGGGAGAAATATTTAGACGTCGAGTAACAAACTTGCTATGAATATGTGTAACAACCACAACGTGTGTTTGTAAGTAAGTGTGCGTTATTCATAAATGTATAGCTACACGTAGCTGCGGCATCAGAGGCTACTGTACCATGGGTTCACAAGGTACGTCTAACGTGCCTCTAAAAGCTGTTGTATTCTGTGTAAGACCAAACAGATCAACGTTGTATGTGCTTTCACATCACTCCCTTCCTGCCCAAGTGTAGCCAAAGTCCAGTTCCTCTTACTCTGTCTGAGCTGGGAGCGATGATGATGATAGATGAAAAAAAAAAAACAAAAGTCAACCTCGTTGCTCCCAACTCTAGTTCACACTGTATTTCTTTACTAACCTGTAAATATCGTCTAGTCTAACCTGATAAATTAAGGGAGTGGAATAATAATGGCAAATTAAATATGGAGAAAGAAATATTTATTTTAGTCTAGATTTCTCCAGTTTTCTTTGTTTTTTTTTTTTTTAAATTGCATGTTGATTTTTGTTTCCCTTTTGATTACTTTAAGAACTTTGTTTCTCCTTCTCTGTACATTTCTATCTTTTATATGCCTTTTAAAGAAAAGCTATGTTGACAAACGGTTGAGTTTGACAACTGCTCAAGCATAAGGGTGGATCGAATTGATCTGGCTGGAAGAGGAATGTTTTGATATACTGTACTGTTAATTGTCACAAATATGCTTTTTTTCTAACATTTTAACATTTAAAGTTACCAATACTTTGTACATCTTTATTGCAATAAATAAAAATCAAAAAATGAGCCCATCCTTTGACACTAATTCTGTTGTAATTTCTGTAGTTTAAAATAGCAAAACATTTCAAAGCTGTAAATTCATTATTACACATCCATTAAACCTAACTACTGATCGTACACCACTCATTGAAAATGAAATGTCCAGTTGCTGGTATCTATCGGTAGTGCTATTGTTGGTAGTACAACACTGCCATCATGTGTTGGAACAGTTTCAGCACATGCTGGTCTCACACTTCAGGTAGGCCCTGAAAACCCTTGGAAATACTTTTTATACCAAAACCACTAAAATCCTTATGTAGGCTAAAAAAAACTGATTTTGTGAAATGATCTTGGCAGACTGAACCAAAAACCACCTTTTTCTGACCTTCCATGGAAATGGCCTCAGCAAGATTAAAAATATCATGAGGTTTCACTTCAACTTAAAAAGGCTACATCCTTTTTGTGTGGCTGTGAAAAGAAAATCATGCGGAGGATGATGATGATGATGATGATGAAGGCTTTGATGTAGGAAAATTGTGCTGGCCACAAATTAACCTATGTTTTTGTGTACTTGCTGCTGTAACTTCTCCCTTACCTACATTAGCTGATGAGCTGAATCAGGTGTGCTCGAGTAGGGAAATCCCAAAATCATGCAGAGCCTGGGATGCACATCCTGGGACTTTGAACCAGTGGCCTGACCTGAGCAAAGAGAAGACTGCGAACAGTGACTGTGAAGAGGTTTTGTCATAAAAAAGCAAATGAAATCCTCCACATATAAAGTTCATCATTCAGTATCAGAAAGAAGAAAATAGAAAAAGATGAAAAACAATGTTTGGAAACTTTTTATTTTGTAAAAACATCATTAGTTGCTATGTAAAAATGTAATATATGACGAGCTAAAACGGCAAAAGTACACAGCTGGTTACTGTAAGCGTGAGTGTATCAACAAGAAGAACAACGTCTTTGTAGTGAGATTTCAGATGTAGTTTGCTGGGCTGCAAAGTTCCCCAAAAGTTATTGTGGACACCTGTGCAAGTATAGCTTAAAATCCTGGGTAGAAGCTGTAGATTTTGCATTTAGCTGATTTCTGGGACTTTTTGAGAAGCCCAGCTCAAAAGCAGTGTTTTTAGATCTATAAACATTGTCTGTTAAATGTACAATGTTAAATCTTATTTCTGTAGCCATGTAATCTGTATTGCATCCAGTTACAGAGTTTATTCAGCTAATTCTTTACTATTTTTAATTTATTCTTCAGTGAAAATGATTTACGTTTTATTGGACCTCAAATAACATAAAAATTACTTTGTTTTTTGGCTGAGCTGAAAATTTGTGCATATATTTTTTTTTTTTTCCCTGCCTGCTCAAATCCTGATCCTCTTCATACTGATTCATACTGAAAGATTTCAGTGTTAGCTGTCCACCAGCGACATGCAGGCTGCTTTTGTCATTAACACTGGGTAAACTGTGATTCAAGTAATAAAAAAATGCACTGTAATGTTTCTGCTGAAGTACAAAAACCTCAAAAATGCAACATCCTTATATCTTGTTTCATGAGAGTTACAGTAAACAAAGAGCACCTCTTCTGTGTCAGGACACATATTACACTGGCTCTCATATGACAGACTCGCTGCTTTTAAAGACTCTAACTGAACCGCTGTGAAGGACACAACAGACTTTACTCTGCTATCAGCTTTAGGTTCAAAATCATCTTGGCAGAATGCCAAAAATGGTTTCATATGTCAATGTCTAAAGGTGAAATATAAGAATATGATGCAATGCAAACGTTTCAGGTAGATCAGCCAAAGATATTTTAATCTGCACTTTGTGTCCTAAAGAAATTAAAACTGCTTTTCCATTTTTCCTGTTTAACTGAACTTTTTTCAATTTTTCACTCTTGTTCTTTCACTAAATCCTCTTATTTGTCTTGACTTTTTTTCTGCTATGGCTACTGGAAGACGTGCAAATCTTACTTTCTTTCTTAATTTGCATTCCATTTGCATGAAATTTACAAGAAGCTGTGAGTGCCAGTCGTAGCAGCTGGTGACTCATTTCTAACGACTGTAAGGGCTCTGTTACCAACTCCTGATGCAATTAAAACAGAAATAGACTCTACTGGACTTAAACCAAACATCATGCACGGTTAGTTTGAAATCTGATTAGGTCCTGAATAAAAGAACAGCCTTTCACTGTTTATAACCATCTAGGCCTCCTGATTCTCATTGGGACACTAATAAAATCACATCACTTACTGCAGGATGGAGGGGAAAATCACTGGCCCCTATGTTGGCCTTGATTTTTTAAATTCACAATAATATATTTTAGTTAAACAATGTAAACCTTTCTGTGAGGTAGCTTCCACGTCTGGTTTAGTTCGTCCACATTGCTGTGAACAGTTCTGATTTGGTAAGTTTCTCTAAAACAGAGCATTTCACATCAAACCCCTCTTAACTGAATCTTAGAATCTTAGATTTTTAGAAGAATTGTAGAATTTCCCTTTAATATAACACTGGAAAATGAACATGATATCCAGAAATGGTGAAACTGCCCATAACCAAGCAACGTATAAAGAACAGACTGACTGTTTCCTTTTCTCAGTGTTAGTTTTGGTTGTCACTTTGGTCACTTTGGTCACCAAACATGCGTTTATCCCATGTTGTTACTAGCAACCGCCAAAATAAATATAAAATCAGTTTAATGAAAAGGCTATCATATATACACATGTAGGAATCTACAATTTGTATTATAGCTGTGTTCAAATTTGACAAATAGTAGTGTTTAAAATGGTGGGATTTATATAGGACGTCTGAGTTAAGACTGCGTTACATCTTGTCTTGATAACCATCACAATCATTGCAATAGAGAGTAGAGCCCATTTGGAAAAATGCCTTTTAGGCTTTGTTCACCTTACAAGCCTCATTGCTTAAATCCGATTTTTAGCTCAAATCCGATCTGATGGTTCACACTTGTTTAGGTAAGTGATTCAAATCTGTCATTAATGTGAACGAACTGGCGTCCTGAAATGACCCACATGCACACATCCTACTCAGTAACGTCACGTGAATGAATCACGTGCGTCATCAGCAAACAGACTAACGAGCAGAACGAGCTTCGCTGCAAAGATAATTAACTCTGATCAGCTCTCAGCTTCTTTATTATTAGAGAGAGACGAAGGAGAAACAGGTGAGATGAGTTGCTTTTCCACCGTTAACAGGCTTTAACCTCTGTTCGGCACTGCTGCCATGGTAACGCTGAATGGAACAAAAGCACATGAATTCCGATCTGAGCGTCACATTAAGGTCACATGGCCACGAATCAGATACGTATCCGATCTAGGACCACATATGAAAGTGTCTCAGGTCGGATTTGAAAAGATCAGATTTGTGTGTCCACACAGCCCTGAAAACATCAGATCTGAGTCACATTAGGGCAAAAAATCGGATTTGTGCCACTTCAGCCTGGTAATGTGAACGTAGCCTTACTGATGCTGTTAGATCAGAAGTGACTGAAGCTGCAAAAGAACTGAAGAACTTTTTGTGGTAGCTTTGGTCTCCTCTCTGGCCTTTGAATGAACCTTAATGACAGCTATATGTCACTTCAGTAAACACCACCATTCAGAAATATTCCTGCATGTATACTGTTGGCCTTCACGAGCACATATATGAAACAAAAATATACTATTCACTCCGAATTACATATTTAACATATTTAAGCTTACTCCTGGTGCGTTCATGGAGGTTGACCGCTGGACCCTAAAAAAACACAATTGTCTTCTTACCTTAGACAAGACAAATTAGGGTCCAAAGTCGGCTTCTTTAGCTTTGCACCAGAGCAACTAACAAGTAATGGAGGCTAACTTGCCTACATACTTGCCTAAAACTGTGTGGATAAGTGATCTCAAATTGACTCATTTAAGTGGTTTCTGACTTTGACATACTGTTATGTGTAAAAGTACAAATGTTGGTTGTAAAGCTACAAACAGCCATGAAAGCCTGAATTTGTCTGTATTTTTGTCCATTTTTATGGAACAGTATGTCATACAGGGTCAGAGACCACATAAGCAAGTCTATTAGAGATCACTCAACATGGTTTGAAGTAAATACTTAGCCATGCAGTTTGGATGATGCTAATTGCTGAGGAATAAGCTTCAATTACTTGTCAGCTACGTTAGCTTTGTGGCTGCAGTGCAAGACAATCTGTGCAAGAATCCAACTCTGGACACCAAACATGTCTTAGCTAAGCCACTACACTTGAAGTAAGAAGAAAATTGTATAAATCTGATTTCTATCCAAACCGTCCCTTTGATGTTGTGGTTAAAATGGCTTATGAAGCTGAGATGTAGCACCCATCATTTAAAGAACGAGCTGCTGATCTTTGGTGTGTGAATGAGCTTCACAGTGTAGTCACACAGGCCACACAGTGGCGATCTACTGCAGTGTGACGTGCAACTTCATGTGCAGGTCCTGGCCCAGATCTCCAGCGAGGTAGTCTCTGTCTCTGCCGTCTTCCAGCTCTCGCAGCTCTGTGAGATTGTACAGTGGGGAGCTGCTGATCTCCAGCTCGTACGATCCTGCAGAGGCTTTCTCGTGCAGGCAGTGCAGGTAGCTGAGGCCCTGACGCCGCTGGAGCCGGAAGACTCCGGCCTGGTTTCCCGCTCTGATGGAGTAAGAGACGTGGTGGTTGAGGGGTTTGATGGCAGGCACCAGCTCCAGGATGTGCTCTTCAGGACTGCACTGGGATATGCTTAGTACTAGGGTCAGGGGCTGTTCCATGTCCACACTGTCCAGGCTGACCGGAGCTCCCTGCACAGAATGAAAACAAATACAATAACTTGGGGCTAAAGGTCACCTTCAAGACTGCATTACCTTGATGGTCAGTTTATATGATGTTGCCTCAGGCTTGTTGGTACAAAAAACAAACAACAACAACAACAACAACAACAACAACAAAAAAGAATTTAACATCCCTAAGTAAATGCAGTACATATTTTAAAGCTTTCATTTCATTTCAAGTCTTCATTTTCCTCTTACTTATAATGTAGCTGATCAGCCAGAATATGTTTGATGTCTCAAGTTTGCTTCTGTGCTATGAGGCTAATTAAGGTTATAGAAACCTATACTCCACCAATTAGCATCCTGCAAAATGCATGCTTAAATCATTGCACTTGTCTTAAACTGTAATAGGTGGTTAAGCAACCTCAACTGTCAGTCTTTATATATAACAGTGTGTCATACAGTGCCAGAAACCAAACCGCCAATCTATTTGAAATTACTTAACAACTTGACACAGTTTGAGGCAAGTGTGTGAGGATTTGGACACTAAACATGGCCATGGCCGATAGACTCCCTTTAGGATAAGAGGAGAACTCTGTAAATTTGATCTGAGTAGATTTATTTCTCTCACTTCTTTGGGCTCTGTTTGGTTGGCAGTGCGTCTCGTCCTGACTCCTCTCTTTTGGAGGCTGTTGATATTACAGTCGTAACAGCCCTCTGGAGAGAGGCTGTTATCCTCAACTGCTCCAGCTGCACCTGCAGATCCCAGCCGGCCCTTCCCAAAGCTCAGGCCTGACACACAGTGCCTGCATACACACAGATAGATAGATCTTTATTTATCATTGCATGAACTACCTAAGACACTGATGTGGTACCAAAAGTGGACTCTTTTTATGATTGTCATGAGAAGGTAAACAGCTCAGTGAAACACATTACAAGAGGCAAACAATGTAACTCTACTGATTAATTTATCAATACAATGTGTGTCTGTAAGAAATAATGTATGAATGAATGTCTGTGTAATCGCGCAAAGTGAACTCTGAACTGTTCTATAACTGAAAACAAGTTTCTTGTTTGTGCACCGGTGGTGTACCTCAGTGTATCCTAACATTCTTACTGTCTCCTTCAGGCTAGCCCCCCTGTCCCCTCCTCACCCTTGGCCCACCCTGTAGTATCCAGGTGGGCAGCCACACAGGTAGCCCCCCTGTGTGTTGGAGCAGCCGTAGTTGCAGGGGTTCTTGAAGGAGGAGCACTCGTCTACGTCCTGACAGCTGCTGGAAAGCTGCTCAAAGGTGTAGCCTGAGGGACAGGCACACTTGAAGCTGCCCAGCGTGTTGTAGCATGACGCACTGCCACAGGTTCCAGGAGAGGAGCATTCGTTTTCATCTGCAGCACAGACACGCTGAGGGTTAGGCTTTGTGTGTAGTTTTATTTTACTTTATCAGTATTTTAACTGCATATTAATCCTCGCTGAGCACAAGTGAAGATGTGGTTTATTTGAAAGGGAAAACTGGGGAAGAAGCCCCCGAGGTGTAAGATGTCTCCCTTGCTTTATTTTCTCTTCTGATCAAAATGACTGGTCCAAATCGAATCTCGACACATTCAAAAATTCACTTTTTTTTAAATGTCCTTAAGGACATTTTTATAGGGTATTACTGGCATTTATTATTCTTCATAAACTTTACTGGGGTCCGTTTTTGGTCATTTGTTTGTAGTGATGTATGCATTTATATTAGGTTGTACGTTTGGCTTTGAGAGTTAAAAGTTTTGTCTTTTTCTAAGTGAAAGTTAGGCCTTTAGGGAAAGTCCACCCAGACAAGTGATTCTATTCAATGTTATTTGTTTTCATAGCTTATTATAATGAAGTAGAATCATTAAGATGTACATTGATAGGGGCCTCAATTTCATTTTAAACTATATTTTTGTTATACTTTGATTAATAACTAAATTTTTGAAAACAGCAAAGACTAGAAATGATTTGAGATATGAAGTATATTCTGTAATATTCTGTAATTAGATGACAAGTTGTTGCAAGATTCACCTGGGGAGCTTCTTACCCCAAAAGTGGGAATAGTGGGGAGTTTGTTTTGAAGATTTTATTTTTTGTGCAATAAAAATGACTAACTGGAGAGAACATCATCATCAGATATGGTTTAGCTTTACAGTAAATGTTATTAAGTAGGACATTTTTCCCATTTCCCCCCCAAACACTGCAGTGAAAAACAAACATTAACTTTGAAATTGATTCTCTACAAGAACACAACTGTTTTGTTCTATAGAGGGTGCTGTTGTACTGTCTACTGCTAAGACAAACACAAACTCCCAAAGCACATTTCTTACATTAAGAAAACAAATGCATGTAATTTCTGCCAGAGCAGATTTGTAAACAGTGCTGTAGTTGGCAAGATACACATATTATGTGCAAAAATTAATATGGATAAATACATAAATCACTGCAGGAATTGCAATGTGAAAAGTAGTGTTAACTGAAATACTTGTGGTTGTCTGCCTGCTGCAATAAAAGAAATGTAAACCCTAAATTAGCAACTTCACAAAAGCTGACCATATAAAACAAGACTCTTTCAGCTCCACAGCAAACCTTTTACATGGCTGTTGCTCTGTGCAAAGAGTGTGCAAAGAATGTTACGTCCAGTAATTGGGTTAGTAGTACAATGCACAAATAAGTGCTTTGCAAACAGTTATATTTTATTTCCCACAGGACCTTCCAGTAAATTTGATTGTGTTCCAAATTATATGCTAGGTAGCTTTTTGGTTTTAAAGCCCAATCTACTGTCTAAAGGACATACATATTAAATAGAATATTTACACAGAGTGGCATCACATTTCACAGTAAGAATGAAGATCATACAAATACATGAACTGATGAGATCTGACCTGTGATCAGGGATCTAATTCTATGATTGATACATGTGGGCCTGTGTTTATACACACATACAGTCTGTACACAAGAATAAAGAGAAGTATCACTCACCAACACACTGGTTCCACTGATAGTGCTGGGTGTAGCCCTGTGGGCAGCTGCAGCGGTAGCCCCCCAACATGTTCTCACAGCCAAACTGGCATCTATGGCTGCTGCCACACTCATCGATATCTACATACAGAGGGAGAAACCAAGACAGAGGGAGAGAGACAAAGAGAGACAACAATAAAGACTTTATAATGCTAGTCCTGCAATACTAAAGTAGTATATTGTTACTGTCAGAAAAACAAAACCTTTCATTTGTTTTTTGTTTTTTTTTGGAAATTCCAGCTGCCGTTTACAGTGTTGAAATTCCATTTCTATTGACAAACAGATCAAAAGAAGTGGTCCAAAATGACTGAGAGTAAAATCTTGCATTAAAAGTTATGAACATTTTTTTTCTTATTTTCTGGAGATACGAAGTTCTGACACACCAGTGACATTATATGTAGCTATTCATTACTGAGTAACAGACATGAACACTAGAGATGCACTGATTTTTTTTGTAATTTGAATCAGGTTCATATCTTGCAATATTGATATGGATACATAACCTTACAAAATGTACAATCTATCTGGATTAGCATTACAGAGAAATAAAACAATTGTTTCTTTAGGGTTTCGATTGCAGAAAAATGAATAAATGCAGATATTCTACTGTAGCAGACCAGCGTCATATAAAAGTTCTGCTCTTCTGGAGTGCAATAAATACATCAAATCAAATATTGTTTTGAAATATTGGTCAAATCTAACAATCTATTTGTGTTATTATACAATTTTTTAAAGCAATTATCTGCCAGTTCCAATGTGATTCCGATATCATTGTGCATCCCTGATGTACACTCACAGCAGAATGACACATCAAACCCGTCGCAGGGAGATCATTAAATGCAAATCCTCAGAAACCAGTTTACACATATATAAACGCCTTAAGTCTTTTTATATTACAGTATATCTTCTCATGCATTGTGAAGGCTTCCATCCAGTCTGTGATGTGGTGGCACTGTTTCTTTCCCTTTCCTCCCAGATGCTCTTGTGGCATTGTAACAGCTCCACATTAACTTAATGAGAAACTGAAAACCTTCTCTGGGAATGTAAAAGTGCCTTTTACGTTGAAGTCCTACCAGAAATGCAGTAGTTTCCATGGAAAAATGAGCAGCGCTGTAGCAAACTATTAATGTGGACCTGATTCTCTGGCTCAAGGCGAGCTGGCAGTTTGACAGTACATCGGTTTCCAATATACTTATGAAGAATGAAAGGCCTGTTGCTGTTAAACAGCTTGTCCTTCTCATCAGCTCATGGCTATGTTTGCACGTCTAGCTCTTTATCTGTAAAAGAGCAGGTACACGATTCAAGGCTGTGTTCAAAATTACCTCTTACAAGACATAGCTGTCTACTGGGTATAAGGGCATAAGTACGTTGCTATTCACCTCTAAAAGTGATTCGGAACAGAGCCAGTGCAATATCTGGGAGCTGAGCCATGTTGGAGCCAAAGGCACAAACCACTGCACCACACAGCTTCAGCACTCGTAACCACAGATTAAAAGCTCTCCCTCTGGACTGAGGTGAGTTGCTTAGTGTAAGTAGCCACGAGCATATTGTTTGGAGAGTGCCAACAGGAGCTGACCTTTAGGCCCTGCTGCGGTGTGCAAAATCAAATAAAAAGTCCACAAAAATGCAGCACTTCAGGTCTGATAGGAATGTGAGAGGCAAATTATGGTGACAGAGGCAGTATATAGCAGATAAATTTCATATGGCTTCATTTTCACTTTCTAATAATACTTTAAACTGATTTTGCTCCATGCAGCAGGACAGATTTAGGAGAACACAGTTTGTTGGAATTAGCATTCCATTACCTGTCCACTTGCCTAAACCTACTTACTTTAGCTTGGCTCTAATCTGCCAAATTGTAAATGACAAAATTAAATGAAAAGCAAAAAATGCATGACAGTTAAAGGGCCCATATCATGGAAAAACAACCTTTTTTTGAAAAGTTTGAAATAAAGTGTTTGATGTAGTGTGTAAACACAGTTACAGGTTCAGAATGTACTGTTCATTTGCCAGTAAATACAGTCCATATATGGAAACTAAGCTGCAAAAGCAGCTCATTTTAAATGCACTGTTTCTGTGATGTCATCAAAACCAACACATTCACTTATTGGTGCTATCAGAACAAAACCTTGCATCTCCATTTTTGACATTTTTCAGTTTTTGGCATAATTTGAAAATGCCTGTAGTCCTTTAAATTGCATGTAAATTTCAGGATGAATGGACCAAAAGTAATGCCGAAAAAGACTTGGGAAAAAAGTCTGGTTCCATTGACTTACATAAAAAGTAAAGCAGATTTTTTCCTTCTCCTGTAAAGTTATCATTTTGGACATACAAAGTTTTGTTCCGACTGCAGCGATATACATCCACCTGTTTAGCCTGCAGCAGTTTAGCCCACCTGAAAGGAGTGTTTCAGCTCAGACTGCTTTTTGTTTGAGGTGCAATAGAGCACAGCCAATCAGAATGGAATGAAAACTAACCATGTATAAATGAACAACTGTTTTGGGTAAATAAAGCCACACAAACATATAAGTGGTGAAAAAAAGCACAATACGAGAAAAATCAAGGGTTTGGGCCTTTTACAAAAAATGACAATTCTTGTTCAACTAAAATTGCAGCTTCAAATTTTGTTGAAGTAACAACATACTGACTTGTTGCACCTCCTCAGTGTATTCAGGCTTCAAGATAAAAACAGAACAAGCTTTGCTTGAAATCTTCAGAGCAGTAATTCTCTTACTGAATTCCCCCATCACATGCTTTTAATGAGTCATACTGAATCAGGTTTCAGCTCTCAGGGAAAAGTGTTGTTTTCAAGCATGAGAAATCTGGCAGGGCAGTGTGAGTGTTTCGCCTAATGTGTAACACCTCATTGTACTGCTCCACTGACCTCTGAGCTGCAGTGAACCATGTAAACCGGATATATCTGATTTGGCCATTGGCCACATCCGTATTCATATGATCAACGGACTGGAGCTGCTGTGATGGATCAGAATCATGCAAATGATCAATGTTTGACTCTGCAGCACATCTTTATTGCTACAATAAATTGCGAGAGCTTTAAAATACATATGTGTGAGACTTCTAACAACAGCCTTGTTGTTTATATTCAGTCAGACTGACTCTATTGCAACCATGTGACAACACAATGACCTACTAGTAGAGGGATTTTTGCCTATTTGTCATTTTACATGTTTTTTATAAAAATAAACATTTTTTATCACACTTTACCTTCACAGTGCAGGCCAGTAGAGTCCAGGCTGAATCCTCGCTGGCACTCACAGCTGAAGCTGCCTGGTGAGTTCTGGCAGATGCCTTTAGCTCCACACAGGCTGGGCTCTGCAGCACACTCATTATTATCTGGAGGAGAAAACAAAACAGGAAGTCTCACTGTCATCTTTGAATTCTATTTTCAACTGAAAATAAATAAAATGTTAATTAAACTATGAGCTGCTGACTGTTAGGCTGTTGCAGTTCAGATGGCTGTGGGTGAAATCGAAAAACCAAAGAGGTGTTCGGCTTAAATTGAAAGCATGTCAACATTAATAGCAATTTCATTTTATATTGAGGTAATAAAGTCAATATACAGTACTGTGAAAGTCACAGATCATCCTTTATTTATTTAATTTCCAGTCAAAATGGTCATTAAGTACAAGGCATTCTTTTTCCAGGAGATATTTCTGAGGATATTAGATATAAGATAATCCGCTTGCATAAGGAAGGGGGAAAAAAAAAGCAAACGTTTACACACCTAGAGCACCAAAAAAAAAAAAAAGTCAAGTTTTTCAAGACTTTACTGTTACTCCTTTGTATAACTTGTAGACATATGTCTGACTGAAATGAGCTGTTGTTCTTAAGGCTCCATGGTGCAAGTATTTTAAAAACAATGCAAGTTAATAAAGTAATAAAGACAAATTGAAATAATGATATTATATTTAGTTGTTGAGACTTTTGGGTAATTTTCTATTATAAAAACAGAAATAACTTGCACTTAAAGGCCTTTTTGACTGGAAATTAAACAAACTGTGGTCTCTGAATTTTGTACACTACTGTACGCTGACTTCACCCATCAGAGTGTGGCAGAAATGAAATAAGCTCATATAATGCATCATTATTTTGTTTTCTCTGAGTGTGTTTTATGCACTCACCTATACAGGCTGTGTGGTGTTGTGTGAAACCCGGAGGACACTTGCATGTGAAGCCACCAATAGTGTTAACACACATAAACTGGCAGTTGTGCCTCTTCGCCTGGCATTCGTCCAAATCTTCAAAACAAGGAAACAAAATCAAACTCGATTACTCATCACTCTTTCTTTAAAATACATGCAGCGCTGTGATTTGCTGTGATGTTCCAGTTCTGCATGCTTGTTGACGCTGAAAGTTATGAGATCTTTTACTAAAATCTTATACTGGACTTGCAGAAACCCAAGTGATCCAGAAGGATTTTATATTTTATGTATTTATTAAAGAAAGTTGAACTATATTTAAGAACATGTGGGAAAATAACATGCCTTTGATCACTTTATTCACTAATGTACAGAATTAAACATTCCCTGTATTTACTCATCATCATGGGCCAGTGTACTGTCCACCACTGAAAAGTGCTTGAACTCTGTAACTCTTCAGTTATGAACTGTTTTGTTCTAGTTCTTTGACAGTGTTTCACAGGGGTCACCGGCCATTCTAAGACTTGTTTGGATTAACATATGTCTGCTTGTATATTCTGGATCTTTGTCACAGAGCATGTGTGCATGGTTGTTCACTGCAGTGTTAATAGGTTTTAATGGCTCCTCTTCTTGGCTCTATTAGGCTATGTTAATTGTAAAGTTATTATATTTACACTGGCAGGATCAGTCCCCTTCTACTTAACGCTGCTATTTCACTAAAATAATCTCACCTGGCACCTTCTCACAGGATGACTTCCTAGCCTAACCTAAGACATGTCCTCTCAAATGACAGAGAAGGACAAACTCAGGATGGTGGTTACTGTGATGACAACTGCCCTTTCATCGCCCAGCAATAACAGCTAATCACATCTCAACTGAATCATGCTGCCAGATAGGAATGTGATCATATGATCACTAAAGCAGAAAAGGCTCATAGCCTGCCTTAATTAAAAACTGTGAGGTCAGTGTAAAATTTTTCTGGATGACCGACGGTGGCTAAAGTTTTACGACACTATTCATGTTACCATGTGTCTTACAATCCCCAGCCCATTTCGTTACACTATAATACTGCAATGCGAGTATTTAAAGGGTCCATATCAAGGAAAACATGATCTTCACCATGGCATTTAAGCTCAATTAAATATTTCAAAACATACCATTCACTTAGCTGCAAAACAGCCTGTTTCAAATTTAATGCCTGTTATAAAGAACAATAACAAAAACAGTCTGTTTAATTTATAAAGAGAGCTGGAAAGAGAGGTTGGAAAATGGCCATGTAAACATGAATTAGGACTGATTTTGGTGCTTAAATCTACATAAATATCATAAACAGACTTCATGGGGACAACAATAAAATAAAATACAGATATAAAACGTGAGCCCTTTAATTAGAAAGGTTAGAAAACCTTTAGGGTGCAAAACTCATGAGTGAAAACTTTACCTTTACATGATCTGCCGTCCTCTTGGAGGGTATAGCCACGTGGACAGGAGCACACATAGCTGCCCTCTGTGTTCTTACAGATGAAGTTGCATGGCTTTGGAGACATAACACACTCATCCAGATCTGAGGAAATACCAGACAAATAATAAACAGTGATAAGTTTATGTAATTTATAAAATAACATTTCTATAATGAATGTTTGACAGGAAAAAGAAACAGAGGAGTATTTCAGTGCATATGCAAGTGCAAGTCTTACCCACACAAGCAGTGCCTGCAATACTGGCTGTATATCCAGAGTTACAGTGGCACCTGTAGGTGCCCATAATGTTGATACACCTGCCGTTCTTACACACATCTGGTATCACCTTACACTCATCTATATCTGTGAATGGAGAGGTACATCATAAGCATCAGATATGAGATTAGTTTTAACAGAGAATTTAAGACCCATATTTGATCTTCATTTGAGATACTGATTTTCATTTAAAACATTTGCATTTTAATGTGATAGTTTGGGACAAAAAACAGTTATAATAAAATGGACAAAAAGAATGGGCAAAATTCAGACATTTAGTTGCTCCTGCTGTTTTTGTTTTGACTCATTTTTATAAACTGTAGTATGTCACAGTTTTAAAAGCTATAAAATTAAGTGTTTTTGAGATCACTTAACAACTTGAAATGGTTTTAAGCAAGTTTTGTGAGTTCAGACCATCCCTTTAACATGTGGTGGCAGTATGAGGGAACACTGAGGGAGGGGGGGAGAACTTGGGCTGGAGTTCTGGGCAGCTTCTGCCCATGGCTAGAAGCCATAGCTGTAGCAGGACTGATGTAGGACTGAGGAACAGGGAGGCGATGGGGTGGCGGTGGGGATTGTGAACACTTTGTCACAGGAACGGAAGGTGAGAATGTGAATTTATAGGGTGTTAGATTGGAAGAAGGAGGGGTTTCAGCCATGCTCCTCACCCCAAACTTCAGTTATAATGTAACTACATTTATAATGATTCAGGCATGTTGTTTGTGCAGTGCTAAAAGGGCTCTTTTACGTTTCCAGATTGCGTATTGTCAGTTTCTGAAAGCAGGTAAGTTTGATTCCAGTTCAGCTAAAACAAACAGTGCATTCCACCTTTAATCAGTAAAAAGGTGCAACACACACTTTATACACAGCAAAAGGGGACCTTTAATTAGTTAACAACGTGACATTTCGGCCAACGTGCATTTAACATTTAAATCATTTAATCGCGTCCTTCAGTGTCACAACTCTAAACGGAAACTGCTGTACATGGCTCTTCTTCAGTTCTCGACTGGGCACACATTAGCGTCAATATGAATTTCAGCAAATTGGAAAATAAGAGGATTATTTAAAACAAATTGCAGTTCATCTCTGCAGCTTGGAGTATGAACTGAATGCGTTTGACTTAACAAGAGGTCAAGTCGCACAGTCTTTCTTAGCTTCAACAAGTGAGAGCAGCAGACATGAATGCCACGATTTATTTGATTTACTTTAAAATTCGGATCCTCTACTCTTTAAATAGCCTGAATTCATTCTGAATGTGATAGGTGCTCTTAAGTCATTAATATGTTTATTCACAAATAAATGTTTTATATTGCAGATACACTTTACAGCCCTGTTGCATTTGTTATGCTTAGACCAGACACATAATTACCTGCTTTATAAACTGAGGGAAGTGGCAACATAAAATTATGAAAAGGGCCCATTCGTGGGTTATAAGCTTCCATTATTTGTGAACTAATTTAGCTTTATAGCAAAACAAATGACGCAAACCTCAGACAGCAAACATCTTGGCTGATCGATTACATTTAGGCTGAGGTTAAAAATTTTGCTAAATTCTGTTAAATCCGTGAAGGATCTATGAAATAATAGGTATGAGTCAGTTGTAAATATGTAAATGCAGACCTGTGCCATCTGTGGCATAGCCAGGCCCGTGTGGGCACAGTTTCTTGTACTTGGCGGTGCCTAGCAAAGGGCACAGCTCACACTGGTTCCCCCAGCCACGGCCGCCGTCACAGCAGCACTGGGACTTTGTGATGGGCGTTCGGCTGCTGGAAGACATCTGACACATGGTCTGCAGCACCTCCGTGAAACAGAATCCTTGTCTGTGGTCTAGAAAAAGCCATCAAGACAGATGATGCAGAGAGTTTGATATGAAAGCACACATGGTTTGGTATTTCATGTTGAACTGAATGTGTAAAAATGCATGTGAAGGTGCTGGTTCAACTGCACTGATTTTAGAAGGTAAGAATTAATTATCGATATTGATTATAATAATGTTCAATAATGTTCACTTTTAATGAAAATAAAATTCTCAGGCAAAAGTGAAAAACAAGAAAATTTATGCTGCTGGCATTCTTAAAACAATGAGTCCAGACCTCAAAATCATTGAATATGTTTGGGATTACATGGATTCTACTTGTGTGGAAAAATATCCCAGCAGAGTTCTTTGAAAAATGTATTTTCTTAATGCAGCAAAATGAATAACTGGTACATAACGGCCATTTTGACCAGAAATTAAATAAACGAAGGGGGTATCTGACTTTTGCACAGTACTACATACATGGAGGCACACACCTATCCACTCAGCCTCTATTAGTGTGAGGAACAGAAATGGCTTACCAAGGCACAGAGTGTGTGTAGAGTCAGGCTCGAAGCCTTCGCCACACTCGCACACGTAGCTGCCAATGGTGTTCACACAGTGGCCATTCTCACAAATACCAGGCTTAGTACGACACTCGTTCTCATCTAAGGAGTAGAAGAGAGACAACCGTCAGTCACACTTACATATTCAATGTTTTGGAAAATCTCCTGATCAGTATTAAAGGGGAATTCCACCAATATTTGAAATATTTGCATAATAAAATGGTTAAGATGTAAAGTCATTCAGACTGGTTGTAGAAAAATGAGCCATTATTGAGAAACTGAGTCAGAGTCAGAATTCCTCCACAGTGGTAGAGACAGGAATCAGCCATATAAAATTCTTTTAAATACTTAATCAAAAAGTTTTACATGAAATGTACATGAGTACACTGCCAAATGTCTGACACATTGTTTTATGATAGTTTTAAGATTTTGGTTAAAATGTATTTATTTCAGTCCATTAGAGGTGGAGAGGCTAAAGTCCTCAAAGAAAACTTTTTTTTTCATATTTTCTACTATAATCAACATTACATAACAAAACTCAGAAGATATGTAAGTTCACTGGTCATTACGGATATAAACTAAGGTGTCTAGATTTGTGCTGAAAACGCTGTGACCCCTGTTTCCTATCATCACCACTGTAAAGAAATCCAAGTCAATAAGTTTCACTACATTGCACCATTTCACATTAATCTCAACAACTGAATAATTCAGAAATAGGCAGAATTTTCCTTTTAAGTTCTTTCAGTTAATGAGGAACATATGTTCTGACCCTGACACACTTCATCGTCCATCCTGCGCACCATCCCGGGAGGACACACACACATGAAGGTGCCGATGAGGTTCTTACAGTTCATCGCTCTGGTATCACAGTCATGTAAGCCCTCCGTACACTCATCCAGGTCTGCAGAGAGAACAGAGAGAGAAAGAACAGGGAAGAAAAAGTTGGATAGTGGCTAGTCTGTAACGAATTCGGCAGTGAAACTTCTTGTTATTTTCATTCTGCATTCCAGCACAGTGGTTTTGAAATAATGACTATGCGGATAACATTCAGGTTTATTTCAAGGGTATTTACAAGTTCTGGGTCCAGAAAAAATTGGATACCTTGACATAATCTTAAATAAATCGGTAATCTTAGTACTTAGGTGTGAAACTTTTGTCAGATAGTGGCTAGTTTCACCATACTAAGACAATCTGTAATTTTCTTAAATCTGCTTAGTCCCTCATGGCATATATGCCTTGAAATGCCTCTTCTTACATGTTGTTGATAAGTCTCCAAGCTACAATTTGTAAAAGTAATCCATATGCACCCCAAAAATATAAACTCAGTGGCCTCAGTGGGTCGCAATGCACTGGCACATTCTCATATTTTTTTTAAGCATTGCCATGTGTTAATCAAGGCTTTTTACACTTCTTCAAAGACACAAAGCCTCAGATCATTTTTGCTCTAGGAGTTACTGTTTATATTGTTACACATGGATAACTTTTTTTTTTACCACTCCTAGTGCAAAACTCTTCTCTGAAATGTAACCCATTACGGTTCTGTCCACCATTATCAGCAGCCTTTTCTTTTTTATATAAAATTTACAATATCTTCATAAATAAATGGAAATATGCTATTTTTTTCATTAAAATATTTCAGTGGATATATATGTGTAAGTTATGAAACAAAATAACATCTCTTTTCAACTTGTAGGAAGTGATTTTAAAGAAAAGAAACTAAATATGACACGGACACTATTAATGGCACTTTTTCCTAATATTTTGTTCTTATTGTACCTGTCTACTGGTAGTTTTTCCCACTCCTCCAATGCAAACTTTTCAAGCTCTTGAATGTTTGCAGGGTGTCTCTTCCCTATGGCAGATTTCAGCTGTCTCCAAAGATTTTCAATAGGGTTGAGATCAGGACTCATTGATAGTCAGTTTAAAACACTCCACTTCTTCCTTTGCAACCATTCTGTTCTGCTTTTTGATGTGCACTTTATCATGCTGGAGGACCCATGATCTTCAACCCAAATCTAGCTTCCTTACACTAGGTAGCACATTTTGCTCTGAAATGCCTTGGTAATCTTCTGATCTCATTATTCCTTCAATTCGGTTCAAGCCTCCAGTACCTGAGGCAGCAAAGCAGCCCCACAACATTATGGATCCAACATCATGTTTGACTGTAGGTAGGGTGTTCTTTTGCTTATAAGCTTGATTTCGTCTCCTATAAACAAATACCTGGTCTGCATTACCAAAGAGCTCTATTTTTGTTTTGTCTGTCCACAAAAACATTTGCCCAAAAGGTCTACCTTTAGCTCTTTGGATATTACATATGGTGTTTTTTCCATAGTTCGCACCAACCTTCAAAGACTCTTCTCACTGATTTTCCTCTTTGACCCAAGTCATGGAGGTTCTTGGCAGCTCCATGAGCAAATAATTTCTTGATTACATTACGCACTATTGAAACAGAGAGGTCAAGGACTTGGAGATGGCCTTGTATCCTTTACCATTGGAGATATTAGCACTTCTTATGCTGTCAAACCGCTCCCATGTCTTCATCTTTGTGAATAGGGATCAGGGAAAGTAAAGAGGCCTTTTTAAGCATTAAAGCCATCATTCATTGTTTAATTCAAGTCTATCACAGGTGATTCTAATTTCTAATTGATCACAGAGTCTAATCTAGTCTAACCTGAATGGAATTCATCAAAAGGGTGCCTGTAATTGTGTAACATCCATATTTCCGTTTTTATGCTTTTCCCCCCATTTTTTTTAACCCTTAGCTGTTATGTATTAAACATGAGTGTACAATGCTTCACAACACAACGCATTTATTTTAGGAGACATTATGTACTTAAAAAGGGTTGTGAATAATCGTGGTCAGAACTGTAAATAATCACGTAATTTGAATTAAACATTTAGCACAATAACTCAAAAAAATAAACTGTTGTATGAACTTGCCACAGATTTCCATTCAGTCAAACTGAGTAAGGTCAGTATAAACAGATTTTGTTACATCAACATAAAGTTCAACTATTCACGGAACAAATTTCAAACATTTCAGTGCAAATTATTCGGGTTTTCTTGGAATGGAATTCTCTTGGAATCAAAGTAAACAGTTTTCAGTCATTCAAATGCATTTTCATATCAAACAACCCTACTGGCTCATTTTCTGAGTGTAGGGTTGAAGCACGTTTACACTGAAATTAAGATCTGCATAGTACATTATATGGAGCTCTTGTACATCTGTCGTAGACTAGGTACAAGTTGCTGACTCACCCTGGCACATTCTACCGTCCTCTCGCAGAGTGTAGCCGGAAGGACAGGAACACTCGTAGCCTCCAAATGTGTTGATGCAGCGGAATGCACATAGCAAAGGATTCTGCCCACATTCATTTATATCTGTCACAAAGATGAAAAACAGATATTTTGAACTGTAACTGAGTCAGGAAAAATCTTCCTCAAAAAGAACCTGTTTGTATTTTTTTGACCAACATCCATTTTTAGACCTTTCCAGAAATGTACAGACATGTACTCTGCACACTGGATTTAAAACTGAACAGTGACAAATTGGTTAACATTCAGCTTTCATTCAAGGGTATTTACAAGTTCAGGGGTACATAAGGAATTGGAGAACCTGACATCATCTTAAATAAATTTGTTATTTTCAGTGCTTAGGTGTGAAACTTTTGCACTCACTGACCCATACACGTGGTTAGAGAATTCCCTGCTGATGCTCTGCCAGGACCGCAATGCAGCCATTTTCAGTTCCTGCTTGTTTCAGTGACTTTTTGCCTTCACTTGTCTTCAGTAAGTGAAATGCAGGGTAAATGTGGTTTAGTTCTGGTGACTGATTCAAGGACATTCCGATTTTTTGCCCTGAAAAACTCCATGATTGCTTTCTTAGTAGGGTTGGCATTTTGAGCAGTTCCTTTTTTTTCTGTCCACATTTGAACATCCCTGGTCAAATTACATGTTTTGTTGATTTTTTAGGTGGAAAGAAGTTAACACATTCTCTACATGGAGCAAACTTTAATATGTAATTTTTCTGCACGTTTTAATTATTTTTAAGTTATTTTTTTATTATTTTTAAATTATTATTATTATTATTTTTAAGTTATTGTGTAAGATTATATGTATATATTTTAGTTAAATTGGTTTTATCTATTCTTCTATCCTATCTATAGTTTTGTTTATCTATGTGTAAATACTGTTCTCTGCATAATTTGTGGAACTCGCACTCAAGTTTTTCACTCACCTGTGTCCCTGTACTCTTGTGATGTGACAATAAATCTGATTTGATTTGATTTGATTTGATAAATAAAAAAAAATAAATAAATAAATACTTACTGTAGAGAATGTTTATTTATTTTTACTAATAAAATTAACAACAATATGCACGTCTTGGAACTCAGAAGGCTTTTTATGCACTGCAATCTTTTTGTTCTTGAAATAAGCTGACAGTGCAAATTGTCTCACTGTATACTGAAGCACAGACTGCACTGCACAAGAGGCAAATAGACAAAAGAGAACGCCCAGCAAGGTTTACTGTGACCACTCGGCATATGAACCCATACAGCAAATGTTAACAATGTAAGAATTACATTACAATACTGTTTAACAGTATTATGGTGCAAGAATACAACATTATTCTACTTAAAATGGATAAAATGGATAAAAGATAGAACAAAGTAAACGTTTGCAGACCTTCACATGTCATCATGGGCCCTGGTTCAAAACCCTCCTCACAGTTGCACTCGAAGCTTCCAATCACATTAGTGCAAGTGCCGTTTCCACAAGGATTCCCCACTGCACACTCATCAACATCTGCAAGTACAGAAGGAAACAGTCAAGGAGGAAAGGCATGTTATAATTAGAGAGCTAATTCCTTCAGTCTGCATTGTGATGAATTAAGAAATTACTGTAGCAAAAAAATAACCTTAATGGGCTTTTTATCCACTGAATCAGTTTAGTTTTAATCTACATTTATTATTCATGTGGATTATTATGCAAGCAGGTCTTTTAAAGTACTTTTGGCCTTGGATTTAAACAAGCTCACCACAAACAATTCCCAACAACAATAGAGCTGACTTTCAAAAAAACAGATGCGAAGAAAAATTTCACTGCTTTGTGCCCAATAGAAAGCTTTGAATGCACTATAACTTCTGTATGCTTCTCCTGGGGCTGTAGTTCTGAAAGGGAGTACTTTTAAAAGTGAGAAATACTGTACAACAAATACTCAGCATAGAGAAACAGCAAATAAACAGCTTTCTCACCAACACAATCAACTCCACTGTAGTTGAGTGTGTAGCCTGTAGAGCACTCGCATCGAAATGAGCCGTCAGTGTTGATGCAGTGGCCATTCTGACAGATGCCTGGGATCTCCACACACTCGTTCAGATCTGACATTTTCCAGTAAGTGCAGGGACAAAAAGAGAAAAGTACTTAGTTCCAAACCTTGTACAAACAACAATTCTAAAAAGTTGTGACAGTTTGTGAACTGCTAATATATCTTTTAGTGTTAATGGGACTTTCACAGATGTGCATGTTTCCCATGCCATAGGCACTAATACATCCCCTAATACACCCCATACCATGACAGATCTTGACCACTGAACTTTACGCTGGTAACAATCTGAAAGGTCCTTTTCTTTTTCAGCCCAGAGAAGATGACATCAAATATTTATATAAACTTCCTGGAAGGTTAACTCATCAGACCACAATAAATATTTCCACTGTGCATAAGTCTATTCTGGAGGGAGGTGCCAAATGAGGTATCAAACATCACAGGCAGTCAATTGTGGTTTTCGGCCTTGCTGTTTACCTACAGAGATTCTCTGGATCCCCTGAATTTTTTGATGATGTTATGCATAGTAGCGGTTCTTAAAGTGTGCACTGATGCTTTGTTTTGGAAAGTAGAAGCATCTTTACTCTTTATTCTTGCTCATAAAGGCCTTTCTTGAATGCTGTTATATCCAGGCAAGATCCAAGTATGACCTGTTTAAGATAGTTTTGAACATTTCACAGCATTCTTAGTTTTTTTAAGTCTACTTCAGGAATCAAGAATGCAGGCATTCAGACTGAGCGTATATTTACACAAAACAATTAAGTTAATAAAGCATTGAATATTTTGAGTTGTATATTTTTTTTTTTAATACAGGACTTACAAATCACTATTTGCGTTTTTGTTTGCATTTTTATTTGCAAGAGTTCATATGTATAAACCTTTATCTCTTGGCCAAGTCTTCATAAAATCACAAAATCTACTGATTGAACTATCAGCTAATCATCAGAAGAAAAAGATTAGAAAAAGATTCTCTTTCCCACCTCCAGCGGGACTTTTAAAAAAAGCATAGAATCCATTGACTCAGAGCTATAGCTCCATCTGCTGGACAAAATTCTATTACACTGCTTTAAAAGACTAATTTCTTTACCTACGCTTGTGTCTCCAAATCCTACAATGATCCCAAACCCGAAAGGACAGAGTTCCTGAAATCCAGCTGTAACAGGGAAAGAAATAACGTGAGTAAATGCTACATAAAAGCTGGTGACTCTATCATAGAACACCCCTGCACAACAAAAAGAAGAGGCACCGTCTTGTTCTTTGGGACAGAGCTCGCAGGGGTAGCCCCATCCTTCTTTGGGCACGGTGCTACAGCAGCACTTGGCTTTGGTGGTGTTGAAGGCCTGCGGAACGGAGCATTTGCCATTTTCAAAGCGGGTGAAGCAGAAGCTCTCTCTTGTGTCTGATTGAAAAAAGAAAGTGCAAGAATGTAACCTTAAGCCTGGTTCATCCAGACATTTAAAGCATGTGATGGTAGAACTGAGTGAGTGAGTTAGAGCAGCCCAAGTTCTAATGCTTTAACCAAATGAGAGCTCTGTGCCTAAGAAATACTTCAGTATTTTAACTCTCTATTTGAGGTCTCTGTGGCATAAAGTTGATCACCATGGCAAACAATTTCAATATGTTTCCCTGTATTTAGAAAAGAACATGAAATTTATTCACTATCGATTAGAAATCTGATCTATTCTATACATTTATTATAGAAGTCAATGGTCAGGTGCTCAAGTAATAGACTGAATGCTACAGATGCGGCAGACAGAGATTAAAGTTTAAAAATGCTTAAGTATTCCTTTAAGGTCTATGTAACCAAGAATTAAATGAGCCTTGGTGTGCTACTTTAAAACAATGAAAAACAGTGAAAAATCAAATTTACACCCCATATGTAATCGATCAGACAAGACATATCGTCACTCGATTTGTTTTCGTTAATCACATCCCTACTAAACTTCTTTTACCCACTCAAACTGCATCCAAGTCCACATTAAGGTCACTTGGGTTGGGTTGTCACTGTGGGTTAGTACACAGTATAACTCTCTGCCAACTATAAAATGAACAAAACTTCACTGTGTAGCCAAATGCAGTGGGCAGCTATTTTAAACGGGTGTTGTGCAAAATTCTGACTGCTCTTCTTATGTATGTCATGGGCATAAATGGGACACCACAGATTACTGAAGACAGTCTCAGCTGATGCTACATTTTGGGTAAGTAGAAAATTGTGTAAAGTATTTTTTGCCTAAACATTCCTTTAAAATGTGCATACATCAATTCAATGAAACAGGTATGATATACTGGTCAGGCAAACATCAGTAGCTGTTTCCTTCTGATCCTACTGGAAATTGACTGATGTTCTTTTTAAATAATCCTTAAATGAGAACTTCTTACAAGGAATGGTACTGTGTGTCCCCCTGCATTTTCTACAGCAAAGAGACACCAGTGAGATGATTCTTAAATGTGCCTTTGTTTATCCATTTCTTTTACTGATGTAGCAAGATGTGAGCCTCAGGGAGCCAAAATCTGTGTTAGGTCAATCCAGCTTCATGTTCAAAGAATGTCCAATGAATAACTTTCCAATGTCCAATAAGTGACTGATGTATTTCATCAAAATTCTTTCCATTATGTAAACTGGCCATTGTTCATCTTGAGTAAAGCTCGCACAAGCACAGCCCTCACTAATCACAAGGATGATGTGGCTTCTTAACACAGCACTCAATTTTAGTATAAAAAAGTGTTATATTTTACACTCTGTTCTTTGGGACTTTAAAGGAAGTTGACTTAGTGTTGACTGATTGCCAACTAGTGATACATTTACACAGGGACACCACTTGTGGACATAATGTTGGCATCAGTTGTGCTATATGTGTAAGTAAACAGTAGTTAAATATAGGTGTGTTTGAAAGATTAAAGTGTGGGTCTAAGTTCATCATTCTCATAAAACACCCTCACGTTGAAATCATTTGTTCAAATCAGAGTGACAAGTGTGCTGAATTACCAAAACAGCGGCGTCCACTTTCAGAGAGCACGAAGCCTGGTTTGCACACACACTCAAAGCTGCCCGGGTTGTTGAAGCAGGAGCCAAACAGACAGATGTTGGGGTCTTCCTCACACTCGTTCACATCTGGCAGGGTCAGAAAGTAGAGCAGCTAGCCATCACAACTAAAAGTAGAGCTATTTAGACTACTCTGTCACAGCAAAAAGTTCCCCTCTGCTCTTGGTGTAAACCGAGAGGGAGCAAAAAACACGAATATTTACATGACCTAGACACAGAGGCGGAGAAAGAGTCAACCAAATACGAACTGCAGGGAGAGGATGGATATGTCAGTGTTAAGAGTGGATGACCGAGAGCGCTGGAGAACGGCTTGCAAAGAAGCAAAAGGCATATAACACAAACATATCCAAACACATGGACACATCATGTGTTTTAAAGGATGGCCACTGCTTGTAGGTCACCAGCTTACATATTGTTTTTGTCTAATAAAAAACACATGCAACTTCATAGGAGAAGTGAAAAACATTCTTAACTTTAAGGTTAATATAATTTAATTCTAGCTGTTTTTCTAAATGATGTAAAAATAGTGGTGTTAAAGTTTACATGCTACTAATGCACAGAAGAAATAAAATGCTGTTTATGTATTCTCCTAGTTTGACCCTTCAAACCTACCATAGTAGTGCAGACTGAAGCCCATGTTGCTATGACAGACTCCACGACTGTAGCCCTCTTATACAAAAGTTGGCTGGTTGATGGCTGTCTTGATAAAAGTTATTGCCAGCTACTACTGCGCCATGAATTTCTTTATTACTGAAGTATGTCGAGACTGAAGCATCATTTACAAGGAAAACATGCGTCTGATGCCAGCAATGTCCATAAAATAAGTAACATTAGTACCGGCGGATGCCTTTGACAGATTATGTTGCACAGTGCTCAAGGGAGAATTATGAATAAATCAAATTAACAAAAGCATCAGTGGAGCAGTAGAAGTCTGCAGTTCCCTCACAACAAGGTGCAAAATATTGGTATGAGAGCGAGAGATCTACTATCGTGTAGGAACACGCGGCCACTGTTGGTCTCACTAGATTTCTAAATTGTTTTTTTACATTTTTTTGAATTTTTAGAAACAAATTTCTCTCATGTTGTAGAAAGTCACTAACTAATCCTGTACGAACAGTCCTATAATGGCACATACGCCCTCAATGTTTTAACGATGTCAAAAATGAAGCTGAGCTTTTGAAAATGACCTTATTTTCATGTTCACCCTGTGTTCACATGATCTTATGTCCAGGTTCAAGTTGGACTGAATTGTTGAAGGTAATAAACACATTCTGATGAGGCTTATTTTCATTCACTCATATACTGTAGTGAGAATAAAATACACTGCTTTAAAAGGACAAATCAAATTAGGGTCAAATTCCAGCAAACACTACAAATGTGATTGATTGTGATGAACCTTAGAAACATATGTGATTAGGCATGATCAAATTATTTCAATCACTTAACAAAAAGTTAAAAAGTAAAGAAATTTGTATATGATACAACGATAGGCCTAATAAAAGCCCATACATGGGGCAACGAAATAATGCTTCACTATATTAACGTAAGTACTATTCAGACAGGATTTTTTTTACACACAGAACATATGCAATGTTTATGACTGATTCACACAGGATAAGAAGTCGAGTTGCTACTGAATTTAAGCACTGCTTTCACTCCAAAAAAGGGTGGCAAACGTAAAATAATTATACATGCTTTATATATATTTGAGGTAGGAAAGAACATATTGGCTTGATTTGAGCCACAGAGAACAAAAGTGACGCTTATTTGAGTGTCTCCATATTTCTCTCCTTTTTGGAAAAAAATATAAGCATTTTTACCGAAATGTCAATTCAATAGGGATTAATATAACCTATGATTAATTCTATGGCTTGCTTCATAGTAGGTAAACAGTGCCAGAACATTTACTGTTGTGGGTGCACACAGTTCATACAAATGACCAACATGGCAGATTCAGATGGGAATCAAATCACCAAGAAAATCTGGTAAAAATGACTAACTAATCCTGTATGAATAGTTATATAATTGCACATACGCCCTCAATGTTTGAATGATGTCAAAAATGGAATGTAAGCAGAGAAGCAGAAAATCCAACCAACTTCTAAGACTTTGAACTTTGAACTTTGGAGCTGTGGAATAAAACCCCCGCAGATTTCTTTAAGAAACCTAAGTCTTAAAAAAACCAATGGAAGCGATAGTAAAGGCACTTACCCCATGTCCCCATGCAAAACTCATCTTGTACAAACAGCACTATACTGGCACATCCTTCTACCCTCAACATTTGAATGTCATCGAAAATATAATGGAAATCAACAAAGATCCTTTCTGATTCACTTGCACTGATCAAACCTAATCTTAATGAACAAATTCAACAAATGTGCTGAAACGTCCGTACAAAATGAAACTTGGAACGCTACGTTGGAAACATCTTGTTAAAAGTAAACACTGTAGTTTCAGATCTGAAACGAGTGCTGGAGGACTTTTGTACGTTTGTGTCATGTTGGCTGGACATTACAGGCAACGAAAAGTGGGACACATACCTACACAATGATCATTCTGCACAGTATAACCCTGCGGACAGAGGCAGCGAAAGGAGCCATCCAAGTTCTGGCATGTTCCAGGAGCACACGTTCCAGGTAGGATTAAACACTCATTCACATCTGGAGCCATCAAAGATGAGAGAGAGTTATTTTGAGACGTCTAAATACTGATGAAAAGTTAAGAAAATTATAAAACAATGGAAAAAATTGACAAAAACCATACCTATGCAGTTCTTCCCATCAAGGGCAAGCTCATAACCATCCTCACACAGGCACTGGAAGGAGCCAGCAGTGTTGATGCAATGGCCATTTCTGCACAGCTGACCATACGGACCTGAACACTCATCAATATCTGCCGACAGCCAGCAGCACAAATCATCAGCACATGTCCATTTTGGTAATATAGACCACTTAACATACCTCAGACAATCAGACAATTAAAGTGGGGAGAGACCACTTTTCATTTATTTAATTTCTAGTCAAAACAAATAATAAGTACAAGTGAGTTTTTTAAGAGACATTTCTGAGTTTCCAAAACCAGCGTACAAGTTATAGATGAAATGGGACTTCAAACAACCATGCAAGACCTGGTAGACCACCAAAACTGTCACCACGAGATAAACAGTACTTAAAGCTTTCATGTTTAAAAGAGAAAATCAAGCTCCACTCTTGCTTCACATCTCAAAAAAAATCCACAGATATTTCTGTCCATCCTTCCACTGTGAGAAGACAACTCAACACTATGAGTCTGAAAGGATGTGTAGCTGTCAAGAAGCCTTCACTGAGAAAAGAAAATAGACAAAAATGATAACATTTGCTCTAGAACACCAAAAATGGGCATCTGAGATTCGACTGACTGGACTGATAAGTGTAAATTTGTGTTTGGGATTAAATGAATCATGAGAAGCAGAACATGTAACTGACTTCTCTGTAGAACAGAAAGCAAGTCTGAAAAGAACTGAAGCTGAAATTAAGGCAGTTAAGGCATGGATGCACTAAATAACTGTACTTGATGACTGTTTTGACAGGAAATGAAATAACAGAAGGGTGGTCTCTGACTTCTGCACAGTACTGTACGTGTCTGTTTAGTTTACCTTTTTTACAAGACAATAACAACTTGTATCTGCTGTAAATGATCACATGATAGCATTCAAAAAGGAAAGAATTTGCATACTGAACTACTGAACTCAACTTCTGCAGAAAATATTTCTGTGGTGAACATTTTGATTCACTCTTGGAGAGGTGTATGTGTGGACAGCTTCCATGTTTTGACATGAAACATATTTCTTTTCTGCCAAACACTGACAGTGGAATGGGTGTGTATATATATATATATATATATATATATATATATATATATATATATATATATATATATATATATTGTATAAAATATATATATATGTTGTATAAAATCGAGGCACTTAATTTAACCTAGTGGCCTGAGTCTACTTGCACCAGAATCAATGCAGTAATAGGTAGTCTTACCTGTGCATTGGTTATTAAGCGTGAGCTCAAAGCCAGGGAAGCAGAGACAGTTGTAGGACCCCACAGTGTTTTTACATGTGCCGTTCCTACAGGGCTGACGTACACACTCATCAATGTCTGCAGAGGGGAAACATATTACTTGAGCCTTCATCAGATGTAATCAATTATGAGCTAACAGTGAGAAGGTTAAATACTTGCAAGATAGACTTTTTTGGGATAATATCAAGTGAAGCTCTATAATGTGTGCATCATTTTGCATTTTTATACACATTAACCAATTCATTTAATTTATTACCATTTAAACAATCTACATTCATTTAATGTTTTCTTAAAAACTAGAAAATAAGTTTACATAGATCCAAGTCAAATCCAAGTAAGTCACCCTCCAAACAGAGTATTGACATTACCCATGCACATCTTGCGGTTGGGAGTTGCCTTGAAACCGGAGTGGCAGGTACACATGTAGCCTCCTTGGATGTCCACACACTTGCCGTGACTGCAGAGGTTGGGGTTTTCCAAACACTCATTGCGGTCTGCCCATCAGCGTTTATTTGTATGTGTGTGTTGGGAGAGAAAGTAAGACAAAAGTTGCCAAAGAACACACCAGCGGGCGACACTGAGAAAACAAGTTGTTGGCATGACCGCAGCGGCTCTGGTATGAGAGACTAGCCACAAAGTCTGCACACTCACAGAAATGAAAATGCTTTTACTGAACTACAGGACATGCTGTTAGTTAGAGGACGACACTCTACCTTATGTATTTTGATATTTATACTTTGTTGCACTTCAGTTCTTCTCTCATAGCTACATAACTCACACATAAGTTTCATAGTAGTAGCTTTAAAATTATTAACTGAGCTACAATAATTCATAGCAGTTACATGCTGTGAGTGACTTGATGTGCATCATGAAAACTTCTTCAAGCATAGTAATGGCTGCATTTAAACAACAGTAGGAGCAGGTCATTAGTCCTGAGTTTGGCTCACCTATACATGCTCCGATGGGTGAGAGCTTGAAGCCTGCTGAGCACTCACAGCGATAACTGCCTGGACTGTTGATGCAGTCTGCATTCCTCTGGCATAAGATCTCTGAACTGCTACACTCATCGATGTCTGCAGTACGCACGTTTGTGCACATGCATACACACACACACACACACACACACACACGCATACACACACACACACATGCACACACACACATGCACACACACACACACACACACAAACACACACACACACAAACACACAAAAAACATTTCATTTACACTACAGTACAACAGGGGAGAGCAATTCAAAATAATGCAGTACATAATGCTTAAAAACATTCCACTTTTCTCAAAAATAGAAGCCTGATATAAGAAAACATGCTGTTTTGCATGCTTTACTGGTCTCTAATGAGCCTCTGCAGTGGTTACTCTTGCAGTTTAATTCCTCTTCCTTTGGCTGGATCCACCCCATTCCCCACTAAAGAGCTGTAATTGTTTTGTGTTGGGCTGTGGGAGAGACCCCACAGCCATACAGCTTTCCTTTCGAGCCCTAAGCAGGGACTCCTGCATATTATCTGGAGACACTTGAAAGGGGAAACTGGTGGTGTTCCATACCATCCCGGTCAAGGAGCAACCACACAGTGCCCGCTAGAGGATATTGGGTTGCGGCCCTGCGAGCAAAAGCTAAATGCGGATCGACAGTGCATGTGGTGCTGTCTGAGTTGGCAGATTGGGAAAAACACAAACAGACAGTGAGCTAATATTTGGAGAAGAGTGAAAAAGGGCTAAAAGGACTGTTGCCTTTCTTTATAACCACTAACCACTAACCCACACCATTATGAAGTTACAGCCTATCACACAGAGACTACAAACTCTATACTGAGGTTTATGTAGAACAGATGCAAAGCGACAGCTGGCTATTGACTACAGATGCATTTGATAAATATCAATCAACACAATCAGAACTACAGTTTCAAGATTCAGACATTTATGAGTGTTTTACATCTTGAAACATCTTGTCTCATTTGTGAACAAAATAAATATATATATAATTTTACTGCAAGACAGTGCAGCTTCAATTTGCTGTAAATGGAGCCTTTTGATTTGAAATCATTACAGTAACAACATCTTGAACAATAACTTCAAAGCATCCCTTAAAAGGTTATGTGGGGCTACAAACCTTCACATATGAGAAGCACATCATTGTAGCTGAACCCTCTTGGACATTCACAGCGAAAGCTTCCAATCTGGTTAATGCACACACCACTGGCACAGATGCCTGGGATCTCCCGACATTCATCAATATCTGAAGACAAGACAAACAATTAAACTTCCTAAAATACCTGTTTACTATGACACTGTCACAGAATATTGATGGTACATTCCATAAAAAGGTTTTGTCTTACCCACTGGCTTTCCGGTTTCAATGTCAATCTCAAACCCAGGTACAATATTTCCACAAAGAGTGCGAAAACCCTCTAAGGACAAAACAGACAGAGTTTTATTGAAATGAGTGTGCCTATATGTGTCTGTATTACAATATCTGCCACTCTGGACTCACCAGTGCCCGGTCTAGGGCACGCCTGGCAGGGTTTGTTCCAGGCTTTGCCCATGTTGTATGCACAGCAGCAGATCCGGTGTGTGATGTTGAAGGTCAACTCATTCTCACACGTGGTGCCGTTGTAGTTGCGAAAGCACAGGCTTTTCCTCATGTCTAAGAAAACACAACAACAGGAACTTATGTACTCAGATAAGGAAGATACAAAAGCCCAAACGTCATCAAGAAATGTGAAGCCAAGCAGCAATTACAAGGGCCAAAACCTTATGTCAGCAAAGTTGTCATGTTATATTGAAAATACTAAACACTACTGAGAAACTGGTTGTCAGCTGTAGAATATAGCACTGATGTGTGGAGCAGCTGCTGGACCATAAAATGCCAGACCATAAAAATGCAACTTTTTCAACTCAATACAAAAAAGAAATGTATTTTCCACATACCCATGCAGTTATTGCCTCCATTAACTTGCATATACTCCTGAGGACAAACACAAGTGTAGTTGCCCAGTGTGTTGTAGCATGTCCCTGGACCACAAATCCCAGGATTCACCACACACTCATCAATATCTGAAACAACAAATATACCGGTGTGAACTTCTCTTATCGTCTTCATCTCTCTACACAATTCAGCATCATAATGTAAATAGTGGCTTAATATAGTTTTATCTATTGTGGATTTTTTTGTGTCAAGCAGCCAACCAAATCTGCTTGTTGATAACTAAAATCAAGTCTACGCCAGTTAGCCACTTAACCAGTTAACCACTTAACCAGTTAATGGTATCAAATCATGAACATATGCCAGCCACAGCCACACAACTCATTACAGACCAATGTTCAATGCACAAACCTTGTAATTTGCTTTGTAAATAGCTTTTTTTTTACCTAATCATCACTGCATGCAAAAGGATAATAATAATAATAATAATAATAATAATAATAACTGTTAATTTACATAAGTAATTAAATATAAGTAAACAATGTTTAAGTAAAAACAATAATCCCCTATGGAATTCTCTGTTATGTTAGCATGTTAGCACCAAGCCTGCCGTGGTGTATCACATTGTATTTATTCTACGCTCTGGTTCTGGTTTAAACTTGGATATTCAGATAACATTAACCCTTGTGTGGTGTTGGGGTCTGTGGGACCCTGTTTCAATGTTTACCAAAAGATAAAATGATGTGAATTATTATTTTTTCAGCCTCAGATTCCTTGCCCTTTGCTCATTTTCAGTATAGAACATATAAAATAACACATTTTCAATGACTTCACACTGTACAGCCCTACACATTTATATTACACATGTGGTGTTGGGGTGAACCCACGGGGAATAAAGGTGTGGAGGTGCTGTTTCCTTTCATTCTGTTCTCCTCCTATATGGTCTGCTGTTAGTGTGTGTGTGTGTGTGTGTGTGTGAGGGTGGACAACATGGACAGGCTACTGACTGGCTACAGCTGCTAAAGGAGAACCCTACGCTGGACACTTACATTTTATATGTTTTTTTTTGTTATATGTTATTTTTATATGATATTTTAAACATCTGGTATTTTTACATAAATTGTTATGGCTGTATTGATTTATAACAACAATAATGTGGCAGGTCCACCAGACCACTGAGTAACAAACACATCAACACCACACAATGGTTACATTTTACAGTGACTCCTTTAGTAAACACAAAGAATTAAGCTCATCTCCTAACTTTTTTTGGAGAACTCTGCTACTCTAATGAGAGCAGAAAGCATTCTATTTACAGTGCAGACAAAGTTACAGAGAGCCCAGTGACGGTACCCAGAAGTCTGAAAAGGTATGAGTATGAAAAGACTAATTTGGGAAACCAGTGTTTAAAAATACTCCAGTTTGCCTGGGACATAATTAAGTAACACAACATAACCACAAATAGCATAATGTCTGATTTGACCAGAGGAAGTGCAGTACATTATCCCATAGAGCTAACAGACTGGAAAATGGGGGAGGACAAAATAATGTCAAAATAATAATCAAGGAATTCATGCAGAACACATATTATGAACTGCTGTTTCATATGAATGCACATGAATATTAAATGTTACAAATAGTTAATATTAGGACAGGGCAGTGTGGAGGTCATGTTGGTGTTTGGTCATTAGGCTCAGCTTTTAAAGAAATGTGAACAAGAGGCTGATCTGGGATCTGTCCTTAAGTTTGGATTTGAAAACCGCACACATAATTATTGCTTTTTTTGGCAGTCAACAGCTGAATTACATGCAAAAAAAGCATTTCCCAGTTTCCACTTTGAGACCATACTGATCGTAGTGCTCCTCTGCTAATTAACATAAATAACACTGACAAATATCCTGCTACGCCAGAACAATTTGGTAATGGTGTACTTTACCACATGCTTAGTCCTTTGGGCCAGTTTGGATGAATATAAACCCAAATGAAAGTTTGCACAAATAGTTCAATACTTAATTGTTGTGGTGCCCGGCTGTCTTCTCCCTACACACTTGAGTGCCGCATACTCACTCACCCTCACAGATGCGGCTGTCTGCGTTGAGGTAGTAGCCAGCTGGGCAGTCACACTGGAAGCTGCCAAAGGTGTTGACACAGTTTCCACCCTGGCACAAGCCAGGAAGCTCCTGGCACTCATCGATGTCTGAGAAGAAAAGGAGACAGATCAACATCCTTCAGACCCTGCAGACATGCATGCCAACAACGCAAAACAAGAGTGCAAAAGGACACTTCAGGCTTGTTCAGACATTCCAAATGTGAAGTCCCAGAATCTAGTATTACTCATGTTACTAACACCTATTTTTTTCCTCTGTTGTTTAAACATTAATGTTTTTTGCACACAACAGGGGATGGTAATGCTACACAGCATTCCACATCTGCAAACAAATCTGCATTTAGGCAATATTAACAGTAAATGTGTTACCGATACTACTGACACTGTGACAATCCAATACAACCAAGTCAAACCAAGCATGCAAAAGATCTACACAAGCAATGTGGACTCTAACTTGGTGGAATCAAACTTCTGTGGAATTTTAGTATTTAAAGGTCACCTTCCAGTATGATCGTAATTGGGTTGGGCCTGAATCCCTCTCCTCCAGGGCACAGTGTGTTATAGTCCGCTGTAAACACAAGATTTTTGAAATCAATACAGGCTGGGTTTAAATACATCTTAGCATTACTGAAAGTTCCTGTTTAAAGGAAAATAATTTGTTTAACACACTTTACATTCAAATGTAGTATAGTATAGTATAGTATAGTATAGTATAGTCAAATGCAAAAGCTTAAATGGCCAGGTCAAATTACATGTTGATTTTCTGAAAATAAGTCAAAATATGGTAACACGTCCTTTACAGGGAACAAATTTGAATATTAATTTATTTTGGAGCAAATTTTCTGTTTGTTTTTTTATTTTGCCTTTGTCTTTGCCTTTGTTTTTTTATTTTTATTCTTTCCCAATATGTTTAATTCAGCAGAAAGTAGTAACTGTGCATTAAAATGTGCAATTCTCTTTGTTCTTTGTAGAGGATGTGCACTTGCTTTCACTTAGAAAACTTTAGAAGACTGTATGTAATTAGAGGATATTTTAAGCAAACATTGAAACATAACAAGACTGGTCAGTGAAGTCTGGCTTATCCCTTAGATGTCATTATGACTGACATGCTGCTTTTATTTCACACATTTCTTACACTTAGCTCATTCGGACAAGCTGATAATTCTGTAGAAAGTACAGATTCTTAACTTTTAATTGATACCACGGTTTTGTTTGTAAGTAGAAAAGGGAATATTTGTAATACTGTCTTATTTTGTGGACAAGAAAATCATCCTTTACAGTTTTGCCATGTTTTTTCTTTGTTTGAAATTTTCACAGAAAAAAAGGTGGAAATGCACACTTGTTGATGCACAATGTAAGTCAAATTCTAATGTAATTTAACACATAATTAGCAATGTAAATAATTTTGTAATGCTGTTAATATATTTGAACAACACAGAAAAACTAAGTGTTAAAAGTTGACTGATAGAATAGGGGTAAATGAGGGCATCTCACATGTGTTGACAGGTGGGCAGGGTTCACAAGGATTTCCCCATGCTCGGCCAAGAGAGCAGCAGCAGGAGGAACGACTGACCCCAACGCCAACCTCCACACTGCAGGCCTGGCTACCACGGCCACGGGTCACCACCTCCAGGAAACAGCTCCCCACACGCGGGTCTGAGACAGGAATTCAGAAAAAGCAAAGCAAAACTGAGGCAGAAGGCCTTTATAAACATGCCTTACAATTTCTACACCATCTAGATCCAATAAAAACAACACACATTAAATATTATACGCACCAACACAACCAACTCCAGTTGGATTGAGTTCAAAGTCTGTCGGGCAGTTACATTCATAAGAGCCCGGTGTATTCACACAGTGACCGTTGACACAGTTTATTGGGTCCAAGCATTCGTCAACATCTACAGAGAAACACAGACAGAGAACAGCGTAATGAAACAACCCAAGAGACAGAAAGAAGAGTGTATAATGGAGAGATATGGTACTGTACAAAAGTCAGAGACCACTCTTTCATTTATTTAATTGCCAGTTATCCATTTTTCAGCATCAGGAAATAAAGCAGAAAATCTTCATTTACCAGAAAATTACACAGAAGCCTCGACAACTAAATATATTGTTTCTGTATTTAGTTTGTTCTGCTTTCAATGTCATTTTGAAAGAAATCTGCAGGGATATGTTTCTACACTTCTAAAGTTCAGTCTTAGAAGCGGGTTGTATTTTCTCCCTCTCACAAGCCAAATCCCAAATCCCAAAAACAAATTTTGACTCATCAGTCCATAAAACACATTCAGTGATGTTGAGGTCTGGACTCCACCAGCAGCTTCTTTGTTTCATTTGCAAATTTTCTTCTTTTTGCCCATTTCTTTTTCTTAGTAGTTGTCTTCTCTACTACTTGTCTTCTCACAGTGAAAGGATGAACAGAGGCACCTGTAGATTTTTTTCAGATGTGAAGCAAGAGTGGTGCTTCACTCTCAAAGGTGAAAGCCTTAAGTACTCTTCATCTCATGGTGACAGTTTTGGTGGTCTGCAGTTGTTAGGAGTCCAATTTACCCAATAGCTTTTAATAATTTTTGAACTCTAGATTTGGAAACTAGTTTTGGAAACTCTTGTTTTTTCACTTATTTTATTGACTTTTACTTTCCTTATGCATATGGATTACATCGAATCTCCTCAGAAATATCTCTTGGAAAATGAACAGATGTACTCAATGGCTGTTAAATCGAAAAGGAAATAAATGAAGGGTGGTCTCTTACTCTTGCACAGTGCTGTATGTGAAGAGTGTATGTGTGTATGCGTTAAAGTAACACACATACCTGTGCAGTTGCCCCCTGTTCTGGTCAGCTCATAGCCCTCGTCACAAATGCAGCGGAACATTCCAGGAAGGTTTTTACATAAACCAAACAGACAGACGTCCGGGCTGGAGCACTCATCAACATCTGCAACACATGACAGATTTGCATTAATTAATACTTTTTTTAAAAATGTATATATTTAGTTCTTTTAAAGTTTCCTACTTGTGTTGATTTTTAAACTTATGGACAGTGAATCTAAATTTTGAGTGGATGAAGTCCAATATTATCCTAGATAGAAACCAATGTTTTTTGTGAAAGAAATTAAGAGTAAATTCCTGGAGGTAGTAGAGGTGCTTGTGTGTAGAAGGGATCACCTTGGCAGGCTCTGCTATCAGGGGCAGGAATGAAGCCCATCTCACACTCACAGCGGTAGCCTCCTGGGATGTTCAGACACTGGCCATTTTCACACAGCTGAGCATTTTCAGCACACTCATCTATGTCTGCATGAAATTTCAGAGATGACAAGTTAATTCAGCAATGTAGTCAGTTCTTCATGTCTTTTCTTTATGTCTTTGACTTATTAGTATTTTTTATTATCAAAATAGTAATAAAGAAATAGTATTAACATTTCTAACTCTGAGAAACAATACTCATAGTTTTACCCCTGTGTATGTTCTTTTGTTCGGCTTACCTGAGCAGGTGAAACCATCTCCTTTGAAGCCCTCTAAGCAGGCACAGCGGAAAGAGCCTGGTGTGTTCAAGCATTTAGCATCGGGGCTACACTGGTGGGTACCATTGGTGCACTCGTCCAGGTCTAGGAGAGAAAAAACATGTCAGGTTAGATACCTGCAGGTGAAAAAACACATCCTCTGCAGAGAACAAACTTACATAAGAAATTTTCTGCAAATTTATACAATTTCTATTTATTTACTGAGCTTAACATATAGGAAAAATACAACATAAAATATGGAATGTAATTTGACATGAAGTGTAATCTGACATGGGTGCCCAAATTTTTGCATAAGACTGTAATGCTTCTTCAATTATTCAAGATTTTTTCATCAACATGATACTACGACAACGGTGCATTTTAAAGCCACATTAATGCATCTGCAATTTCTAGAGAAGAGTTTGGAGTTCATAGAGTAAACATGCTCTACAAATCAACAGATTCTGCCTCAAAAGTCTATTTTGCCCTCTCTCTACATACATTGTTTATATTTTTTAAATAAAAGTTGTGGAACCTCAGTATGTGCAGTCCCATAGAAATCGCTGAGAATTTAATTCTTGGTTGAAACTGCAATAGAGTTGATACAGGTAATGCTTACCAACACATTTCACTCCGTTGCCTATCCATCCCTCTCTGCAGGAGCAGCGGAAGCTTCCAGGGGTGTTGGCACAAATGGCATGCATGTCACAGTTGTGGGCATCAATCTTGCACTCATCAACATCTATCAAAAACATGCATGATTTATCTGTCAGAAATCATGATTATGCCTCAAACATTTACTAATGTACAGTATGGCTCATTATCTTCCAGTGTACACTAGGATTTGATTTCTGTATTTAGCAGTTTTTTATTTATTTCCTGCCAACAGTAGAAAAAATTTCATCAATCAACAGAAGCCAAATATTATATATCTGTGAGAATCAATCTTACATTCATGAACACCTATCAAAAATAAACGTGATTTTTTAAGCATGGTTTATTATTTCCTAATAAAGCAAAGGCTTTCATGTAATGTAAGAGTATAATACAAATCTCAATTCCAGGACAAGATATTACAACACTGTAAATATCTGAAACTGATGCCTGCAACACATTCCAAACAGGAACACTGTAAAATATAAAAAAAAAAAAACTTTAAATATGATGAAATCATGCTTGAGTATAAACAGAGCATCCAGGAAATGGCTAGTCCTTTATAAGCAAGGATGGGTTGAGGCTCTCCACTTCGCCAAAGAATGTATCTGCCACGTTGTCAGTAACGTTATTCATTGAGGAACTGCAAGGATTTTACGTATTTCACCCTCTACGGGCATAATATCATCAAAACTCTCACAGTAATGGTTATTTCTTTCTGGAGTTTTATGCTTTATGTTCTGTTTTATCTGTTTCATCACTTATGCTGTCTCAAACGTGCCCCACATGTATCTCACCTGTACGTAACTTCAAATTATGTTACACATTAGTTATTCTCACAGACTTAGACTTGTCATATCTCACCTGTGCAGCCAGAAGAGCCTTTCTTCACCGAGTATCCGACGGCACAGTGGCAGATGAAGGAACCCTTGGTGTTCTCACACTCTCCAAAGATGCAGATGTTGGCATTGAGCTCACACTCATTCACATCTGGAAGAATCACACAAGCATGCAGTGATCCTCTTCCAAGCCCCAAGTCAAGACACTCAGCAGAAAAAATGAAGCCCTGGCTAAGTATGGCTGACAGATGCTGAAGAGAGCGACTGCTGATCTCGAGTCAGTTTATTTCAATCTGATGACAGTCTTGATGGGAGGAATGTACAGTAGGACAGTAGGAGGTGAGGCTGAATTTAGATTTTTTAGAGGACGCAGAAGGGATGCCAGTGTAATGGGCACATAAATAAAGTCTAGATCAGAGATCTTCAACTGTGGATCTTGACACCAGTTTCCAGTCCTGGACTCTGTCATCACTGGTTGTAAATTCAATTGTTGAAGTAACTGTCACCTAGTATCACACCTACCACTGATTACTGGATTAAAGGTCTAGAATTGAAAACATCTGGGCTAGATTGTTTTTATTTGTGGTTAGATTCATTGTACAGGACAATTATTTGAGAATTAAGAAAGAAAACCTACCCTGCATGTGTTTTTTTATGTGTAGACTTTATATGATGGACTCTGTGTGCACACTGTCATGTGTTTTTCATCTACCGTTACTCCCAACTTTTCTTCTGGGGGTCAATGAAGTACTTCCTTTCTTTTCTTTACTTTCTTTGCCTACATATACTCTTTTACTTCATTATGTCATTCAGACGAAGACAAAACATTTCAAATGCTTTCAAACCCAATATGACATTTACCTATACATGTTTTTGTGTCCACGGAAGACATAAATCCATCAAAGCAAAGGCAGTGGTACTCTCCGGGGACGTTAGTGCACTGACCACCATCACAAATATCAGGCTCTTCCTCACATTCATCCACATCTGGAGAGAGAGAAAGAGAGAGAGACAGAAGGAAAGACACAGAGAGAAAGCAACAGCTGTTCAGCAGCTCCTTACCGTTCCATCATTAAATTCACATCCATGTTTAAACTTTTGTTTGAAGTGTGTGTGTGTGTGTGTGTGTGTGTGTGTGTGTGTGTTACCTGCATACATTCCAGAATGTACCTACTTCAACCTTTAACATTCTCCTATCATGACTCACATGCTATGAATACCTGTAGTTATGGCACCGTCACTCATGCTGATGTGTTCAGGGAGCAGAGACAGTGGACATTTAGAGAACAGAATAGTCGCTTCTGGCTGTGTGTGGAGTGTGGACAGTCATGGTCTGTGGCAGTGGCCCTCAACCTTAACCTCCTCCATGTCTTCCCTGGTCTAGCACACCTGTGTAACCTTTTGATTAGCCTAATAATTAGAGATGGCAAAATGCCACTTCTTCTTTTCCAATACTGATGCGATACTGGTAAACAAAATTGGGGATAATAGGGTAGAAAATAACCATGAACTGTTTCTACTGACTAATTTTGGGGTTTTCAAGCATTAGTAATTTATAATTTCAATAAAGCATATGTGGCTATGTTTTGTTCACAGCAAAGGTAGGCAGAGTAGTGGCATGCCTTTAAATAACATTTACTGTGAAGTTTACTTAAAAGGACTACTTGTTTTGTTTTTTTACTTTCAATTTGTATGAGTTTTAGAGAGTAATGCAGAAAAGTAATGAATAATGAGATTACTTTTAGGTCATCAAAACCATTGTAAGAATCAGGTCATGTTAATTCATGTGGATAAATAAGGGCAGGAAACTTAGGATCACTGAGCTAATAAACAGCTTGTCAGCTCATACTGAGCTCCGCTGGTTTAATCCAATAGAGATTATTTGAAGCTTGAGGAGTTTCAAAGGAGGAGACACATTCTCTTCTTCAAAATAGTAGCCTTTCACTTTTAGGTGAAGATCATACCAAAGTTGATGGCTCAGTCTAAAGTACAAAGCTGTTATCAGAAACACTGATGAACACTGCACACTCTTAGTAAAAGGGGTTCTACATAATACAAAAATGTTCCATTACTTGTAATAAGAGCAGAACCCTTTCGTTGCTAGACAGAATTATTTTCTATTTCTTTAAAATATCATATACATATTTTCTATTATAGTGAGGAACTATTTACCTACGCAAAGAACTATTTATGTAGTTAAATCTCTCTTTAAGTGTTCATTTATTTGATTTCCAGTCAAAATGGCCCTTAAGAAAGTTATCCATTCGGTCATTCATTTCTCACTGAAAAAAAAGGAAATTTTTAACAGAAAATGAAACAGAAGCCTCAACGACTAAATACATTCACATCAAATTTATATCAAAATTTTCTGTGTCCACTTTTGCCTTTATTACAGCTTCCATTCTTTTCAGTTTTCAGTTCAAAGAAATCTGCAGAGATGTTTTTCAAGCATTAGTAATTTATAATTTCAATAAAGCATATGTGGCTTTTGTTGTTTTGTTGTTTTGTTCAGAGCAAAGGTAGGCAGAGTAGTGACATGCCTTTAAATACCATTTACTGGGAAGTTTACTTAAAAGGACTACTCATTTTGTTTTTATACTTCCAATTTGGTACAGATTTGTATGGGTTTTAGAGTGTAATGCAGAACAGTAATGAAAAATGAGATTACTTTTTGCAGGAAATAGTAAGTAAAATAATCCCATTACAGTTTGAAAGAAGTAATTCACATCCTACTTTTACTTTTTTTCGAGCAACTATGCAACGCTGTCGGCCAACACAGATACCATCGGATATTTTGCATTAAAACTACTAAGCTTTAAAAGGAGCAAACTGAAGCATTTCACTTAAGATGAGCATCTAAAGTAAGCTATCATAATCAAACTACTCAAACACTCCACCATGTAGTTTTGTTGTCTATGCAAATTGGATAGAAGACTTGGTTTTGATTAGTTGATTTAGATTTTATCAACTACATTTACTCCTAATATGTGCATCTAAATGACCTTGGTCAACTGACCTGCATATTGCTCCCTATAAAGCTCTTATCTACTGTAATATCATTGTAAATGCAAAGTGATTTTGCGAGCCATTCCAGAACATACTTTAATCCTGCTTACGTAGTCTTAGCTATGCCATGCTCTTAGGTGGGAGATTTTGAGTCAGAGGTGTGGCTAGAACTTGAGAGTGTCTGCCACTGAATCACATTATCTATGTTACTTACAACAGCCAACATAGGAGATTCATGCTTTGAACAGGTTGACAAAGATACCTTTTATTTTGTGTGCTTATAGCTGGGAAATTGAGTTATGAATCATATTAGCAACATTCAATTCTATCCTGGGGGTCTTTCCTGCATCCAGATAAAGTCCACAGACAGTCTTAGAATGGCATGAGTTTGCTATGCATTTTGGGCATATGTGTTTTTTTATATATGTAAGTAGGATAACAAACTGTAAATTTCAACGACATATACTGTGGATTTTCGTTGAATCCAGAGTGCTTTTTGTATGTTTCATAACTGCTTTCATTGAAATAATGACTCTGGGTTTTAGCACCACATTCAGAGAGATGTCTTTTTGTCTCTGTAGGAGTTTCCTTGCATGTATTTGTATCATTGTACCAACTAACATATGAAATTACAGCCTTTCAGTTCCCATTAAAGCAATACAGGCACTGTGGTGCATTACCTGTGCAGGTTCTCTGATCTGGCATTAGTGCATAGCCTTGTCCACAGCTGCACGTGTAGCTGCCCACAGAGTTAGTGCAGAGTCGATCACAGCCTCCGTTCTCAATGGTGCACTCGTCTATGTCTGAAACACATGACAGATGGCAGGACCAAAATCCTGATTACTGAATCTGTAGTAGTTTATGATGCTGCAATTCTTTAATAGTTTGTTTATTAATTCAGTGGGTAGTTAAACAGTATAAGACACATTCTATACACATAGATACAAAGGACATACATGTGGAAGAGTAATAAGTAAGTATTACACATAATAAGTAGGTATACAAATAATGGGAGGAGAGGTGAGACAGTTTGAAGCTGCATTTCTTAATCAATACTATACAAATGCTACAGAAGAACACAACAACTTCTAAATGATTGATAAATCCTAAAATTTACAACAGTATAAACAACACTTATTCATATTCAACAAAATGCCAATACTTCAATAGCTGTTGAGTTCCGAGTGTGCTTGAGTGTAGAGGCTTTACCTGTACATCCTTTTCTGTCAGGGGTCGACTGGTATCCAGAGAAACAGGAGCAGTGATAAGTGCCAGCCACATTTACACACTCGCCATTCTTACACAGAGTGGCACTCAACTCACACTCGTTCACATCTGTAACACACACACACATACAGACACTTATTACATATACACATACCTAGAGATCATCAAAACCATTGTAAGAATCAGGTCATGTTAATTCATGTGGATAAATAAGGGAAGGAAACTTAGGACTTAAGGATCACTGAGCTAATAAACAGCTTGTCAGCTCATACTGAGCTCCACTGGCTTAATCCAATAGAGATTATTTGAAGCTTGAGGAGTTTCAAAGGAGGAGACACATTCTCTTCTTTAAAATAGTAGCCTTTCACTTTTAGGTGAAGATCATACCAAAGTTGATGGCTCAGTCTAAAGTACAAAGCTGTTATCAGAAACACTAATGAACACTGATACACTCTTAGTAAAAGGGGTCCTACATAATACAAAAATGTTCCATTACTTGTAATAAGAGCAGTACCCTTTTGGTGCTAGACAGAATCATTTTCTATTTCTTTCAAATATCATAAAATATCATATACACACCGCAACCCTGAAGGATAAGCGGTTTAGATGATGGATGGATGGATGGATCATATACACATTTTCTATCATAGTGAGGAACAATTTACCTACACAAAGAGCTATTTATGTATTCAAATTTCTCTTAAAGCGTTCATGGTTCTACAGTGCTCTGCAAAAGTCAGTGACCACCCTTCATTTATTTAATTTCCAGTCAAAATGGCCATTAAGAAAGTTACATATTCAGTCATTAATTTCTCACCTTTCTCAGGAAAAAAAATATTTAACAGACAATGAAACAAATTTATATCCAAATTTTCTGTGTCCACTTTTGCCTTTGCCTTTATTACATCTTTCATTCTTTTTGAGAGATTTGCTTTCAATTCAAAAGAAAATCAGGGATGTTTTTCAACACCTCCAAAGTTTAGTCTTAGAAGTTGGTTGTATTTTCTACTTTTCATGATTCAAGTAATTCTAAAGAAATTCAATCATGCTGAGGTCTGGACTTGGGGCGGACAGACCACTGTTCTGAGAACATCAGCAGCTTCCTTACATCCTTCAGACACATAGCGTAGAACTGCTTTTTCATAGTAGATTGCTGGACAGAAACACCTGTGAATTTTCTCTTATCTCTCACAGATCAAAGCTTTACGTACTGTTTAACTGATGTTGACCATTTTGGTAGACAACCATGGTTATTAGGAGTTCCAATTCCTCTACATATTTTAATAATTTTTTAAACTCCAGTTTTGGAAACTCCTGTTTTTTCACTTACTTTTCTTTGCAATACCCCTTTCCTATATAAGTGAATTTTCTTACATCTAATCTCCTCAGAAATATCTCCTGAAAAATGACCTTTGCATAGTACTTTATGTATTCAGAGCACAGTGTAGGTGCGTGTTTGTTCATGTTCCCACCTTCACAAGCATCTCCATCAGTGGATAACTGGTGGCCAGGTGGGCACAAACACTGGTAACTCCCTTCTGTGTTCTCACAGGAGCCTCCTCGACACAGTCCAGGGTTCCGCTCACACTCATCAATATCTGCAACACGTATACACACACACACACACACACACACACACACACACACACACACACACACACACAGTAAAAGTACTTGGCAACCTCAGCTAATACAACTACTACAGATTTACACAGTTACTCATTATAACTCACAGCTGTACAGACTAACAATAAATAACACGTGAGTTAGTCTCTTTATATTTACTTTTAATGCTGGTGGAGCGTCAGTGAGTGTGCTGGAATGATAAAGCGAGGTTTGGCACTCACCCATACAGTTCTTCATCATCATGAAACCACTCTCATAACCTGGCAAGCAGTCACACTCAAAACTGCCTGGCGTGTTCACACATGTCCCATGTCCACACAGATCAGGAGAGATCTTACACTCATCGATGTCTGTTCACCCAAACACACAAACAATATGAAAAAATTCAGAGGTTACACCTTACACTGTGGTACATATGTGTAGCTAAATAAAATAAACATAAAACTGATCATTTATAGGGTACAGGTGGCTGTCTCAACAAATAAAACCTAAATTTCAACTTGTGAAAATAATACCCATTTTTTTCTCTTTGATACCTTTTAAAGATTAGATTTATCATGAGTTTAATTTGTAAATGAAAAAGTTTATTCAAAAAACGTCCCACGTTTTCATGTCACTACCGAAACACAAGGAGTTCTAGTGTATACGCAGAGCTCTAGTTTAGCCACACCCCTTCATTTCAGAGCTGGAAGTGAGACCGCATCCCTCATGGCCACATGGTGAGCAGTTAGATCCTATTGTTTTGAAGTAAATGTGTCCCAAGTTCTGAAAATCAGCGTGTAGCCTGAACAAGCCTTGGAACCACCAAAACACATATTCTTTTTGTTTTAATGAAAAATGTTATAATTTTACGTGCGTACAACTTTGTTTGCTAGTCTAACACTGCTGAGTGTTTTTAAGTCATGCTCAAATAGCTGAATTTGTCACCACCAAAACAATATGTGAAGTTTCAGAAGCATATATGTATATATACAGACATGACATTAACATTTTAGTGTGTATAAAATGCCACTGCTTTCAGACTGTAAGGATGTGAACTTCTTTTGGAACCTCTGGAATTTTGGAACCTTTATTTTTAAGAGCATAATAGCATTTATTATGTTTTAATGTTAGCAATTCCTTACGCCGAAGTATAGTTCCTTAACAAGCAGTATTAATGTGGTTTGGTTCCAGCCAGTCTGTAAAGCATCTCACAGCCCATTTTGTTTGGTGAATGGTATTCGGTTCATTTCTGGCTAATTCTAGGTTGTTTAGCTGTTCTTCTGTCACAGCTGCCGACTGAAAAGCTGCTCAGTGGTGATGACAGTTTCAGAATTTAGTGTAGTCTCATCTTCAGAGTCTGACCAAATCGGCTGTAGGTCAAATATGATCTTAAAAGTATCCATTTTCTGTTTGGACGCAAAGTAAGAAGTAAAAGAAAACAACGCTTAAAAAGAAAAGAAAGAAGAAAGAAAAGAACTCTTCTCAACCAATCAGCTTGCGTGGCCAGAACTAACTCTTGTATAAATTTTTATATAAATATACATTGATAAACATACATTTAGAGATATATATTTATATTTCACAATTTTAGGAATAAAAAAATGCTAAACAAAAATGTTATCTGAATTCTGTTCTGAGCAGACTTTGTTACCTGTACAGTTGCGTTCTTCCATATCCAGAGCAAACCCACCATTACAGCGACATCTGAAGCTTCCAATTGTGTTTCTACATGTTCCATGTGCACAAATACTTGGGAAAACTTTACATTCATTGATGTCTGTCAAAAGAAAAGAAACAAAATAACCAGGTTTCAAATAACTTCATACACTCAAACTTGAAATATACTTTGTGCTCATTTACTGTGTACTGTGTTACTAAACTCTGTTGGCCCTGAGGCAGCAATGCTGCAATAACTAACAGATGCTTTAACACGACAATGCTTTCAGAAAATGAGGGACAACCTATATAACTTTCACCTTTATACACAGGTCTGCCTGTAAGCACGTCCCCACGGTTGGCAAAGCCAGGTCCTCTGGGGCACAGAGCTTCATACTCTCGTGTGCCAGGTTCTGGACATGCCTCACACTCCTTCCCCCAGGCTGCCCCCACTGTGCAACAGCATGCATCCATCCGGAACCTTCCGGCCACGGGCAGGCCGCACATATCCTCGTCATAGGTCAGGTAGCAGTGCTCTGAGCGAATGTCTAGAAAAGAGGAAAAAGAAAACTTTGCTTTAAACACTTTGCACACAAATGAACCCCTTTACACCTCTAAGGCTCTGTTTGGCAGGCAGCAGTTCTTTGCTTCCATAACTATATAACTTATGTATTAATTTACAGCAGTTGACAATTCAAAACACTTACCAAACAATGGGCCAGATTCATAAAACACACCGTGAAGCAGCTGCCCACAGTAATCAGAATTTCAGCATGTCAATTTTATTTTTAACAATAAAACTGTGTCATGTTAGTAAAAATTGTTACTGCAGTTATAATAAACTGGAAAAAGGCTTGAATTCTTACCAATGACAAATGAAATCTTACAGGGTAAAATATAATTTCTACAAAGTAATAAAACTACTATTTTTTTTTTGTATCAACAACATTTTCTGATAAAGAAACTTGTTTCTTGAGTAAAAGTTAAAAACACTTTTACCAAGCAATTTTCTATTATTTCTCAGCACTTCACTGTACATTCATAGCTCTGTTCCTGAAAATTTCAATTTTATTTTGTTTCTTTGTTTTAGTTTCTTTCATACTATCAATTTTGGGAGCCAAACAGAGCCAAACAGAGTGTCACTTGGCATTAGTTTTTCACATGTATGAGTTCAATTACATGTGGATTTAGACTGGCTTTTTCCCAGAACTGTGAAAATACTGCAGCGTTAAAAAGACACCAGCACACTAATCACCGCTGAGGTGATGTTATGAATATGCCTTATTTACTGTGCTGCACACTTTGTGTGCGGCTTTGCTGTTACCATGAACTTTTATCATTCTGGAGCAATAAATTTAAGACTTAGTAACTGAGTAACATGTTTTGACATGTAGACAAAAGGACAATTTTCCTGCCATGGTTGGACAGTAAAAAATTGTGTTGCACAGATTCACTGCATATCCAAAGAATCCAGACTTCATCTGCTTCTTCAACATTTATTTCCCTTTGCTGCAGTAACAACCTCTACTGTTCTGGGAAGGATTTGTGAGGATTTGATTGTATGCAGACCACAAGACCATTTGTGAGGACAGGAACATAATTAGTTCAGGAACATAAACAGTGCACTAATTAATGCCAAAGATGTTCGATGGTGATTCATCACTGTAAAGAACAGATTTTCACATTTTCACCGCACCACAGTCCCATGATATGGAAGTTTACACCATTTCTAGCTAAAGCTTTGCATGATATATATATATATATATATATATATATATATATATATATATATATATATATATATATATATATATATATATATATATATTTAACATTTTATGGACAGGTAAAGATATTCTTATTCATCTGAATTAAGATTCTCATTGATCTTGTATTTGCCTGTTCCAGGGTGATTTTGCAGCCAATGTGTTTCTGCTGATTGTACGGCTGTGTTTACTCCATTTAACACTTGCGTGAGTAATGGGTGTGTCTTAAATTAGGGGTGCATGATATATGCATGAGGTGACATACAGTACTGTTCAACAGTTTGGAATCACTGTTCAAAAGTCAATGTTTTCGATGATATAAACAAACTTGGTCCCAGGCAGTTTATAGAATGAATTCAGGATACTAGTACTGTGCAATAGATTTTTAATAATTTAAAATCCTTCTTAAAAGACTGAACAAAATATCTATACATACATTTTAGTGTATAGCTTATAAGATTTAAACCAACGCTGTATACGTTATTAATGTTTAAAATACAAAAATTTTTACTGATGTAACTTGAAATGTAACAAGTGATTCCACACTTTAAAAGTTTCATAGTGTACTAGTTGTTGATAAATGGAAAAATTAGATTAATATTAGTCTGATATTGAAATTGTGACCCAATAATTACAACCAATAACATGGCACCTCATTTTTGCTTGTGAATACACTGACACACGTACAGACATCCTCTGATGCTGTAGAGTGAAAATGTGAGCAGCGTGTATTTAGTCATTTTGTTCATTTGGTCATTTGAAAATTATTCCAGTGATCTGTATAGCCTAAAGAATATGAAGCAGCTAGCTTTTTATGCATTTCATTGATTATGATGGGAACTTGTTTTAAAAGCAAAACAGTAAAATTATCAGTTATAATTTGTGTTGTATTGTCCACAGCAAGGTATTATCAGTTATCACTACTGGTATAGAAATTTCAAGAGTTAGTTCTATGTTAAATAGCTCAATTCAATCATTATAAGGAGTATCTGGACATTTTTTGAGACATACGGAACAGATTTATTATAAGAGGTGCTTATTACTGACAGTATACTGACAAATTGTGCTGGCGGACAATTTAGCGAGTTATCTATCCTTTTGGTTCTGGTTAAAATTCTGTCATCAGATAAAAATAATATATATTTTTTTTTAAGGTTTGGACTTAGTAAGGAAAAATAAGAGTGATTGCTCTACCAACAGTGTGGACAAAGTAATGGAAAGCTTTAACACTGGAGATTTCACAACCACAAAAGTTTCAATGTGTGCTTTAGCAGTAGTTTGGAAAAGAAAACTGTCAATTCATCACTTAGGCAAAAGCTGCTCTCACAACACTTTGATGAGAGCTGTTCACTACACCCAAAGTACTAGAACTAGGAAGAGAAGTTTAAAACACTGTTCCAATTTGATTTTAGTTTTTTTTATTTCCTGCACCAAATGAAGAATAATATGACATGGCAAGCATTCAGAAAATATTCTTCCATTGAAAATAAATCTTTTCTCTCTGTTTCTAAGCATAATTAATGGCAGCCATGTTTTTAGAAAACTACGACAAGCTTTTCACAGGTATGAAACAGCGCACAGTCAGTATTTACTATGAGTCTTCGTAAAAGGTGGCTCATTATAATATTCTCCTCCTAGTGTTTTGTGCTTTGAGATGGAAACACAAATGCATAAGCAATGAGGCAAAGGCACAAGAGAGCATCAACCACCCCTTTCATCCTATCATGGGCATAAAGGGCTGTTGCACCTATTAAGTAAATCAAAACAGACATTTTTAATACGAAAATAGGGTTTGTGACAGTGCAACGTTAGTAAATCTGCCCCACAGCGTAGGTCACACACAGGCAATGAACGCTACAGAACACATCAATGTGGCCAGCGTTCAAGGCTGAATCTGCACTGCAGCCGTTTATCTCTTCTCTACTTTTACATGATTTGCCACTGGAAGAGAAGGAGTTCACTACCTCAATGTGGAGGGTACGCTGACTCACCTACACAGAGGCGTCCAGTAGAGTCCAGCGTGAGGCCTTCAGGACACTGGCACTTAAAGGAGCCTCTTGTGTTCACACACCGTCCATTAAGACACACACCAGGAAACACCTCACACTCATTTACATCTACAAAAAGAGGGCATGAAACAGAGAGAGAGGGTGGAAGACAGAGAGAGAAACTTTCTTGGCACCCAATCACAACCGGGTACACGTCTGAAAGCCAGAGGCGATAAATAGTTTATCAGAATTAATTAAAGATGGACTAGAAATTTCGAACTGAATTAATAATGCAGATGTTCATGTTTTATGAACATCTGTTTCAAAAGAAGCCCAGGAGCAAATAAGAATTAAACAGAACACATTTCTCTTACCCTCACAAACGGTCCCTCTTGGTCGAGCAAACCCTCTTTGACAGACAGGATCTGAAAATACGACAAATGTTCACGTTTAAAGCAGTTATTTAAAAATGTGAGCACTAGAAAGTATTAACACAAGTAGGCTAATCACAAACAAGTCACTTATAAGAGTTGCAGTACTGTGCAAGAGTCCCAGGCCACCCTTATCTATTTAATTTCCAGTCAAACGGAAACTGCAAATGAGCTGCACTCTTGGACAGAAATACTTTAGACATGATCACTTCACTACTTTCCCTGTTGTTTCAGACCTCACTCATGAAAGGCTTGAGAATGAGCTGATGAGGTGAATTATGCATGTGTGGTGCTCTCTGTGGTTAAGTCTGTCATTAGGGAGCTGCTGGCAAAAGTGTAAAGCCCCAGAGAAAACACTGAGGTTCTTGAGAGAAGGCCCAGTCAAACCAATTAGGAGATGACATGAGCAGCGAAATGCTTTGAGAGACAGGCATAAAGTCAGACCACATGAGAGCGGAGAATGGGCTACCCAATGCATTCACAAGAGCAGCTCATGGCATCCATTTCAGTTACAGAACAGCAGTGCAGCTGTAGTTGCTGACATAACATGTGCCAAGGCTCTGTCAGTTTATATTGGTGCTAGTTCACTAGACAACATAATGAGCTTTTTTTCAGCAGTGGCATACAATGATATAAGTCCCAGCAATTATAAACACCAGAGAAATTACACCTCACTAAAATTATGTTTCTCCAGTGGTTGGGTTGAGACTGTTAAAAAAACATGTGTATAAAAATACACTGGCAGTTACAGCATCTGAGCACTGACCAGCAAAACCAGAGGATAATAGATGGGAAGAATTAATTAAAACAACAACCCCCACTTTCACTCACATCACAGCAATCCAACTGCCTATCAGATCTCAAACCTCTATGACTTCACACTGAGCACAAAGCTATACTATGGAGCAATGGCATTATCATCAGTGTGATCATGCTAATTTCCACTAGTGGAATTTATTTGGATTTGCAATTATAAGTTAGTTCCAAGCTAACAGTTCTGTGATTGACTTTCCCACATTTGTAAGACACACTTTACTTTGTAAATTGCAAACTTCTCAGAGAATCCTTCAGTAAACCTTTAATATGAAGCATAACTCTTAATATTATTCTAGGAGACTCTTTAGCCTGGTAGCTATCGGCTGAGCTGGCTGTTAAACAGAACTGAATTCTTATGCGGAGAGTGTTTAGTATGGGCAGATTAATAATACTGATCTAGCAGTAACTCAGTGGAAATTATAACTATAATAGCATTAGTGATTGCTCTCCACTGCCTTTGCTCCACAGCAATGTGCTCAATGTTTTAGTTAGTACTAATTTGCTTTGGAACATTGGAAACACTTTGCCTTTAACTCACTTTATTTTTTGTCTAAAATATGTTTTACAAACACAACTTACACATTCTTATAATGGGGTTCTAATACAAACACAACTTACACATTCTTATAATGGGGTTCTAATATTGAATGTCTATCAATAATAATCTATACTAATATCTATAACTAGGTGCACTATGCAAGCTGGGACTGAGCTTTTTGGCACTGATAGTATAATGTGTCATGAACACTACTTATAATGCATTATCATAATATGTCGATAAAGTGTAATGCCTTTTATAAACATTTCTAGGCACATTTGCAATGTGTTATGAATACATTACAATGTGTTATGAATGTGTTTATAAACTCTTATAGACACAGCATTCATAGAGAGAGCTATAGTGCTATCTAAACAGAGAAATAGATATAGCATTTATGCTAAAAGTAGCTCTAAGCAGTGAAAGCAATTGAACTGCATATGTAATATAATTAACAGCCATTTGCAAAAGTTTGAACATCCCCATTTTTTTCAATATTTCAAATTAAGCAAACAAACAGTACATTAAATGTGCAGAAGTACGTTTTCTGTAAAGAATGTGAACTTATTTTCACTTTAAAAAATCAATAAAAAATGTAATTTGTCCAAGGCTGCCTAAACTCTTGCATACAACTGTATACTGATTCTTCAAAGAACCACTAGATATGCTAAGAACTTGGGGTGGGTATCACTGGTTTTTCAGTTCCAAGAGCAATACCAATACCTTGGTATTGGACAAGCACTGCACACTTATCAATAAGCATGCATGTTAATAACCTGCATAGAAATGTAATTTAGACAGCCAATCAGCAGTCTAGATTTTGGAACAAGCATGCTAATGTGCTCACTGATGCTGATTAGATTGACTAATTAGGTACTGAAATTTGGTATTGTATGATAAGGGGTTTTTCCATATTGGGTAGCACTTAAGTAATTTGGTCAGTACTAAAAAAGAATTGAATTTCGATACCTAGCCCTACCAACAACAAATCAAATCCCACAGTGGGCTAAATAAAAAATTATTTATCATCTATTAATCTATTAATCATTCCAACTGACATGGTAACTGATAGAAGAATCACAGACAAAAAATGATAAAACACATCAACACAGTATAAACTGAACACTTACATTATGGCTTTGGGGTAAAACACTGGTTTCAAATGGTTTCTACAGACTTACCAATCTCGCAAGGCTCACAGGGACTGCCCCACGCTGCCCCCAGTGTGGCACAGCACTCGGACCTCAGAGTACCCCCGTTAATATTCACCTCACAGCGGCCTTCTTGGATGGTGAGCCAGCATGTCCCTTTCAGAGAATCTGTGGAAACCAAATTTCACTTCCAATATTCACAATTAATGCGAAAAGTAGGTATATAAATGATTAACCATTAACTATCAAACAAACTATTGTTTATCCAATACTATTGGTAAAAAATGTTAATATAAGTTTGTCATTTATAGTAAACAGCAGTTTCAATTTGAGCAGGTGAATTTATTATTTAAGTTGAGGAACACTTCAAATTGTATGCATGAGGATGCTACAGTCAACTGGTTCTGCTCAATAGGCCAACTAAAAATAAAGTATGTGTCTAAAGCCGTGTTGTATGCGTCCATTTTCGTGAGGATGATAACACAACTACAACCAATATGTACCATATTGAAAGCAAACATCCACAAGTGTTTTGTCTGTGTTGTCTGTGTTGACAGTGTGATGCATGGTGGTGTAAGGAAATCACACTTGAGTGTGCAAAATTATAGAGAATGAGGTGGTTTTGGACGGCAAAGGCTTTCCAGAGTTACTGAGGTACACTGAGCCAAAGCTAGCCTTAGTCATGTAATTCAACTCAGACTTGCACCCTGAAGACTCGAGACTTGACTTGAACTCGCACTCTAAAGACTCGAGACTCGACTTGGACTTGCACCCCAGAGACTCTATACTCGACTCAGACTTGCACCTCGATGACTTAAGATTTGACTTGGACTCGCACCCCAGAGACTCGAAACTCAACTCAGACTCACACACCAGAGATTTGAAACACAAATTGGACTCCAGAGACTCAAATCTCAACTCAGACTTGCACCCGAGACTCTAGTCTCCACTTGGACTCGGACCCCAAAGACTTGAGACTTACAGTTGCACCCCAAAGACTCAATACTCGACTAGGACTTGAACCCCAGTGATTCATGAGTCGACTTGGAGTCTCAACCTGGAGACTCAGACTCACGCTCTGGTGACTCAAGACTTGACTTAGACTCCCACCCTGGTTACTCAAGACTTCACTCGATCTTACACTGTGCAGACTAGAGACTTAATTTGCACCCCTTGCACCCTGAAGACCTGGGACTTGACTCAGACCTGCACCTCTGAAGACTTGAGACTTCAGAGACTCGCACCTCTGAAGATTCAAGACTCAACTCAGACTTACACCCCTGAAGAACTGAGACTTGACTCAGGCTCGCACCCCTCAAGACTCGAGAATTGACTCAGATCCACACCTCTAAAGACTCAAGACTTGACTTATACTTGCAGCCCTGAAGACTTGAAACTTTACTCAGACTCACACCTCTGAAGACTCGAGACTCGACTTGGACTCGCACCCTGAAAACTTGAGACTAGACTCTGACTCTCACCTCAGAGACACTAGACTTGACTCAGACTCACATTAAGTGATGTGTGAACATCACTGGCACAAAGAAAGTAAAGAAATCATAAACCAGTAAACTGTGAAATGAATGCTAAAGGCAATTTAAATATTCTCTCAGAAGCATAATTAGAAAAAATCTCTTTATGTGAGAACAGGTGTTTATAGTGGACAGAACTCATTAATTTGAGACAGAGGTATTGGAACACTGTTTTTTCACTTCTTTTAGGTCATTACAAAGTGGATGGCTGCTGTTTTGGTAAACAATCAGTTCAGTGTGTGTGTGTGTTTGTGTACATCTGTGTACAATTACCGATGCAAATGAGGCCAGTTGGGTCAGGTTTGCTGCCAGGGGAGCATAAACAAGCAAAAGAGCCAGCATTGTTCTTGCACACTCCATTAATACATGGACTGCTCTCGCACTCGTTCACGTCTGCAACAAACAAGAGGGAGTTACACAGGTATAACGTAGATCAAACTCACAGACAGCACATGGACTGAGATCAAGAGGCCAAAAGGAGTAGGAAAATTTGTTGCTTCTACTGTAAATTTTAGATCTTCTTCGTATTCATATGTCATCATAACTCTTCTAATGCCAAATATGACCTCACGCTGAACGCAGAGTTACAGTGTGTTTCTGTGTAAAGAGTATAAACAGTAGGAGACATTCAAACAAATCACAATGGCTCAGAGCACAGAAATACTCCTGGCAAGACCGTATCTCCCCATTCCAGACAGACACAGTCAGCTTTGCTATTTGGAGAACATCTCAATGTTTCATCTGATGTTATTTTACAGTGAAACACTGTTAGTGTCTGAAAGTGCAGAAAGAATAGCGAGCTCCATAAAAGTAACTAGAAGAAGCCAGGAATGTCATGAAATTGAGGCCTGTTTTAACACACTCCATTAATACATATCAAGTAGATTTACAGTAAATGGTGACTGTTTCTGTGAGGCATCGATGAATCACACATAGAATCTTCCTCAGAAGAGACTGTTTTTCAGGAGCAGTTCTGGGAAGTGTTTCTGTGCTCCTTAAAGCTGAGAGCACTGTGGATGATAGCGATTATCTACTGTGGCTGAAACTACGAATGACAGAAAAAAGAAAGAAAAAAGAAAGAAAGTAAGATAGAAAGAATGAGAGGAATACTTTGAAAGAGTGAGAAAGAGAAAATGAAAGAAAAATGAGATCAGGAGAAACACTGAGATCATTAATAAAATATGCTGTCTTTTACAAAGAAAAGACTCAAACAGAGAGACCATAAAAGTGAGAGGATGAGAAAGAAAAACAGAGAAAATGGAGTGTCGGAGAAAAAAAGAAAAAGAATGGGAGAAAGAAAGAAAAAACGTGTTACAGAGAAAAAAAATAATAAATAAAAAGGGAGAGAATGAGAGCAAGACAGTGAGAGAGGCAGAATGGGTGAGGGAGATAGAAAAGAGAGACACAGAGAGTGAGTGAGTGAGTGAGAAGATGAGTGAGAAGATGAGCGAGTAAGAGTGAGTGCGTCACTGAGTGTGGCAGAGAGAGACAGAGAGAGAGAGGATGAGTGAGTAAATGTGCGAGTGAGAGACTGAGTGAGTGACTGAGTGTGTGAGAGAGGGACAGAGAGAAAGAGAAGGAGAGAGAAAAAGACTAACAGAAAGAGAGAGAAAGAGAAAGAGAGAGACACAGAAAAAAGAGAAAATGAAAGACAGAATGAGAGCAGAACAAACAAAAAATCAGAGAGAAAAAGACAATAAAGACACTCAAAGAGAGACTATGAGAATAAAAGAAAGAGAAAGATAGAAAGCAAGAGAAAGTGAGAGGATGAGCAAGAAAAAAACAGAATATAGAGTGTGAGAGAAAAAAAACAGGAGAAAGAAAGAACGAGTGAGAGAAAAAAATAAATAAAAAGGGAGAGAATGAAAGCAACAGAGAGAGACAGGCAGAATGAGTGAGGGAGAGAGAAAAAGAGAGTGAGTGAGTGAGTGAGTGAGTGAGTGAGTGAGTGAGTGAGTGTGGGAGAGAGAGAGAGAGAGAGGGAGAGAGAGGGAGAGAGAGAGAGAGAGAGAGAGAGAGAGAGAGAGAGAGAGAGAGAGAGTAAAGGCAGAACTGTAAGAACGTAGAACTCCAGAATTACTGATGGCTGCAAATTTGTGTCTCTAGTAAGCTGTTCCTCATCCAGCTCTAAACTGTATGCAGCTGTTCTGCCAGGGGGCCCACCATGCCCCCTCCCAAAACTGCTCCTGCGCCAGTCATACAAATATCCTGTTGTCCCCTGCTGGTGAGTCAGGCTGCGCCTGTGCTCTGAAGGGTCCTAACCACCAGCCAGCAACAAGGAAACTCCAAAGTGATTCACTGCTCTATAAAACCTCTCTACCCAGCAGACAAAGTCAGGGATGCTTTTCCAAGATTCCCCTTTGTCACAAAAAGCCAAAAGCCAAACTGTTTACAAGCAATGCTGTTGTGACATTTACCCCTTTAAACTAAAGGTCTTGTATGTGGATCCACACTTCAGTTTCTCAATCTCATTGCTATGTAATGTATATATAAGGTTTCACAGTAGTTACCAAATAATGCAGTGTTGTTACTGAACAATTAAGCTCTACAGCATTGCTGGCCAACAATAGCACTTAGTCATCTAACAGACGTTCTTCATATGGGTCCACTTTCTTCAGAGAGGATCTCTTGACTCACTTCAATGTGATTGAATTTACACAACTTCCTCCTTACTCCAAAGGCACTAAACTGCTTTTTTTGGTACAAACCAGTGGGGAACCCCACGGAACCTTCAAGGCCTAGTTATGTTTGAGAACTAAAAAAGCTCTAATAGTTATGGTTCGCCACTGGTGCTAATGCTGTCACGAGGATGGTATCCTCAAAGATACTTTTACAGTGCCTTTAGTTATTAGACATATCCTTTGTATCACTGTACCATATCCTGTTGCAGTTCTTTTGAAAATGTAAAAAGACTTTTAAATACAAAGTCCTGTTTTGACTACAGCTTTTTATTTAATTTTTCTATTTAAAAATGTTATGAAAATATAAAAAATATATATAAATATAAGGTACATATATCAGTGAAAGTGAATGTAGTGTACCTTTAAAGCTGAATCAGGTACACAAATGTTGCACTTTTGAGGATTTTCATTCATCAAGGTACAAATAATGTAAATGTTCCCTCAAAGGTACAACAGTGGTTTTAAGGTCAAATTGTGTACCTTAAATAAGTTTTTTCAGGTGAAAAGTACGTATTTGTACCTTTTCATGACCTAATGTTTTAAAACAGAGCAATAAAATAAAAAGCCTGGAGACGAGACAGGGTGTGTGGAGTCAGTACAACTTAGAAAATATCATTTGAGTGGATTATGATACAGTTACGTTCCCTAACTAAAAGTACCCCAGTGACAAGAGGGGTACTGCCCCAGTGACAGTTTCATACCTTCATTTCTGAGAGTGTACATTTAGTCTGTTTGCACCCTGGGGAAAAATGTGCTTTTGCAGTATCCTTTCTTAAATTTGAAGCACCTGACTGACTGGCTTACTCACTCATGTTCAGCAGGCTGAAGATGCCCCAAGGGTACAGTATTAGTACTCATTTAGTTTTTGGTGCTTCACAAGAGCGGTGCTATACATCACTTACAGTGCATGCCGTAACGTTATCTCTAAAACTTGATAACAGTACAGACAAAATTCGCACTTTTAGATGGTTGCTACAACTGTTGTTTTGCTATGCAATGTACCTCTGACCATTTTTATAGCTAACAATATGTCATACAGTGTCTAGAACCACATAAGCAAGTTTCTTGAGATTACAGAACAGCAAGGTTTGAAGCAAGTGTGTGACGATTCAGCCATTACGCTAATTAGCAGGCTACTGTCTTTCCTTACTTGTTAGATGCATTAGTCTCATAGCACCAGTGCAAAAGAAGCAAACTTTAGACACTAAACATGTTCTGGCTGATCTGTTAAATTTAGGGCCCATGTGTCAAACACAAGGCTAGATCAGGCCCACCACACAATCTTATCCGGCCCACAAAAGTATTTTAGTTTTCTGTTATTATTAGCCCTTTTTACAATGTGCTGCACTACAGTGCCCAGCATGCACTGCAACATACTCCGATAATACAACCTTAATTAAAAAAAGAAATAAAAACATTTTTTTTCTCTGGCCCACAGATTTGATAAGATTTTTTAATATGGCCCATTTCCTGGTTGAGTTTGACACCCCTGATTAAAGTGTTGTGTAGTATTATTGTGTAGTACATTGCTTTTTGCCAAACTTTCCCTTTAAAAGGAGCTTCTGAAGCTTCCAGAAAGTGTGAAAAGGTGTCCTCCACCAGGTGTCCCCTTCAGCTCACCTTCGCATGTCTCCGAGTCCTGCCTGAAGACGTAGCCCTTGGGGCAAGTACAGGTGTAACTACCTGGAACATTCCGGCATAGGCCATTATCGCAGAGGAGCCGGTTCACCAGGCATTCGTCAACATCTGCAGAGAATAAACAGAAATGACAACATTCCTTTTGGACATCATACAAAAGGCTGGACAAACAAGCATGGAGACATCAGCTGCTCGTTCGCAGCACATTTGTCAAAGTTATGATGCGTTTATTAGTGTCACCAAATAGATGATACACTATCCTTTAGGAAATAATGCATTTTCAAAATGTGCACTTGGAATGGTAAACGCATTTAATGCCTTTTTGCATTTAAGTCCTACTATTAGAAGCTGTGGGACAGTTTTGAGTAAGTGGCACATTTGAGTACAACAAAATTAAACAGTGACTAAATGCTTAATTTGTACTTATTATTATGGATCTTATATATGTATCAGCTCTAAAGTTTTCGATGTCAGACGCTTAGATTGTTCGCTTCATCAGAGTAAAGAACTAACATGGAAAGCATAATCATAAATGTGCTAAATTGAAATCATATTCTGCAAAACCCTTTCAAGAAACTATAGGACAGCCTAGAAGCAGCAGGCCAACTTCTACAGTACAAGAAAATTACTACCAGAGATCAGAAAGATGGTTCAGGAATTTATGGCCAGCCCTTAAAGGCTCGGATTGTGGAGCTCTGATGATTTTGCTTTTTTCCAAGACACAAAGATGAGGAATGCAAAAAGGCGACATGAAAAGCAGATGTTTATTCAATCGATCTAGAAAAAAAAAATAATTTAGAGCCTCTCCTCATAAAATAAAAATTAGTGCTACATAACAGCTCCATGCTGTTCTTATTTAAGTAAAAAACAACAGGGCCCACATAGCATAGCTTAGTCATTATTTTCTGTAAGTGTTATATAAATGTAAAAATCAGGAAATGTAATAAATTAATGGAATGTCCTTCATGATTTTTTGACATACAATCTTTTATCCTCAAATAAAAAGAAAAGGAGACCCACAATTTAAATGAATGCTTATTTTCTGAGACATTTCACCACCTCCTGAATTAAAGGGCAATTTCAACAACTTTTGAAAATTTCTGCTTAGTTCAGGCATGTCAAACCGAGGACCTTCTGGGCCAAAGTGCTGTGGAGATTAGCATTTACCCTCATATAATGCTCTGAATTCAGTTCATGGAGGCCTTGCTAATTACCTGATGAGCTGAATCAGGTGTGTTTTGGCCTGTTAGGACTGGAGCTTGACACGTGGCTTAATTCAATCATAAATATGTAAATAAGTCATTCAGACTGATGTGGAATGCGTTATTCTAAACTTACCAAATAAGAATTGTTCACAGTGGTGGTGATTGGAATCAGATGTTTGAAGTGCTTAATGCCTGAAAAGCTCCCTCACAGTAAGTTCTAACAGTAAACTGTTATGAATATGCTGCCTGATGTCAGAGACATTCTTTTTCAATAAGTCGGAGATGAGATTTTGGCCTAAACAAAATTTTTTTGTAATCCATTCATGGTGGAGAGGTACATGCAGTGCAAGATTTACCACTATTTTACCATTTTCAACATTACATATAAAAACTCATACGCATGTGTGTTCACTGTTTATTTTGGATAGTAGATAAATGGCTATATTTGTAAACATATGGTGTGACCCCTGGTTCCTATCACCACCACTGTAACAAAATCTGTGACTGTAAGTTTCTCTAATGAAAAATTTCACTTCAAACCCCTCTGTTTTGTAACTTTCTTTACATCTCAAAGATGAAAATACACAGACATGTTAAAAAATAAGTGCAATTCTCTTTTAACGAACAGAGGACTGTAAACTGTAAACTGACCATCCATGTATGTTCTAAACTCTGTGAAGCTACAAAATGTATTTCTGCTCTAATTGTTTGTAAACACAGAAAAACATTCATTTATGCGGCGCTAAAAAATATACACTCAGCTTTCATCTTTAACGGCAGGTTTCCTGGTTTCGCAGTAGTAGCACAGAGAATTGGAAGAACAGCCTTTCTGCCTGCCTGCTCTTGCTCCCTATCCTCCCTTTAGTGCCACTGGGCCGCCTCATTCTGGCGACAGTCTGCTGTACTACATCTTTACTTCCTACCCGCCGCACTTTGCCAAGCTCCTAACATGATGTCATTTCAATATGAATGAAAAGCAATTTGTCTTGCTGGCGAAACAGCGCTGAGTCAGGTTCAGAAAGAGAGAGTGAGGAACACTCATTTCTCTGTAATCGAGAAAGTGTTTTGACTGCACAAAGATAGAATTTGAAGGGTCGAGGGAGACTTGGAGGGCCACTGCATTTTTTCAGTGCAGAACCTAATCCCTTGTCTTGATTTTTCCTCGAAATGGAGAGAAACCAGAGTGTCTGTCCATTCTGGCCAAAAGACTGTGACTAAATTTAATCATCAACACCTCATTGCATAGGAATGGGAACTGTTCACTTTGGCCGACAAAGCTGAAATCCAGGCACTATGTGGTAGATGGACATAAATGATCGCTTCAATTTAAAACAATGTAGATCTTAGAAACAGTGCTTCTTAGACTGCTAGTTCAATACTGTCCTTCTCAGCTGCTAGCCTTGCACTGTTAAGGGATGGAAGATTTGCTATCACAAACACTGCCACAATAACCTTTTTCTGTACGTGTTGTGGTTATCATCAGTAGAACACTTAATTAAAAGGAGGTTCTGAAGAAGCTCCTCCCTAAATGCTGTAATAGTCTAAGGTTTTGCTCTATTATCAGGACGTTGAGAGTTTAAATCCCAACAAATGCCTGAAGTCCAACGGCCTGTCCCAAAGTTCGCACATGCAATTTCATCCTCATGCACCTTCTGGTGAGTATTCAACGGCATCCGATTTCCCAAATGAGCAATCGCACAGTGCCCAATCCCACACTAAACACACACACCCTTTTCAGAATACAGCATTGAAGCCATTTTTACTATTTACGCATTGATGATGTTCTAACGTGATGTTTCAGAAATAGCCGGTTAGGACGTTAAAATCATGAGAAGATCAGCAACTACTTGTCCCACAAACATACTACATACACTAGTGCTCAAAAATTCACATTTCAAAAGTTTGGGATAACTATTTTCAATAAAAACATTTAAAGTCACAGATATCTAAAAATATTCTATTACGATGCTAATACTCTACAGCTTCGCCGATTTCAACTCATTTGTAGGGCACTTTGAAAAATGAAGAAATGGTGGTGAACAGAGCTGTAGATGATTTCCGAACAACCGAGAAAGCTGTAAAACAATGAGAATGAAGTTATACTACAATTTAGAATGCATTGTAATTGAAACATGGTGGTCAAATTTAGGGAGATACCTTATTATAGAACTTACTTTAAATAGATAATCACAGTATATTATTAATCATTTACTAGCTTTTTGGTTTTCCCAAAAAACGTGAAATACTTGAAAACCTTGAAAATAGCAATAATAGTAAAACAGCTTTTGGCGTCTGGCTAATAGTATTTCAGTGCAAGAAGGCAAGTTATTATTAAACAGAATAGCGGCAGTTATTATGAAAAGTGACTTTAATATGAAAAGTGAATCCAAACTTGTGAACCCTAATGTATATCCACCTTAGCAGTCTTATCACATACTTATGCACCACTGATAAATTTGGAAAAATGTAATGTTTAGGACCACTGTGGACACTGGGACAGGCAGCAAGAAAATATGGTCAGAGCGTAACTAGATGTAGTGCTGCTGTAGAATATGTGAAATGCTGAATTAAAGAAAATTTGTTGGACTAATAGCATTAAATAAATGGCAACTGATGCACTGTGATGCATTTTGCTGTATCACATTGTCTATTGAAAAAAAGTAGCATTATTGTGATTAACTATTAACTATAACTATATTTTTTGCCATATTATTATAGGAACATAGTACACTACTAAAGTATAATAAAGTACTCTATCTTATTATACAGTGTTAGTTCAGAATGTTGCTGAAGGACTGATGAATCTACTCACCTATACAGGCCCTGCCACTCTGGTCAGTCTCATAGCCAGTGTTACAGATACAACGGTAGCCTCCTCTCAGATTCTCACATGATCCATTAGGGCAGATATCAGGGTCCAGGGCACATTCATTAATATCTGTGGGCCAAACAATAGTTCCAAAGATCATTATCAGCATGCAATTTCTCTGTTTGATATAAATGAAAAAGAAACATCATTCGGAGGATTACCTGTTCCATCGATGGCAAAACCAATCCCACTTTGACACAAAGCATTAAATTCAGCTAGAAAACAAAGGCAGATACCATTTAGATTCTGAGGCCCAGTGTGCAAAGAAAGTGCCACAATACTGACTGATGGAAAAGGCTATTTCAAGCAAGTGTACTCAAACTTCCGACTGGTATTAGAACATCGTGAAAGACTTAATTACCCACTTCATTTATTGATGCCAGAGTTATTTTACTATGAAGACAAGAAATATAACTAATGTTTTTTACTGAGCCAACTCTCTTCATCATTTCAGGAACAGCTACCCATCTGGACAGCAGCAGAGGGAGACATAAAAATGAAGGAAAGCTAAAAGAATTCCCTGTATATATGCCTAAGAATACTCTATGAGACAAAATGCAAAAAAAGACAGATACATAAGGAGCCTTAGGGCATGAAGTGAATTAAAATGGCAGCTTAATTTCCTTCCTGAAGTGAGTATTACAGAACGGCACTGGGTGAATGAGTGTAGAGTTGCTTGGTTGGCCAGACACTCACACGTATATTTAGACTACTGTATTTCTCTAAATTATCTTGTTTCTTAACTTCACTGAGCCATGCACTCAGACATATGTAACATACACAAACATCTATTTGAATGTATGCAGAACAGCAACTTTAGAACAAACACGCTCAAACATTCAAAACATTCTAAAAAAGGTCTTCTTTTCCAAAAAGTCTGAAGCTACTTAGCCACAGACTAACTCATTTTTCCAGACAGAAAACAGACCACAAATGTAATTGCTCAATCAAGCAAAACAGCTGTAATATGGTGTATGCATGTGTTAGGTTTGGCGAGGGCATTGTGGTGTAATTTGGGAGGAATTTAAGACGTACCTGAGTCTAAGGCAGGGCATGGTTGGCAGGGCTCTCCGAAGCCATAGTCTGTACTGACACAGCAGCATGCTGACTTGGTGACCGCTGCGTGGAAAGGCCGCACGCATACTCCCTTTCTGATGGCTCCATAGCAGGTACTGCGTATGTGTGTGTCTGGTGGCAGACAGACAGAAAAAAACACATGCAAAAATCTACAAACCTCAGTTCCAAAAAAGTAGGGACTTTTATGTGAAATGCATATAAAAATAGAAAGCAGTGCTTTGTGAATCCATTTTACCTGTATTTGGAAGAAAAGAGCACAAAGACAAGTTAGTTAATCTTTTATCTTGTCAACTCCATCGTTTTTGGTGAATATTAGATAGATGCCTACGACATTTTCAAAAAGCTGGGACAGGAGCAATTTAAGACTTGCTGTGAAACATGAAATGTTCAAAAAAATTTCTTAAACAGGTGCAATCATGCTTGGGTATTAAAGGAGCACCCAGGAAAGGCCTAGTGCTTTATGAGCAAGGATGGGTTGAGACTTGCCACTTTGCCAAAAACAGCATCAACAAACAATCTAACAGTTTAAGAACAACGTTCCTCAGTGAGCGATTGCAAGGATGTAAGGTACCCTTTACTGTGCACTTCATCAAAAGTTTCAGGGAATCCAGATATCTATGCATAAAGAGCAAGGCCGAAAAACATGGGTGAATGCCCATGACCTTCGACCCCTGAGACGGCACTTCATTAAAAACCAGCATGCTTCTGTGACTGATCCCCACATGGGCTCAGAAACTTTCACATATCATTTTCAATAAAGACTGTTCATCACTGCATCCTTAAATGCAAGTTAAAACTGTACTGTGCACAGTGGATGTCTATGTTAACAACATCCAGAAACGCTGCCGAATTCTCTGGGCTCAAGCTTACCTGAAATGGACTGATGCCTTGAGTAAATGTTTATTGTGGTCTGACAAGAATAATGGACATTCTGTTCTTGGGCCAAAGAAGGAAAGGACCATCTGGCTTGTTACCAACATAAGGTTCAAAAACCGACATTTCCTTGAGCTTACTGTCTTTCTTCATGCATTCTGTGAAAATGCCCCTGTGATAAGGACAAGAGAGAAAGTTCCAGTAACAGTGACTCTCTGTGAGTCACATAGTTTATGGCTAGCGAGGCAGTTAGCAATGGACGTCTTGGCTCAGTTTTCAGCCTAAATGTGAAACACGTTGTTGACATCACATGATTTACCGAGAGCAAAGGGATGGATTCAAGTGGGAGTGTGCGTGTTACTGTATACGAGTCTTAAGTGTGTTTACAAGCACAACAACATCCCCTTCAAAGCAATTAAGATTTGTGTATTGGTGAGTGTGTGTGTGTATATGGAACAGATCTCCATGCAAGCTGTATCTGTATCTGGCTAACTGGATGACTGGATGAGTCAGTGTTTACATGGGACTCAACCTATGACACAGTTACGACTTCTAGCCTTACCAAGAGAAATGTGTGTGTGTGTGTGTGTGTGTGTGTGTGTGTGTGTGTGTGTGTTTGCTTAATTTGTATAGGGACCTGGCAATACAAACCGTATAAATATTGTTTATACTTACTGTACTGTACAAAAGTCAGAGACCAGTTTTCTTTTTTTAATTTTCAATCAAAACGGCCAGTAAGTGCAAGCTATCTGTTTGTAGGAGATAATTCTGTGGAGATTAGATACAAGATAATTCATTTGCAAAAGGAAGGTGAAAGCCAATGGAAAATAAGTCCAGACCTGTCACCCATTAAAAACATTGGGCACATGAAATGAGAAATATGACAAAGTAGATCTCAAACTATTGAGCAGCTGAAATCCTGTATCAAGCAAGAATGGAAAAACATATCACTCTCTCACTCAAAATTTAGTCATGTTGCGAAGGAACACAGATATCCAAATGAAACGTTAATTAGGAATCAAATGGAAAACAAACAGGTCCTGCAACAGCAGGAAAAGAAAAGCAACTCGCTATAAAAGTGTAATTATTTGCCTTGTCATGTTTGACATGTTAAAACACAAAGGTGCTCATTTAACTGCTAAAACCAGACGCGACCTTCCCGACGCTGCATGGCAGAACTCCATTACTCCACGAGTCGCTCTTTTATAGATTCAGCCCTGAGCTTTTGGGTAAGATGATGTTTGGAGACGTGTCAGTATGGAAGCTGCCTTGGCGCTTTAGCGGTTACAGGCCACCTGCTGTCTGCAGGCTATTCGAAAAACGCGCCTCTCTTCTGTTACCCCACAGCAGTCGGTCTCCTCAGTTCCCAAATGCTTACAGAGTGTTGTTAAAAGAAGAGATAATGTTACACAGTGGTAAACATACCCCTGTCCCAACTTTTTTGAAACATGTTGCTGGCATCAAAAAACATGTACATCATTGCACTCTATTTTTATTTACATTCTGCACAGTGTCCCAACTTTTTTTGGAAACAGGGTTGTATATGCTTTAGCTTTTTTCCTGTGGCTGAAAAGAAAATCAATGGCCATTCTAGCTTGAAGTTAAACAGATGAAGGATGATCTCTGACAGTGCTGAATATGTGCTGTATACGAAAGAGAGTGAGAGATTATGTGAGGGTGTTTTTTATTTATCCTTACCCACACATGAGCGCCCATCAGGCCCAACGGCCAGTCCTGCTAAGCACTCACACCTGTAGGAGCCCTCTGTGTTTATGCACCGCCCATGCATACAGATGCCTGGAGTCAGGCACTCATCAATATCTGAGAGAATGATTATTTCATTAAACATACACACTAACAAACATCAATAAACATAAAACACTCATACAACAAAAAATTTTACTCAAAACAGTGATTCAAATCTCATTCTGCCTAAGGTCCTAAGGTTTAGTCTAAGACAGCTTCAAGTACAGTTGTAAAGCATGTGACATCAAGTTCTAATGACCAACAAACCACACCTGTGCAGTAGCGCCCACTAGAGGCTAGTGTGAAGCCGTGTTTGCACACACATTTGAAGCTGCCGTCTTCATTGATGCACATGCCATTCAGACACATGTTTGTTACGGCGCATTCATCATGGTCTGTGAGGTGAAAAAAAAAAACATTCAAAACATTCAAAAATGAACACCGTTGCAAAAGATGTTTGGACAGCTGAATGCTGAGGCCAACTGACCTTCTTCAGACATTTGCCTTTATAATCTTTACCCTTGGATGGGTTTTAATGGATGAATGCAGCAAGGTAAAGTAAAAACTTAGGACAATATTGGTACAAGTGCAGTAGAATCACTGACATAACACAAATCCAAGATGTATTGCTGTTTGCTTATTCTGTGTTCTAACTCAGCATTTAGTACTTAAGTACATGGGTCTTTCAGCCAGTCGTTCTCACACAACTCTGTCTGTTGGTGTCCTGGCACTTACAGTGCTGTTCAAAAGATTTAGGCACCTGAGAAAATGAAGTGCATATAAAGCCATTTATCTGGGCAGTGAGCAATTATTTGTTTAAAAAAGCACCTGGCTCCATTAAAATAATTTCAAACAAACAATACACTGTACTTTCATGTCTGTCAGTGTGTTAGCTTAAACATTTCCAAAGCCCTTCTTAAGGAAGCCCATTGTTTACAGTTACCATCCAATACCTGCTTCAGCTAGTCATCCCTTCATTAAATTGAACTAATTGTGTTGTGATGGAATTTAACACAGGTAAAAAAATACATGTATTTCCAAGAACAAAAGTTTAAATTATTTTCTTACTTGCCTAAAACTTTTGCCCAGATCTGTATAATACCGTTGAAAAGTTTAGAATCTCTTTTTTCATTAATATAAACCAATTTTGCTGAACATGTATAAAATTACTCTAATACACTCTCTGAAAAAATTGTATGTCACTGAAGTGGTACCCTCAAAGTGTTCAGCACTGTTTGTTAGGCAACATAATTATACCATATTCTGTTGAGGTTCTATATTTTAAGTTGCTCTGATTTGCTCTGTTTAATGTGCATGTTTAATATGTTCTTTTCTGTTTACAATTACATTGTACTTTTTAATGGGGGACTAAAATTTGCCCACACAATACTCTTTTTTTCTGACAGTGCAAACAAAAACTATGCGCCACAATTTCTCATTAGACTGGATGGGATTTTGACCAGCATTCTGTGGAGCTAGACCAACCTGACAACAGCCACTAAACACACATTTGTGAGTGAAGCACAGATGGGTTGAAACTTTAAAACTTTTATTTCTGCTGTTTAATATGCTAACAAGCTTTCTCAGAGCTGTTGTTGCATTTATTTGATTTATTAAGAACCTGATTTAAGCTGACAATTCATAGATGTTTATTTAGTTTGTGTTACAAATTACATACAAGTAGCAGCAAATAACAACACAGCAGCAGCGTTTTATTTTTTATTTTAAATTGTAAAAAATCAATAATAAGAGCTTATTGATCCCAAATGCAGTTGCTCTGAAAATACTCACCATTTGTCCAATGATAAAGAAAACCTTGTGTATGTTTTATACAGTGATTGAAACATGTTCGGACAGAAAGCTCTGATCTACACATGCTGAAAGGTTTCACTGTGGCCAGCATGAACATGCTTTCTAGCTCTTCTAGTAGCAGATTTAAATGAGTTTAAGGGGGCAATGCCAAATTCTCAGAATGGATCTCCAACGAGACGCGTTAATTACTGTTACTGTTAACACAATAGCCACAAGCTGCAGGGTAATTGTCACAGTGGTTACTGAGAATTCATGATTTCGCTGAATTACTTGCTGCTCTTCTTCAACTTCATAACATCTGACTAATTTATGGGGAAGCTATAAAAATTATGAGACGCTTTATTAAAACTGCTGCCTTATATTTGAAAAGCAGTGATCTACTCTCAAAGCAGATAACTTATCAAGAAATTACTGTAAATAGATAAATATTGTATATTATTTATCTTGTTTTTCACAAAGACATTAAATATTGACTAAAACATCTTAAAATACCCTCTTGTTTGAATGTCCACAGTGTAAGTTATTGTTAAATAAAGTAACAGCAATTATTAATACGAGAAGTAAGGTGGAGCTTAACAAAACAGGATTGGGTAGAGGAGGGAAATATGGCCTCACATGGCCTGCAACCCTAGATAGGCACATCTTGGTTAAAAGATGGTGAAGGAGTATAGTAGGTATAGGAGAAGAGTGGTATGTACTGTCTTACCTACGCAGTTCCTGCCATCAGGCGAGAGCTGGAAGCCGGCGTTGCAGATACATCGGAAGCTGCCCGCCACATTAAGACAACGGCCGTTTTGACAAAGCATGCCGTTTTGCAGGCATTCATCAGTGTCTGCCAGGGGACACACAAGACCACCTCAACAATGCCTCTTCAAGATTACAGTGTGTAGCTATAGTGAGTGTTTACAGGATGCTTTCAAATCATACCTTCATGTTTTGCTGTGATCATGACCATGCTTGTTATCGCAAGGAGATAAAAATACATGTATCTTTACAATGCATCCAGAGATGTAAATTGCGAGTTACGAATTATATATTAATCTTATAATCTAAATAAATCTAAAGAAATTCCTCTCAGAAACTCACTTTTACCATAACTTTATTCTTTAATCAACAAAAGAAATTGTCTCCGTGAAAAATGTTTGGGTCTACTACACATTTATCTACGTTGTTTTATAGTGGCATACCCTGCACTTTTGTTTTCAGAAGTGGAATTTCCAGATCTTTCTATATAAAAGCCCTGAAAAAAAGCTCCTTAATCCATCAAAACATATTCAATCTAGCAGGTGCTCCAGTGCTAGAGACTCACCAATGCAGGCCTGCTTGCCTGGAGTCCTGTGAAAGCCTGTATGGCACTTGCAGTAATAAGAGCCAGCAGTATTTACACAGTCTCCGTTGGTGCAGGGGTCAGAAATGCACTCATCAATATCTGGGAACACAAAACATACGAGAGATGGAAACAAATATTTAATTATTCTACAAATGTGTATTTTTTTCCAAACTATAATTGTTAGAATACTAGCAAGAGGTTTGTCTCCGTTTGCAGGTTAACTTTGCAGCTTTTGCGATTAAAAAACTAGAACACCACCCGTTCTGGTAAAGGGAGCACATGTTCCAGATAAAAGTTATTTACCAGAATTCCTGCCAGATCTCAGTGTTACTGCTAAACAACACAACAACTAGAAAAAAATAAGAAATTGGCAGCATTCTGAAACTAAAATATTTACTCATTTATTTTCACTCATTATTTGAATGAAAAACCTGACTTCCTCCTATTTTCCTTCATTCCAAATACACACATAAAAAATACAATTATCATTACCTGAACACTCTGATTGACTGTCCACTTTGTAGCCAGCATTGCACTCACAGCGGTGACTAGACCCCACCGGGATACAGCGACCATTGAGACACAAGTTAGGCATCAACAAACATTGGTTGACGGTCTCATTTAGACTAACTGGAACAGAAACACAGGAGCTGGTAAAGCCTAGAATTGGGCATGGCATTCATGCTTAATCAAAATATCAGGGAACTTTAGCTACAATACATTCAAACAAATGAAAGGTGTTTCTATGACATGTTTCTGAGAATGTTTCTATGATAATTTCTTCCAAAATATACTCAGGATTTTGTGTTTCCTCATCAGCTAATTCAATTTACACCATTTGTGACATATTTTGGGTCTTCTCTCTCATCAACTTTGTTGAAAGCTGTTTATTAGTCTAGGAACAGTCTATGAATAAGTTTTCCAAATGAAGACATTTAAATTTTTCCAGATGAAAAGACTATAACATACTTGATACAATCCTGTTTCACAAATACATTCTTAAATGTTTTTAATCCCAGACTGACATTATCAGGCTCTGAACACTCTTCTTGATGTTGCTGTTGTTGCTGTTGATTTGCCATGTTGAGCTCACCAACAGGTCCTTGTGGTCTTTGTCCATTGCCATTTCCATTAGGGGGAATATGAGGGATCTGTGGGATCTGAGGAATCTGAGGAATCTGAGGATATATGTGACCGTTCAGAGTGGAATCGTATCCATTGGGTTGTTGAGGAATTCTGCCCCCTAAAATGCCAGTGTCCACCTCTGGATATCCTCCCACCGCTGCTCCCTCTAAACACATCCTGCGGAATTCATCTGAGGGATACAACAAAAAGATCCAGACACTCATGATGATCTGTAACACAGACCAGCAACCAAACACTGATACGAGCTGGTCATACTCCTAAAACATATGTTTGTTATCCATTTTCATCATGCGCTTTCATTTTTGCCCTTTCTATTCGAATCTTTACTTATACAGAGAAAAGGCAGCTGTGATTACAGTCTTTGTTGTACAACTGACCGATAAAAGAATAAAAATGACTTAGGTCTGCAGACTGTACACAAAGGACATATAATGAAATGATGCATTTGGAGCCTTCCTTCATATAAATGACATCATCCAAAACCAAAAATAAGCATTCTCTGCACATATGTAGCAGCTTAAGATATGTCCTCAGCCAATCTGAGACAGAAATCCACAGCAACAGTTTAACAGAGGAGCAAAAAATTTCCATTTAAATGTGCAGCCAGGAACAAGTTTTGCACCTGCAGATCAATCCTGACTTAACTTGTCACTTTTAGTCTTAGTGTACTTCTTTTCTTGCACTGTGTTTGTCCTTCTTTCTTCTACCCCAGTCATTACCACAATAGAATCTTCATATGATAACAACTTCCTCAATACTTATTTAGTAAATATACTACAGGCCAAAAGTTTTAGAATTCAAAATTGACTTACAATTAAGTCAATTTGCCAGTAACCAACATAACCTATATTTACAATCAACACCATCAACTATGTTAAAGATATAAACATTCTATAAAATATTTTATTGGTTTACAGTGATATAATACTCTTATATGGGAAAATGGTATGATTGTATGGGAAAATCCTTAATGCTTTTTGTTGATAACACTCCTTCACATTGACCAGTTTTTACTTTTTCGCATACTTGATTAATTAATGTCAGTGAATGTCAAAATCAGGTGGGTATAATTAGGCCTGCAATACACTACTGTATAGAGGGATGTATGTGTGATCTTATCCGCAAACGGCTGGTGTGGCTGACGGTTTCCATTCCAACAAAGCAGGAGCAGACAGGTTCAGTTACTTAAAGACTGACCAACTGATTAAGTTGGTTTGAATGAAAATCTGCAGCCACACCGGCCCTTTCGAATAAGACTGGACACCCCTGTAGCAGAGGATAAACACATGTGAACACGCCGTTTATGTACTTGACCTATCTCGCTTTCACTGAACTGAAACAAGCTTGTTATTTACCAGAACTCACAAGGCACAGCAGCAAAGCAGAACATATTTTGAGGATTTTGTATGTTTCTAATGACATGTAGCTCATGGCAAAAAGCAAAAAAAAACAAGCTTTAAACGCGGAAGCCACACATCCTTTCCATCGTCATTCTCATGACACTTGGTAAACACGCTTTAAACTGTGATTGCTGCGTGTGGTCCATATGAGTGTGTGGTCCATATGAGCCCACACTGATAATACAAGAGCGCTTAGTGAGCAAGAGTGGTGCAAAAATGAAGTAGTTTCTGTTTCTGATCTAAAACATGGTTTATTATACTCTGAACCTGCGTGTGTTGGGGGTAAATAAATAAATCATCATTTATAAGGTGCTTTCTATTGAAGAGGTGGCTGTCCCAATCCCTACTTTCTAAATTTCAACTTCTGAAAAAAACACTTAAATTTTAATTAAGGTATAGGGTCACTCAAAGCAAAAGTCTAAACTCAATTAAAAATTAAAATGTGTTTTCAACTCTGACTTTGAACCAATTTGGTAGAATAATCCATATACTCATTAATGCAGCCTTCTTGCAACCCATTTGTCCCACGCTGCAACTCATCAGTGGGTTGCAACCCACAGGTTGGACTGTTGTAGACTATTTCTGATATCATAAGAGTTCTATGTTAATAAACAACCATAGTTACCTTACAAAAAAATACAATTTCATGTGCATTTTTACCAAGCTTGTGTCACTTCCAAACATTTGGCTTGTAATGTATGTGGAAGTGGTTGAATGGTGAAAAGGTGGAGACTTTACCAGTTCCACGGATCGGGCACATTTCTGGAATTGTCCCTCTGGCCCAGCAGCGGCCTCTATCGCAACAGCACTGCGGTTTAGTGAGGCGTCCAGTCATCTCCTGAGCGCAACGGCCACTCAACACGGCTGCAAAACAGGAGCCTGTGTGCTGACCTGAGACAGATACACACATACACACAGATTGACCATTACTTCTTCCTTTATGATGCTGGTAACAGAAGACAGCTACACATCTAAAGTGAGTGAACGCCTTCATTACTGTCTGAGAGGTCGACTGCACAAAAATCACAATTTTTCAAAAGAAAACACTATTATTTAAAAAAAAGTCATAAGCATGAATCTTCAATTAAATTTGTAGTGTATATCTGCACAGCTCTATGCTTGGAACTGGTACAAGGCTTTTTTGGATGGGTGGCGCACGACAGCAGTGTCCAAAATCAGCTCAGTATTTGTGGCTCCAGACGTTAATTCAAGTGAGCAAACTGAAAAGCACTAGTGAAACATATTTTCCAGCTCAACGCTCTCTAATCAGCCCATTTATCATGCTGCTCATCAGCGTATGATTTGACCCTACCTAATCTGTAATAGTTACAGTATGTACTCTATTTTCATATCAAAACTTCAGGCCCATCACATCGTGCTGTAAAAATACCTTGGCATCAGAACCACAGTGGGCCATTCTCAAGCCCACCTGTGAAATCTCAGACAATTTTAAAGCACACTGCAGAAAATGTAAGAGTAAGAAAAACCTATCATCACCTCATGTGACTCCTGTGCTTACTCTGTAAGTCTACTTCTATAGCTCTCGTTCTCCATATCTGCTGGCTATCTATTGGACTCTCTATCAATCACTGCACACATCTCTCTCTCGACAGTGGGTGGGGGCGCTGAGCTCTCTTTACTTTGTGAATACACCCTCCTGATATCAACAGTGTGGTGCGAAAGCCTCCCAGCTGAAGATGGCTTCACTTCCTGCAGTATGTAGGTCAGTCAGCCCCTGAAACGGGTGTTTTGTCTGACATCTGTTGCCCGAGATGCTGTTTGCACATGTGCTCTCATGGATTCATGAAAGCCAAGTGCTTTATCTTCTAGACCTGGAGTCACAGACTCCAAGCTAGAAATATGCTTTCAAGACTTTGTGCTCAATTCTACCCATTTTCAATAAACCCCTCAGTTACTGAATATTAAGTGTTAAGATTTAAAAGTCTTAAGATTAATAACTAATTAATAAGCCTGCATTTTAACCCTTAGAGGTCAGGTTGTTATTGTCATTTGATGATTTTACTAAAACATAATTAGGCAATGACAGTTATGACATCTAATTACACTGTTTTTATGATTTATGCGATTTAGATCGAAAGTTCAGGATCTGTACTTCAAACATTATTTATCAGCTTGTTTAAATGAGCTTGTCTAAGTAAGTACTAATAAACATTAAACTACACTATGCCTTCTTATCATTTGCAATTACTATTACTTTCTAAGGATTAAGGGGATAAAGCCATATGTAATGGATATTAAGTATGCATAGTCCTTATTGGGGTTGACCAATATGTGGTTTTTGGGTCTAAATTGATATAAATTATTGGTAGGCAAGGATGCCGATAACAAATATACTGGGACCACATTCCTTTTCCATAGATTTGAAGTTTATAGTGTGAGAATTTATAGGAACAATTCCAACACAAAATAATCTTTCACTATGCACTGGACAGGCACCAAAGCCTATATAACGATTCTCTCATTATTATTATCATAATTTTTTATTTTTGCTGATTTGACTTGCTTTTTTTGTTACTATAAATACTGGTTGATTAAGTGTTCAGTCTGTTTCTCTGGGTCTTGTAATGTTATTAGTTGTAAATGCAAACACAAAAGCAGTTTGCATGACATTCTAACATCTAAACACACACAGCTCCAAAATTACAGATGTTGGACAAGGAAAAAGAAACCGGAGTCTGCACACCGCTACTGCAGCTTTGACTGACTGTGCTCTATATGTCATATTAGCTTGTGCTAACACATGGAGTGCTAATCTCAGTGTATAAGCATATCCCAATCACTGCATCCCTCCTGGAGTACTCATTATGTAACACCACCGGACTCAATATGCTTGGAGGTGGGTATTTATTTGCCCAGTTCTGACCATGTGACCTTGCAGATGCTTTTGATTAGCTGGCACATCTTACTATTGAAAGAGATCCTTAAATGGTCGAGCTCCTCAGGAGTCCCAGAGCTTTCTAAAAATGGTCATGAGTTAAACTGAAATAGAAACACTTCAAGACAAGCATTCAAAACGCAGTGTAAACAGAATCCCGGAAACTGCACCCCTGACTCCCCTGCTGATACTACTACACCCCCACAAGCTCTCCTGATAATGCTCAGTGGAGATTAAGACCAAGGAGACTGAAAGAGCAGTGCTTTTACAAGCCTTGTCTTATCTCACACTGCATATCATGGCTCCACTAATGGATAGGCTTTAAGAGAGAAAGGGAGAAAGGGACACTGGCCAGGTCAGCAAATTTGTGGCTTTGAAGTGCTGACCAACAACTCGAATCTACCAAAGATTATAGTGATGAATAATAAAAAGAGTCAACAGTGAGGTATATATATATATATATATATATATATATATATATATATATATATATATATATATATATATATCCTCACTGTTGCTTTTTACTTTTACCTCACTGTTACTTTTTACTTTTAATGTAAGTCAATGGAACCAGACTTTTTTCCAAGTCATCATAGGTCATTTCTTTTAGTCCATTCAGCATAAAATTTTCATTAAAAAATTATGACTTTATAAAAACAAAAAATAAGATTTCCTGAACTACCACAAATGCTTATTGAGGGCAGTACTGTTGAGATGGGATAGAAGTCAGGAGTGTGGTGTGGCTTTATACAGCTAGCTAACAATACACATAACTGGTAACATACACACACACACACACACACAAACTATATATATAGACTGCCCATAGACTGCTGTTAGATGAATCTTTGTTTAAGTTAAGTTTCAACTGTAAATTGCTGTAACTGTTTTAGATGGTTTTATTCGGCACAAATTCAGCTTTTCAGCAGTATTATTAACTTTCATGTGAAGTCTCTACTGTTAGTGTGTGTGTGTGTGTGTGTGTGTGTGTGTGTGTGTGTGTGTGTGTATGTTACCAGTTATGTGTATTGTCATCTAGCTGTATAAAGCCACACCACACTCCTGACATCTATCCCGTCTCAACAGTACTGCCTTTAATAAGCATTTGTAGTAGTTCAGGAAATCTTATTTTTGCTTTTATAAAATCATATTTTTTTATAAATGTCAAATGTTTTGAAGTTTTCAAATGTTTTGCTGGAATTTACTAGTTGTAACTACAGTGGTACGAAAGCGTCTTTAAAGCTACATCCCTGCATTGACTGGAACAGGTGTATGGTTTGTCTAATGTGCTGATTGGCTATCAAGCAGTGACAACAAAAAAACTACCAAGAAAAAATGGCAGCTGAACTTCAATGTGTATTCACTAATATAAAGTGGTTCAAGTTTAAACATACTTTTGTATTAAAGGGTTGGTGCTTTGCACCGTACTGTATATGTATATACACAGTGGCAAACTGGGTATTAGAGCTAGGAATTTAGTTCAAGCAGGAGGAAAAAATACCACTGTCATATTGCTCATTTCTGCTAGCACACCTATGGGATTGTAATAGTATTTTAATGCTAAGCTAACAGCAATTCACATGAACATCAGGCCAAGCAAGACAGACAATATAAAATATGTTTTTTCATCATCAACAAATCACTGTTGTGAGTGTAATGAGTAATTCGTTTTAACTTCGTTACCCTTCTGATGGGTATTGTCTTCTCTCTCAGGCCGGAATGCTGGTTGGTTTGGGGGGTGGGGGGGTGTAATTGCAGGCTGAAGTCCAGCTGCTGACACTACGTGATCTCTCCATCACATTCTACCCAGACAGAGCATTCTATACTTGCCTCAACAAGCACTGCATAAAAACTGCACACATGCAGACACCCAGTGGAGAGAGTCCAAAGCCCAAGTGAGAGAGTGTGACATACTTTTACACAAATACGTTCCACATATGCATGAAGGTATAGTTTCAAGTACGCTCATGTTTCACAACTAGGTTTGATGCTTTAGACTGAGACAGAGGCAGGACTTTCATAGGGCAATATCTTTCCACTATAGCAGTGGTTTGGAGACTTGTAGTATCTTTGCCTGTACATTTTAGTGTTTTGTTGAAACAGTTTATTGAAGTGCTTGTTAATTAGCTGATCAGTTACATTAGGTGGGTTAGTGCAGGGAAAAACACCAACATGTGCAGGGCTGCACCCGGACCGGTGTTTGGGAAACGCTGTATATGCCGGCCAGATTTTTTCTGACATTTGCAATGTACAAAAATTGCAAGCATAACAAAAACAAAACAAACTGACAACATGACCCGAATTATTCATGCCATAAATTATGAAATACATGAACTAAAACATGAATAAAAATGAACAGAGAACATGAGGGACATAAATTCAGTAACATGTTACTTAAGGATAGTATTTTATATGATACCTACAAAGCAGAAATAAACCTTCATTGACATTTATAAATGTTTATTTCAGGAAGCCTCAATTGTCAGAAAGGCTGCTTTTGTGATTTCACATCAGAAAGTGTTACGACAACTGATGCTTGCTAAAATCAGTCTTTTTTACTTTTTTACTACTTAAGTTGTCACGAAAGGCTTACGTAGGTGTTGTGGGGCCTTTTGAACAGTGTTACCAAACATACTGGCTTAATTCTAAATGGAAGGCAGAAGAACTCATGAGATACTTTCACCAGTATCTTCCTCAAAAATCCACAAATACTGCAAATTTCATCTTTTTGAAAAAGTATGTAGAGACTCACTATGAACTGGAGAAGATTCTGGGGAGCAAACTGGGCTCAATTTTAATCACAAATATGCTGTATTCCTCCCTATGAACGTACAGACAGAGAGAGCCACTGTAACTTCTACACTCACCAAGGCAGCGAGTCTTGTCCGCAGACAGCACATACCCAGATGGACACACACAGGAGAAGCTGCCGACTGAGTTGGAGCACTGTCCTCCTTCACACACATGCGGAACAGTGGAGCACTCATCCACATCTGGGGAAAATTGGAGATGAGAGAGATTTCAGAATTGTGGTTGCATGTTATTTTTGGTAAAACCTTGGAAAGCCAAGGCAACTCTGATCTTCCCAGTGCAAGCAGAGTGTTAGCCAAAGAAAGATGTTCACATTTAAGCTTTCTATTTGATGGCAGATGTCAATGTGAACATCGTTTTGACAAACAGACAGGTGCAAATTTAAGGTATAATCTGAATAAAAAGTCTCAGTAAGGTGTTGGGACACCACAAGCTGCCAGAACAGGTTCAATGCCCCTCTGCATAGATTCTACAAGTCTCTAGAACTGTACTGGAGGGATGGAACAGCATTCTTCTGAAAGATATTCTCTCAATTGGTATTTAGACAATGGTGGTGGAGATCTGGTCTACATCATTTTCATACTCAGCAAACCAGTCAGGGACTGTGGATGACCATCAGAATAGAAGTGCTTCATCATAGGATACAGTGGATCAGTCAGAATATTTTTGTACCCTAAAATCTCTCTACAGACTTAAACCATGCCAGCAAAATGCTCACTCTAGGGGTCAAGCATTGAGGCCTGTACTGTTTTCTTGCTGTGTAGCACACCTGCACTCACCCACTCGTGGAGAATATGATGATAGATGATTCATATGACTATATCACTTTTTTCTACATCTCTGTAGACCAGCGTCTGTAGTTTGTGTACCACTCAACTCTGAAATGTGCATTTGTCTTTGTAATAAGGGCTTTAAGCACTGCAGCCCTACTGTACTATCTCTCCCTTTGTAGTTGTGGATGGACTGATTCTTGCCTACACAGTCTTATCACATATGGCACTGACATTCACAGTCACTTGAGGAACAGCTGTTCTTGTGTTTGTCCTTATATTTCGCACTAATACACTTGTCACTGTATGCATTTGACCATAACTTGCAGCCCTGCTTACTGATGTTTTTGCCATAGATCTAAATGCAGATGTCACTTTCTTCACTGTTCCTACTGAAAGCTGAGTAGTCTTGGTGAATGAAGCTTCTCTCACCTGGACCTCAACAGTGGACCCTCTTTCAAAGTCGTATCAGCCCTGATATTAATTTACATCTTTTCCTCTTGCCAGCTAGACCCAAAACCGCGGTCACCTGGGCCTGCTGAGGATTTTCACACATGCCAGAGTGCGGTAGGATGTTAACTGCTTAAATGTATTATGCAGTACACCGGTCTGAAAGCAACTGCACTCACTATGTTTCTCCCCTCATTTATTGAGCTTTTTCCTTTAAGTTTTCACCTCTCTGTATTGTACACAAGTGTTGTTGCTTGCACAACATGTTGTCACTGTAATAACTAAACCTTGCTGCAACTGTAAAGGAGAAGGACGAAAAAATTACTCTAATGTACATTCTAGATTTTATTTATCATTACTTTTGGACATTTCCACTGGGCCATTCATCATGAAATCATTACACAACATGAAGCACAGGGGAAATTCTTAAATGGTGTCAAACATACAAAATAAAAATAATGGTGATATACCAGTGATGATATATAAACTAGGAAACACAATATGCCACTTTGTGTATTAAGGACGAGGAAAGTTGGGTTCTTGGCTTGAGCTGTAGGCTGGCAACAGAGCAAAGTGATTCCCCATGTTTACCTCCGTCATGTGAACTGTGCTCTCAGTGCTGGACTGTTAGCTGAGTAAACTACAACTAAGCAGCACTAACATGCAGCATTTCCCAAAGGGAGAACATTTCCCAGAAAGGAAAGTATCTAACCACACTGAGTTACAACAGGTCCACTCTGACACCATTTTCTAGTTTGGTTTTGGATTTGATAAACTCACAAATAGCGTCTGAGTTTGTCTTTGTTTGGAATTTTCTGAGCACTGTAAGTGTTGTGATGCTTTATTGTCTTTTGTAAAGAAAGCATTCGTAGACAACATGATTTATCTGTCTTGATTTATTTAGCATTTTATTTCCATTAAAGTAAAGATTTAATGCAATTTTAATGTTTAAAAAAAAGTGCGATAAACTTTTAAAATGATCAAAACTTGTGGTCAGCCACAAAACATTAGCATAAGCGACAACTACTTATTTCCAAAACCATAAGGAAGCGCTATTTAGAGCATTAAGATAATGGCTGTGGAAAAGGGTTCCTTTTAGCCTGACAGGTGGTATGGAGATGAAAGAAGGTAGCAATTAGCCCACCACAAGTCTGGAAAATGCACTGAAGTACTGTGGGCATTGTTTCTGAATGGCTCTTATAAAGTATTCAATGACTACATTAAGTTTTTTTTAAAGATTTTGACTGTGACACTATGTAACTAATTATATACTATTTAAAAGAACCAGTGGTCCCCAATGCAGAACTTGAGCTTCCCTTAATTACATCACATGTTTTGTAGCTCTTAACAGAGCCAGGACAGAAAACCCTGAAGAACTATGATCCCATCAGAGACGTGCAGTTAAAGACACTAATGATAGAATTCATTCAGAACTAATTCATTAATAATTTGTTCACTACCCTACTTAAAAACTAGAAGTCCAAAATTTAACATATACAAACCAACAACATTTTCCTGATCCAGTGCAACGGATCATTAAAGGCTTTAAAACTAACCTTATTGGACGGATCAGGTAGTGGTGAGACATGACCAATCTACATTCACAGAAATAGTTCATGGTCTCACAAGGACCCTGGGTACAAGCATCTTTGGAGCCACGCTGTGACCCAAAATGCGTGCAGAAATGTTCACTGTTGGTGATAGGAACCAGACATCCGAAGAGTTTAATGCCTCTAAAAGCGGCAGAAGGTTATTACATGAAATAACTGTCTGAGACATTGTTTTGGTGTAGTTCTGAGATAAAATTTTGGCCTAAAAAGTTTTTTTTTTATCTATTCATGATAGAGTGGCACATGCAGGGCACTGAGAGGTAAAACAGCACTCAAAGAAAACTCAGATTCACCACTATTTGACCATCATCAACATTACACATAAAAACTTGGAAGACACGTGTAGGTTCACTGGTGGCTTTGGGTAGCAAATAAAATGGCTATATTTGCACTGTATACATTGCAACCCCTGGTTCCTTTTACCAACAGAGTAAAGAAATCTAAGTCTGTAAGCTTCTCTATAAGGAACCATTTCACATTAAACCACTCTAAATGCTTTGCTGTTTTAAAAAATTATTATTAATTTTTTATAAATTATGCAGAAATTAAAAAAAAAATGGTGGAACCTTTTCAACTCCTTGAGACCACTGGTGGTTCCAAAACGCACTTCGTCATATTCTTCATAACTTTCATATTTCATAAGCTACATTCAAAAGGCGGCTGTCATATAAGAGCTGTAACTGTCTTCTTTCCAGTCAAATAGATGAGTAATGTAATTTTAAACCCTTATAATAGAAAAAGCTGAACTCACAATATTTTTGTCTACTGAAAGCTGACCCATTTTCCACAAATCTGGGGTATAAACTATAAACAGATGGTATCTCTTCAGTGATCTGCTCTGTAAAAATTATTTTTATAAAATAATACAAAGAGCGTTTAAGATTTTTGGCTTTCAGCAGTAAATTGTAAGCAAATAGCAACATGTATGATCATAAAACACATGTTCTGTTAATCTGAAGGGAGCTTTTAAGAAAAATAAATAAATAAAATAAAAATTTACATTTATTTCATGCAATTACTGAATAATTTGCCTTACGATTTGGTCATACGAATTCAGATAAACCAAAATATACCCTGGTCAGTAAGAGGTTAAGAGTGCACTGGTATCAGATCTGTACCAGTAAGTATCAGTTAAAGCCCTGAGGTCAGGTATCAGAATCCGAAACAAGAACGAATAAATTGGATTGATGCATCAGTATTATTAATGAAGACTTTCCTCAACTATTCAATCATAAAAAAGATTAATAATGAAAACATAAATAACTGACAAACAAAGCATCAGTTTGCCAAGTTCAACATCAGTGGACACCAATGAGGCATCCTGCTCTGGATCCCAGTACTTGCCAATTTAAAGCATGTTATTTGTTCTGTCTGAGAAAATGTGAAAATGACAGGCCTGAGTCAACAGGAATGTAGAGACAGAATTTCAGCAGTAAATCATTTGGGCCACTGTGACTCAGCAGCTTCAGGTAAAGATATTCTCTTATGAAGGTTTTTTAAAAAAAAGACAATAAATAATCAGCATTAATTCATAAATGTGTGCTGCTTCACTGCAACGCTGGTGTGATATTAAACATTGGCTGCCTACAGTAGGTGGTCACACTGTTTACTAAACCATATAACACTCAATACAATACAATAGCCAGAACCGTGTTTCTCTGTAGCTGATGCCATGGCTTGTTTATAAAAGGTTAACATAAAGTCTGTTTCAGTTCCCACACCTTTAATAAAATCTCCAGACTTTGACTTTCTGTGTTCACACGAAAACAAACATGTTCATATCACATGAAATTCCCCTTAGGGCTTCATTTCAACACCTCAACCTCATACCTGACATTAGCATTCATCGCTGGATAATGACCACCTTCTGCTGCAACTGTGATGTCCAAAATCAAGATAAAGTACATCAGTCTTAGCCCTTATAAGCTCTTCCACTTTATTCCAGTTTCCCTCTGAGCTCTTGTTTGTTTGGTGCCATAGATACTCCAGAGTTCGTTTTGAAGCTCGAGGAAAGAGCACCGACCCTCAATAAAAAAGCATGGGTGTTTTGCCAACTGCTCAAACATGCCTGGAATCATTAGCGACCTGGTGCTTATATCTCACACAAACTGATCTACAAGCTGCCTTGAAAGCGCAAAACTGTTAAAACATTTTATTTACAATAACAGAATCAGAAAAGAAAAAGGAAAATAAACTTCTACAGTACCATGCAAAAGCCACAGACAATCCTTCATTCATTTATTTACAGTCAAAATGGCCATTAAGTTCATTTAGTCATAAAAGACTTTCTTTTATGATTCTGGTATTGTCATTTTTCAACATCATGACAAAAAGCAGAAAACATAATTAACAGAATATTATGCAAAAGCCTCAAGAATAATTTAATATTTTTTCAGTATTTCACGTGTCCACCCTTTTCCTTTATTACAGTTCCATTCTTTTTTAGAGACTTTTTCAAAGAAACCTGCAGGGATAGTTTTCAGTCTTAGAAGTTGGTTACATTTTTTGCTGATTCAGTGATGTTGAAATCTGGACTTTCTTATTTTTTGTCTATTCCCTTTTCTCAGTAAGGGCTTCTTGACAGCTACATATTCTTTCAGACTCATAGTGTTGAGTTGTCTTCTCACAGTGGAAGGACGGACAGAAACACCTGTGGATTTTTTCAGATCTGAAGCAGATGAAAGCTTATTGTTTATCTGATGGTGACAGATCTGGTGGTCTACCAAGTCTACCATCGTTGTTAAAGTGCCATTTTCTCTGTATCTTTTAATAATTTTTTGAATTTTGGAAACTCTTGTTTTCTTTCACTTTTTCCCTTCTTTATACAAGCGAATTATCTTATATCTAATCTTCTGAGAATTTTATTATTCTTTTTATTGCTTTTATTTATTTTATTAGTATTCTTTATTTATTCTATTTATGTTATTATTCTCAATTTCTTGTCTTACATCTTCTATTTCTTTTTATTTAATTTTTATTTATTTTATCTGATCTATTACTTGTTGAGTTACTATATTATAATTTTAATGGTTTATTGATTTAACAGTTTATTGGTACGTTCTCAAATTTACTATAAAATTTTAATATTACCATTATTTTTATTACTTTATTATAACATTTGATTTCTTTTTACTACCCAACTTCTCTATTCCTGAATTCTGTATTGCTCAGCAACATCATAAATGAGGGTCTTCCTCAATGTATTCCGAGTGTAAATAAGGGTTGATTGATTGATTGATTGATTGATTGATATCTTTAGAAAAAACTTACTTACTTAATAGCTGGACTACTTGACTGGAAATTAAATAATTAAATAGTGGTCTCAGACTTTTGTACAGTGCTGTACTGATATTTTGCTTATCTGAAGAAAATTGGATGAAGTAGAGGAGGGCAAATGAGGTCACAGGTCCCTAGGAATTCAATGTATGCATTTAAGGATTAACAAAGAAGAATGATGAAGAATGCTCTCATCAGTACTCACCCTCACACTTATTTGTGCCTTCGTTCAGCCGATGGCCAGCAGGGCATTTGCACTCATACGAGCCCACAGTGTTGATGCAGTGTCCTCCTTGGCACAAACCTGGCACAGCCTGGCACTCATCAACATCTGTACACAGACAGATTACAGTCATATTCTGTACAAGACCCAATTCTCTCCAAAAAAAACCCCATAAGTTGAGTTCAAAATATCATCGCTGTCATAAAAAACTGTCAGTTCTAAGGAGGAGTGTACAGAATCAGAAGAGCTGCATGGATCTGCCATTACACACTAATATTATCACACATATATAACTATGAAAATATACTAGTATACCTGTTGCCGACAATAAGGCAAAGAAAAGCCCAGCACATGTCTCTTTCAAAGACATATGATGCTGGGATCTTTTTGAAATGTTAAACTAAAACCATAGTAACTAATGGGAAACTGCTGCACTTGGCTCCTTGCTTCATTATAGAAAAAATTCTCAGAGGGTTCTCACCAAAAATTTCTCATAGCAAAATTCTGTTCACACCGTGTTTAGATTTATTACAAGGCGAGAATACTTTTTCTGTTCATATTCTTGCAAGAAAACTTAGAGGCTGCCTCCAAAAATAGTTTCAGTGAAAAATACAGTAGGAGAGTGACAATACTGTCTGAGACAGAAGTGCCATTCATGTGGCAGCAATATCCGCCTGCAGCCCACAGCCTGTGAAGAAGGGCCCCTTGTACCGAAAGCCTTCAGGCCATGAGTAGAAAGACTGCAGAGAATCAGGCAGCTGCGTAGTACTCAGTCCTGGCTGAGTGTTGAGTAGGTGAAAGAGTAGCTGGGTGTTAATCTGGGTACAAAGAAGGGTTCCATCAGGTCCCGCTGCACTGAAACAAGGCCACACTTCAGTCCCCAGAAAGACGAGACAGGTGAGGTCACTGGAAAAGCAAAGAGGCTCCTTGGAGGTAGAGTGGGAGAAAAATGAGGGAAGGAAATATGAGCGAGATCAAAACTCTGTGACTTTACACAGCCCTTGCACAGGAAGGATGAGTGAGTGGTTCTGTTAGGAATGTATTACAGTGAGTCATCTTCAGAATTTGCTCTGGATATCATGTCTTTTAAATTAGTCCATTGAGAGCCATGGTGCCCAGGAAATGTGCAGCTAGGACATTCAACAGAATTAAACACAAATTAGCTCTCCAAAGCTTCAAAAAGAAAGTCATTTTCTTCTAGGAAAAAAAACACAACATACATTTTCTCCACTAGTAATTGTAATTGTTGTAATGATGGAAGTTATACTGTATCCAGGCATTTTTAGAGTGCAGCTATAATTTACATTTATATTAACAGAGATTTTTTTACACTCAGGGCCTGATGAACTGAGCTTGTTCCCCAATTTCAGGCACAGGGAGGGCAGCACAAAATGTGGGAGGATTGTGCAAAAAGTGGGTGGAGGTATTTCTCATCAATTTATTTCTCATTGATATTTTGCCTTTCAAAAACCAGATGGAAATTTTACGATGGCAGCAGATACAGTAGTTAGACCAACAAGCCTAGAAAACTAAATTTATGTTTCCTATCTGAATAACACAATTTAAACTTTCAGTATCAGCTGTAGGCATTAGAAGAAGCCATTTATCATGATGTGGCTGCAATATGTGCATAAAGTCATTACTATTGTTTCATAAATTCTATTTTCTTAGCTGGAGTAAAATAAGACCCCTATAGAATTCTCTGGTGAGAAGGAACTTTAACATCTCTTCATCACTGAAATTTAATTCTCAGTTTTGTCTTGAGCTTGTTGACGGCTTCATTATGTCACTGTGTCTTTTAAACCCTACGGCTCATGTGCGAGCAGTTAGCAGACACGGCTATGCACTCTTTGTAAGATAAGCTGCAGTCTTTGTAAACTGAACATTATATTAAGGTGCATTGTGCAAGGGATATTTTCCAATGTACCTGCGCTCGTACATCTGGCCAACAGACCTCAGCCGGGTTAGACTATGAAATTGATGCCCTCATATCAAAACCTAAACCTCTAACTTTTTTTGCATTCTATTTTGTTACACCATTTGAAAATTTGCAGCTGCCATTTACATTGTGAGAACATTTCATGATAACTGGAAGTGAACTCCATTGGATGAGACGCAAGGTTTTGTTACAACAGTGACGATGTTATGGAACAGAAAAGAGTGAAACTCTCTTTCTTTTGGAATAGAGACACACATTACTGTGCAAAAGTTTCAGGCACCAAGATTTTATTTTAAATTAGATTTAAAAAACTATATATGTGGTTTATAATCTGGTAAGTGTTTATTTGCTTAGAAAAATGTAATTTTATGTATGTCAATGTGTTAACAGTATAACTTGTAAATTTCATTCAATATATGCTTGAACATAATCTGAAACCAAACTTTTGTATAAAATACTTTGTATTTAGATTTATTTGAATTCATTCAAGGATTATACAGTGTTTTTACAAGAAATACACACTGAGAAAAATGGTTTAAACCAGTTTGCTTAGCTGCAAAGACTTTTGCACAGTGCTGTAGGTCAATCAAAGTCATTCGAGATGCAGTGTCAGTGTTTGTGATGAGGCTTGCAGAAGAGAAAACAGTGTCTCAGTATGCAATGTGACTTACACAAAACTGTTACAATACGCAGAGCATCCTCTTTGAAAGTCAAGCCAAGATGTATATAGGGGGTATCAAAGATCCGAGCTTCTCACTGGATAAGAACATCAAAAGCACAAGGCACAGAGGCAGAACTCACCTGGCCATAAAAGTGGATATCTCTTTGCTCACCGCAAACTGCTACCAGAACCGTTGCTTTCATCTGTTCACTTGCATTAGTTAAATGTAGAGATTACAGAGATTCAAGGGCTTGAAAACCACTGTTATGCTACATAATATTTCATTACACAAACTGACTGGATCTCACTTAGAAGCAGTTTTGATGTGTGTCATTTTGCTGGCATCTAATGAAGCCACAGACAATTCAGTTTGACAATGATTTAAAGCTGTGTGCTCCGATGAGCACCAAAAGAACCAAACTCATTTGTTTTCGCCTTATGTAATCAAATCCAAGGCAGTGCAAGAAAAGAATCAAGATGGTACTAATCAAAACAAACCTAAAAAGCTTTCAACAGTAAAATGGAGAAAAAGGAGAAAACATTCTTGGAGCACTAATAATTCTGAGTCGCACAACAGCGCACACTCTACAGCTGAGAAAAAAGCAAGCAGCTTAGATACACTTCATATCCAAACATTTGTGGACACCTATACATCCAACATTTCTTCTAAACTCAATGGTATTAATAGATAGTTTGTATAAGGGATGTCTAAATACTTTTGGATATGTATATTAAGGGAAGCTATTAAACATTTACAGATTTTACACAATGCTTACAAGAGACTTAAAGAAAATTTCGTCATGGTTTACACAATTTCCCACTCACTCCAGATGTATTCGACTAGCCAAGACATGTTTAGTGTCCAAATTTCTCTTCTTCAGTTTAGCGCTGGAGCTACGAGACTAACATTGCTAACAAACATTAGAAGTCAACAGACACCCAAATATTTTCCATACATACATCCCCAAAACTTCTCTTAACCAGCTCATACCGCATCCAGATCTTATGGCTGTCGATTTGGTTTGGGACACAGCATGACTTACTGTAAACTATAAGAATGAACAAAACCTCACTGTGTATCTGAACACTGCAGACAGCCACTTTAGACAACAGGTGTTATCTTTCTGTCTGACACACTATGCTAAAATGTTATACAGTTATGCGTTATGTGGATGAGTACATTCATAATTTTGTTTTGTTTTTTTAAATACATAACTGTAAATATTGGATTTTTTAACCCAAGTTATATGTTCATAAATGAAACCAACAGAAATTGTAAAATTTAAAGGCGCAGTTTACAACTTCAAACCAATCCTTTTTTTTTTTTAATTCAGCTAATATCTCCTTCGTATACAGACCAAGCCCTGTAAATGAAAAGCAAACAAAGTGTCTCGAATTGAGGCATAAGACACTATTCCAGCCAATCAGCAACAGGGGGCGTTTGTGCTTGTGCACAGGACAGGGGGAGGGGGAGTGGCTATGTGCTGAACTCTATGCATTGTCAAGATGGAGAGATGGCTGAGAAACAGCCAAAGAGGAGAAGACCTGAAGAACAAAGATTGAGGAAGAAGCTCAGGCAAGGGTGTTTCAACATTGGAGAGACCTTCTAGGGTTGACCGTGAGATGCTTTAACAATGTCCTCCGAGAGCTGACAATGCTGAAGTTGGCTTTCTACTCACATTTTCCTGTTCCATTTTAAATTGTGAAGCAGTTCCATTCTGGTGCCTGGAGCGCCTGAACACAACTACTGCCTCAACCACATGTGAGGTAAAAGAAAAATCGAGTTCACCTAATTTTCCCTGAACTATTTCTTTAACAGCACAATGGGTTAAATATGAATGCCTACTTGCATGAAAGTGGATATTCTGCTGGCTTTGAAGTCTGAGTTCTGCTTCCACTTTAAATATTATAGTATGCTGCACTAAGAGGCACTGAGCTCTGAAACGGATACAGAGAGAGCAGTGATTTGATAAGGCTAACTATCACGCAGGACAATCCCAGTCTGTATTCTATATCAGGTGCTGTGTGTGTGGTGATTGCAGTGAAGAGTGGCTGTCAGTGCCAGCATAACAGAAGATCAGACAGAAGTCTAAGCTCACTCCAGCACACCGGCTCCTCCAGTTGTGCACAATCACAGGGGACTCACAAAGCCCAGTCTGTGCTGCTCATGCTTTGGGCACAGGATATCCACCCAGAGCTCACAGGAATCCTTCTTCTCTGAAGTCAAACAGAGATTTAGAGCAGAGTGTGTCAGAGAGAAATGTCCTGGGTCAGTCTGTATATTACACCCCAGCTCAATGTAAAACCATATGCACTGTCCGAACGCATGGAGCACGTTTGACTCTATATCCTTGTGGCTTAAATATGCAATATGCCTAATACTGTATGTCTGCTCCGTTTCCCTCTGTCTGCTTTTAAAACCATGAGGCAGCATTACTGTGCTTCCTGTCTCTGACTGGACAGTTGAGCATCCTGAATATAAAAAGCATCTTTAGTTACAGTTTCAATGCAGCAACTGAATGCTTCCAGCATGGGCGTTTCTAGGCCAGTTTTAGGCCATTTAGGCCATCGTACTTACCCCGCCTTTCCAAATAAATGCACAATGCACAATATAGTTTAATCTCATTCATTCTTCATTATTCAACAATGCCATCACGTCTCCTAATATATAATATACTGTGATAGCAGGGCGTGACCCGTTGGAGGCGCTGCTGCTGCTCTAATGCAGCACAGCCTCTGCTGCAGTACTAAAGATTAACTATTGTAATGTCAACAGTGGAACCCCTGGATCGGCCAATCATATCAGACCTCGTAAGTTGTAAGCCAATCATATTAGACCTGAAAAAAGTTGTAAGCCAATCATCACAGACTTGGGGGACAGTCTCTGGTTTTACTCACTCTACAAATTAACGTCAGTTGGCAACCCCTGAAGCCAAAGACAGGGTTTTGGCAAAAAGCTCACTAAAATAAACATTAGACTTCATGCAAAATCTAAAATATACAGAGTGAAGTCAGTTAATGTAATTTAAAAGATCATACAGTGTTGATCATAACCCAGTTTTATAACCCTCAATTCCTGAACCTAGGGCTGTATCTCTGACAAAGACAGTCAGATGAGAAGATTTTTACCAGTTAAAATTTTAGTTTAATTAAAATAATGTATTACTAAACACAGAAAGAGAGGGAGAGAGAAAAAGCTGAAGGAGGCAGGGCTAAGGGAGCAGATCTAATGGAGGTTTGTGATCAAGAATAAAGTGAGGGACAGTTAAGTTTTCAATTAAAATAATTATAGAATTTAACTGAACTTAACTGAGAAAATATTTGTCCCTCTCACCATAAAACTCTGTCACCTAGCTTATTAAACATGCCTCCAGAGCAAAATCACACTCTTTCTGATGGCACCAACTGAGAGTGAACTGATCTATAGTCTGTGTATTTGAATAATATATTTAGGACCTTGCAGCTCATCTAAGAGAGAGGAGATAGCATTGCTGGACTTCACTACCTTCACTTAACCTGTGCCTGTTGTAAGTGGACAGATATAGTATTTAAGTCACACTAGCTCAGTGCTTAATACAAACTACAAGGAGACAGACGTATTTGACCAAATATCCATTTTTGTACATTTTCTGGTTGTTGGTCATGATACTTGAAGTTCATGATAAGCAGAAATTTTGAGGCTATTAAAAGATTCTTCCAGGGGGGTGAAGACCCCCCTAGTACAGCCTTAGCCCCATTATCCATAAACCTCTAATGATGCACCTGGCTGCAAGCAGAGGAATGCAGCAAGTGAATGTTGTAAGCAGAGGATGTTGTATTGTCTAAATGTTTACTGGTTGGTGTATTCGCTTCAAAGCATTCTCTGGAGGTCAGTCTGATACGCCTGAAGAGGCTTAAGAACCACAACTTGCGAGCCAAATTCAGGGTTAAAACATCCTTAAGACGTAATATTCTAGTGTTATAGATCATTAGAAGACGCCATCTACTGCACACATGTCTGTACAAATACTAGACCAGCAGTTCCCAACCTTTTAACCTTTATTTTTTTTGAAACACTTAATGAGATAGATGATGTTTTCTGGCAGCTATTAAATGGTGAATGTCAAGCTGATAAGAGAAAAGTTGCAAACAGAATTCTGGCTCAGTATTACAGGTTTAGATTTATACCCACCATGTTTGGTCTCCAAATGACAGAGTGAAGTGTTAAGCTTTATTCATGTTAAGCTGTCAAAGCTTCATTTAGCAAGACGTCTGAGCATACAACACAGCTGCAGCTTTTAGTTCCCAAGCACATGAAGACTAACAGCGAGTACTCACTGCTGTATTTTCTTCATTTCGGTCTAACCATGGTTTTCTTTATGGACACAGTGGCTGCTTACTGGTTCAAGACCAAGCCTTTCTTTTGAAATCCTTTATCAATGATGGATGAATTCCATATGATCATAAAAAGAAAATGCTTTACACTCATTTGCACTAAAAACATAAACATACCTAGCTAGTATTTTGCCAGGCTAATCAACAGGCTGACCTAAATCTAATTATTTAGCTAATAATTATCATAATTATATCATATTTGTCATATTTAAATACATTTGTTCAATTGTGTATAAATTGTACACTAGAATCCACACTTTCGTGGAAGTGAGAAATATAATAATAAGATCAAACTACACTGTGCTTCTGTTATCATGTGATAACTGCAATTTAAAAGGGCTAAACAGAAATTTGCAACTGAAAAAATAGTAAATGGTAAATACTGGCTGTGTAAGTACTGACCTTGGCAGGCTCCAGTGCGGATGTTGGGGATGAACCCTCTACGGCAGGGCTGGGGTTGAACAGGACACTCCTCACATGGGTGACCCCAGGCTCGGCCAATAGTGGCACAGCACAGCGTCTTGGTGCAAACGATGCCACTCACCTGACCCTGGCACATCTGGTTGACCACCAGGGAGAAGCAAGGACCCGTTCGGTAATCTGTGAAAAGGTGCAGAATCACGTGTTAGAAGTATCAAGCTTATTGAAGTTACTGTAGAAAAAGTGAAGTATAGCGAAGTATAACATAGTATAGTTGAATCTCAAAAATGTTTAAGCTCTTCATGTGTAGAACTTTCAAAACAGAACTAATAAGCGAAGGTCTCAAAAAGGCTTATCCTGGCAGACTCCAATATTTCTTCAGAAACAAAGAATAATTTCCAATAGTCTTGATCTCAGCTGCACTGAGCTTATGTATGTCAGCAAAATGGAAGAGTGGATCTAAAAAGTACATTTCTTTCACCATCAAGGGATAAAATGTTGTTTAAAATAATGTAATTGCGATTTTGGAAGAATGCTTGGGATGGCAGATCTTAGCAGATTTTGCTCTTTGTCTTCATAAACAAAAATCTAGATTTTAAATCAAGATTTTGGAGTTGATAAGCAGGTAAGAACCAAAGAAGAGTACAATTTGCACTTGGGCTGTCACTTTGGTTACTTTGTTTCAGGATCACCTAAAAACCTCTTCTACTCTTTCAGTTCCATCACCATGGAAGAACAGACAATAATCAACGTGCTATTTAACTATGTATTGGCTCATTCTTTCTGCCTCTTCCACATGCACCTAGTCATTTTTATAGACGACGGGTGACTGGAACATACAACTGCTCTGGGACACTTCCGCAGTCCAGGCACTGCCACTGTTAGACCACTTTTAACGGTCTTATAAACATTTACAGAAAAGCTAGGAGGCCAGGATGGGGAGCGGTCTGTAAGGCAGATGACATGAGATGTAAAAGCTCATACACCCGAAAGGCTGCTTTCACTGCTTAAAACAGATTACTGAGTGTACTTTTAGTGCCTCATGTTCAGTATTAGTGGAAGAATATTTGATTAAGGCATAGACTATATGCGTCATGGTGCCCTGTTCTTTGAATCAATGGGAAAAAGAGCATATGCATAGTTTATTTATCAAATATATTCTGAAATATACAGAAATGCTTTAAAATGTTTTTGTTTGCCTGTTCGTTTTTTGTTTTTTTTGGCTTAAAGTATTTTAATGTTTGGAAGCATTCTGGAACAAAATATGATGCATTTAAAATGTATTCACAAAGACAAACACATGCCCATGACATATACATGAAATAAGATAAAATACTATGCAAAATTCAAACATTATTTAAAAAAAAATACATTTTTAAAAGATATAGAGAAAATGAGACTCCTAACAACAGTGCAAGACTTGGTAGACCACCAAAACAGTAGACCACTATCAGATAAACCATACTTGAGAGTCAGAGAGGAGAAAATCAAGCTCCACTCTCGCTTCAGATCTGAAAAAATCCACAGGTGTTTCTGTCCATCTAAAGCTGCTGCTGGGTCAAAAGCTTTACAGGGTCGAGCAGACAGACATGTCATTGCTTTACCCTGCTATTCAACTGTACATGTGAAAAGTCAGACGTAACTACTGGTATGAGCTACTGAGTGCATTCTTTGCTGTAGTGCTGCCCAGCACAATACAGATGCACTTCAGCTACCAGCATGTGTTCTGCATTAGAGCAGAGTAGGCCTTCTATTCCACCATGTGCTGCACCAGCGCTGCCAACTCCATGCACTTGAAAGCACTGCTACACCTACATGGATCACTCTGAAGAGCTTAAAAGCAACTTAAGAGCTTAAGGTTTTCTTTCTCAGCTGCATAATTCAATCTCTTTTAAAGTATCTGAAAGCCTTTTATCAGATGTTTTGGGTTTATACTGTAAAAACGTTCAAGGGCAATACTAATTTTCTATAGACAAGCTTGAGGCTCAGATATTTGTCATTTGTCCAAGGATCCAAACCATTGACCAATATTATAATAAAAAATAAAATCTTCCTTATTTCACATTAAGCAAAACCTTGGTGAAGTAATTCATACTAGCTTTAAGATTATAACCCTCATTATACCATGCCACACTATATCATGCCAGAATCAGTCTTGTTATAAAGTGCTTGAAATCAAGATTAACAAAGCTCTCTCTGCTTCTTCCAAACAAGCTAAATTAGCATTTCCAAATCAATAATGTAGTAAGTCAGCTATGTAGCGGTATGTCCAAGAGTTTGCGAATATAAATTGTTTTAACTATAAAATCTGCATATGCTCCGAAAACAGTATGTGTTTAAGTTCATCATCGTTATGATGTCACAACCATGAACACATTTACATATGACCATTCAGTCTACAGGTTTAGACTGCCCACTTACACTGAATTGATGTGGGGTGTTGTGACTGCAGAGTGGTCTGTGGAGCATAGAGATGAAACGATATGAAAACTTAATATCACGATTATAGTGACCAAAATTATGAAGGTTATCAGTGTTATTGTGGTATTGTTAAAATGCACCGTTCAAAAACTACAGATACACAAACTGAAATCATTTTATTAAAATTTATACTGAAAACTAAAAATAAAATTAGCAGCACTATGCAGTTTGTTTGCATAACCATTAAAATAATAATATAGCCAATACCTTATGTAAACATATGAAAACCATTTCAAATGTGTCATAACATTAAACGTGGTACCATGTGGCCATATGAGGTTTATTTACGTTATTAAAATATCCCAACTGGAGTTTTATGTATGCAGTTACCTGTAAATATCTGAGGTGTTAAGACATTTTAACCAGAGTGACTTACAATTTGATCATTTTTACACAGGTAGGTGAAGGTAGTGTTAGGAGTCTTGCCCAAGGACTCTTATCAGTATAGCGTAGGGTGCTTGTCCAGGCGGGGGGGGCTGAACCTCAGTCTACAGCATAGAAGGCAGAGGTATTACCAACTACACTATACCAACAATTCATCAGAACATTTTCACTATAAAGCGGAGGTGGAGGTCATGAAGTTGAATCACATGATTTGAAGTGTTGCCCCATTTCGCAGCAATTTTCTTTATGTATGTTCTGCAGACAGGGTCATCTAAATCACGTTTCCCTCTGCACTCTTAAAAAAACAACACACTACCACACTTCAGACAGTCCTCTTAGGAGGCTGAGAAATCTCTGGAGCACTGTCACTGACTTCAGCCATGTTTACTCTGACACAAAACACACCCTTGTTGCATGCTGTGCCTGCACCTGGGAGACGGTTGCTAACGTTGGTTGATACTGGACAGTATTTAACTTGAGTTTTTCAAAGTGCTGTAATCAACCACAGTTTTAATGATAATTAAAATCTGAAATGGTAATACTAACCGTCTGAAATTTCATTGTGGTTTACTGTGAAACTGGTAACTGTTTCGTCACTGGTTGAGTCACTGGAGTGGAAAATGTGGGGAATATGATTAAACACTCTGTTGATCCTGGCTAAAGCGAAAGTATCACTACAGACTTTCAAAGGATCTAGACATACAAAAGGACCGTGGCCAATTTTTTCTGGTGTCCCTGAAGATTTCAGTCTGAACTTAATAGTTTGTTGCGAACACTTCAACCTGGATCACTTTTTGAACATGGTGTGCCTCATTTCACTCATGAAGGGGTCACATAGAGGGCGCTTACGTACGTCAGTCTTAAAGGCACAGTAAAAAACACAGCCTGCTCAAGGGATAAAGAGGCTGTCTAAAATTGAAAGGGTGACTCTTTATGGTACAAAGCTGTTATATCAACTGTTCCTGTCCACTCTCTCTTCTTCTCTCTCTCCCCATACAGTTTCTCTTTTGTTTCACAAACTTTCTTGCTCGCTGTCAAGTGGTCAACAGCAAAACTGGCAGAGGTCACAAGTCTGGTGTTCCAATCAGTGTGTGACTTGAAAAGCATTCCAGCTACTTTGATTACAGGGCCTTTGATGACAGACATTGGAAGTGTTCATAAGACCTAACCAACTTTAAAAGTATCCTATTCCCCTTCCTCTAAACCTGTCAGCCAAAGATGCTTTTCTTTAAAAGGGGGTCAGACAGGTAAAAGAGATAGACTTCACATATGAGCTCATGTACCTGTCTGGACAAAACAGATAAAGCCTGTTACAAATGCTAACAGGGTTTTCCATGGTGGGATGTTGGACAGGACTTCACCTGTATCAGGCAGCACTTCACCTGTATCAGACAGTGCTTCACCCGTATCAGACAGTGCTTCACTTGCCTTAGACAGCGCTTCACCTGCATTACACAGCACCTTACCTGCATTAGACAGCACTTTACATGCATTAGACAGCATCTCACCTGCATTAGACAGTGCTTCACCTGTATCAGACAGTTATACACCTGTATCAGACAGTGATTAACCTGTATTAGACAGTGATACACCTGCATTACACAACATTTCACCTGCATTAAACAGTGCTTCACCTGTTTCAGACAGTGATTCACCTGTATCAGACAGCACTTCAGCTGTATCAGATGGCGCTTCACCCATATCAGACACTGCTTCATTTGCCTAAGACAGTGCTTCACCTGCATTAGACAGCATTTCACCTGAATTAGACAGTGCTTCACCTGTATGAGACAGTGCTTAATCTGTATCAGACAGTGATTCACCTGTATCAGACAGTGATTCACTTGCATTACACAGTGATGCATCTGCATAAGATAGCACTTCAACCGACATTAGACAATGCTTCACCTCTATGAGAAAGTGATTCACCTGTATCAGACTGTGACTCACCTGCAGTACACAGTGTTTCACCTGCATTAGACAGCGCTTAATCAGTATCAGACAGCACTTCACCTGCATTAGACAGTGACACACCTGTATTAGACAGCGCTAACTCAGTATCAGACAGCACTTCACCTGCATTAGACAGTGATTCCCTTGTGTCAGATAGCACTTCACCTGCATTAGACAGTAATTCTCCTGTATTAGTCAGCAATTCACCTGTATTAAACAGTGATTCAGCTGTATCAGAAATCGATTCACCTGCATTAGACAGCACTTAGACAGCCTGGAAGGCCTACCCAGTACTCAGAAAGACTTGAAATTGGTCTAAAATGATTTGGTATGGAAGGATCCAAACTACTCTTTTTCACTAGAGGCTTCACCAAGGTAGTTTTAAAAGCATCTGGAAAAGCACCTGTTGACAGAAAACAGTTTACAGAAGTTTGGACAGTGATTCACCTGTTTTAGACAGTGCTTCACCTGTCTAAAACACTTTTATGCAGCCCAGAAAAAATACAGCATTCTGTTTTTCCCACTATCACCCAGCACTGTAAAATTCAACACTGCTCAGTTCACCCACATCTGCTCCCACTCACCCCATACCTCTGATGTCCTTCCCAGAGATACACACGGACACACACACGGACACACACACACACAGACACACACAGGACAGATGAATACAAATATAACTTTCACTAGCAGACTTGACACGTTACTGCTGAGGAAGTGACAACATCCATGAAACATCTAACTCAACACTTCAACAATAATCCTGTGTGTGTGTGTGTGTGTGTGTGTGTGTGTGTGTGTGCGTGTGCGTGTATGTGTGTGTGTATTAAAGATGAGTGACCTGGTGAACATTTTCAGTTCGCTTAATTCTCTTTAAATATGTCCTATAATAAAACTATGTTTTACAGATGATCACCAGCTGAGTGAAATGATGCTGAATTTTGATATGATGTCCTACATAAATACCATATTTTTGCACCTAAAATAGATGAATTTGTTCTAGAAACGCAGCTGTGGGGCTGCTCTAGCTGAACAGACTTGGTGCTGAAGGCAGACATGTCTGTAAAAAAAGCTGCCTATGTTAGACAGCCTGACAACACAGCATCAGGTTTCAGACTTCAGATAAAACAGCTTATGGGAAAAACACGTCTGAGCTCTCGAACATCAGACTTTGTTGATTTGAAACATTAACACTAACATATTTACAAGGAACAAACTTAAACATGGCATTTTTCTGCTTACTTTAGTGCACAATTTCAATTTATTTGCTATTTATTTTTATTTATTTGCGAATTTATTTTTTTTTACCATATAGAAAAAATGACCAAAATGCCAATATGCCAACATTCAAATATGTTGAAATAAGCAATTAAACAGTAAAATGTGCAGAATAACATGTTCTCTGCATGGGATGTGTACTTATTTTCACAAAATCAACAAAATTAATTTGACCAAGTTTACCTTGTTAATGGTTTTGTTCAAAAAAGGTGGATGTTTTTTTGCACTCAACAACACAGTAATCTCATTTTGCAGTTGGTAACAAGGCAGATAATGTAAACATCCAGTTTTCACTTATCTAAAGACCTGTTAAAACAACAACGTTGAACTACCAACAAAAGCTGCAATAAACTTTGTAGACTGACCAGCATAAGTCTGCGCATTGATCTGAGCAGCTTTATGAATTACGTTAGTTAGTACCAAAGATGTGTACAAATAACTGAAGTATTCCACATATGAAACTAAAATAAAATGCTTTTGAAAGTAATTTTATGTACAGCAACCTTAGCAGACCTAAAACTGCATGCAACACTGACAGTCAGGTTACCCTCTTTAAAAACAACACACTTGTTCTGCCTAAAGATCTTTTTCCTTATCTATGATTGGACCAATAAGGATCTGTACTCAAATAAAACACCTGAACATAAACAAGGCCCTCGTTTAAAGTATCAAACTATGTTCTGCACATGTGCTTTAGAGGGTTAAACAGGGAAAAGAAGAGAGAAGTGAGTGCTCCAGCCACGTGACTACTCTCTCACTCTCTCTCTCTGTCTTAGACAGTGCATTCCACAGAGTGAGAGGATCAGCATTAAGTGATATAGAGCTCTTACCTCTTTCACATTGAGGGCCTGTGAATCCATACACACACGCACAGCGGTTTGGCCCAATGCAGCGTCCTCCATTCTGACACTTCTTCTCACATACAGCTGAAACACAAACAAAAAGAGTCCTCAATGTTATTTCTTTCTTTGTTTTCTGAACACTTTAAAATCAATCCACACTTCAGCTGCGCACCCTCATTAAAGTTGCACTACGTAAGTTTTGGGAATTTGGAGACCTCTCTGGTTTAAATGTGTAATTGCACGCAATGTGTGGTTTTGTAAAGTCGGCTGTGTATCAGATCCTTACGAGCGGATGAATCTGACGACTGTGAGTTCATTGAAGGAATTCAAAGAGATCTCAGCCAAAACTTAAATGATGTGTCTTCTGAGGATGTACATAAATGATCTACTCTGTTGATTTCGCATTGGAGACCTAAAAATCAGGCCAGACCTTCTTTTTGAGTTTGTGCATGTGATGTTAATATGTAAAGGTGTATGACATGGTTTGAAAAACTCTCACAAGATCCAATCTGCCGCCTCTGAATCTTAAATTATTATTTTAGACTTTAAAGGGTCACTCAGTAAAGCTACTTCTTTCAATTTTACCTGAAAGGTTTTTATAGTGCTGCATTGCTTACATAGTAGGTTCATAGTAATTACCAATTGATTAATTACAGTTAACAGTATAGTTATTCAATGGGTATAAATCAACCATCAGAGAGAACATATAATCTCACAAAAAGAATAGTGTTTTTTAAAATTAAACCTGAAAACAAACAAAATAAACTTTTAGAATAAAAATAAAAAAGCAAACAACAGTTTGACAAGAAAAATGAAGAAATATTCAAGATCCTGCATTTTTTCTGGGTCACTGTTCAAATTTGACCCCTTAAAAGACCAGGACTCACTGGGTCCAAAGTTTTACTATACACTTCTATAACTTAAGAATAACTCAATTTAGTCCATTTAGTTACTGAATAATAAGACTTAGTATATAATACGCCTGGGATTGGGGGGTTAAGCAACCTTGTGACAATGATTGTGTTAAGCCCTTTGTACAAAAAGGTCAGAGGTTTTGTGAGTCTTATCCTTCTCAATGAAGATGACTTTAAGGTAGATTTGATCTGCTCATCAGAGGATTTTGCACATGTGGAGTCAAGTCAACATGTCAGCTTGAAAGTGCACTGTTATTAAAGCATACAGAACAATAAGAAATTCTGAAATTCATTGTGACAAATACTTTTCACTTAAATTGTTATTCTGATAACATAACTTGTCATGAAATATTTTGACTGAAATTAAAAAGGAATGCAAAAAAGAAGCATTTTCACTTACAGACTTAGTTATAGACTTTGGGACCGCCTATACTGAATATTGTTACTGGATCAGTGTTATTTTAACAGTATTTTTTGTGTGAGTTGTGTGTGGTTGTGAACTGTATATTGAGCCCATAGTATGATTAGAATTCCATCATTTGTTTACATCAGTGAACTATGGAAATGCCCAGGAAGATAAAATTACCTTTTAAGGTGAAAGGGCAACTACAGTCCAAGGGTTTGCATCATTTCTATTTCATCAGAAAACATTATAGAAAACTACTTCTATGGAAGATTTGTATTCTGCTTCAATGGAAATGGAAACATTAACAGGTCAAACAATCAGTCTTCAAAGTGTATTTAACCTTGTGATGAATGCAAAGAAGTGTGCTGCACAAAGAAGTAGACACTGATTGCACTGGCCAGCTATGTGTACACACTATATGGTCAAAAGTATATGTTTTGTATATGACCATCACAGCTATATTAGCTTGTTGGACATTCCATTCCTTTTACTCTTTTTGGAAGGCTTTCCATAAGATTTTACAGTGTGTCTATAGGAATTTGTGCCCGTTCAAACACGAGAACATTTGTGAGGTCAGACACTGATGGCGGACGAGAAGGCTTGGCTTGTAAACGATGCTCTAACTCATCCCAAGGGTGTTCAACTGGGTTGACGTGAGGGCTCTGTGCAGGCCTCTGGAGTTCCTCTACAAAAAACACGTCAAACCATGTCTTTATGGACCTCACTTTGTGCACAGGAGCACAGTCATGCTGGAACAGGGAAGGGCCTTCACACAAAGTTGCCACAAAACTGTTGCCTCCACTAAACTTTACTTTTAGCACTATGCATCCTGGTAGGCAGCATTCTCCTGGCATCCGCCAAACCCAGATTTGTCCATTAGACTGCCAGAAAGTGAACCATGTGGAGTGATTCATCACTCCAGAGACCAGTTTTCCACTGCTGTACAGTCCAGTGGTGGCGTGCTTTACACACTCCAGCAGACGCTTGATAGTGCATATATTGATATTAGGCTTTTGTGCAGCTGCTTGACCATGGAAACCCATTTTGTGAAGCTCAACACACAGTTCAGGTGCTGATGTCGCCTCCAGACACTTTAAGCCACATAGTGCAACTATCTTATTGTAGCTATCTCAAAAGCACATAACACGAAGGCCTTTTCATTAAAAAAGGCTATTCAGTTTCAAAAGGACTGACTCAGATTAGTCAAGCACACAAAACAACTCAGCCAATAAATCCTTCCCTTTTCTTTTGGCATTCTCATTATTAAGGGGAGTTAGATTCCTCTGGGCCAGAAAATATCAGTGTTATATGTGATTTTGATCTCAGTGTTAGTTTCACTGATGCTGTCACAAATGAAGTCTGTCACTTCACTTAAAAATCAGGTCAAACCATTCATCTTTTAAAAAGACACCTTTCAGCCACAGAGCCACAGACAGAGAGGACGTCCAAGGGAGTAGTTTAATGTGTGAAACTATGGGAATTCCATAAACACCTGATTTAGGGGTTTCAACACAGAGTATTTGACATTTAAAACTGCAGAGCCTTGACCTCTCCCACATATTTCTCCAGCAGAATGACAGCGGAGCAAGACAGGTTCCCTTGGCCTTTCCTCCCTTTCAGCTATAACTACTATAACTACTGCCCACTCACTCAGAGAAGAGTTGTTGCTGTTCAGGGTAATTTACACCTGCTGAAAGCCTGGAGTTTTTGACTATTACAGGAATACAGGTGGCACTGAACTCCAGACTGGGTGTGCTATTTATGGCAGAGCTAGAGCCTCTAAAACCTTTTGATATAAAAAAACACATATTTTAGCAGGGTTTGGTGCTCACATAAACTATATATATATATATATAATGTATATGTATGTATATAAACTAACACTAAGTATTTATATCAATGTTAGATGTATGCACTGTTTGAGGGCTCTGTTTTAATGCAATAATCAACATTTCTTAAGACCTATTACTGTGTTATTACAACAGCATGACAGAGATACTGATGTAAAGGTCGAGACATCAAAACATGGATTCAAGCCTGTTTAAAATGAGCAAGAAGCAAACAGAGTCAATTAGTATGGCTGAGTAGACGTTCAGCACATTATGTGCACAAATAAATCTGTGGCACTTTATTTTAACGCTACCTATATAGAGATTTCACAACAAATGCTGAAAATGAAAATTAAATAAAACAAATGCTCATGCTGGTATGCATAAGACAACAGTGCCATGTTCTGTGGTTGTACAAATGATTTTGATGCCCTAAAGATAAAGTAACAACTTCTATAATTAATAGCTCTATAATAACGTATATGACAACTTATAATTAATAACACTATAATGACACTTTTGCTAAACCATTAGTCAAAGTGGATGGAAAAGTGATGGAATATGCTAAAATGAACCTCATGGAGTAAAAAGTGCAACAAACAATCAAATAAAAAGAAGAAGTAAGTATTTAAGAGAAACAGCTTATGCCATATTGAGAATACTGACATAAGCTGTTCATAAATACTTATGCATTGCTTATCAAACATGTTATTCACCATTTATGCATGTGTAATGAAGTCCCTAAATAGGTAGCCTTCAAAATAGAATAAATTATGAACTTACAATTGTGCTTTAAAGTTTGGAATCACTTGTAATATTAATATTTGCTGCTTTTATTCAATAAAAACCTGTGAAGTATAGATCGAAATACAATAAGCTAGGCAACAGACGATACTTTAAGACGTTTTAATGGGAACATTAAAAAGAAGTTTTATATATGGTTATTAAATAATACAGTGCAATTATTATTATCTAGTTACAGTGATTTCTCTGTTTAAGGATTTACCTCATATTCCCAAAAAAGTACTTTCCATATTCCCAAAAAGTACTTTCCAATAGAAGGTAAAAAAACATTCACAGCTTTCAATGTAAGGTAATGTAACAAACTGTAATCTATGTCATTTCAGACCGTTTCTGTTGGTCTTTATGTCATAAAACTTTGACATGGTGTAAAAAGCAGCTGGTATTTTCAATTTATGTAAAACAAACAAAGAAAAGAAAGTGACAAACACTGACATACATGGTTTTGTTTAAACAGTGACGATATATGGACTTGTTGGACTGTCGCCTTAACATATCATGAAATTTGCAAGCCAAAAAACCTCTCTGGTTCATTTTTTATGTACTCACGCTGCCCACAGTAGGTTCCTGTGTAGCCCTTCTGACACAAGCAGTGATCCTCCTCACACATTCCTCCATTCATACACCTGATGCTACACTGCTGGGCTGCAGCACAGAAAGAAAGACAGACACTGTAAACATGGCCATACAAATCTGTCTGCAGCCTGTTAAAACTCCACAGCACTTTATGACCCCTGCACGACACGATTACCTTTCAGGCAAATGTTTTTATTGTCAAGGTCATAAAGCTGTTCAAGAAGAAAATAATCAGAAATGGTGTTTTAACATCTCAGACAGGATTTTCCTCCCTTTTTTCCATTTCAAATTTTAAGCTACTGACTGAAACTTACAGGATTTGGCTGCACAGGATGGGGCAATTTGGCCAGTGGGGCACGTGCACATGTTGGGCCTGGAACAGAAGCCATCACCACAGCTATTACGGCATATGGCTGTAGTGGAAAAAGGAAGTGACAATATTAATATGATAGCCATCTTCTGAATACAACAGAAAACAGGTCTCCCAATAAAAGCCAAACAACTTACAAAGAAATGTATTTAAAAAGTCCTAGCAGCGGATAAAAGCAAAGAAAATGGAAGGAGAGCTACATTTTCCATATGCATTTTTGTGCACTAAGCCAAGAGAAGACAACTTTAGACAACTGATTTATGTTCGCTGAGTTTTTCTGTAACATCTAATTCCCAGGCGTATGTATGTGCCTAAGTGGATCATATCCAAAGTCTCCATTTAGCAAGATTCACAAAAGACCTAGACTGTAAAACTTTTGGAAGAGCTCTTAAGATCCAATACAAATACAAAGTGATGCATGTTTGGTGCTGAAGGATAAGGCCACACACTAAAGTTCTAAATATGTTACTACTGTATGTCAGAGTCATCAATTTAACCAAAGATTTAACTAAAGGAGAGTCCAACATGAGACACTGGCCTCCAGTTCACTCCATCTGGTATGTATGTGGAACAGGTTTCTAAATCAATTTCAAACAGATCTGAAAAACACCTACTCAAAAAATATTGATTCAGAGGAGAGCAGATGGAGAGTGGGAAGAACTAGACAACTGACTACACTTTTGTATGGTGAACTGACTGATCCTTGGAAGAAATGCTGTGTCTGACATATGATGCTGCACAAAATTCAGGGACCATATTTATTTATTTAATTTCAAAATGGCCATTAAATACAGTAACTAATAATGACTCCTTTTTTTTAGGAGACATTTCTGAGGAGAATATATATATATGATAATCTTGCATCAGGAAGAGGAAATGTTACAGAAAAATAAGTGAAAAAAAGAGGAGTTTTCAAACCTAGAGTTCAAAAAATTATTAAATGATATGCAGAAAATAGGTCCCACTTTATATTAAGTGTTGCTAATAAATGTGTAGTTACACATGAATAACATACACAACAACAATGTAACTACTGATGATTTAGTCAATGTTACAGATGGATTACAGAAGTACAGCCTATGTAATTACACATGTGTATCAACTTCAGTTTTGCCTCATGTAATTTCACAAGTGTATCTTTTTGATACACTACAGATCAGAAGGCTTTTCCAACAGTAAAAGGAAGTATGTTTTACGTAACATTACATTTATATACATAACTGTGTGTAAACAAGGTAACCTAATCACATCACATTGATTAATACCATTCTGTAATTACGCTGTACCTTTATAACAACTACACAGGACCTTTCCTGTAGTGTAGTGTTAAAGTTACACTGTAAAATAAGTGGACAGTTCCTTTGTAGTTGGTATGTAGGTACTGAGTAATAATGGAGTGGTAATAAAGACATTGCTTTGGGGTAATGCAAGGCATTTAATTAATGTTATACATGTTACATGTTAAGATAAGTGGACATCTGCCGTACTGTCACATTACAGAATGGTTTGAAGTTGAAACTGGTTACAGCACTAGCAACATAAATTATAAAATTTTATAAATTTTAGGAAAGTTGGCAGATGTGTGTAATGATTTTAAGTATGATGATTGTGAGTGTAAGTAATGTCTTAATATAAGTTATTACATACTTCCTTTTACTGCTGGAAAAAAAAGTCTGAAAACAACTGCTGTTTCAGTATGATTACAAATGTAATAACATTTGTGTTATTACCCTTGTGTAATTACATGAGAGAGAATGTGTTACAACTATTAAGATACACTTGTGAAATTACATGAGGCAAAACTGAACTTGATACACATGTGTAATTACATAAGGTGTACGTCTGTAATCCATCTGTAACATTGACTTAATCATTAGTAGTTACATTGTTGTTGCATATATTGTTTACATGTAAGTACACAGTTATTAGAGATACTTAATATAAAGTGGGACCAGAAAATACAAATAAAAACTCCTATAAGCTGTCACCATCAGATAAACACTGTGTCTCTGTCCATTCTTCCTTACTGTGAGATGACAAGAACGTTATGGGTCTTAAAGGATCTGTGACTGTCAAAAAGTTACTATGAAGAAAAGTCTGGAACTCAACCTCACTGAATGTGTTAGTAATTACTTGGATTGTGAGAAGCAGAAAACACAACCAACTTCTAAAACTGAACTTTGGGGGTGTGGAAAAATATCCCTGGTAATTTCTTTGAAAAGCTGCAAGCAAATTTATTGAAAAGCTGTAATAAAGGTAAATGGCTGACACAGAAAATACTGAAAAAGCAGACAGTATGTCTACTGTTAAATATGTTTTTGGAATTTAAATAACTGAAGGGTGGTCTCTGACTTTTGCACAGTACTCAATTTTTTTGTGTTGACACATTTAACACAAAAATTAATTCCTACTCTCAGAGAATACATAGAATTACCAAGAATAGTATATGTAATGTCAGGTGTATATCCAGCTACTGATAGAAACACCTGTATAAAACTCTTATGTATAGTTCCTAAGCTGATAGGCTCTCAGTGGGGAATTATGAGCCTTAGCCATGCCATTGACTTGTTTGTTGTGATATGTTTTTCATTTCACATGTAAAATAAAATGATTCTTGCTCAATTATCCTTAAAATGCATCAGCTCCACCCTTACCTGTTCCTTTAGGGGGACTTTAAAATGTACTGTTTCACAAAATGGCATGACAACTCTTAGTTCACCACTCCAGAGGCAATCAGCCTGCTATGTGAAACAAAACAGAAAGCAGAGACACAAGCAAAAGTGTCCTAGTTGCACATGTCCTACTGACCAGCTCAGCAGAAAGACAGTTTATCATCTGCAACATCTGGTGCATTACTTACGCACAATACACTGGTTGCCCCCGGGCAAAGTCTTCCAGCCTGGACAGCAGTAGGAATGCAAACGAGATCCACACACGTTCGGCCTGTAGAAGAGTATTGACAGTGTGCCTCAGTGTCAGAGTTTGGAGTTTGATTCATCTTCTCTGCTTGGGAACATGTCACACACTCAGCTTTTAAGCAGCTATGATGATGCTTCAGCCTTCTACTAAAGTGATTCATAGAAATTCCCATATTCCCATTTGAACCATTGGTTGTTGGAAAGAACGCAATCACATTTCACCTGTCCTGTGATAAAAGGCTACTGTATGCATTATTCAGGGTGACTTGTGTACATCCCCAAGTTCTCCTTGTCTAAAACGTCCGTAGCAGGGAACACTAAACTTTCCTTGTTTTTTTAGAATTAACCCCTTAAATGGCCGGGACACAAAGGCAGGGATTTTAAGTGTTAAAATGTTTGATGTTATATGTAAATTCTGTTTGTTTCAAAACATACCATTCACTCCACATTCCATACAGCCTATATAAGAACACTGAGCTGAAAAAAACAGAACATTTAGAATGAATTGTTTTGGTGTATAATGAAAACCAAAGTATTTATATACACTAAATGGCCAAAAGTATGTGTGCTACACCTAATGTCATTTCTGACCTGTTAGATCTGCTAGGTCAGCTGAAAGTGCTATTATTGTATAAGGGAAGCATTGTAGAACAACAGCAGCTTAGCCACAAAGCAGCAGACTACACAAACCACACAAGAGCGGGGCCATCAAGTGCTGAAGCATGTAACATAAAAGCCACCTATCCTCCATTGTACAACCCCATTTTTCAAAATGTCAATAAAAACAAACTGCAATGATGTGCAAATCATTTAAACCCTATACTTCATTTAAAATAGTACAAAGACAACACATCAAATGTTGAAACTGACAAATTTTATTGTTTTTTGAAAAATGTATGCCCATTTTAAATTTAAAGTTGGGACGGGGGCAAAAAAAGGCTGGTAAAATTGTGTAATGCTAATAAAAACGTGATTGGGTATAAAAAGAGCATCCCAGAGAGACGTTAAGATGAGGAGGGGTTCACCACTCTGTGAAAGAGTGTGCGAGCCAATAGTGCAACAATTCAAGAATAACATTTCGCAATGTAAAACAGCAAAGAACTTTTGCTTTTCATCATCTACAGTACATAATAACATTAAATGATTAAGAAAATCTGGAAAAATCTCTGTATGTAAGGGACAAGACCAAAAACCAGTATTTGCTGGCCATGATCTTCAGGCCCTCAGGTGGCACTGCATTAAAAACAGACATGATTCTGTAGTGGAAATCACTGCATGGGCTCAGGAACACTTCTGAAAACCACTGTCTGTGAAAACAGTTCATCGCTGCATCTACAAATGCAAGTTAAAACTCTTAAATGCAAAGAAGAAACCAAATATAAACAGGATCCAGAAATGCTGCCACCTTCTCCAGGCCTGAGCTCACATAAAATGGACTGAAGGGAAGTGGAAAATTGTTCTGTGGTTCGATGAATCGACGTTTTAAATTCTTTTTGGAAATCATGGACACTGTGTCCTCCAGGCTAAAGACCACTCTGCATGTTATCTGTGTACAGTTCAAAAGCCCATGATACATCTTAGTTGACTCTAGGAATTCAACTACAAGACAAATGTAGGATACAGACCCTTTAAAGTGTGAGAACACTGATGATAATCTTTCTTTTTCATTATTTCAAATTAAGAATGACAAATGGCATGGACAAACTGGAAAGAAGATAGGAGCGTGTCAACATCATGTTGGTGATCAACTAAAGCATTTGGCAAGCATCACCCAGGCCACCCAGGTAGATAACTGCTACGGGGGGGCTCCAACACTGCACCCATTGCCCCTACCCCCAACCCAACAAGAAGTTTTATTGGTATTCACCATACAACTGTAAAGAGTTGAAAAAAAAAATGTTAAAAATGGTAGCTACTGACAAATTTACATTAATCTACAATCTCAGAAAGTAAAGGAATAAAAGCCTGAAGCACTAGAGGATGTGAAACTATGAAAAAATGTGGTCTTCTCAAGAACCAGTGTTCATTTATAGCTGCAGTAACAGATAAGACAGTAAAGACAAATGTGCCAGCATTCTGGTCAGTGGAATAGCATGACCTTTTCGAGATTCAAGTCAAACTTCTTCACAGCTGTGTCATTTCCATAAGAGGAAAAAACAACGGCCATCACTTACTCCAGGGTGAGACAATGTGGGGTAAAATCTCTGTTAGGTTTGGAGATTTCCCTTACACCTACCACCACATACTGAATTTGTGATACATATGTATGCAAAATAAACGCTAAAATGAGGCACACAGACGGTATCTCATGACAGAAGAATGACACGCATAAAAGGCATTTAATAAATACACATGGAACATGAGGTACAGCTTATATAGCTTACAGCCTACTTTCTATTAACACTTTATTAAGGATATATTATTTTAGATTATTATAATTAGATTATATGTCACTTTGAGGGCCACGTTAATCCTCAAACGTCAATATTTTGCACACTCCTGCAAACAGTTATAAGAAAAATTTAATTCTGGTGGTTTAGGTGATGCAAGACAGACTGTATAAAGGACATACAAACAAGATATATATTTGGACATAAACAGGATGTCTGGTTCCTATCACATCTCCTGTGAACAGTTTTGGAAGTGGCATTCTGGAAGTTTCTCAAAAACAGGGCATTTCACATCAAACCACTCTGAATGACTTTGTTTATGTCTTAAACATTTACATACTTAAATAACTTTGAAAAATGGGTGGAATTCACCTTTAAGTGTGAATGTCAGACCGAAGGGGAATTACACCATTTTTTTACATTTCTCGAACATGCTGCCTGCTGTCTGAGACATTATTTTACAAAAGTTTTGACATAATTTTTGTGCAACAATGATTTTTTTAAAACTCCATTCACAGCAGAGAGAGATTCAGGGCACTGTAAGGCAAAATGACCCCTGAAGAAAACCATGCTGATAACATTACCACTATCAATAGCACATATAAAAAATCAGGACATATGTAGACTCATTGGTCATTTTGGACAGCAAATAACAACAGATAAATCTGCACTGCAGACATCGTGACCCCTGGTTCCTATCACTACCATTGTAAACCACCGAGTCAATAAGTTTCTCAGCAAAACCATTTCACATTAACACACTCTGAATAAATTTGTTTACATCTCAAGCAGTAAATTATTAAAATTACTTTTAAAAAATTGGTGGAATTCCCCTTTAATCCTCAACTTTCCACACACCACTGCAAGTATGAGTAATAGTTAGGCTGGATTTTGGGCAGAGTAGGTGAGCAGGTGAAGGATAGCAACAGCCTGATCTGTACATAAACTGTGGTTAATGCTGAGGTGTAATTATGAACTAATATTTTCAAAAGAACTGTTCTCAATATCTGGCTTGATTTTTCTGATATTTTATGTGTTAAAATGTTCTGATTACACAGAGCTCTAAATGTATATATGGTTCAGCTCAGGAAAATACTAGCTTTATTTCAAAACAAGATACTGAAAACGTAGCATGTCTCTGTGGAAACTGGTGATCTTATAAAACAGTGCAAATGAGCTAAAGCAGTGTGAGCACACGCGCCCAGATGCAAAGAGGCTGACAGTTGGAAAAATGGCAGTTGGAAGAGACAGAAGGGCGTTGAAGGGCGGCTGAGTTTTACATTTCGATACACTTTTCAACCCTTCACTTCTCGATGTTTCGACAAGTACTGAAATCATCACGTCCTCAGTATTAATGGAGGACCTCCAGAGTTGGCCGTCCTCCTGAAGCTACTCACCCTCTGAGCGCCTCCTGCTTCCCGCGTCTCCTCACTCTGCTGGCCGCGCTGCTGTCCACCTGAAGACGGCCAGTTCTCACAGGCTCAGCGGGCAGCTCCGCGGCCACCTTCATCACCAGCACAGCCAGCAGAGCCACGTACCCGGCCAAACGCCGCAAACTCCTCTCTGACGACATCATACAGACCTTAGACGTTCTCGCTTTCGCCATAGCAGAGCTTAAGAACCGCGAGTATTCCCCAAACACGAGACTGCAGTGAGGCAGCTACTACAAGTCCATCTCACTTCTCAGACGCTCCAGCTCCTCTGAGGCGAACAAAACTACTGTAAACAACTAAAGAAACCACAGTGTGAGGAAACGGCGCGGCTCATGTCCCGGTAAATGAGCGTTTTTCTGGCTTGGAAAGAAGGTCTGAGGGAACTCGGGCTTTCGTCCAGTCATCAGTGTGGAGGCAGAGTCACAGCCGAGCTCCGGTGTCTCGCGCCCCTCCAGGCTTTCATCAGCGCGTGCACAGGTCTGAGCTCACAGGTAGAGGCGGGAAGGCACTCTGACTAACCACGAGCACCCCACCGCCAAGAGCCAGCCAAGCCCGCGGGGTCGTATTCAGTGGAGTGTATCAGTGAAAAGTAAAACAACTGCGTGATTGTTTTTTTAGTCTTCTTGACTTTCATACCAAATGCAGGAGTCACTGTAGGTCCATCTACACGGCCACATGAACTTAAAGGGGCACTCTGGCCTAAAACTGTTAACATTTAACGTGTTTATGCTGTTATCCTGTTTAATAAAAAATAATACGTGGCCCTGCCATATTAAAGTGTGGGAACACGATCCTAATGCGAGGTTATGACTTAGTAAGGCGGGGGGACGAGATAAATGTGTCTTGACCATGACTTAATGAAGGTACGGAGGTCCACTGACATCCTGTATAAATAAAAATAATGCGTGGCCACGACTTAGTAAGACGTAGGAACAAGATAAGTCGTGGCCACAACTTAGTAAGACATGGGAACAAGATCCTAATGCCTGGCCATGACTTAGTAAGGCGTGGGAATGAGATAATTAAGTCATGGCCACAACTTTGTAAGGCGTGGGAACGAGATCATGCCTTACTAAGTTGTGGCCACGACTAAATTATCTCATTCCCATGCCTTACTAAGTCGTGGCCAGGCATTAGGATCTTGTTTCCACATGTTAATAAGTCATGGCCATGCATTATTTATATTTATATGGGATGTCACCAGCAGGGCTCTGTAGGAAGGAGATTATGCCTTAATAGGCTGTGGCCAAGGCTTAATTATCTCATTCCCATGCCTTACTAAGTCATGGCCACACATTAGGATCTCGTTCCCATGCCTTACTAAGCCGTGACCACATATTATTTTTATTTATATGGGATGTCACCAGCAGGGCTCTGTATTATGCTATGTTATGTAGCATCACGCCTCGCTGCCTCACCAGTTTGACATAATTCACAGTTTTGCATCGTTTTTGTCCATTAGTGCTCCCTCACTACAATACCCAGCATGCATAATGCAAATACATCATACAATCATTGAGAATCCTTACAGTGCTCAACAAATTCTGACAGCTAGCCACTGATACTAGCTAATAAATATGTGGTGTTAGCTAGCAGTAACCTCAATATATCAACAAATGTTTGTAGTGATGTAGCTAGTGAAAAAAATAATAATAATGGAGCCCAAGTATCCACCCAAAGCACTCACAGTCTTTCAAAATGTACTTCTACCTTCATCAGAAGGGAGGGTTTCTAGTCTTTAAACCAGGAAATCCTCCTTTTAATACTACTGAGGAACAGCTGTAAGAGGTCAGGATGCTTGTTTACAGCAGATGTAGGGATAATAAAATGTAGTTTTGGCTGAACTGCCCCTTTTAAGAACAATTTTAATTGTGTTTGTACTTTCCTGAGTCTCTTCAAATGCTATTAATGCTATGCTAACCAAATATTTGTGAGGAATTGACTTTTTATTTAGTTCTCAATTGACTTTATAGGTTTAACTTCAACCCGTCATTGGTGACAGCACTGAATTGCACAGGATGCTGAAGTTTATCGCTGAGCTTTAGCATTCTGATTTATACAAAAAGAGAAAAACAGCACTTAAACTTCATTTTCTATGGTGGTAGAAGTTCTGTTGCAGTTCTATAGGGAACCCCCGACATAAGTTGTTTTTGCAGCTCTGTATACTTGTGCTTGAGACACTCACTGACGTGATAACACTTCTGCTTACTTTATCCAACTCGCCACACCCATATCAGGACAGTTGTTTACTGCATTACTCTTTAGGGAAATGACAATTTAGTCATACATACAGAGCCAAAAACAACTGAGCAGCTGTATCTCGGACTCCCTTTCAGCCGTCCAGCAAATAAAATGTAAATCACTTCACACTCAAACATCACTAATTCATTTGAAATATGCATATCAAAAATAAAAACAAAGCAACTGATATTCTGTATGAAGAAACTGTAAACATGTCAACTGTGTGTGTGTGTGTGTGTGTGTGTGTGTGTGTGTGTGTGTGTGTGTGTGTGTGTGTGTGTGTGTGTGGCAGAGCTCCTCCATGTTCACCTAATCTGTAATTTCCTCATCTTTCAGTACACGCTTACTGATGCCCTCTGGCATTCCGTTAATAATATCCATCGTGTTTGGCACATCGGTGCTCGACGTGCTTGGAGGAATTATTTTTCATTAACTGCATGGACAGAATTAACACTATCACTCGGTTTAAAAGCATTCCAGAGTTTAATGCTTCTGCAAGGCTGTCAAGACAAGATGTTTTTACGGTCCATATTTCTGGTTTTGAAGATCAGCATGTCTTTGCTGACCTCTAGTGGAGGGAAGACATTAACTAGGTACTTCAGTGTTGCTTCAGTTTAATTTATACCTACAGAATTTATTTTAAAAATGAGAAAGAAGTAGAAACATTAACAGTATATGCAAGTTTGTTGAAATGCTGATAAAATTACTACAGATAAACACCTGATTGTGACAAAACTGGCAGCGTAAACCTCTATTGTACTGTAGGCTAATGAAGAGGTTGCTGCAGCGGCAAATCAACGGTCATAGCATGCAGGATTTTTTTGCAATCCAGGTTTTTGTCTAGTAGGACTAAGCCAGGGTAGTTGGACAATAAGTAGCAGAACTTCTTCAAGACTGTATGATAAGTTGCCTTAACACTGCTACAAAATTTATTAGCCTGAAGGATGGAAAACAATCCAGACAATACACATTCTACATTGTAAAACATGGGAAAACAATAAAGACAACATGCCCAGTCATTTCAGCTGACAAAAGAATATTAAGAGAAGACCAAGGAAGATAGAAAAATAGCCAAATTTATACAGTGCAGTCTATGAGTAATTAGATAGGGACACAATTTGTGTATTTTTTTGGCTCAAGGTCCACAATTTATCACTAAAGAACACTTGATGGGAGAACGAAACTTAAAAATATATTTTTGGGAAATTTAACAACCTGCAATAAACAGCATGTATCAGTGAACATAGATTATCAACAGAATGCTGCCAAATGGTGAAATGTTTCTACAACTCACTGATGAGTGGATACCTGAAATGTCTTTTAGTGGAGTTTATTTTGTTTCTAGAGGCAAGTGGCAAAAAACTGATCCAGCAGTCTTTGTGTGCCATTATTTCAGGGCTTGTATTAGTACTATACAGTTTAAATACATTTTTATTTCTGTTTTATTTGTTTAGTCAATAATTTTTTCACTGTGTCTGAGAAAGTTACATCACCAGCCCACTATGGCCCACTGGCTCCCCTCAGTTTGGGCCCATGGACCACCAAAGGATGAAGAGGGAGGCCAGTGGTCAAGAAACCCTGCTCTAGAACATGGTATTTAAACTACATGTCTCTACAGCAGCCACACAGGAGCCTAACGTCCCCATGCCTAATGCCAAGTATCAGCTAGAGGGGTATGAAGCAAAGAGCGGACCAAATGGAGTTATGGAATAACTGAAATTTGGAGGGAGGAGCATGCCCTCCTGCTTCCAATCCAACGCTATGTAAATTCCCATCTCTACCTTCCGTTTCTCATGACAAGGTTTTCGCAGTCCACACCGTCACCCCTTCTCCTCCATATTTCTCAGTTCTGTCAGTCATACCACAGTTAAAAAAAGGTCCAGCCTTATAGCTCCAAGCAGAACTCCATGTTCTCAAAGTTCTCCCCCCTCCTACAATCAGTCTCCCCTCATACTATCACCATATTTTGCAGGCATAGTCCAAAATCTCAAACCTCTTATTAATACCTTGATTTGGGAAGAAATCATAGAATAAGCAGGTATTTACAGAACAGAGTAAAGACTGATTACTGTGTGAACTGTGCAAGAATAACAGATCTTTCAACACAGTCAGTTGGCTGCACAGTTGCTGCACAGGTAAGTAAGTAAGTCTTACAGACAGACGAAATGAAGATAATCCTGTAGCAAAGTGATGTAATGATGAAAATGCAGGACATTTGCACATTAATCTCAGTTTCATTTCAGAGCCAAACCAACAAAAACTGCCGGTACCTGATTACTTTTAGACTGCACTGTAAATCTGAGTGTTAGCACAGACAACATGACACAGCAATAATCTGATAAAGCCTACTTTATTTTAACACTCTTACTGAGAATAATGAATAATGAGATGAGTGAACAGTACATTTGTCTGTTATGAACCTTAAATAACCTTAATCTTTTTATACACTTGCTTGTACAAGTAAAATACAGGAAATTAAAGGAATTCAAGGGACGCATTACCCCAACAAATCAAAGCCCAGATTTTCATAATTCAAACTTCCAAATTTAGCAGCAAAAGGTACAGCAGTTTAAAAAAAATGATACAGTTTGGGGAAATGTATCATACATTTTCTTTATCATAAAAGAAGAACACAAGAAGAAATTCTTACCCTGAATATACTGAAGAAAGGCAGCAGAAGCCTTGACTTGAAAAAAAAGATACTTAGATTAAGATGTACACAAAAATTCAGCTCTTTGCCATAAATATAGGGCAACTACAGAACAACTCACCAATCAGCCAGTTTTACAAGTATAAAAGTACGGTAAAATCAGAGGACTTGAGGACTTGGAGAATATGCTCTATATATACTTTCAAAGAATATTATTTAAATGTTTTCCCTTATCCTAAATCCCCTACTAGCACACAAATACACCCAAATCATATTTACACTTTAGCACTATAGTCACTGACCTCTAGCTACTTAATTCAAAGTGTAATATGTAGGTAACTGGACAGTGACTGGTTTTATTATTTTAGCACTGCATTTGAAAGGAAAAATAAACTGTTGTTATTAAAAACACTTTTAGCTTGTAGATTACAGTTTGCTAAAAAGTGCTTGAAAAGCCTGAGTTCTGAGATCAATGAGATTAGAGTAAACATACCTGGTAATGCCATATGGAAAGGTCTGGGCACTCCTCGGGGGGCATTCAACAAAGCAGGATTTCTCAGTTAGCCAGATAACGTAAACCCAAAGATGAGGATTGTCCAATGGGAATGTTCCTCAGCTCTTTTCCTACTGGACAGGCTTGACTTTGGACTTATGTTATCTAGCTAAACTGAGAAATCCTGCTTTGTGAAATACAGCCCTGATCAAATTACATGCTTTGTTGATTTTCTTAGTGAAAATCAGTTAACATGTCCACTTTATTGGCTGAAACTAAAAAACAAAATGTAACCTGGGCAAAAATGATGGCACGTTTCATTTTTTCTAGTATTTTATACATAGAAATTGTGCTCTAAAATATGCAGCCAATGTCATATTTAAAGTTGGTTTACTGGATGGGTTTCCTTATTTTGCATATGGCTGTAGGGCTGCCAGTGAAACTAAACTGGCTCACTGGTCTTTACTCATGATGTGACTGTATAAATGGGTGGAACATTCTGAGGTGTAACATAAGCGTCTCAGCTACTAAGAACAAGCTAAATGCCTATATGATTCACCCAAACCTTTGCACTTCTGAACTTTGACCTCATAGCCATTGATTCACTGTCCAATTACTTGTAGACTGCACTGTACATCTGGCAGCCAAAGTCAACTTGGGCATAAATTATGGCCAAGCTGGGATCCACATGGTAACAAAGATTAGTTTGTTTCCACCACCAATTCACTATAAGAAATATGGAAAACCATCAAGCCTGTGGTAATAAAAAAGGCACTAATGGGAACATTAAGAATATTAAGAAACTCAACCTTACTGGGGCTCTTTGTATTTACATATAATACATAGTACACAGCACCACGTTTGTTAAATATAATCACTTTTAAAAAGACAAAGTTGTAGCAGTTTGTTTGAGTCAAAAGAGACCTGCCTAAAGCTGCTGAATTAACTCCCAGATAGACTGCTGATAATCACTTTATCAGCCATTAATGTTCAAGTTAATATATTATTAAAAAAAAAAACTTTAGACTCAGACCCTGGACAGTATAAACAATGTCACCAAAAAAGTAAAATTACATGGTAATTCCATGTTGCAGTGTGCATACAATCCAGAATCAGGTACATGATCCTTCTTTTGTGACTAGATGCATTCAGAGTCTTATCTTGCCTGAGATAATGTCATCATACACACCCTGAGACAGGGGGACGTAGGTTTTCTTACAGCTGTCAAGGAAGTAGAGAGAGTCTTGAACAGCCTGAGGGCAGAATCCGTCCTCCACTAGCTTTTTCTTCTGCTGCTTAAACGTCTCGGTCATGTCCAAGGACATCTGTGGGGAAGAAGGAATACCAAAGTTCAGAAGCAGATGTTTTCTCCCCAGAGAACACATTACACAGACTAAATTAGACACAAGAAAAGAAAAAAAAAAAAAACTCAGCCTGTGGAAAGTGGAAAAACTAAACATTGGTGGGGAACAAGTTCAAAGCATAGTTTGCAGTAACTGTTCGGGGTACGTACCACACAGGATAATTAAAGGCTACAGAAAGTTAAATCTGCCAATGGCTCATTAAAAGATTCGCTGATTCACAGACAGTGGACAGAGGTCATCACACAAATTCACTTACATCAAAACACACAACAAGAACAGCAGAAGACAATTTTCTCTGCTGTAAAGAAAACAAGCTATTAATTATAGAACATAACTACAGTTTTCTCACCTGCACTCTTAAAAACCAGGGCCAGGAGTACGCAGGAAGATTCTGTACCAAATGACTGTAAAGGCTTTCTCCATCCAGGTCATGGCCTTCTTTTAAAACTACAGCTGCCATCCCAGCTCTTCCCTCATACCCTGTTAATTGAGCAGAATCACTCAGAATAAGAATACCTTACTGTTCATTAAAGTTATTTAGTACGGAAATTTGTTTTTACTGCAGGTGTGTTTTCATAGTTATTATGATTATTAGCATATTTTCATACTGTACACTACACTGTATGCTGTACATCATCTACAACAAACCTGCATTATTAAGATAAGTGAAGTATTACAATTACTAAATAATAAAAACAGCCACAGAGATGATGAATAATTATTATTACCTTGGCATATGCAGTAAATAACAACATAAGTCAAAAGGATGATTATACAACATTAATAAAATACTGATGCAAAAGTCAGATCTTAAGCAAGAATGGAGCTTGACTTCCTCCTGTCCCTCAAAGCTTTAAGTGCTGTTTATCTGATGGTGGCTCCTTAAAAGAGGAACATAATATCAGCGACTCCTTTGGGAACAGATTTTTTGGGGAGGATCTCTGCACAGAACTGTAAATGTCTGCATTACTGTTAGAAATCCAAAGGTGTCCACAAATGATGGCAAATTGTGGCTATTATTTGATACATAATACTGTCTCAGGCAGTTCAAGTACAATATGCAGGGCTGAGGTTACTGGTAAGTTGCCCTCTAAGTTAATCTTAGACCAGTTTGCCCTTTTCTCTACAAGGTTTGAAACTGGAATTTGAGAACAGGGAACCCCATATCCACATTAAAAGGGGCAACCTCTGCTCTTAGCTAATGCATTTGTTATGTTCATGTGAGGCAAAATGAAAACACACTATTCAATCAAATTAAAGCTCCCACACAAAACTCTACTGTTGATAAGGGAACCATTAAACTGTGCCTTGGCTCAACTTCAGAGGAACAGGAGTGATCTTATAATAATAAGGTCAAAGAGGACTTCAATCACCTGGCACAGTAACACCGTAGACGTTTGCTTCCTGCAGGAAATGCAAACAGCCTAAAACGTCTGACACCTCTGTGGTGGCCACATTCTCTCCTTTCCATCTGTCAATGACACAGAATTAAAGGCTCACGTCTTATTCTAATTTACAATCAGACAATCAAAAATGAAATAAAACAAACCATTGTACCTTGAGTTCAGATGGTTACACTAAAAATACATATAAAAAACAACAAAGTGAGTGACTTTATGTAGCATACAGTTAAATGCCATTATCAACTCAAAATGCTTACTGAGAAATATCAGTAAGAAACAATCCTTTAAAACAGAGTGGCCTTAGTTATGGCTGTAATTCTCATTCAGAACACTAGATGGCAATATTTGTTATGATTAACACTTCCTCCCAGATCTCTATGAGAGGTGACATTAATCATTTACAGTTTTTACAGCTGCTCTAAAATACATTTCTGAAATTCTCTCATTTTAAACACAAATTCCAATGCACCTCTGGCAGAAGCAAACATTCGATTTAAAAAGCATGTTTAGCAAGTATGCTATGTCTTCTCATAATAAAATACTGCTTTCTAAACACTCACAAATCCACAGCATCCATAAACACTACTGAATACTGACAATATCCACAATATATTCAGAAAAGCATATTGTGATGTCGTTTTGTCATATTTATCCTTATTGTGTTAACATAGTCATTTATTACACACATTTTACCTAATTAGTTCAAACTGCAGCCCCACAGAAAAAAGCTACTTAAAAAAAAAAAGACTAAATATTTACAAGGATATGATCGATTTAAACCCAAGGCATTAATAGAGATGGTAATAAGCTAAATATATACAGTCATCATTTGTAGGGTATGTTCTATTGGGAGGTGTCTGTCCCAAACCCTAACTGCCAAGTTTCAACTTGTGACAATACATATACATACATACATACATACATCATCTAAACCGCTTATCCTTCTGGGTCGCGGTGGAGTGCTGGAGCCTATCCCAGCTGTCATTGGGCGGAAGGCAGGAAACACCCTGGACAGGTCGCCAGTCCATCGCAGGGCAACTTGTGACAATAATACTTACATTTTTTTGTATTTTTTTCCCCAACATTGGTTTTTAGATCTTAGAGTGCAGTTGGGAAAAAAAAAACAGATTTATCATGACTTTAATTTTTAATGTTTTAGTGCATAGGCAGAGCCTTATTTTAGCCACAGTGAGACTGTCCCTCAGGGCCACATGGTGAGCAGTTAGATCTCATTGTCTTGAAGTAAACATATCCTAAAGTCTGAAAATCAGTGTCAAACATCAAGAATTGTCACAACCGAAACACATTTTTTCTGTATTTAAGTAAACTTTGAGTTTTAATAAACATGATGATTTTATGTGTGTATAACTGTTTGAAGCTGTGTTTGCTAGTCACGTACTGGCTAGCATTTTTTAGCCATCATGAAAAAAATAAACGTTCTTGAAAGTGGTCTAAATTGTCTTTATTCTTTATGAGGATGCAAATGAGTATTTGGGGAAAAAAAGGAAAAAAATCAAAACACAGGTGCCCTATAGAAAAAACACATTCATCAGACAGGAAGAAGAGGAGCTGAATTCATCGTGGCTCAGCATTCTGTTTGTGGGATGAGGAGGTCAGTAATGGAAAAAAACTGTACAGAACCTAAAAGCAAAAGCTCCTTGTTAGTTCATGTGCCAAGTTATTTGATCCACTGTCATCATGATTCATCACATCATTTAAAGCTGCACAATCTCACATTTTTTGTTAAAATTGAAAGAAGCAGCACTACTGGAGGAAAAAAAGAACATGCCAAAATATGGTGTGTATGAACTGCTGCGAGTCACCCTGTAAAGCCTGAAATGATCATTTAAAAGTCAGAGGTGTCTGGTCGGATTTTGCAGGAGTTTTACATGGACAGACCATGTCAAGCGTCTTTACGTATTAACACCACACACACACACCAAACAAACAATGACGATATCCAGGTCTAAAATTCAAAATCAACATCATACTGATGAAGATGTGATGATGATAGTAGGTAATTCACACACATCCTCAGAAGACACGTCCTTCAACAGGTTTTGACTGAGTTCTCTTTAAATACTCTTTCAATGCACTTGCGATCATCATGTCGTCTGCTTGTGGGGGTCCAAAGCACAACCGCTGTTACAAAATCTCTTTCCACATGTTGCACACAACTACATATTTCCACCATAGTGTAGCTTTAAAAGACAATACTTTTTTTTTTCAGCAATCAGTCTAAGGGTTCACAATGAATCTACAATAACAGTTCCTTCAGAAATAAATCATCACTGTCTTAGTTTTAAAGTATTAAAACTAAATGTAGTTCAGATATGAGCCTAAAGTAGCTTTGTTAGTCCGGTTGGAATTTTTGTATATTCTGGCTGGATCTCTAATTTCAGAGTTGCCACCTCAGAGAAAAAAGAAGAGGTTAAATCTGAATAACACTGAATTCACGGCAGCACACCGCTGATTTTGCCTGGGAAAACACAACAGTAAAATACTTTCTCTAGAGTCCCACTGGCCTACATTCAATATTTCTGTGAGAGTTAATAAATGACCGTGTTTTTTGTCAAACTTTGTGGTATCCACGACCTGCCAAACTTGAGAAAGACAAACAGCTCCATTGTGACCCCTGCCTTCTGGTATCTTCAATCAAGGCCCCAAGCTTTTGACCTGATGGCATTCTTGCTAAAGCGCCTATTGTTCTCCAATCCTCTTGTCATGGCGGCTTTTCCCCCATTAACATCCTGGGGACCTCTCAACCAGCCATGGAGGCGGTTCTCTTTTACCCTAAAGTACTTTACTCTCTATTGACAGGCCCTCCCCGGGAAGGGCTTTGGCAGGGGAGCCTTGCGTCACTGCTGGCATTTTCATGAATGGAAGCAGCCCAGTTCTTGGCCTGGCTCTTCAGAAGCTGTGCCAGGTTCTATTAGTCTCGGCCAGGGTTTCCACCAGAGTGGAGGGGTTGGGAAGCTTTCTGTCCTGAGCATTCTCGTCGGGGTGAGCTCATTCACAAGAGGGCTAGAATTAGGGATAGTCAGCAGAGGGGCCAAAGGAACTGGAAATACAGCAGGGTGCTATCAAGGGCTAATGGCAATGGGAATGCAGGCCGGTTTTGATGAATGGCAGCACATTAATCTTAACTTTCAATGGTCCTTTCTGATTTGCTGTGGAACTGAAAGGATCAGACTGAATATGTGAAACACTGTAATCATGGTCTAGACTTGTCAGACATGTTAAGAGGTTTTACAAAAGGTGGGCAAAAAGGGCTACTAAGCTAAACAGGTGACAAAAAACATTTTATGGTAATACCTGAATGTGTCTCCAATCCTGTCTTTGAAGTAGACAAAGTCTCTGTGATCCTGGAGCATCAGGTCTCCAGTGTTGAAATATACATCACCTTCCTTAAAGACGTCTCTCAGCAACTTCTTTTCAGACATGGCCTCGTTTCCCGCATAACCAAGAAAAGGGTTGGTGAAAGACACTGGGGCCACCAGCAAGCCTATTTCACCTGAAACAAAGGGATCATATGTTCAAGAAAGGACCATTTCACTCAGTGTAAAACTTATGAAGGAGAATAAAAATATATAACTTACTAAAGGAAGATGTAAAGGAAATTTAACTTATGATAAATGATAAACATTCAGACGTTACCTTTGTTGACTTTTACGCAGCGTCCTGTCTCTGTTCGGATTGGCTCGTATGTGTCTAGGTTGCATTTTAAAAATTCGAAAGGTATAGAATTCTGCAACAAAGCAAACAAGGAAAAAAACATTTTTTTTTAGAAGTATCAAAGAACAAAAAGAAAAAATATGCAATTTGTTATTATTTAAACCTCAGATTCTTGGCCTTTGCTCATTTTCTGAGAAGAACATATAAAATAACCCATTTTCAGTGACTTCACACTGTTCGCCCCCTATACATTTATATTACACGTGTGGTGTTGGGTGAACCCACGGGCAATAAAAGTGTGAAGGTGCTGTGTCCTTCACTCTGTTCTCCTCCTACATGGCCTGCTGTTAGTGTGTCTCTGTGTGTGTGTGTGTGGGTGTGTGTGAGGGTAGACAACATGGACAGGCTGCTGACTGGCTACAGCTGCTAAAGGAGAACCCTACATTGGCCACTTGTGAAATTTTAAAGGTCTGGTATTTTTACATAAATTGTTATGGTTGTATTGATTATTATTATTTTTTTTATATTATTATTACAGTTTTGGAAGACAGTCCCTGCCTTTTCTGTCCATTCTGTCCACTATATGAATCAGCCCTACACCAGATTTAACTGAATTAAGAACTGAGTAGCCAAATCAGGTACAGGATGGTAACTGTAAATCCTGGGCTTCATTTAGGTTTAGAATTGGCGTCATATTGGTGCACATATGTATTGTTTATTGTTTTATTCATCTACCAGATAAATTATTTGACATATTATTTTCTGAGATAACTTAAGACTTTTGCACACTACTGCATGTGCACCATAATTACATCAGATTTAAAGATCTGTTCTTCATCTGTAATAAACCCCATAGATAATAAGTCTGGACTGGGCATTTTCCAGGCAAATTTGGTCAACCTCAAAGTCTGGAAAATATAATTAACCTTATTGAAATAACTGGCTCGCCCAATGGGTCCGATTTCAGCGGTGTAGTTAAGAAAGCCAATGCTGGCTTCAGTCAAACCGTATCCCTCGCGAATCTGGATTTTCCTGAAGCGTCTCGAAAACTCCTTCCAGACGTCTGCTCTAAGACCACTCCCTACAGCAATGCGCACTTTATGTGCCGTCTCCTCTGCACTCTAGCAACAAGATCAATAAAAAGAATGAACAAGTAAAGGAAGTCAGTGTATTTTTGAATTGCATTAGTGCTGATGCAATGGCTACAAACGGACTGTCTTGTATCAGGTGCACTTCAATATACAAATATATACAAACAATACAAACACTGGAATCACTAGAAACACTAGAATCTTACATAACAAGGGCAAAAATAAATGTACCTTGGGTTGATTCACCAAGTATCGACAGAGCTCTCCAATGTACTGGAACACTGTTACATCGTACTTGATGCAGTCCTTCCAGAACTGGCTCGCAGAAAATTTCTTCTTCAACACACAAGTTGCTCCTGTGACCAAACAGTCAAGCTGAGGCTGAAGGTTTGTTAAGTTGCAAATTTCAGTACATCCTACTAGGGCTGAGTCAATTTCAATACCTCTGTGGTAGCAATCAAATCAGTACTGAGTACTAAAAAAATACATATCATCCCAGGGACTGAAGTGGAATCTTTGAGGTGGTCAGGGGGCCAAAATGACAAAACAGTATACAAAGAAAGTATTGAAAAATATTTTATACATACTAAAATCCTTAACCCTTTAATGTCCTCACCAAGAAAAAGCAATTTTGTATTTATTTGTTTGAGGCAATAATAAAAACAACTGGCGCTTCTTTTTCATTTTTTTGACCCCGCAGTTTTTAAAATATTCACGTCTACCAAACAGTCAAGATGGCATTTTGTGGCATACATAGTAACTCAAAAAGTTCTGCCAAATAGTTGAGCAGAACATTAAAGATTTAAAATACAATTTTAAACAGAAACTAAGCATTTAATACGCTGTATATACAATGTATAAAATTCTGTTCTCTCACTGGCTAAGCAGTGGGGTAACTTTCTTGCCAACTATGGCCCACGGCCGACACTTTGGGCTGACTCGTCCTATACTATAAATATGCTACAGTATAATTAACAATCTAAGTGTTAAAGTAGATCAGATTTCACTTTATTAATAGAGTTTCTCTTTGTAAGATTTAGTCTTACATGTTTAACTTTGTAAAGATAAGTGATCATTTTTATCTCTCATGAACGAAATCAGTTCCAATGTGCAGTTCTCACAGTACAGTTCTCTCAACTGTCACATTATCTCAGTTTTGGATTAACTTTAGCGTAATTTTATTTTTGCATCCAGCAGATGTTGCACTTGAAGCTGATATGAAAGCCTGGATTGACTAAGCCTACTCTGTGAAAACACCCCCAGAGGTGCACTAGTGATGTTATCAATGTTTAAGGATGTTTAAAAAATGCATAGTATTGGATGTGTTTAATGAAAACACAAGTAACTGTACCTCATTGTAAATTTGTATATTTATTTTTTCTGCCTATACTAACATACCTTATTTTATTCTTACTCCGCTTTCTAATCTTAGCTATGTGGGTAAAGACTTCCAGGAATTGTGCATGTTGGTAAACCCATTTGTTACAACTCTATTTCCTGAGGATAACACAGTAAGGGATATCCTGCAGGCCTTAGAAAACACCACATAAGCCATATAAACTAATGTATGTGCTCAGAATGGTTGGACACTAGGCCCTATTACAAACAAATGCACCCCCAAAATAAAACTTATTGCGCAAAAACACACAAACACACAGTAATATTTTTGCACTGTGTGTCTGTCAGCAATAGTATGCACATCAAACTTCATACTTACGAAAATCGGGGTAATTAATTTTAAGGTTGTCTTATTATTTTACATTTCCAGTAAGCCAGAAATTCATACCTAGATCAATGCATCCACCAAGACCCAGCAGAGAGGCTGCCATGTGGTAAAGTGGCAGAGTGAGATAGAGGTTATCGTTTTCATTGGCCCCACATAGGCGGAGGAAGGACATACTCATCACTGCTTTCATATGACTGACCCGAGCAGCTTTCGGAAGCCCTGCATAAAAGGAAATACACATGAACCTAGTGGTGTTAAATGCTCTAAAGTACAACAAATGTTCAAATATCAGACAACTTTTACTGAACACTGGGATCAATGTTCTGCTGCATTAAAACCTTTTAAACTAATCTGTATGAACAAGCAAACCGAGAATTTGGCACAGAAATGGTTTACATACTTTATGGTTGTGGTAATCAATTTCAGACCTTTGTCCAAACACGCTACACTTCCCAGTCACACAGAAAGTTGCTACAATGCAGTTCCATGTGAGTGGCTAATGATAACTACACATCTGTCTTCACAGGTCTGCTGTTATCCTCAGAGTTAAACCTTCTGCGCAGCCTTAAAAGAGAATTTCACCAATTTTTCTAAAATTCTGTTTAATTCAAATCATTAAGATGCAACAGACTCATTCAGAGTGGTTTGATGTGAAAAATTCATAATTGTTTACAGTGGTGGTGACAGGAACCAGGCGTTTAATGCCTCTAAAATCTTTTTTTTTGGCATGAAATGGTTACAAATACATCGTCTAATGCCTGAGACACTGTTTTATGACAGTATTGATCTAGTCTTTTGGCCTGAAATGCTTTCTTTATTCATTTATGGCAGATGGGTACAACCAGGGCTTTGTAAGACAGAATAGTCCCTAAAGATTTTTAGATTTACCACTATTTTACCATTTACCACTTAGAGGATGCACGTAGGTTCACTGGTCACTCTGGGAAGAAAATAAAATAGCTATATTATGCTGACCCCTGGTTCTCATCAACACCTTCGAAGTCTGTAGGTTTCTCTCAAATGAAGCTTTCCACATCACACCGCCACAAACTGACTTTATTTACATCTAAATTTAATAGGCAGATTTATTGTGAATTAGGCAGAAAAATCAGTGGAAATCCCCTTTAAAGTTTTTGTAATGCTGCACACTTTTCTGCACTACAGTCATGAATATGTTGTCTTATTAAAATACTGCAAAGCACGTAATTTCTCTGGGCACACAGCCTGTGCAATTTGAAGCCTGCCTTATGTGAAGCGCTGACCAAAGGCACGTCTTTAAAGCAGCCTATGAGTTTCAGTTCAAAAGCGGTCTGTTCGAAAAAGCAATGTCTTGTAAATAATTTGTCTTGGTCAATCGCTGTCCACTATGTGTGCATTACACTAACATAAGTTGACTTACAAAGATAAATGTGTTTTGGAAATAAAAACAGAAAAAACAATAAGTACTTAAACATATCAGGGCCTACATAAAGGCCAAAGACCATAAAAGCAGTAAAGTGCACTCTGCGTCTGCCAAGCTCGCACTGGGAAGTTCACGGGCTTTATTTATTTATTTTTTTGGACAAGGGTGGAGCTCAACTGTGCAGCTCCTCTCCACTTGGGAAAAGAATGTTTTTGCACACAAAATTCCAGTATCCAAACCACATCCTCCGCCCATCAACAAAAGGAAAACAGTTGGGACGTACCTGTGGTGCCTGAAGTAAAGATAAACAGGAAGGTGGACGTAAGGTTTGGCGGGGGCATGTCTATTTGTGGCTTCTCCACCGAGGCCAGCTCTACTTTGTCCAGTAATGTGCTGACATTCTGATATGATGAGCTTTCAGCCATCACCCACACATCAATCGCATTGTCTGAGAGGGCTGGCAGGATATCATCCAGACACTTGATTAAATCTGGGGAGAAAAACAGGTTGCCCAACACAATTAAAAAGCTATTCTATGTAAAATGTACAAGAAGCACCCAAAAGTAAACGAATACATTACAAAACAATGTCACGTTAAGACTTTTTAGACAAGCAGAACTCCAGCCTTGAGGCCAGCAGTATGTGTCATCACTAACTTTACTCATGTTGTAGGCTACTGATGATCCCTTAGAGAGCTCCCCAGTGATATACTACATTTTTTTCTGCAAGACACAGATCTCTGTGCAGGCTTTAGGCCAAAGAGACCCAGCAGAAAGGATCAAATGAGTGACCTTAGCCAAATGGATTCCCTTCCTATCCCATTAAAGCTAACTTAAACATGCATAGGTGAAATTTGCTTCAACAAGAAATGAAAAGACATCCCTTGACCTCAATGCATTTCAGAAGGAAATATGTTTTTTGAATTAAGCAATGAGAAGTTACTGCTCAGAATGTCTAAACATAGCTGACACCCCCCCCCCCTTTATAACAACAGCAAGAAGACTGTGTGGCACAACAGGTCCAACAATGTTTACGTCAGAAGCCTTTGCAGTGCAATCCCACAGTGAGCCCAGTAGTTGAGTTTACAGACCTTTTCGCTCCAACTCAATTTGTTTTTGGTAACTACTTTTACTTCTACTCTAATTATTATTTCATGTGATTTTTGGCTGCTCTACTCACATTAGACTTTAAGTCTACATGAGTCAGGCAGTAATCAGATTTCCAATAAACTCACAGAAGACGTGACATAAACGCACCACTTTACCTGAAAATATGAAACACATCATCTAGAAGATGAAGAATGTTTAAATCCTTCATTTCATCAAGCATGTGTTCGGTTTCAGTGTCCCTTGAAAAGCGTTTTGCTGCGTCTCGTGGCTACGCTGCTTGCTTATTTCCAGTACTGCCGTCTGTTTCACTCATGCGCAGACTGAGAAATCCGAAAGAAATCCGAGTAAGAGTTTACGTGCACTGAGAAATCTGATTACTGAGCTAAAATCCAGCTCTCTCTAACGGATTTCTTAATCGGATTTCTAGACCTTACTCTGATCTAAGAAACCAGAGTGTGCCGTTTACATGACCATTTGAATAATCAGATAACTGTAGAATTCTGATTATGATCAGATTATTGAGTGCATGTAAACGCGCTCAATGAAAAATCTGTCACAGTGTAACAACGAAAAAAAAATATTTTAAACGGTGTATTGAAACGTGAAACTGCATCGCCGTTACACCTCCAGTAGTCTCTCATTTATCATCTTCAAAAGGTGACAATGTTTAATTTGTGTGATGCTGTAGAAGAAGCACTTTTAGCTCCCTAATAAAAATAATACATAAATGAATGAATATATAATTGAGGAACCTTTTTAAAGAACCTCCACATTATGCAAAAGTTCAAGGAAGTATCCTTAAAACGGTATAGAACCATTTAGGTTCTGTGAATGTTCTGTAAGCCTCTTTTAAACCTCTTTCTCAAAAATGGTTCTTCAGGGAACCATAAGTGGTTCTTCTAAGGATTTGCACAAAAACTCTTGGCACCAAATATGAATGTTAGTATCATAATAAACAATGTATTTCTGAGCACATTGTGGACATCGTCCGTACTTAAAGAACACTGACCAACTGCCAGTCTCATTACAAAGACAGCATATTGAGTCCTGTTTAACTGCATTAACTGCAGCACAGTATGTGGAAATTTTGAGTAAAAATAATGGCACCCAGAGGTTTTGACAGCAGTTTTTAAATGTGTGCATTGTGTCTGTGTGACGACATTGTGATGCATATTGTGTATCATGAAAATGTCTTTAAATGCCTGTTATATGTAAGATACGATTTCAATTATGCCTTTGTGACATGCTGACATTTGAATGCTATATAAAGTCTTTATGAGGCAGCGCATGATTTACGCTTTAACTGTTTTAAAATGTGTATTTATTTGAGCCAAATCAATCTCGGAACACTATTGAAAATGATGGTTCTTTAAGGGTTCTTTGGTAAAGACAATGGTTCTATACAGTACAGTGAACACTCGGAGAATCATTTGCATGCTTAAGTGGTTCTTTGCATGGTGAAAAGTTCTTTACATTGATGGGAAATATGGCTCTATATAGAACCTACGTATGGCTCTATATAGAACCTTTCTGAAAATTGAAAAAGGTTCTATATAGCATTAGAAACCACTGGGATTCAAATCTAATGGGTTTGCTTTCTAATCAGAATTGGCTTAATAGCTCTCAATAGAGACCACTCGTTTAGAACACTACAGTAGAACACCTTTAGACCCCATTAGGAAGCAATAAAATGCTATCAGAATCAGCCAGTGGTCTTCTGTTAAACCATTAGGATTCTTTACATTGTGATGTCGACCCAGTACAAACACACACATTACAAAATCACCAGGGACCAACAGAAACACTTAACGGTTTCAATGGATTTTTCAGCAGGGGGTTCTACTGCTATGACCTCAAGCTAGTCACAACAGAAGATCCCTTTTAGTGCTATATAGTATCATTTTCAAAAAGGTTCTATATAGAACCTTATTCAACACATTCTACATCAATCTGCAGAACCATTTCGTCATGCAAAGAACCATTTAAGCATGCAAATGGTTCTTTGAGTGTGTATGGTTGTGTATAGAAGCACTGCATTTATTAAAGAACCATTATTTTTTAAGAGTGTATACAGGTAGAACCAGAATCAAGACGCATTAAATATCGAAAGCTGAACCGAATCTTTACCTCAGAATCGAAGAGCTTAAAACATATCGTTCAATCAGGCTTCGTGCTTCTTAGTCTCGGTTTAAACCGACACAATCAGAGCCTCTGGCTGAGAACACAGCATGAGCTCTCAGCACACAGCCTATGGCTCCTTGGTATGTGAGCAAAAGTCCAACAAGCTCCAACAAGCCGACTAAAAGATTCAGTTATTTAGTTTGGGAGGAGGAAAGTGAACCGCACACTGCTAGCTAACCTACGCGGTCAACGTTAGTCGATGTGTTTTGGTGTTTTCGCTCACTGACAGCGTTTCCTCAGAAAAACACACGCTGAGCCTCACAGGAACGTTTCTACTACGGCTTCAAGCTGAAAGTTTGATTGCGGACTGTAACAGTACCTGCGCCCACGACGAGAGCCTTGGCTCCGCAGGTCTGAAAGCAGTGCTGGAGCGCTTTGGGTCTGATGTTGGAGTTGAGGAAGGCGACCTCGCAGCCCAGCTTGCACAGCCCGAACCAAACGCACACGAAGTCCGGCTCGTTGCTCATCCACACCGCCACGATGTCACCATGTCCGAAACCCGCCTCAGCCCTGAAGACGTTGGCGAACTTGTTGCTCCGCACGTCCACGTCCCCGTACGTGAAGACTCGGTCCTCAAAGACGATGAAGGGCTTTCCGGGGCTGCTCCCCGCCTGGTGGACGAAGCGGTCGAGGTAAGTGATGACCCCCTGCCTCATCCTCGCCATGGTCGCCTTCCTGACCTTCCGAAGCTGTAAGTAATAAATCAGGTCGTCCCAAAAGTAAGGATAGAACATCCTCTGGAAGACCCAGAGAGCAGCGGCGCCTGCCAAAAGCGCGGAGAGCGTCCAAGAAATCATCCTCCACAGAGACAGACGGGGGTTATTTTGGTTGATGCCTGAAGGCGTTGAGAGCCGTTGTTGTGCGAAGCTACAATGTAGCTAATATTTAAATGCCTTCACGTGCCACGGCGCATGCTCAGTCCGCAGCTCTCAGCCCCGTTACATTACTTTACATTACAGCCGCTCGGGGCAGCTTTACGACCTGTAAACTCATTTTACACCAAGTTTGACAGAAAGGTTTACAGAACGTTTGTCCAGTTGTGCAGAAAGTTTGACAGAAAATGCAAACACTGTGGTTAGAAATCTACGGAGCCCCTAAGGTGACATGGTGATTATTTTTTTAGTAAGGCGTGGCCACAAATAAATATATTGAGGCCACGAGTTACTATATTAAGGCTAAAATTATAATACATTGAGGCCACGAATTATAATACATAGAGGCCCCAAATTACTATATTGAGGCCACAAATTACTGTATAGGGGCAACAAATTACTATAGTGAGGCCATAAATTACTAGATTGAGGCTACCAATTACTATATCAAGGCCACAAATTACTATATTGAGACCATGAATTACTACATAGGGATCACAGTTTCTCAAATTGAGGCCACGAGTTATAAGAAATCTAACTTGTGGTCTTAATATATTAATTCGTGGCCACACTTCATTAAAAAAAATCAACAAGTCACATTAGGGGCTCTATAGAAATCGGCATAAATTAACAGACATACTTTTTATAGAAATAAACCTGACTTACTGTATTTCATTTAGTCAACTAGCTGTATTTAGAAGCACCATCTTCTAAGGGAACTCAGCATCTGAGGATCTCTAGTGCTGATAAAATTGATCAAATTAGACATCATGACATTTTCCAAATGTATCACAATATTTGATGATATTACTGCCATTCCATGCTAAAACAATTAGTGCCAATGTCCTCGATATCCATTATCTACCTATGTATCTGTCTCTCTATGTATATATATATATATATATATATATATATATATATATATATATATATATATATATATCACTGTTGTCTGGAGAAAATGGCAACTTTACAGGAAAAGGAAAAAACACACGTTACTTTTAATGTAAGTCAGTGGAACCAGAGTTTTTTCCAAGTCATTTTGAGCTGTTTCTTTTGCTCCATTCATCATGAAATTTACACACAATGTAAACTGAAATATATATATATATATATATATATATATATATATATATATATATATATATATATATATATATGTGTATGTATATATATATATTTATATATATATATATATATATATATATATATACTATGTAGAAATCTAGGCTAAATCCTCCTGAATTGTCATTACAGAGGAATGCATCACTGTTGTTTTTCTCTGTAATGCTAAAGCTTACAAATGCAGTAAAATGAATGAGTAGCAGAGTGCCACCTAAACGTTTTGTTCTTCTAGAGTATAGTAATCACATTTAAAGTACACACACACACATATATATATATATATATATATATATATATATATATATATATATACACACACCAGTTTGACAGATTCATTATTGTGAATCCTATTCATGCTTATTTTCTCCATCTGTGTCCTCTCGCTACAGTACCCAGCATGCATGACATAAATGCGCCATACAGTCATGGGTGCAGAAGTAGTGATCATCGCTCTAGATCCACACACACCTTTTATTCTTAATGACATCAAAGACAATAAGCCATCATAATTGTACATAGGGTGTTGCAATTATAAAAGGTAGATGCCATCAAGTAACCTTTAAACACATCTTATGTTTTTCTGTCAAAACACAAGAAAATGCAGCAGATTTGCAATAGCAGAGTTGAATCTGGTGGCCAAAAGTCACCTCTCATGACACAATGAGCACACAGGAGTAATAATTCTCAAGTAAATCTGTGATTTATTGTTGAACAAAGGTAAAGATGTCACGTCAATAGCAGGAGCAGAGTACAGAGCCAAATACATAGATCTGCACTGATTAACTTTAGGGTATAACCATTTGATTATTCGATTTCCCCTGATTTTAATGTCACGATTCAATCAAATTCTTTTTATTATAATTCTTTCATTTTTTAATACTGTCACTACCCAAATAATAACCCTCAACAAAATGTTAAAGTGTGTAAGATGGTTTGAATTAGTGCAGAAATGAAGTTTCAGCACAGTCACCGATGTCTTTGTCAGATTTGTTCAAAGAATTCGTTGGACAAAAACAAGTTTTATGATGCTAAAGAAAAATGATGATCATGCAGAAAAATCAGTGATTAAATGTGAAAGTTGGTTAAAAATAAGAAGGACAATAAAAACATAAAAGAAGAAATGTAAAATGTAAAAATAATAAAAATAAGGATTGCTCCAGCTTTTGGCTTTTTTTCTCTCTCTGTTCCCAAAACACAGACAATGGCCTGCTGAAGTGGTCCGCAACCATGTCCAGCTGCTTCTGACTGCCTAATACCTTTACTTTACTCTTTTTAAAGCTATCTGTCCAATCACCTTGAAGTGTTTTTTATGCCTTCCAAGTATGCAAACTAGACAGACGCTGTTCTTTCTGTACTATTTACTTTTTGGGCACAGCGTGAATGAACTGTGGAACAAGTTAGCAGACAAAGAAATATGAACCAAGAAGAAGAACAATACACCGTCAATCTGATGACGATAGTGTCAATCACTAATAACTGTATATACTATTGTAGTCCTGTCTCTGCTTTTGAATGTTGTAATCCCTTGTTTAGTTCTGCCCCTATAAAGACAGAACTATATCCATTCTCCTCCTTAAATTAGGGCCTCCAAGGTGTCACAAGACATTTGATTAACTAGAATAGATGAATTACACCATGAATTTCTTAAAAAGGTACACAGGACACAATTCTCTTTCAACTGAGACACACTTGTTAGATCACATAAAATTATTCATATCTATTAAATGACGCGCACACACACACACACACACACGTATATATGTGTCGTATTTCCAAAATTATAACTTTACAGGAAAAGAAAAAAAAACACTCTACTTTTAATGTAAGCAAATGGAACCAGACTTTTTTCCAAGTCAATTTGATACGTTTCTTTTGGTTAATTCATCATGAAATTTACACACAAAGTAAAGGCCAACAGGCATTTTCAAATTATGTCAAAGACTGAAAAACAAAAATGGAGATACAAGGTTTTCTTCTGAGAGCAGTGATATACAGTTTCTCTACAACAAAGCATTCCACATCAAACCACTCTGAATGACTTTATTTACGTCTTAATCTTCTAATTATATAGATATTTTGAAAATTTGGTGGAGTTCCCCTTTAACAAAACAAAGATATACAGTTCTCTCTGGCGCCCCTCAGTAGAGAATCCTGAGACAAGACAAACTGTGAAAAGGCTGAGGCTTTCAAATCCCTAGAAGTCAAAATATCCTGAACGTCTTCATATTAAAATGCATTTGCAATGAAATATGTAGAATAAGCTCATTTTGCTTAGAATTCAAAGAAAAAAATAGCCCCAGACTTTACAGATGAAATTTACAATGAAAATTCCATCTGTATTTGCATTATTAATTTAGTGTAAAACTGTCTTCTCAGACCAATATTCACAAATGGTGACAGAGATGGCAGTAACAAACACATACCAAGCACTTTTTAGGAACACCTGTACATGTAATTATCTAATCAGCCAATTGTGTGGCAACATTGAAGTGGAGTTTCACACACAAAATTCTCTAGAGCAGTGGTCACCAACTCTCCTCCTAGAAATCTACTTTTCGCTCCAACCTGCATCTACTAAGCTGCTTCACCCCCTTACTTAACACTAATGGCACTGATCCAGCTAATCAGGGAGTTCTGAAGGGGTTAATTAGCTGGAGCAAGTATGGAAGGAAAGTAAATCTTCAGGACCAGGATTGGTGACCGCTGCTCTACAGTTTAGTCATAATGGATTGGTGACCGCTGCTCTACAGTTTAGTCATAATGGTGCAATAAAGAAAAAACATGGCAGTTCTGAGGATGGAAGCATCTTGTTGATGGGAAAGGTCAACAGAGAATGGCCAGACTGGTTTGTGCTGACAGCAAAGGCTGAGGTAACTCAGATAACCACTCTGTACAACTGTGGTGAGCAGAAAAGCATCCTAGAACACGCAACATGTTGAACCTTGAGGTGGATGGGCTACAACAGCGGAAGACCAGATTGGGTTCCACATTTTTTCAGCCAAGAACAGAAAGCTGAGACCGAAGTGGGCACAGGCTCACCAAAACTGGACAGTTGAAGACTGGAAAAACATAGCCTGGTCTGATGAATCTGCATTTCTGCTAAGACACACAGATCAGAATTTAGTGCCAACAGCATGAATCCATGGCCCCAACTTGCCTTGTGTGACCAGTCCAGGCTGGTGGAGGTGGTGTAATGGTATGGAGAATGTTTTCTTGGCACACTGTGTGCCTCTTAATACCAGTCAATCACCACTTGACTACTTGACTGCCACAGCCAATTTGAGCATTGTTGCTGACCATGTGCATCTCTTAATGGCCACTTTTTTAATGACTACTTCCAGCATGATAACGCACCATGTCACAAAGCATACGTCATCTCAACCTTGTTTCATAAACATGATAATGAGTTCAGTGTTCTCCAGTGGCCTTTACAGTCACCAGATCTGAATCTAATAGAACACAAAGGAATGTTTCCAACATCTTGTGGAATCCATGCCATGAAGAATTGAGGCTGTTTTGAGTGCAAAGAGAGGCTCTACCCATTATTACTACAGTGTTTCTAATAAAGTGCTTGGTGAGTGTACGTCCAGAAATCTTCTAGTGATCTCAACTAGGAAATGCTACATACACCTTAAATAAAGCACACTTCTTCAGCCACATGGGTGCGCCATAGTACAAGAAAAGGCACCCTTGCTTTGAAACTGAAAAGAAAACACAATGCTGAAATGCGCAGGCTATTATTTCACAGTGTACATGTGCAATTTTTCTGATTTGAAGTAATTTACCATTTAAGATTCTTTAATCAGAGGTGCAAAAACATCCACATCATGAGTGAAATATTTTGATTGTTTTACATGTTTGATTTAAGGCAATTTGTCAAAGTGAGATTGTCCAAATAATCTGATCTATACACTCAAAAAAGATGGCTCTTCAAGGGTTCTTTAGTAAAGAAAACGATTCCATATAAACTCTTTTTGGTGCTATATAGAACCCTTTTCAAAAAGGTTCTATATAGAACTATCTACAGCACATTCTCCATCAATCTGATGAACACTTTCATGATGCAAAGAGCCTTTTAATCATGCAAAGGATTCTTTGAGTGTTAATGGTTCTCTATAGAACCATTTCCCATACTAAAGAACCCTTAAAGAACCATCTTTTTAAGAGTAACTAAGAGTTATATGACCTTAAGGCCATTTCCACTGAGACTTGAGATCACTCTGGCCTTGAACGTCTGCTGAGCACTTATACAAGTTAATTCAATTACCCATGAAATCATGTTTTGCAACATGTTTTGCAACATAGTGTCCTTTACGTTATTTAAATACATTAGCCTAGGGTTGCTTAACCCAGGTTCCTGTAGATCTAACCTCCTGCTCCAACGTAACAGCCTTCCTCCAGTGTTTACACGCTCCTGACCACGTTAAGTAGGTGGATAAGATGTATTAAATTAGCTTTGGGATTAAACCCTGCAGAGTGCCGGATTGGCCAAAAGTGAAATAGCCTACAGTGGCTGATCTTGCATATTTGAATTGTGTTTTTAGTCATTTTACTGCCAATTACATATTGAAAAACTAAAATGAGAAATTCAAGTAAAGATTACTTAAATATCTTAATTTCTAAAGGAAAAAAAGAGAAAAAAATAATCACTTTTATTGGGAACCTGAAAAAAATGGCTTTGTCATTCAGGGTCAATGACATGTGTCCCATTATACTATATAACATTATGTCCCATATGACACAATAGGGTCATTCTCAAGAACAGCCTCAAACAATTTCTATTAATACTTGAATGTCATATTCATGTAGAGGAACAATATTAATATAATTTAGTAGAGCAATTGGAAATCTATATGGTAAATCAATGGCATTTTTTACCCAAATTCTCATGACCACCATGTGTCCATTTATAATGTAACCATCGTAATTCATTCATGCATGACACGTACACTATATGGACAAAAGTATTGGGACACCTACACATTACACCCACAGGACCTTTTATGACATCCCATTCTAAATCCATAGGTGGTGTTTGATCGGGTTGAGGTCAGAGCTCTGTGAGGACCAGTCAAGTTCTTCCATACCAAACTCACCCAACCATGCCTTTATTGACCTTGACTTGTGCCTTCACTGGAACTAAGGGGCCTAGGCCAACCCCTGAAAAACCCCATAACTTGGCACAGTGCAGTAAGGCAGGTAAAGTTCTATGGGCATTTGCCAAACTCAGATTCGTCTGTCAGACTGCCAGATAGAGAACTGTGATTCATCACTCCACAGCATGCGTTTCCATTGCTCCAGAATCAACAGACTCACCAGATGATAGGCACTGTGCATTTCAGTACTCAGCGGCCCCACTCTGTGAGTTTTTGTGTGATCTACCGTTTCGTTGCTAAACTGTTGTTGCTTCTAGGTGCTTCCGATTCACAATAATAGCACTTACAGTTGGCTGGGGCAGATCTAGCAGGACAGAAATTTCGCAAACTGGCTTGTGGCAGAGTCGGCATCCTATGACAGTGCCACGTTTAAAGTCACTGAGCTCATCAGAACGACCCGGTCTACTGCCAGCTTTTGTCTATTGAGACTGCAGGACAGTTTGCTTAATTATATCCACCTGTTAACAAAACAGAGTGTGGCTGAAACACCTGAACATAATAATTAGGAGGGGTGGCCCTATACTTTTGTCTATATAGTGTATGTTTTCGAGTAGGTGTATATTTATTGGTTGACATCACAAAAACAATTGCTTAAAAAACAGCTGTTTTGCAGCTAAGTTTCCATCTATGCCCTGAACTGGGGAGTGAATGATAAGGTTTGAAACTTTAACAATGTTTACATCATCAAACTCTCTTACTACAAAACGTGAGGTGAATTTCATTTTTACATGATACAGGCCCTTTAACTTTAATGTTTTTCCTGTAAACATGTAAGGGAGTGAACAAAAACAACAGAATATTAAGTGGCCCAGGTGAAAACAGCAATGGTAGTCAATGTGTTGGGGTAATGGGATAACTACCACGGGATAAAAGTGAAAAATATCTTGTATATTTGTCGCAAAATATATAATTTTTTATAATTATCTTCAAAATACTGGTTCTGAAAACAGTATACAGATTATTAAAAAAGAAGTGTGGAAAAAACATTGACACATTTAACTTCATATAACATGGGCGACTGCTCTTCTTCCTGTGTTGTGGTAGTGAGAATTTGATCACTTCAGTTGGAATGTGTTACTACAAACCAACACACACACACACACACACACACACCTAAACCGCTTATCCTTCTAGGTCATGGGGGTGCTGAAGCCTATCCCAGCACTCATTGGGTGGAAGGCACAAACCAATAAAATGAGTTTAATTATTCAGGCTTGATTTCAGTTATTCATCTAGGCATTACTGTTATTTATTTTAAAAAATCCTTTTATTTTTTTCCCAGTATAGGTCGTGTTTAGAGAGAATAACCCCATATCACCTGAATCTACTCTAATGAAAACTGAAACCAAAAAAAAATAAATAAACAAGTCTCTTATTTCTCAGTGTAGGTCTGTAAAGCTGCTAAACGTTACTGTTACTGCTCTTAGGGTTTGGGCGAGGCAGGAGGACCAACGGCAACAGCGGTTACTGACAGTCACTGATAACGAGGAAAAAACACGCGCACAATCCATACTGCTCACTGAAGGACACGCCCATGTCCATAATGTCAGCTGGAAGGACACGCCCACCTCCTTCCACTTCACCTCGATTGGAGGACACGCCTACTTACAAAAAACGCGCGGCCTACGGAACGACACGCCCACCCCTAAATCACTGAAAGACACGCCCACTTCCAGAAGCCGCGTGTGGGAAACACGCCCAACTGGTTGTACAACAACAAGGGTCACGTGACGCCCAGCGCGTTTCATAAATGTACGATAAGGACAGTAAAGCGTTCAAAAGGATGCGCGTCCGCGCTTAAATAGCTGTGATTCCTCTTCAGTTTTACTGTTCTTCCTGACGGAAAGCGGGTTTGATCCCGGAGACAGAGTCATGTTTTTCTCGGTAACATGGGCGACCGCTCTCCTCACGGGGATCTTCTCGGTGCACATCGCTCAGCGCCTGTGCTTCCCTTACTTCTGGAAAGACCTCTTCTACCTGCTGAAAGTGATCCGATACGGGGCTCGGCTGGAGCTCTACAAACGGACTAAGAAGATCGTGACCGTGCTGGACCGGTTCGTTCAGCAGGCGCAGCGGATTCCCGACAAGCCCTTTCTGATCTACGACGGGGTCACCTACACGTACCGGCAGATCGACGAGAGGAGCAACAGGGTGGCCCGCGTGTTCGAGCAGCAGGGAGCGGTGAAGAGAGGGGACACGGTGGCGATGCTGATGAGCAACGAACCGGACTTCGTCTCTGTCTGGTTCGGCTTGAGCAAGCTGGGCTGCGCCGTGGCTTTCCTCAACACCAACATCAGGTCCAGATCACTGCTGCACTGCTTCAACAGCTGCGGAGCCAAGCTGCTGGTCGTCGGTGCAGGTGAGGGAAACGAAAGCAAAAGTCTGATTACTGCAAAAAAACAGTGTTTTTGTAACATTTGTAACTTACAAAAGGTTTAAGCTATTCAAACTTCCAGACTGCTGAAAGTAGGCTGGCTTACTTCTGAGGTCAGAATTTTCCCGCTCCACCTTAAATGGTGCAGCACTTACATTCTCGCGCCTCAGGCAGAAGAACAAGAAGTTGGCCATTTAAGGTGGAGCGGGAAAATTGGAACAAGAAGCTGGCGAATAGGAAGCCAGCTTTAGCCTCTAGATCTCGTCCTTCAGCGAAACAGAGTAACAGGCAAACCGTGTGTATGTCTCGGCGGAAACAGCCGCACTATGTTTCCTAGATTTCCACACTCCACCCATCTGCTGCTCCAGCGTGGTGAAGAGAAGGCAAACACTCCTTCAGCGATGAGTTAAACAGTTTTAAAACACGGTTAATCACTTTGTAGCTCGATGTGGTGTTTAGTTTAACTTACAAACTCTAAGCTGTTCTTTTTTGACTCCTTGCTCTTTTGAAGTCACCAGTTGAGACTTTACCCTCTTGTTAAGACTCATTGGCTGCGCCCTAAACCTACTGACAGACTGAGTAGTATTACAATATGCTGCTCCACCATTAGAAGTGTTTTCCATGTGTAGTGTAGTAGTGTAAGGTTTTTGGACGCAGCCCAAATCTGCTTTATATCGCTCTTACTTAAAGGGGAGCTCCACCAATTTTTTAAAAATTCTCCAGAGTTTAACAGTTGTACACAAAGTCACAGTAGTTTGGTGTAAAATAGTTTGTTGTAGAAAAACTGACTCAAAATTTCTTTACAGGTGTGCTCATAGGAGCCAGGGGCTGCAATGTCTGCAAATCAAATATATTAATGTTATATATTATTGTAAATGAGCAGTGAACCTACACTGTTAGAAATGAAGGTTCTCTGCAGGTACATTTTTCGTTCAAGGAACAATGTAAATGTTCCCTCAGGTACAGCAGTGGTTTTAAAGTCCAACTGTGTACACTAAACAAGTTTTTCTAGGTGAAAAGTAAATATTTGTACATGTTCATTCATCCTAATGTTTTAAAACAGAACAATAAACAAGTTTTTCTAGGTGAAAAGTAAATATTTGTACATTTTCATTCATCCTAATGTTTTAAAACAGAACAATAAAATAAAAAGCCTGCAGACGAGACGGGGTGTGTGGAGTCAGTACAGCTTAGAATTTATCATTTTGATGGATTATGTTCCCTGACTAAAGGTACTGAGATGTACCCTAGAGGGTACCTCCCCAGTGACACGAGGGGTACTGCCCCAGTGACAGTTTCGTACCTTTATTTCTGAGTGTACATATCGCTGTTGTCTGAAGAAAACCTTGTATCTCCAAAATGGTAACTTTACAGGGGAAGGAAAAAACCTACTTGACTGTTAATGTGAGTCAATGGAACCAGACTTTCTTCCAGGTCATTTTGGGTCAGTTCTTTTAGTCCATTCATCATGAAATTTACACACAGTGTAAAAGGTAACAGGTATTATGTCAAAAACTGGAAAACGTCAAAAATGGAGATATGAGGTTTTCTTCCGACAACAGCGATATGCCGTTTTTCAATATGTAACGCTGATTACGGCAAAACAGTATACCAGGCATCAGGCAATGCATTCAAAACCTTCTAGTGCAATAACTGTGAGGAAAGCGCTTAGAGGCATTAAACTCCTCTGATATCTGGTTCCTATCACCACCACTGTGAGCAATTCGGAGTTGGTACGTTTCTTAAAACGGAGCATTTCACATGAAACCACTCTGAATGAGTTTGATTACAACTATTTAATTTTGCAGAACTTTGAAAAATCAGTGGAATTCCCCTTTACGTGTAACAGTTGACAATAGTTAGTTAACAAAGGCTACAGTCAAGTTTTACACTGACACTCAGCCCTCAGAAACAGCTGATACACGTAATCCAGTGAGGGTGGCAGCCAGAGGTCATCATGCTTGGTTGTTTGTGAGCTCTTCTGAGAGTAATTGGGCCTTAATTAAATGGTGGTTTAGCACTGCTACAGGTGAGTGGAAATGCCTGTGAGCACAAGCATCAGCAGTCAGGCAGTTATTTTTATTAAAGTTCACTTGAAAGTCAAATGTCCAAAGTTGTCCCCTTTGCCCTAAATGTAGTTGATCAGCCAAAAGATGTTTGCGTCTTTAGTAGTGCAGTAGAGCTAGGAGTTTAAGTCACCCAGAGTGTTTTAGAGTGACCTGGACTTACTTGACCATTATTTGTTCATTACATTAGGGTTGCAGCTCCAGTGCAAAACTAAAGAGGCAAACTTCAGGCACCAAACATGTCTTGGCTCATCAACTACATTTAGGGTGATGGGGATATTTGTGTAAATTCGATTTTTAGCTGAGCCCATCCTTTAAAGGGGATGCTCGGTCCTGGGGGAACTTACATAGTCAGAATTGTTCAAAGAGGTGGTGAGAGGAGCCAGGAGCCCACAGAGAAAGTAACCACATGAAATGTGATACCTGGGAAAGTTTTAAGATCAGGTTTTGGCCTAAAATGATTATTTAAATGCGTTTATGGTGGAGAGGGTGCATGTAGGTAGACCACTCTGAATGATCTCAGCAATTGGAGTGTACAGAAATTTTGAAAAGTGGGTGGAATTCCCCTTTAATTTTGGAATGCGCGTTGCGAGTCTGGCTGCTGCATGCGTTAGCCTTTGCTATGCAGAATTCCTCCTTACTCCTCGGCTGTATATGTGAGCCCCTACACATGGCCTCACGCTTTCCTGTTAATACGTGGCGCTGAGCCCACAACATCAGGAAATACAGTGCTGAATCTCTGGAGCTGGTGTTGTAATAGGTAGTGGCTATCACTGACTTTGGCCACATTATGAAACAGCAAGGAAACCTCACTACACCTCAAATCTTGGTAGACAGACATATGGAAGTTTGCTGCAGCCTCTAGACTTTGTGCCCATTCCTGGAGATATACCACTCAGCAGATTTCAGTTACAGCTGGCTCTACTTTTCAGGCGCTGCTGAAACGTGTGCATAAATGAATCAGGCAGGCTCTGCAACAAACAGCTGCAGCCGAACCCACATACTTCTACTCTCAGTCGTATACCATAATAGTTCCCTGGAAAGATGAGTGTCTCTCAAACTGTAGTATTTATGAATTCAACAAAATAAAAGTCCCCAGATGCTGTACTACATCTGGTCAAAATCGAGAGTGCATGAACCCTGGAAACTATTTAATCTCATTAGTGGTACAGAATTTTATGGCTTCCGAAGCAGTTTGTCAAATCAGGATGCGGAAGATAGTCTTTGTAACTAAACATATGTGATTTTTTCACAAGGCATTTTTTCATTTGATATGCATCACAATAGAAGATGTTCACAGAAATGTTTATCAAAAGTTCAACATTTGGAGATTTCAGGAGCAGCAGTGCTAAGTTCCACACTCACTTGAGTACTGTACTAATAGCATACTAGGAGCATTCTACGACAAAGTATGTAGTACTTGATTTTGGGTGCAATGAACGTTTCTCGGTTAATAAAAATACATCACTGGGCACAAAGGGAAATAGCCAATATGCTCCGTTTTAATATGAGTTTAATCATTTTCTGTTCTGTTATCGCTCTATAGGACAGATGTTGTCCATGCCTGGTCTTTTTCAGAAATTCTGCATATTAAATAGCAAAGATGCATATAAAGTTACTCAGAGTGGTTTGATGTGAAATATGTCATTATAAAGAAAGGTACCATGCCAGAATTGGTCACAGTGGTGGCGATAGGAACCAGCGGTCTGAAGCATTCAATTCCTTTAAAAGCCACTCTATAGAAAATAGGAAATGGTTAAGAATACATTGCCTGCAGCCTGAGAAAAGGTTTTTGCCTAAAACATTTTTTTTTTTTAATAATTAATCGCAGAGAGGTGTATGCAGGGTGTTGTAAGGCAAAATAGTACCTAAAGAAAACATATTTTTTTCAGATTTACTACAAGTTTATCTTTATCAACACTATGTATAAAAACACAGAAACACATGTTGGTTTATGACTCTATTTATGTTATCAAGACATTGTGACATCTGGTTCCTATCACCACCACTCTAAAGAAGTCAGTACATTTCTCTACGCTGAACCATTTCACATTAAACCACTCTGAATGAGTTTGTTTACATCTCAGTGATTGGATTATGCAAAATTTGGAAAAATCAGTGGAATTCCATTTTAATATTAACCTACATGGCTTAAGTCATACTGTAATCAGAGTGTACACACTGTGTAGTTGGCGTCAGCTAGGGCTACAGTGCAGATACTTCAGTCTGAAATAAAACAGAGCAGTCTGTAACTTGGACAGCCTTTAGAAAATTTCTCTTTGATCTTAATATTATATCCCTTCTTATTTTTTAGTGCCAGTTTCCAACAGTAGGGGCTGAGGGCTGTGCTACTTGAGCTGTAAAAGTGTTCTTACCTTCAGAACTTCTAATAGTAGAACACTTACAAACAAGTTCTTCCAAACAATTTGCTGTCTTTATGAGCTCAAAAACAAAAATAATTCATGGTCATCAAACATTAGCTAGTTCTGCCCAAGCTCAAATATGACATTAACTAGCTTGGTTGCTAAACACTCAGCTAACAGTGAGTGTGTTTACATATACCTAATAATTCGATAACTGCTGAAAATCAGATTTTCTCAGAAATTTGGTCAGTGCGTTTACATGTACTTAGGTAATCAGATAATGGGAATACTCTTGGTCTGTGCTGGGTTAACCGCTGATATTTCTAGGTCAAAGGTCTGTTTTGTACAGACTGAGAAAAACGAGAGAAATCAGAAAAACCTGATTACTGAGCTAAAATCCAGCATTCTTTATCAGACTTATTACTTGAATTTCTAGGCTTTAATCTGATCTGAAAAATTGGAGGATGCTGTTTTTAATGACCACTTAAATAATCAGATGACTGCTGAAATCTAATAATGACCGGTTTATTAAGTGCATGTAAACACACAGTGTAATGGTTCTACCATTAGCTCACTAATTAGCTAGCAAATTTGTGGAGATAACTTTGAATTTTCCGAGATAAACACATGCACAGTGCTGGCAACCTAGTTTATCGTGATCTCTAGAAAAAAAATGGATTTGCAGTTAGGCCTAATTTTTAAATTGTAAATGAATATAAGCAGTGGGGAATCCTCAAGGCCTTCTAGGACTTCAAAGAAGACCTTATGATTTCCCTGAAAAAAAATACATGTCTGTTATTTAATATATTAATAATACTTGTTATATCTAAATTCTGCAAGTATTGTAGTAATTCTCTTATTTCATGGTTTGGTTGGAAACAAAATGGTTAATTTCTTGAAAAACTCAACAAGAAATTATTTAATCTGGATTTTTCTTTCTGTGGTATATAGACAGATACAGTCGAGATAGCTCTCCCATTAGCTAGGACTTCAGGAGCTGAACTGAAGTCCTAACATGTCAGAGTAATCACTAACATACACAGGAACTGATAGTGAACTTAACCAATCACGTTTTGATTTACAGTGGGTGGGACCAATTTTGTGAGGAAAACGACGTAACTTTAGGCTTTCTAGAAGTTCTAGTTACGCCACTGACTACAAATAGGAGTAGCAGACTGAGGACATTTAAGTCGGGGGGAAACAGCAGCAGCTCTGGGGCAGGGCTCTGAGAGTCACTGTGAAACTGCTACAATTAAAATTGCCATGAATTGCCATTAGCTTTGTGCTAACAAACTACTAAAATTCCATAAGGGTGCTAGCAGAAATTAGCATTACTGTATTGTTTTTTTTCCACACTTTTGATATTTTTTGATGATCTCAAGGCCTAGCGCTAGTCACGGCAAATAAGTGTAGGCTGCTTATACAGTATAATTCTCTTTAGCTTGCTAGTACCTTACTAAGAGAGAGATTAGATGATTATGATTCTTTATAACTAAAATATGAAGCATTATTTAATCTTACCACACTTCACGAATGATCAAAGGAGCTGTTTTTTTACCTAAAACGGTACATCTAAGCCAAGATCCATTTGAAAACCTTTATTTTTAACAGTGTATATTGTTTCATGGTTGATGACCGCTTGTTCTGTGCTTTTTTACAGACCTGTTGGACACCTTAAAGGACATCCTGCCAAATCTCCATGAGGACAGTATCTCAGTATGGGCAATGAAGCATGAGGTCTCCCACCCAGGGGTCCACTCTGTTCTAGACAAGATAGAGCAGGCCTCACACGAGCCAATGCCGGCTGAGCTTAGGTCTACCACTTCACTCAAGAATCCCCTTCTTTATATCTTCACTTCAGGGACCACTGGTATGTAAACAATATTAACAGATCACTAGGCCAATAAGAAACATCTGATTTTTGTTCTTTTTATGATGTTGGGGATCAATTGATCTTTATTGAATTTGTCAGATGCTCACAAGTTTCGGGCACAAAATTCTTAAGGAAAGATTTTAATCAAATGTCAGGTAAACCAGCTGCGTTGTCTTGTGATTTAGTAATCTAGGGTTGGTAGGTTCTTGTACGGCTAAATGATTTAGGAAAAATATCTAATTGGGATTTTTCTGACCAGTTTTGTGACTGAGATTTAAATTATGATAATTTTCTGTGCAGTAAGAAAATAATCCAGACCTGTTATTTTCTAAAAGACCAGAAGATCCATTTTTCTGGCCTGAGGCCTGATTGGTGAATGTAGTGTGCCAGACTGCTGGTTAGATGTGATTGTGTTATCATGTACACAGCACATGGCTGTTTGGTTGCTTTTGATTGGTCTAACTCATCTTCAGGCACTTTGCAAGCTTCATGTGATTAAATCTTAAAATAGTGTTCTTAATAAAATACAGTTAAGTGCAAACACCCCATATTTTTATATGAAAATATATTAACATGTCCTCTACAGGAAGCTTAAACATTTCATTTTTCAGCAAATTTTAGTGCTGCAGTCTTTCAACTGCAGGATAGAATTAAAATTTCAGCTGTTGCGATTTGAAAACTAAATTCTTTTAAATTGTGATTTCGATATAAAACCCACTAATCTTTCTGCCCTAACATCTGCTCATACTGTACAACAAAATTAATAACAGTATTTGTTTGTGCTTCTTTAGTGGAGCATTCTTCCTCATCCCCATCATATTTTTTTTTAATTTGACAATATTTTAGATGTCAAAGTAATGAAAAATGGAATGGTCAATACTGTTTTTTGCGTGTAAATAAACCACATATATACTGTATTTTAACACTGCTGTTGTTAATTTAGAGAAATAGAAGGTGAATTCTCAAAGAAAAATTATCACCTTGATTTCACAGACATTTGTGTTTATTTTAACGGTTGTTACTGTTTATTGTTATGGTAGAATACTGTATGTTAATTAATGGGTTTTGTGAGTAATTACTGATGAGATCTGGGATTTTAATCCAGTAAGAATCTGCCATGTCTGTAGTTTTTACCAGTTTGCTAAGTAATCAGTCCGAAGCAACTTAACTTCTACACTGTAAGCCTGGATAAGTTGAATTTACTTAAGAAATTTGAGGAAACCGGTTGCCTTAAAAAAATTAAGTAATGTGTAATGAAAACTTGAGTTAGAATGACTATAATTTTTGTGTTAGGCTAACTTAAACACGTGTTCGTGCAACTCGTAAATTCTAATTATTTTAACTTAACGGCTTGAAAATTAAATGTAACTATATGTTTCATTAGGCAATTGAGACTTTTTTTCTAATTAAGTGATACTGACCACTTTGACAAACACCAAAGAGTTAACCTTTACAATGAACATGGTCACTGACCAACACAAATGCTCACTCATCAGCAAAGAGAGCAACAACTTTCCAGTGGGAAAGAACTATATGTTTAATCTAACAAGATTGCGTTAACAAAACAAACATGTAACTGTATTTTACAGCTTACTTAGCTTCACTCAGTTTTACACATTTGTTCAGCAACTTTAGTGAGAAAGAAACAATTAAAACCAGCAGAAATGTCGTCATTTTTTGAATGTAGGGTTTCAAAGTTGCCATAGCAACAGACTAAAGAAAATAGCTATAGGTTGATTGAACTCAAAAATGCCATTTGAGTGTACAAAATCATCAAAAACATTCCCTTAACTTAAAATTGTTGAGTAATATGTGGGATATACTGAATTTTATATACAACAGACTTAATTTATTTGAGTTAAAACAAAATGCGGGATTACCGTGTATAGTTCGTCAAACTCAAAGCTTCTTCGGTAATAGCAGTCCTGTTCTAATCAACATATCAGTAATTTAATAAGAAATTCTGGTAATAGACATCGCAACCTCTTGTGTTTTTTGGCGACTGAGATACAAGGCTAACTGCTAAAGCTGAGCTCTTGGCACAGTTACCTTATCCTCAAGTTCAAAACAGGACTACTGTAATTTAAAATGATGGGTTAATTAGAAGAAAAATGAAAATGAAATTTCTGAAAGTACCTCTCAGAAGGCAGAGTGATTTTTGTTTTGAGCAGTATTTAAGTTGATTGAGCCCACTTTACTAGCCTAATGCTGGTAGTATTAGCTGGAAGTTTGTTTTTGTTGTTTGTTTGTTTGTTTGTTTAGATCTATTTAATTTTAATCTTACTGCTGAAGTGAAAGTCCAGGCTGTGACATTTTGATCTGGGCTGTCTGAAGTAATTTAGGGAAATTACGCAGATATTTCAGCCAGTCAAATCCCTTAAAAACGTGCGTTACCGGACCTCCTCCAGTAAAACTAATCCAGCTCAAATAAGGCTTGGGAAAATAAGAAAACTGTCTTTGTTTAGCATTTTGGTTATGCATATAATGATACAGCTGAGAGCGATGTGGCATAGAAGGATGTGACAAAAATGTGTTTAACAGGTCTAATATACTGCCATTACAGCGATGTAATGAATCTTGAGGGAATGATGTGTTATTGCTTCAGACTGTCTACATTCTCAGGCATCTCACACCGTAACCCCAGGGCCATTGTGTCGTTTCATACCTGTGGCTTCCTGAGAATTATGAAACTGATAGTGGATATTGTTCAGTGTTCTGAGAAATTCTGTGGAAGGTCATTCTTCTGGTATATCATACAAAAAAATAAACATTTTTAAGAGCTGTGACAACTGGAAAAAATATGCTTTTTTGGAGGAAAAGCTTTGGACTATTTCAGACTTTATTCGTTATTGTATCATGACATCAGGAAGTGCTAACAGATTTGTCTGTGTGCAAAACTGAAAAAAACTGACTCTGACCATCTTAGATTGAGACGTTTTGAAGAGTAGGTCTTGAGATTATGTTTCCATCGTTTCCAATGTCTGTCTTTGTAGGTGCGTTTGTAGACGTGAGGAAAGGATTCTGGGGCCGGATTCACTAAAGTTTTCCTAAGAAAAAACTTAACACAAACATTAAGAAGTTATTAGAATGTTTTCACGTTCATTTCTCAGGGAAAAAAACATATGATAGTCTCAAATATTCTTTTAAGACAGTCTTATTTATTTATAGCCATGTAGACTCAATATCATGTTTCATTTTACAGCATGACACAGGATGCATTTGGACTTTGAGGGTGCTTTCACACTTATCTTGTTTGGTGAGAATCTGCAAATCAGACTTTTTCTTTAGTTTGGTTTGTTTTGTCAGGTGTGAACGCTCCACCCGTACTCTGGTGAGCACCACACATTGTGATCCACCAAAAATCATGGGTCTCAGTTCACTTCAAGTGACCACTAATTCAGTTCATTGCTGGTATGAAGGCATTTTTGTGATGGGGTGCACCAAATGAGGGAATTCAGTATTAGAGCATGCTTTCCTCTTCTTCTAGCAGCATGTCAGCTCTGTAGTGTCTGTATAATTTGCCTGTTTTAACGCCCCTCTTTTCATAGAACCTCATATCATCCTTAAAGCACGAGCAGCTGCTAATATCAGCAGACCAGCAATACAATAATATGTAGCAGTTTGGCTAATGAAGAGACCCAGTTTATGCACAAGTTATTGTGCTTTATTAAAGGCTGTAGTTGGCCACAGTCACGCCGTACACAAGAGAGTTTTTGGCTAACAATTCACTCTAAGCCTCATTATGTCTTGCCTCCTCGGCCATCAGTGATACACTGATGCAGTTCTTCCTAATATAACAGAAATCATATGGGCTAGCGCCACCTTCACAATAAGAGTCCTTATCAGAACAACCTAGAGAATAAATGCTAGAGGTCAACACTCTACAATTAACACTATGAACACACTACAAATATTCATTTTGACACATGGATTGCAGAATGTGTTGTTGGCCAAGCATCAATGACCTAATTAGCTAAATGCAAATTGACAAACCAATCATAAAGAAACGGATATCCAGTTTTTACCAGTTATCGTAATTTTAACGCTATACAGTTTGGTCAGGGAGAGCATAGCACTCACTGGTCAACCTCAAACTCCACCTACGGGTGCAGCCATTGGCTCAGGAGATGCTGAATGCTGTCATTTTATTGGCTCTGCATGAATTGGGGCATGTTTCATGTAAATATTATGTAAATGAGTTGCTGGTAGGCTGCCACTTGATTTCACGCACTGAAGCTGATACATCATTTGCACTCAAAACTCTTTTATGTTGTACCAAAGGTTCATAAATCAGGTGCAGAGTAGTTAACACGACATTAAAGGTGGTCAAATTTGCGCTCACTTTGATGAATAAGGGCCAGTGTCACAAAAACCCAATCTTTTGTGTGGACTTTAGCAAACAAATTGGTTGTGAAAACGGCCTGAATGAACTGTTATTTTGGTTGACTGGTTATACAGTGTATCCCACTCAGTGCCTGAGGACAGCAGAATGGAGGTAAAACAATATCAAACCAAACGTCCAAAAACATTTAGCAAACAAAAACTTGGAAGTGATGGTGGAGAAAATGGCCAATATGAAAAATCGTCATAGAAGTTACAGTTTTAGAGGCTTACCATTGTAAGGTTGAGAACTTTTTTTTTTAATTTCTTAAGCATTCCACTTGTTCTTAGAATTGTTCTCAAGAGGAAAATTCTTGAGACGGTTTTTGAACAATAATAGTTTATCTCATTTTTTTTTCTTAAGTATGAAGTTAAAATAAAAACACCTTTTCACATGATTTTCTTCCCTAAGACGCTTTTGTGAATCAGGCCCTGGCTGATTTTCTTTCTTTCTTCTCCTCAAAGTGATCATTGACCTCAGAAAGACACAGCAAACAGTTTTAGCAGTGGACTGTTCTTTGGGGTATCTTTGCACCATGTTTGTGTATGTTTGCGTCTCTGTCCTTGGATCCCTGTTTCCCCTTTTTGATGGACAAACAGTGTCTAAAGTTGAACTCTTCAGTCTGTTCCAACACCAAAATGGGGTCACTGAAATAATACACATCAGTGAACCGGTGTTTTGCATCTTTATCATGCTGTATTCTTTATACTGTTTGTTTAGTAAATAGCTGGAGTGGACATCTCTTTGCATTCTTGTGAAATAGCACAGAATCTGCTTGTCCGAGGGTAAATTCCAGACGCGGTTTTGCGTAGCTCATGTGATCTGAACTACATCTGGAGAAAGAACTCATTCATAAGAGTCAGTCCCACTCCTCAATCAGTAGCTGGGTATGAAGTTGGAACTCCCGTATCCTCTTTCTGAGTGGTGGGTATTTATAGATGCAAGCAACTCTTCCTGGGAATGATTACGAGATGCTTGATAACTGCCGGATTTCAGCTCCTGGAACTTGCAGTGGATGCTTGTCATGACGGAATATACTCTCATTTTGGAGGGGTTGTGTGCACTGTTGGCTTATGACTCATATGTCTCACAGCAAGAAGGGCCTGGGTTTGGTTCCCTGGCTGGGCGACCAGGATCCTTTCAGTGTGGAGTTTGCATGTTCTCCCTGTGTCTGTGTGGGTTTTCTCTGGGTGCTTTGGTTTCTTCCCACAGTCCAAAGACATGCAGTCAGGCCAACTGGCCCTAGGCCTGAATGTATGCATCTGTGTGTCTGCCCTGTGATGGACTGGTGACCTGTCCAGGGTGTATCCTGCCTTCCACCCAATGACTGCTGGGATAGGCTCCATCACCCCCCTCCACCTCTCCCGTGACCCCGAAGGATAAGCGGTTTAGAAAATGTTTGTGTGTGTGTGTGTGTGTGTGTGTGTGTGTGTGTTGGCTCTCTCTGCTCTCTCTGTTTGAAATGCTGTGACTCTGTGTTGAGCTGCCAGTGAGCAGTAAGGGTGAAAGGGGAGGGGTGAGAATCCCCTGCTGTGACCACAAATCACACCTCTCCACAAATACAGTCAAAAATTAGATTTTCACTCACCTTGCACCTGTCTAAATGTGATGTGACAATAAACGTGATTTGATTTGATTTGATTTGAGTAAAAGCACTTTCAGAAACTGACTTGCTTGCTTGCCTTTAAAGATGGAAATCCAGTTCACTTCTGTTTTTTTAAAATCATACCATTAAAATATATTCCATCAGTGTTGCTGAGGAAATACACAGTTCAACTGAGGGATCTCCAAAACTGGTGGAAATTGCATTTTATGGCTACTTTATGAAAGAGTTAATGTTGCAGTTATAAAGAATTCACCATTCCAAAGAAAGCTGCTATCTTCAGTAAGACTGCATTGTTTTAACACATTCCCAACCTCCTCAAAATGTACGCATCTCCTTCTGCCCTGACAAAGCCCTTCTGTGGAGACCGTTTAGAATATCTTTTGTAGGCTCATGTCCTTGGGATGACGCGAGTTGTGATTGGTCACAAGAAGCTACAAATGAAAGTTGTATACACTGACTTCTGGTAAAGTCACTGATTCATTCAGGCCCTTTTAGGCCACACAGAGTGGTCGTTAAGTTGGAATCTGAAGAGTTTGTGGCTGCTCTCTGTTAGAAACCTTTTTTTTTTCCTTGTAAGAACAGTGCGGCAAAAAATCTAATTTGCACAAATCTTTCACTTAACAAAATGTAGTCAGTCAGAAAAATGTCTGTTGCCCAAAGTTTACTACTGAAGTTAGCACTGAAGCTTTGAGGCTAATGTAGTTAACAAGTAGTAGAATTTGGGGTAAGAGGCAAACTAAGTACATTAGATTTTTCAGGGAACTGTTCATTTAAAGCTGCACTATGTAAGATTTGAAGACCTCTCTGGTGGAAATGTGTAATTGCATTCAATGTGTGGATGAACATTTTGTAACATCGGCTGTGTTTCTGACCCCTTTTCTACGTGGGTGAATCTGATGGTTGTGAAAATGTTGAAAAAGTGTTAAAAAAGACAATGTGTCTTCTGAGGACATACATAAAATATGTACTATTGTCATCATATCTTCATCAGTAAGGTGTCTTTACATATTAACATCACACACGCAGGCTCAAAATGAAGGTCCTGATTGATGTTTAGGTCTCATATGGAAAATCAACATTATACTAATGAACATATGATGACAAATAGCAGGTAATATACTTACATCCTCAGTTTGACTCTCTTTGAGTTCTCACTGAATGCTCTTTCAACACACTTGCAGTCATCAGATTCATCTGCCTGGGGAAGAGGTCCAAAACACGAACATTACAGAACGTTCTTCCACTTGTTGCATGCAGTGACACATTTACACCAGAGAGGTCACCAGATCCCTAAAACTTCCATAGTGTAGCTTTAAGAATGAATGTAAAAAACCTTCAGTTGCTACATTGTCGACTGACTGGTTCTCTCATTTTTCTTGCAGGCTTGCCCAAGGCTGCAGTGATCACTCATCTACAGTCTTTGAAGGCAGCAGGTGGCTTCTGGGCATACGGCGGCACAGCGGAGGATGTGATCTACACACCACTGCCTCTCTATCACAGCGCTGCCTCTCTCATTGGCATTGGAGGCACCATAGAGTTGGGTAATGCTGTCTTTAAATGACTCATAAGTGATTGCTTTTCATGCCATCCCATCCTTGGCTTAATGTAAGACCTTATAAGGTCAATGGCTCTGATGATTTACATGGTAGGCTACTTATAGAGAACTATAGAGACTCCAGCCTCTATTCTGGCTATTTTGGATTTAGTTAGGCTGCATTTAGTGTTGTTTCTTTACTTTGATTTCAAGGAGCAGCCTGGAACTGTGGGTTGTATTGTAAAGCTCAGGTCTTGGTTATTCTAGCCCAAATTCCTTAACTTGCTCCTCAACCCCTCCTAGTATGTTAAATAGTTAACCTCTCCAATGACGTGAATAGTTGAAATACTACATCTAATATTCCATTATGTCCTAACTAAAGGAATAACTGACTTTGAGTAAATATAAGTTGTGTTTTCCTGTGCTGACTTTATGCTGTTTGCCTAATGCACCATGTGTGACTGTAATCAGGCACATTACATGTGATAGTAAGCATGCATATGCTGATTTTCAGCTGTTTAGAAGTGCTTATAAGAAATTCTAGTAACTTTCAATTGAAAAGATAGGGGTTTTAATCTCATAGGGGAATTCTACTGATATTTAAAATGCATGCATAATTTGATCATTGACAAGTGAAGCCGTGCGTCATAGAGAAACTTACTGACACAGATTTCTTTACAGTGGTGGTGATAGAAAGCACACAATGCCTACAACACAAATACAGTCATTGTTATCTGAAATTACTATCGAACTAACACATATGATTTTTTAAATGTGATGTTGATAATGTGGAAATAGTGGTTAATCTGAAAAAAAAAAACTTTCTTGGGGACTATTTTGCCTTTACAACACACTGCATGTACTTCGCTGCCATTGAAGGATTATAAATAACACGTTTTAGGCCAAAATCGTATCTTAAAAATGTCAGGAAACAATGTCATCAGGCGAAGTATTCATAACAATTTCAGGTAATAGTTTCCTTAGGTTTAGCCTTAAGAGGCATTAAACGCTTTTGATGTCCGAACAATTCCAACAAGTTTCTCTAGAATGTCTCAGTTCACTCAAAGTCCTAATAGGAAAGTCCGTCCACTCGCTGGCCATCATGACAGGACCCCTGGGCAGTTATTTCCAGTCATACAAAACCAGGTCTCATTGAAACTAAAAGCCTCATTAACGTTTCAAAAACATATTTGAAATCACTGATAAGGTCAAAATCAGCATAAATAGCTCAAAAACACACAAAACTTTTTAAAGTGGTTCTCGCTACTGCGCACATCTCCACAAGGAGGTAGAGCTTTTCCCACTTGCGGCTTAACCAGCAAGCTGATTGGCTCTTTTTATAAAAGGTCTTGAAGGTTGTGACTTTCACTGTAAACAGACACCAAGTTGAGCGTTACAAGGTTTCCCATACATTTTCAAACCAGTGACCAGTCTCATCCTCTATAACATCTCTGGTTCGCTTCAGACATTTGAGTGACTTTGTTTACATCTTAACCATTTAACTGTGAAGAATTTTTGAATCATTGAAGTGTTACAGAAGTAAATGGTAAAGTCAGATTGTTTTGTGTGAAAGGCTTTGTTCTGGAGAAATGTACAAAGTCAGAATTGTTCACAGTAGTGGTGATCGAAACCAGATGTCTGGAGCATTTAATGTCTCTAAAAGGTCCCTCTCTGAAAGCTATCACAAGAAATAGTTATAGATGTCTGAGACCTTGTTTTTTGATAGTTTTCAGATAATGTTAAGGCTATATATATATACATTTGTCAGCTCCACTTACTATGTAGGTGCACTTTGTTCTGTCAGAAGAAAACCTTGTATCTCCATTTTTGTGTTTTTCTATTTTTGACATAATTAGAAAAAGCCCATCACCCTTCAAATTGTATATAATTTTCAGGACAAATGGAGCAAAATAAATAGTCTGAAATGACCTGGAAAAAAGTCTGGTTCCTTTGACTTACATTAAAAGTATACTAGGTTTTTTCATTCTCCTGTAAAGTTACAGGAGATACGAAGATACAAAGTTTTGGAGATACGAGGTTTTCTTCCAACAACAGTGATATATATATATATCAAAAAACTCACATTGTAAATAAAATGTCTACATTTGTGTTATAGACATTGCGACCTCTGGCCTCTATCACCACCACTGTAAAGAAATTCCAGTTTATATGTTTTTCTACACTAAATTCTTTCACATAAAACTACTATGAATGACTGTATTTACATATCAACTGCTGAGTTATGAACAATTTTGAATTGAGTTCCACTTCTATTTTAAAGGTTTATCTTAAATGTCTTACGTTTTAAAGCTTTTATGGTGTAAAAAGTTGTGCGTGACTGTACATGGATTTTTGGATACTGACAGAGCTTTTCCAGTGGTTACCAGCAATAATGACATGAACATACAGTTCATAGCAAGGGCATGTTACAAGTCAAGACGGGGAAAATTAACCTTAGCTACCTTAGCTTTATCGAGGCTTAATACTGCGGTTGGTTATACGTAGTGATACATCCAGAGGCCAAAATATTATTCCAATTTTCAAAAACATCAGAGCGTGTGGGTGCGTGTCTAGCAAGCTATTATGTATTTAGATCATTCCGACGGAAAAATTAATCACGCGTACATCTGGAGTGTGGTGTACAGTGCAGTCTTCACATTTTTGTTCAGGGCGCCCTCTCTGTGTCTGCCCGCCGGTATGTGTGAACTCTTGTCCTCTCACCTCTTCACCTGTCTCAGATACAAACTGGAACTTGTTCCCTGTTCTGGGGAAGTGTGGAAGTAGCTACCGTATGTGATACTGTGTGCTAGCTGCAGAATGATTAACAGGCTTGTAATGGATAGTCTGTTCACCTTATGTACATATTATATAACCTATAGTTAGACCCAGCTGCTAGTAAAGATCTGCCTGACCTACAGTAAACTCGCCAGCCGACCAGGCCAATGACTTAGTGTCCACTGCAGTTTGTTCACAGCACGCATGTGACTTTGCTGTATGTTGCATCAAAATGTGTTTATTCATTCAACGCACTCATCAAAACAAGGTTACATTTTATTCCAGCCAATCTAGGAGACTCAGTGCAGGCGAACCGACATTCTGAGAAACTCTTTCACCACAGTTAGTGTGGCGCTCAAATAACCCTCTGTGCCAGATTTAATCTCAGAGAGACCATTCAGTAGAAACTAGATCACCCTTCGAGAAGTGTTAGAAACTGCAGCTCAGTGGACTTCACTGCATCTCAAAGGGAGTCCCTTATTGTGGTTATAAAAGGCGGTGCGAGAGTTGATTTATAAGGACTGTTGGCTGTCAGTATTTCTTTGTTGATTGTCAGGGCTTTGGATGAACGATATTAGAAAAAATGTTACTCTGTGCTATATTACATTTTTTGCAATAGTTTTTGCAAAATATGAAAAACAGGAGGAGTCAAAAATGTACACAGATGAACTTTTTCTCAAATGGACATAAGTTACACTCTAGCGATGTATAGCATGTGTTTAGAGGTGGAGTTAAGGTAGTAGTTTTGATATTTCAGTTAAGGCTGCATGAGGCAGACAAATTATATTGCTACATATCATGACAGAGAGTACTCTGCAAAAGTCAGGGAGCACCATTCATTGATTCAATTCCCATCCAAACCAGCATTAAGTACAAGTTATTCATTTTCAGGAGATGCTTCTGAGGAACTTTGACTGGAGTTTATTAGTATTAAACGATATAAAGGAACTGTGACTTCTAACAACCGTGCAAGACCTGGTGGACCACCAAAACATTCACCATCAGATAAACAGTAGTTTCATCACTGAGAGAGAGGAGAAAATCAAGCTCCACTCTTGCTTTAGACCGAAAAAATCCACAGGTGTTACTGTCCATCCTTCTGCTGTGAGAAGACAACTCAACACTATGAGTCTGAAAGGATGCGTAGCTGTCAAGAAGCCTCACTGAGAAAGTGAAATAGACAAGGAAGAAAATTTGCACATCAAACAAAGAAGCTCCTGGTGTTCTCAAAATAACAGACTGACCACTCCAGAGTCCAGACCTCAACGTAAATTAATGTGATGGGTCATGAGAAGCAGAAAATGCAACTTGAGACTGAACTTTTGAAATGTGGAAAAATATCCCTGCAGATTTCTCCCAGAGTCTTCCTAGGAGAATGGAAGCTGAGAGGAAGGCAAAAGGTGGACACACTAAATGCTGAAATTTTGATATTATATTTAGTTGTTGAGGCGACTGTGGAATTTACTGTTAAATATGTTTCTTGCTTTTTTTCCTGATGCTGCAAAAAGTATAACTTGTACTTAAAAGCCATTTTGACTGGAAACTAAATAAATGAAGGGTGGGTTTTTGCAAAGTACTGTACTTCCAGTATGTTGGAAAACACATTAGTGAATCTTTTCTACAACATGGTTGTTAAAAGCAAAGGATTTGATTTTTGGATCGTGTGAATGCCTTGATTCATCAGGCACCCAGAGAATATCTGTGACTGGTCAGAATTCTCACAGCACAAACTATTTAGTGATTGGTTATGAGCTGAACTATAAGCTATTAGCAAACAATATGTTGTGCACCCCATTGAACGCTGAGATGCAAATACAGGAGTGAATATATGTACAGTGATTGCTCAACTGTTCTTATGATTGGTCTAGGTGTTGCTTCTATCCTCCATGCAGGTCATAAACACATTGGCTGTAAATCTTACTGCTCCTGTTTTGAGAGCAAAGGTTGTAGCACCTTGGATAATATTACACTGTACAATTTAACAGAATGCTTTAGTTTGATAACTATTTGAAAAGGGTACTTATTTAGACAGCATAGCGCTGTATGATCTAAATGAGCAATGTGAACATGATTAGTTTGTCCAGTGTGACCTTTTAAGCCCCATATCCAGTTGGCAAATGCTAACATGACTATTGACTGTTGTCTGTTGTATATAACTAATTCCAGATCTGTCCCATCTTGTCTTACACATTTCTTTTTGTTTTGTTTGCATGTTGTAGGTGCAACATGTGTTTTGAAGAAGAAGTTCTCAGCCTCACAGTTTTGGAATGACTGCAGAAAGTATGATGTGACGATCTTCCAGTACATCGGGGAGCTGTGCCGTTATCTGTGCAATCAACCTAAGGTATGAACTGTTGAATATCTGGCTGACTTTTTACTTTCACTTATTGTAATTCTAGCTTTCTAAAAGGACCTGACAAGTACAGATGTTCAATTCTGTTGTTTTTCAGCAACAGCTGCCTGTGAATGAGCAAACCAGCGTTAATACTGTGTCACATCAGTCGTATTAAGGACCCCATCCACATGGAAATCCTTTATTATGAACTTGCAAGTCATACAATACAATACACACATTTTCAGATATTTTACACTTGTATTGGTGACACTTTATTTTGATTGGTCCGTATATGTGAAACAAACACTAGACAGACTTTCAGTAACATGTCAAACACATATGAGGGTTAGGATTAGGTTTTGGGTCGAGGTTAAGGTTAGGGTGAGGGTTAGGGTTAGGTTTTAGGTAAGGTTGGTAAGGTCAGGTTTTGCATAATGGAAGTAACATATTAACAGTACCTTTACTTAATGTAAATAATGTATCAACAGCACGTGTACAAGATATTTACTTCAGTGTATTCAGATGTCTTCACTACTGATACTTCACTGATATGTTGTTGGTGTTACTGATAATCTGTTAAGAGTTTATTAATCATCTACAAAGGACCACTCAAAATAGAGTGTTACCCTTATATTAAATATAAGTATGTAGTAGATGTGTTGAACAGATTTAGAGAGAATAGCTTATTGATTTTTCTGACTAATATAGCATTTGAGGTTTCAATGCAAAGACAAGCACGTCCTTTTTTCAGACTTGCAGCTTTAGGTGCTGAATGTAGTGTGATAGACTGTGAGGTCACAAACTCTATTAATAGATTCAATTCTCACACTTAAAACTTGACAGCATTGAATTATATAATATATAATTGAAATTCCTGCTCTTGCTGTTTGAAAATTGCCACTTTCTGGTTGTGATTTAGACATAAAAGCGATTCAGCACTAGATACAGTTGTGTGCAAAGCCTGAACACCCCTGGTGAAATAAAAAAAATAGTGATTTCCTAAGCAAACATCCTCTACAGGAAACAACCTTAAATATGGTATTGTTCTGCCAATTCTAGTGCACACTTTCTGTTTATTAGCTCTACCAGCAGAAACACAGTCCTATTTAGCTTGATTAGTTTACCTGGAAAGATACTGTCTTTTAAGTGTTTACCAACAGTTGATTTTTACTGGTACTCATCGCTATGAACGCATAACCCCGTCATTAAAGATATTAGTGCACACTCTCTATTTCTTTGCTTTTTGTCTAACAAAAATAGGACATAACACAAAACATGTGCCGGCTACATTTTTCCCATTATGTTAAATTCAGCAAATAAACAGTGATTGTGTATTAAAATGTGCAGAAGTGAGTTCTCTGTATAGGATGTATTCACTTATTTTCACTGAGAAAATCAACACAACGTGGAATTTCACTAGGAATTTCAACAAAACATGGAATTTCACAAGGAGTGCCCAAACTTTTGCAACTTTTGCAGCCTCGAATACACCAGCAACAGAGGAACTTGAGGTGAACATTAATGAATTAGTGTGAACGTACGGTTAGACTAAAGGTTTTATTTGTTTTTTTGTGTGAGGTCTCAAATAGAACTTTTTCAACTCTTGCCTCTAACACTGAAAATCTCAAAACCCTAGAATTTATAAGTCCAAAAAATCCATTTTATTTATGCGTGCTTTGTGTGTGTGTGCAAAGCATACATTCTATGATACTTTATGGAAATCGATACTGTACTGAAATCACACTGCCTTTACTCCAGAGAAGACCAGAAAACATTTAGTTTAGCCATTATTTAGTTACCGTAACCATCTGTCTTGCTGTCTTAAGTGAATACACTGTGTCCTTAGTATTGTGATGAGGAATTCACAGCCAACATCACATTTTCTGCAATGGTTACATGTTATATCCAGAATGGAACAGTTGAGGTAGAACAGTACATATTGGCTTGATTTTAGCTACAGAGAACACAAGCAAACGCTTCTTCGAGTGCCTCCAAACTTGAGAAAAACTCCTTTTTCACGGGACATAGTAACATTTTTGTCAACATGTCGATTTGCAAGCGATTGATATGACTGGGGTTATTTCTATGCTTAGCTTTATAGAGAGTAAAAAAGCTCCAGAATCTTTGCTGACACGAGAGCACGCAGTCGATTAAAATGACTGACAAGGTGCATTTGGACTGGATTAAATCACTGAAACATTGTGGCAAATTACATTACCTTACCTCCTCATGTAAAACTAATCCCATCTGAATAGGGCTTTAGAAAGTAGTCTTTGTGACTCAGAGTTGATGAGTTCCTCAGAGTTCTTTGGTTCAATGAAACTGGTGCATTTACATAAATCTGCATGATGAGAACACATGAAGAGGTAAAGCGTCCTAGATTCAGGAAGTCTTGCACTACGAGGCCTCAGCACATAGCATGAGACTGGCTGTCATGCACTAATAAGAAATACTCGAAGATCAGTGTGTAACAGCACGTTTGGTAAAGGTTGTTAGGTTGAACTCCCTGTTTGTAGTGTAACCTTGTTTTTTCACTCTCAACACGAGTGGACCGGATCTAGTCCGATATTACGTAAAGTAATGACAATGGTCAGGCTTGTTCCTCTGAAACCTGGCATTCTCGTTAATTCCTCATTAATGTCACTTTGTTAATGTGATGAGTCACCCATTACTCGTTACGTGCCGACATGCAGAAAACTGCGAGTGTGCAGTGCTGCACTCGCACAGTTCAGACTACGATGGCACAGCACGTCCGTCCCATAATGATACTTCTTCACAGCCGCTGTGCTGTGGGTCACTGCCATTCTTCACGGGAGACTGGCAGAAAGAGGCTTTTGTTGGGTGACCCCTGCTTCCCAGGCAGTGTCTATCTCCCTCTCCAGTGTCATTCTCAGCAAGTGAACAAACTCTGAAAGCTCCTTTTGTCCCTCAGGCAGAACTGCCTACCCACCAGCACTCTGACGGCAGAAACACAGCCCTATTCAGCTTGATTAGTTTACCTGGAAAGATACTGTCATTTAAGTGATTACCAACCAGGTTTACGCTTTTTACTGGTGCTCATTGCTGTGAACACATAACCCCATCATTACACCATCCACTGTGGTCTTCAGTAGATTTTTACACAACAAAGAATACATTACAAGATTTGCATGCTTGCATTAAAAGCACTTCATGGTTTATCACTGTCATACCTGACTGGCCATCTACTTTACATCTAGAACACCACACAGCTCCTCTGCTGGACTTCTGCACACTCCACATTTATACCTCTCATCTATAGGTGTGTTTAATCAGCATATACCACAGCTTTAAAACTCTCTTCCTTTATAGCTTTGCCTCCTGAACTGTAGTGTTTAGGAAAGAGCTGAAAATGCCTCATTTTCTGCCATTGCCCCTCTGTATTTCTTTACTTTTTTTTGGTCTATTTATTGTTTTTATACTCTTCTGCTGTATCTTTTTACTGGTGTTTACTGGAAGCACAGCTAGTGTTTTATTCATTTATATTTTTATAGCCTGTACTTTGTCATTGAGGTCATAAAAACAATTTTGAAAAGACATAAGCCAAAATGAAATATTTCTTTACGTCTGTTGTAAACATGCCTGCTATCCTCCTACAGCGAGATTTTCCAGTTTAAAGACTTGGAAGATCTCCTTCTGGTGATGCATCTTTAAGTTGGGAGGAAGAAACTGCTTCAGGGTGAATTATTGGGGACAGGATATTTAATGTTTTTTGTTTTGTTTTGGGAAATTGGAAAGATGGACTCTCCACATGACAGAAGCGTCTTGTCAAATGAGCAGGTCAGCGAGCTAAAAGCTAAAGTTAGCAAGGTTGCTACCTAGATCTATCTAGAACTTGCCTAAAGCTACCTTTTGACTTTGTTTCTAGCTGAAATGCTTTAGTTCTCAAAACCTTAATTTCCAAAAGTACAATACACTACTGGCTTTTTATTGGTTTCCTTTTGTATGAGCTGGTAGTGATTTTGTTCCTTAGACTGCCAGCACTGTCTCTGTCAGCTCTAAATCTTGCTGATTAGAAGCAGAAACTTCCTCATTGTGGAGAGTGGCGTGGCTCTTGGTGGAATGTATGTGCACTAAACGGGAGCAAGAGTGTAAACAAGTTGGGCGTTACACATAGAGGAGTCCTGTTAAACTTGCAGTGTTCTGGAGTGACGAGCTGCCTTTGTTAACCCACACATAGCTCTGCTGGAGTGACTGGTGGCAGGCTGGTCAGTGAGTGATGATGTTCCTCCAGAACCTGGAAAACCAGGTCTGCTGGCAGAGTGGGATTACAGAGAGAATGGCTTCAGGCTTCAGGCTTGAGGGTGAATTAATGTGACAGACAAAGAAACAAATTAAAAGAGTGCTTTTAAGCACACAGTGATAGAATAATGTCAACATGATGGATGGATTCATTTGGAAGACAGTTCAGGCAGCCAATAGTAGGCAAAGGAAATGGAGAGGAGTTATAGGCTACATTACTGTTAGACTTCTCCCTGAAGCCTTCACATGATTTTGATAGACATGCATAATCCCTTATTCTACATTTGAATGAATATGCATATACAAACAAATGACATTTTAAGTGGAAAGAGTTTTAAAATCCAACAATATATATAATATCAAAAACTCCATTTTTGTTTAAAAACTCCAGCTGCCCTTTACATTGTGTGAACATTTCATGACCAACATGGTCCAAAATGACTTGGACTAAGATGTAGATGACATAAATGACATCAATTTTCTTCTACACGTTGTCACTGTATCTCCAGAATGATAACTTTACAGGAGAGGGCAAAAACGTTCTGTACTTTTGTTGTAAGTCAATGGAAAGAGATTATTTTGGTGCATTTTTATTGGTCCATTCATCATGAAATTTTCACAAAATGTAAAGAATGGCTTCCAGACCCAAACGACATAGAAAAGTGAAAATCGCAAAAAATGGAGATACATGTTTTCTTTGGACATTGACGGTATGAAAAGATGACGATAGATATCAGATGTTTCATTGCTGAATGTTCATGTGTGTTCACCAGGCGGAGAACGAGAAGGATCATAAGGTGCATATGGGTGTGGGGAACGGCCTTCGGCAGGACGTGTGGAAGGAGTTCCACGAGCGTTTCGGGAAGATCCGCATGTGTGAGCTGTATGGCTCCACAGAGGGAAACCTCTGCTTCATGAACCACATCGGCAAGATAGGAGCAGTCGGTCGCTCCAACTTCTTCTACAAGGTCAGTCTGGAGTTCAGCCGTACAACGTTTTTTTTTTTTTGACCCCCTTTAAGGTTACCAGTAGTCTTCTTGCGAAGCAAGTGTAAAGTGCAAGTGAAGAATCAATCAGGCCTGGTCAAAGACCAACATCACTAGCACACTGAACTGCAGACTTTTTAAATATTTGAGTTAGATCTTACATGGAGAATCATCATCGACATTCCATGGTAAATTAATAACGAGTGCCCAAATGGCAGGAAAGAAACATTAAAGTGGAGACATCGGTCATCATTCAGGAACTGTCCCTAAATACATAATCAACATTTTAAGCAATGTTTAATTAAAAAGAAAGCAGGCAGGGCAGAAGAGAGCAGAAAAGAGTGGAGTTCTTATATTTTATTCGCTCATTGTTATATAATGCATAAGGCCTATAATGTGATTTTTTTTTTCAAGTTGTCTGTGTGAAGTTGACGGTCTACTGCGGTAATACAGTTCTAATCTAAGCAGTAGTAGTAGTGTAGTTGATTTTTGTGTTAGCAAGAAATACAAGAGGTCCGATAAAATGCTTAATGAATATAATACCGCTGGTGAAATGTGTATTTTTAAATACTCTCAGTCTGTTTTTAAAAAACTGTAATAACTCTGAAGCCATGATATTTTAGTCACTGATACCATGATTGAAACGTTTCATTCTCTGCTGTTGTGTCTGGTAAGAGGCAGATTGGTCAGCATTCTACCTGGAGCAGATTAAACATCCTCACTGTGGCAGATTGTCAAAGCCTTGCCTGATCACAGAGCACAGTCAAATCCTGCTCTCGTGATGATTAAAGCTGCCCAAACGTGCTATGAGACCAGCAAGGAGTAAGATTCAATTCATTACCTTGTATTTTTGCAACTGTTCTTGGTTGAGTCTCTAGTCCAAACCTACATGACTGAAATTTGAAGACATTTCAGAATGGAGCTCAGGTTCTTTGGTGTGCAGATTTAGTGTGATACCTCCCGGTGCCTAATCCTACATGTTGTACAATGTATTTGTCAAGGCTCTTAGACGTTGTCAGATTACTGATTGTATTTGCTGGTTTGTGGTGGCTAAATGTTGCTTAGTGATGTTGCTGGGCAAAATATCATCTACATCTGTATACCGATAGCGGTTTCACACAACACTATTGACATTTAGTTTTAGTGGTACTGATAACAACATCTACCCACAATTTATGTCATTTGCTAGGTGCTTTCAGACTGTTTTGAAAGAGCATTACATAAAAAATACATAAAAATGAAATAAATAATAAGTTTCCATTCTGGTAATGTGGTTTCTGTCTAGTTAAAGTTTACTAAACTATAAACTTAACTTTTGGTATAACTTTAAAGCAAACCTGAAATTAAATTTGATCTTTTTTATCTTGTTAGTTCATGTCTCTGGCTAATAAAACATCATTTAAAAGACAGAATCCTTTTTTTCTAGAGATCTTCCATCAAAATTTAATGACTCTTGCCTGCATTTAACATCTTGTTTTGATTGTGTCACAGTGCAGGCAGGGAAAATAATATTAACCAGTAACATCATGCTTTACCTCCCACTAACAGACTGTAAAAAACAAGAAGTCTGCTCAACTTAAAATGGTCTAGTAGCTGATTACATACAAGAGTTCACACAAATCAAACTTCTTAGTTGAGTCAAAAATTCTCCCAGCTACTGTTTCTAGGTCTGCATCTCAAAACTGAATTTGCATTTTTTTCTTGTGTTTCTCTACTAGCTGGCACTGCTTCTATTACACATTCCCATCGGGCATATTTTCCTCTTGGGCTTCCGGATATGGACAGCTATGGTATTGCTGGGATTCAAACTCACAATCTCCTGATGTTAGAATGAACTATTAGACAGTGACCCCACATGAGATGATTCCATACTTTAAAGGTAAAATAATACATATTTTCTCCAGTGTATTAAACATTTGTAGACACAAAATCTGAGTTGTTTTATGGGTTCCTGAGTGATGCGGTTGACCAAGCCATCATCTCAACAGGAGGTTGTGAGTTTGAGCCCTAGCAATGCCACATAAATGTGTACCCAAGAAGAAGAATGTCTAGAAGGATAGTGTGGTGGAAAAAGTCCTGGCTAGTGGGAAAGTTGAGTATAAAAAACAAGCTCATTTTATTTACCTGACTGAGATGCAGAACTAAAAAATTAAGAGAATTTTTGACTCAACTAAGAAGTTTGAGTTCTCTGAACTCTTGTGTCCTCGAGTTGAGTCAACTCAAGGGAAACCAAGTAATCAGTTACTATATCATTTTGAGTTGAGCTGATCTCTCATTTTTAACAGTGCAGCCCACCAACCAGTCATCGTGAAAAAAAAACACTCAGCTAGCTTAGAGACTCTCCCTGATACTGCGTTTCAGTCCAAAATATGTCACAGTATGGAAGGAAAATGAGCTATAATTTCTGTTTCACATTGACTTTCTAGACAGAGCCTGTGTCACATTTTTAAGACATTCCTCAACACAGAATAGCAGCACTCAGGCAGCAGCGGGTCATTAAATTTATTAATGTAAACTTAAATATCATCAAATGCTATAATAATGTGATATGTTCAGAAAAATGGTCAGACTGAATGGTAAAACTATTGCCCAGCACTAATGCTCATTTTTTGTGATGTAACAGTGACACCAAAAAGTATTTGGACATTTATACCATACTTTAAATTGTGCATTGTGTTAGGAAACAAACTGTCGAACCATGTGACATTTATCGTAAACAGACTATCCAAGGCTGTAATTTTCTTTTTGGAAAAGTATTCTGTCAAACATGCGATGGTGTTTTCAGATCCTTACTGTTTGAGCAGTTTCTTTGCAGTTTTACAGGTTTGCAACCAAAATGCATTAGTACACTTTATGATCCCATCAAGGAACACAAGCTTATTAATGCTACTGTAAAAAAAAAAAAAATCCTTCTGGAATTCTTCTCCAGGCTCTCTCCATAGATACTCTTTGTGAAACAAATATTTTGCTAAACATTTTATGAATAAACCTAGAGAACTTTAGGTTTACCAAAGGCTCAGTAGTTAAAGTGTCCAAATACTATTTGGGGACACTGTATATCGCACATTTGCTTTATTTATTAGATTATTCAGGACCACAAAACACCAGACAGATCATTATTATTTGATCGGTTTCTTTGCAGATATCTGCAGAAATAATCTCAGAATGCTTATAAGCCATTGCTTCAAAAGAACGTTACTTTTGGGACTAAAGCTTCTAAGTTTTTCAGTTTATAAGCTGTGGATCAGTGAAGAAGCTCTCTTTAATTGTGCCGGGTCCAGGTGTTTCTATTGAATCTGTGCTGTGTGAAATTTCAGCAACAACACATGTCTAAGCGCACATTCATTTGGGGTGATTTTATTAACAAACAAGGTTATGGCTCAAATGAGTTATGAAACTGATATGAATCACTGGGCTCTTTAGTGATTCAAATGTGGGGTGGAGAACACATTAACATGCTGGGACAGAGGCGTCTTAATATAGCGTAGCCTATAGCGTATGAAGACGCCTATTGTACACAGTGAGTAAGCGGCATTCCAGAACAGCAGCTGAACACAGTCTATACAGTGTTCTTTACAAATAAGAGAATACAAAGATAATTCAAATTAAAACGTAAAAATATATACATTCTTAAAAAGATGTTTCTTTAAGGGTTCTTTAGTAAAGACAATTGTCTTATGAAAGAAAGAAGAAGAAACTTAAAAATATGATTAAAACAGATTTAAAAGAGAGGAAATTAATAGTAAATTAAAAATTTAATTACAAATTAAATGAGCATAATAAAGTGCTGTTACAGGAGAGAAGTGCAGTAGAGCTAACAGTGTTTAAACTGAGCTGAAAGCTGCTAAAATAGGAACGTTTGGAGCCTGGATTTAAAAGTGTCCAGTGTCGGGGCTCCTCTAATGCTCTCTGTCAACTGGTTCGTTTGAAGAGCAGCATAGTGGCTAAACGCTGCTTCTCCATGTTTAGTCCACTTTAGACAGGACTAACTGACCAGTTCCTAATGATCTGAAAATTCTGGCTCATATCGCTGCAGCATATCAAATAAATATACTGGTCCTACACCATTAAGCAATTTACAAACCCATATCTTAAAGTCTATTCTGTAACATACAGGTAACCAATGTATGAATTTAGGAATGAGGGTGATGTGTCCACCTCTTTTACTCTGCTAGAAATAAAGGCATGGATGAGTTTCTCCAGGTCTGCTTCAGTCAGATAATCTCTGATCTTGTTGATATTCTTAAGGTAATAAAAAGCTGATTTAGTAACTGCTTTAACAACTAAGATCAGAGTCCATCTAGTTCTTTAGATTTTAGGGCCCTCAAATCCAGATGCCTCTCATTGCTATTCATTGTGAGCAAAATAAACTATTTTATCTTTGTTCAACTGCAGAAAGTTTTGTCTCATCCAGTAAGTGATGAGCTCAAGGCACTTACAGAGTGAGTTAAGAGGACCATAGTTGTTTGGGAAGAGGGGCCAAGTACACCTGACTGTTATCTGCATAGCTGTGGTAAGATATCCCATAGTCTTGTGGAATTTGGCCAAGAGGAAGCATGTATAAATTAAATAAGAGTGGCCCAAGAATGGACGCCACAGGTCACTGGCACTCTCTCAGAAAAATTATTTTCTATTGTTTTATGACAGTTCCTGAGAGTCCAACTCAGTTCTCAAGTCTATCTATGACACTTTTATGGTCAGTTGTATCGAAGGCAGCTCTGAGATTGAGCAGTAGTAAAACAGATATTTTTCTAGAGTCTATATTTCAGTTAATGTCAATAAAAGCCTTAGTTAGCGGAGTCTCTCTTGGGCCGGAATCCTGGCTGAAACAGCTGAACACAGCTATTGAAGGACTGAAAGCCAGTAAGTTGCTCGAAGATGATTCTCAATTATTTTTCCAATGAAAGGTAGATTTGAAATAGGTCTATAATTACTTATTTGAGTTGCTTCTAGATTTTTCTTTTTTAAGAGAGGCTTCACGGCTGCAGTTTTTAATGTGTTGGGAAAAATGCCCGACAGGAGTGAGGTGTTTACTATCTGAAGTATGTCCACTGATATTGAGTGAAACACATTCTTTAACATGTCAAGACTGAAATGGATGATTTGAGATGACTCACTGTATCGATTAAAGTGTACTATTAATAGCACTAAACTGGGACATTTTTAACCCTATACTTTACATCACGGGTGTCAAACTCGACCACTAAAGGGGCCATATTAAAAGATCTTAGCAAATCCGAGGGTCAGAGAGTGTTTATATTTTAATACACCAGAACATCAACAGCAAAATGTAACCACTTGTAGTAAACCATCAAATATTACGTGCGAGTACTTGATGTATTTAGGCTACATCAGCTACAGATAACTGTTAAATCTCTTTAAATGTCCACAGGTTGTATTTTTTTAAGCCTACCTGTGTCTTGGTCTCCACACCAGACATATTTTCTTGGCTGCAAGTTCATTAATTCTTGGGATCTGTTTCTGAGCTGCTGAGTGTTTGTAGTGTTTATATTGGTTGAACTGCAGCTAAAACGCAGCTGGTGTGTTTGGTGATATGACACGGCAATTGGGTAAAAAACTGCTGTCCCATAGATTGTTGTTGGGAGTGGCGTGTCAGTGCAAATTACATTGCAGTGCATGCTGGGGATTGTAGTGCTGCTGTATGAAGAGATCAATAAACTCACTTAGCTGCTCTTAAAACAGTTCAGTTTTCTCTTCCTCACATGCAGCTAACAGATAATGAAAGTGTGTACCTCACCAATTCACACTGTGCAAACTGAACGCCAAAATCCTCACATGGTTCCTTCAAACTACGTCAACTAATCTTAAACAGACTTACTTCCCATATAGAAATGATAAATGGCAATATATGGATTTCAAATATAAGACATATATTTGCATATGTTGATTTCATTATATCCAACTTATATTAGTCACATAGGGACATATATGTGACATATATATGTAACACATATTTAACAATGTATGTTAGAAAAACATAATCATATATGGACGCCATATATCACTCATATCTGCCTGCATCACGTTACATATGTTTTTCTTATTGCAAGTATGTTGCTAGTGTATTTTATGTTGATTTTTTTGTTTTAAAAAACAGGCTTACAGTATTTGTATCAGACATATAAGTGTCCACCAACCTATCAGACACATGTGTATGGTTCATATATACCGATCAGGCATAACATTATATCCTTGTTTCTACACTCATTGTCCATTTTATCAGGTCCACTTACTATATAGGTGCACTTTGTAGTTCTACAATTACAGACTGTAGTCCATCTGTTTCTCTGCATACTTTGTTAGCCCCCTTTTACCCTGTTCTTCAGTGGTCAGGACCCCCATGGACCCTCACAGAGCAGGTACTATTTGAGTGGCGGATCATTCTCAGCACTGCAGTAACGCTGACATGGTGGTGGTGTGTTAGTGTGTGTTGTGCTGGTACGAGTGGATTAGACACAGCAGTGCTGCTGGAGTTTTTAAACACTGTGTCCACTCACTGTCCACTCTATTAGACACTCCCACCTTGTCAGTCCACCTTGTAGATGTAAAGTCAGAGACGATAGCTCAGCTGCTGCTGCACAGTTTGTGTTGGTCATCCTCTAGACCTTCATCAGTGGTCACAGGACGCTGCCCACAGGACGCTGTTGGCTGGATATTTTTGGTTGGTGGACTATTCTCAGTCCAGCAGTGACACTGAGGTGTTTAAAAACGCAGCACTGCTGTGTCTGATCCACTCAGACCAGCGCAACATACACTAACACACCACCACCACGTCAGTGTTACTGCAGTGCTGAAAATAATACACCACCCAAATAGTACCTGCTCTGTGAGGGTCCATGGGAGTCCTGACCACTAAAAACAGGGCAAAAGGGGGGCTAACACAGTATGCAGAGAAACAGATGGACTACAGTCTGTAATTGTAGAACTACAAAGTGCACCTATATAGTAAGTGGAGCTGATAAAATGGACAATGAGCGTAGAAACGAGGTGGTCATAATGTTATGCCTGATCGGTGTATATGCATATTTGTAAAATATTTGTTGGCTTTGAGATGGTTGTTAATAGTCTTTTAGTTTTTAGTCAATTTTTTTGGTTAACAGTGTGTCAGACATTGTCAGAAACCACTAAAGCAGGTTTATTTGAGATTACTTGCTTAAGTTGATGTGGTTTGAGGCAAATTTATTTAGGCATGCATTTTGTACAGTGCTAAAAATTTCCATTAATTGTTAGCTACATTAGCCTTATAGCTCCAGTGCAAAACTAAAGAAGTGCAACTGCAGACACCAAACATGTATCAGCTGATCTACCTCATTAAATGTAATTGGAACATAATGGAAAATTGATTTTTGGCCAAACTGTCACTGACTGTCTTTCCATGCATGCAGTACGTAGCTATTTGTAATTAAGGGAAGGAATTTTAAGTATTGGTTGCATAATGTTGCTCAATTTTACCCGGCAAGCATTTTGTTCACACGAATGCAAATGATTGCGTGCGATTGACTGTATTTGCCTGCCCTACAAATGTGTCTGAGTAAAACCGCATAAGAGGGAAGACCCTATAGAGCTGCTGGACTGCACTAAGGGGAATGTGTAGTGTCTAATGATCCGATTTCTTCTTGGAAATTTGCCACAGATACCATAAGGTGGTTTCCCATTCTGGGAAACTCCAGACATAGTGGCACCAAGAACATTACTATTTTGAGAAATGCTGCCGTGGCACATGTGTCAGAAATTCTCTCACATAATGCACAATTTAAACAGATATATAAAATGTTTATATTGTGCTTTAGAGTTGTGTTATTTGGACATAGTGTAAGAATGATGCAGCTACACTGTAAACATATTCATTAGGGCACAGTACTTTGATGAAAATTGAAATTTCAAGCATATCTTTCCGAAGGTGTAAACTGAGCTGTTATCTGCTTTTCCCTGTTGTTTAATCTCGACACATAATTGACCCCCGCTTGAACTCTGTGAAGCCAACTGCTGTAACTATTACAACACTAAAAGCTGCCTTCTGAGAATATGAGTGCAGTCTCTGTTCAGAAGACATTCTTATAATGTAAACAGACAGTCAACATCTCTGGCCAACTGCACCATTTCAGGCTTCTGTGCAGACATTCTGACCCAAAGGCCAAACTCTGCTTTCCCTTCCGAGCGTGGTGGTTAGATTTAAAATGATTCAGTTATGTCTTCTTTCTCAATAACTTTCTATGCCCATTTCATAGGTTTTAATTCACGTATTTCTGAATCTCTACATGATTTTTTCTACTTGTATGTTTGATTTCCAATAGAGTATGATGTGATAACTTACTCAGTAGTTTCCCATATAACTATCATTTCTGCTTCTGTTGTCTTGCAGCTCCTGTTCAAGTATGATTTGGTGAAATATGACATGGTGAAAGAGGAACCTGTGAGAGATGACCAGGGTTTCTGCGTGCGTGTTAAGAGAGGTATGCAAACCTTGTCCTTTCTGACTGTATCCTTAAAAATTCATATCAACCAGCATAACCAACAAAGCCCCACATACGGGACATATGGTTTATAAATTGTACCTGAATATTTCAGCAGTTAGTTTCATAAACAAAATCTTTGTAAATCTTTTTACATCCCTGTGTGCACAATGTTTACAGGCCTACACAACTATTTAAGAGAAGTAAAATGTTTTTAAATTGGACCATTTGAGGCCGTATGCATTTCCAAATTTTTGGTTGAAAACAAGAAAAAGAAAAACTCCTTCAACAATGGAGTTCATGACGTTCATTTCATTTATGGATTTCTGTGATAACTTGATAGTTATCCTGATCAGCAAGGGCAGATGTTGTGATTTTGGGGTCCTAGGCAAAAAAAACAGGAACGGGCCTTGGCTGCACATTTTTAAATGGGTTTTCTCAATTTGAGATGAGAAATATGAAAATAGTATAAGGTTGTTTAACTATCACTATAATAGCAGGTAAATTTGCTTGTTTTAAGAAATATAATCTGCCAATATTGTAAGATAATTTGGTACAGAGGAACATAGAAATAAAGTAGAGTATTGTTTTGTTTCTTTTGTTTTTCAGAAGGTAATAAATCATGTAATCCCAGTACATTTTGAGAGGAGTAATTAGTAACTTGAATGGATTGCTTGTTTGAGAAATTACCCAACACTGAGCTATCTATACTAAATTTAACACTAGCGTTATGTACAGTCGAGTCTTTGCATCACTCTGTTCTGACTGTAAAGACAGTTAACTTTGAGAGTGCAGCAACAAACCTTTTGCTTTCCTCCTTCTTTCAGCATGTCCTAACAAGTGATGCCGTCGAGTAGCAACGACAAACCAAAATGCTGCCATTATAGCTTAACAATGAAGTCGTATACCAGCTGCGTGCGGCATAACACACTGCTATGCGTTGTTCTTTACAGACAAAAAGACGTTTTGATAGACAAAATTTTGCCATTCTACCTTAAAATGGATGAGGAGAAAGGCTCAGTTAAATTGGAGGGATCTCTACAAAACCTTCCAGTAAAAATTCTAAGGATTTAACAGAAAGGAAACCATTTAGAGAGAAATTGCCAGAGGGCTGAAAGCTGAAGGTGTGTCAATGACTGATAAGAATACTTGGCTAGCTAACAGATACAAGCCAATACGATCACCCATCTCCAGTCTCAGGCTATTTTCTGATAGGTGGTTTGTTTACTTGACTTGATGCTGCTACATTTGAAGGCTCGCTTGCTGTGCCTTCCTGGATGAGGATAACATTTATTTAAATTTCCCTCTGGACACCCAGAAAATCACGTCTAAGAGCCTCCTCTCCACGATGTAGATCAGTAGTGCGTTTTTCGTACCAGTCTTTACGCAGTTCTGTCATCACCTAACAACATGGACTAGTCCATTATAATCATGATCGATTGGTGGTGCTTTGACATAATTGCTGAAGTCAGAAATCACAGTGTGCAGTATCTCTAATTTGTATTTTCAAAGGCTGCTGATCAGTGATTCTGATTTGTATATTCCTCCAGGTGAGATGGGGCTGCTGTTATCTAAGATTAGTTCCCAGAGTCCCTTCTTTGGTTACGCTGGGAGCAAACAGCTGACTGAGAACAAGGTGCTGAGAAACGTGTTTGTGAAAGGAGACGTCTACTTCAACACAGGAGACCTGATGGTGGAGGATGAGGAGAATTTCATCAGCTTTAAGGACCGAGTGGGCGACACTTTCAGGTAAATGGGGTGGGGGGGGGGCTCTGCTTGTGGAGAGAGACTCAGCAGTGTTATATTCCCTGCATTCATGAAGAGTCTGATCACTGGTTTAGGATCAGGATTTCCTCTGACAGTCATTTGTTTGATTGCATTTTAAAGCTGTCCTGATGTTCTGTTACTGAGAGAGTCTAGCGCGCTGGTCTACAACCCCAACCTCATCCTCGTCTGGCAGGCAAAGGGCATTAATTTTGTCTTTAAAGCTGCAGTACGTAACCCATATAAAAATCACTTTTTGTCGAATTTGCTAAAATTGTTCCATATTACTATGTAATCTGTGAAAAAATCAGGCTCCTCTAGCTCCACCTAGTGTTCCTAATGCAATTTGCAAGAATCCACCACGACCGAATCAAAACAACCAATCAGAGCTAAGAGGAGTGTACGACAGAGTGTCAATCACTGCTTGTGCACATGCTGCAGGCAGCTCCCGCTCCCCTGCACCGCCTCTGCCCTCCTCTGTAGGGAGGGGCTTTGGAGGCGTGGCTGCAGGCAGTGGACAGGGAGGGGGAGGGGGAGGGGGAGGGGGAGAGACCTGGAAGTTGTACTCATTCAAATTTCCAAGTCCACTCTCTTCTTAATCCCACCTACTGCGGCTTTAACAGCTTAAAACCTTGAGTATTGGAGCCATATTAACCAATAGGGATCAGATATTTCCTATTCAAAAACTGCTCAGCTTTAAAATCAGTCATTTTCAATTGAAGTACTTCACTTAAGATGTGCCTCGAGAAGTGGGCTATCATGCTCAAACTACTCAAACACTCTACTACCCTACAAGAAGAAATACACAGCTCACATCATTACATCACGCAGTGGGAGAGTGCCCTGTTTCAGGGTAGATTTGTTACAGGATCGAATCAGATTCATTCATTTTATCCTTTCCAGAGTTTTCTGCCGATATCAGCCTGATATGGATGCCTTATACAGGATCGCTTTCATCTGTACTTTAATCTGTTTTTCAATGTTTGAAGTGGACTGCTGTTTGGCATTTTCAGACATAAACATTAAACACAGCGTTTTTATGAGCCACCATCGCCAATGTTATACGGCTACATTATTAACCATTTCATTTGACCAATCTAGTGGAGCAGTAGGCAGTTTTATGGGAGAGTCATCACTATAAGAGTATTGTTATTTATGTACTTTATATTTGTAATATTCAGTGAATATTTGTTACAATTGTAATTGAATACAAAAGTAACACAGCTGATTTTTTTTACCAGATTTCCACAAACATACAATTTCAGAAAATTGAAATCACTTGTCATATTCATAACTGCTGCTATTGTATTCATTTTTAAGCTTATACTGTGACTGAAATACTGTAAGGTTGACACCAGAACTGTATTAAAAGTTTTATTAAGTATATTACTAAATAAGAAGTTTTTTATGAATACCAAAAAGATATTAAATGATAAGTGGTATATTATAATTGTCTATATTGTAATTCATAGCCATTTTTGTTATCTGCTTAAGATTTGATCACTTTTTAAATACAAGACATTCTGAGTTTTAGTTTTATTATAATATCATTATTAATGTTACACAGCTTTCCCAGTCAATACTGTGGTAGAGTAGTTGCATCATATTATAATCATCTCATACATTTTGTCATTCATTTCTGCAACATTTTGTTCATTTAATAATAATAATAATAATAATAATAATAATAATAATAACAATAATAATAATAACAACAATAATAATAACGCTAATAATAATAATAATAATAACGCTAATAATAATAATAAACAATAATGATTTTTGTTTGAATCAGCTGTTTCCAACAGTTTAAATTATGATGCCAAACTTTTCAAAGCTTGTAAATGTCACAGGCACTAAAATACCCCCATTGAATGTACTTTCAGACCACCGGTCTAGAGTAAGACTAAACATTAGCTTGTTCATCTTTATAATCTATATAATATGGATCTTAATAGTATGAGGGTCCTAATGTTAAAGATGCTTGATGAATTTAAGGCCAGTTCTGCAGATATCCATAATATCTGTGGTTCTTCTTTTAACCTGCATGCGTGTTGTTTGCAGATGGAAGGGAGAAAATGTGGCTACTACGGAGGTGACGGAGGTTCTGGGGCTTCCGGACTTCATTCAGGAAGCCAATGTGTACGGGGTGGAGGTTCCAGGTACTGTGTGTAAACGTGACAGTTGCACCATATTACAGTCTTATTGATGGTGTGGCTCTGTTAGATACAGCACAAAGGATACGAAAACACAGTATACTCAAAAAATATTCAGACGAAATGTTCAGTCATGGTTGAACTGCACAGCAAAGGAACTAATCAGCAGAAGCACAAAGCTCAGTAATTTAGCTGATTTCTGAAATAAGTGCATTAAAACACAGCACCCTTACTAGATTCTGTAAGAGTCAATAGGGCATCATATCTCTGCCCTGTTTTATTACATAGAATAGTCTAATATCAATCTGGGTACCTTCATATTCATACAAGGACATGAGCTCGATCTGTGCTGCAATAGGCAAACAAATAGGTAATCTACATAAACTGCTGGAAGGCAGGTTAAAGATAATGATGAAGGTCTATAAACGTATATATTTTCAGGACACATATTGTTGGCAACACATAATGCAGCTGCTGTTCAATGTAAATAAGTAGGAGTGGGCAATAGATGATATTTTATTGTTGCTTTTATGATCGTATTGTGGAGATCGCCAATACCGAAATAAAACTAACTTCATGTTTCATTACAAAGTGAGCATAATTAAGCCTGTATAATTTAATTGCAGTGCATTTTGTAAAACACTTAATAAAAATAATTGTAGCTGTAGGTTTTTTTTATTATTATTATTATTAATATTATTATTATAGTATTTTTATATGTGGCACTACAGGTTCTATGTGATTCCTTTTTTTTTTATTTTCCATTTAAAGAATAAGAACAACCCCTAAATTCCAGCCCCGACCCACACACACATGGGACTTACAAAAGAAGAGAAAAAAAACAAAACAAAAAAACATAGCTACAAGTTCTATTTTGTCTGTTTCAATGTATTAAAGCTAATGATGCATATTGTGTGTCATTAAAATGTCTTGAAGTATCATAATATCGTTTTTTTCATATCACTCACCTCTATGAAGGAAGTAATGAAAAACTGCTAATTCCTCAAAGACATAAATATGCTAATGTTTATAATAACAGTGATAGCAGAACCAGCCTGTTGTCAGTTCCTTCAATACAATCAGTAATGAACTAGTAAAGAAAATGATTAACGGGTCTGTATTTGTGCTGCAGCGCACGAGGGTCGAGCCGGCATGGCAGCGATCATCGTGAGGCCCGGCTTTGAGTTTGATGGGAAGAAGCTGTTTGAGACCGTCCTGACGCACCTGCCCACCTACGCTCGCCCACTCTTCATCAGAATACAAGTAATAAAAACACACACACCTCAGACTCATTTCACCTGGAAGTGGAGGTGGAAAGGCTTCATTAAGTCAATGTAATTTGTTACCACCTGGTTGCCAGGCAACATAACTGTCACAGATTATTCCAATGAAGGGCCCATTGTTTTTAATAGATTCACTGTTAGGTCATGTGTATTTTAAAATGGTTTCATACATGACAATATATGCAAATCAGAGCTGCTCATCATATAAGCATTTCTATTAACATTTAACTAAATGTAAATGCTTTTTAATACCTGAATGACTGCTACATTATTAATGCTAATGTGTTAAAAAGTGTGATTTGTTAGGAAAGTTGTGTTGTTTTTAAAACAGTGTGTTCTAATGATGCAATCTCTCTCTGAGATACAGCGAGAAGCAAAAATATTGACACAATGAGGTGAAATAGGTTCTTTTTTTTTTAATATTCACAATGTTTGTATTCAAGGTCACAAGATAAGCATGAAAATAAAGCACAGAGTGGCAGCTTTTTCTGGGCAATGTTTTCCATACAACACAAACCACACTGTTTATGATAAGCAGTTTAGAAAATGTGTGTGTGTGTGTGTGTGTGTGTGTGTGTGTGTGTGTGAGAGAGAGCTCCACTTTGAGGTTTGTGTGGTTTAATGTACCAAAAATATTCATAGTTTATTTTCACATGAACATTTCCTCACCTCTCTTTATCCACTAGAATTAAACAGGCTGTTTTGTTACTGTACTTTTAGAACTGATATACAGACATATGCAAAAGTAAAAATAAGTAAACAAGTGAACAAACTGAAATATGGCAGATTTTGCTTAGTTTAACATATTGGAAAGAATGAAAAACATAAAATATAAAATGTGCCATAACTTTTACACAATCCACATTTTATGCCCCACCTCCCCTTCCAATATGTTAAATTCAGCAAACATCAAAACATGTCATTTGACCAGGGGCGCCCAAACTACCTCAACTCTTATTAAAAAAAAAAGCGAGGAACATTTGACTCGGCCTGTTAAAGCAGATTGAAGTTGTTGTTTGTTCTGACTGGTGTTTGCTTTACTCTCATATTCAGAACTACTTGTTTGTCCATCGAAGTCAGTCAGGTTTTGTGCCTTTTACATCAAACAAGACCCCTAATGCAAACTTCAGTGACTACAGCCACCCCTTCACATTCACAGCACTTTTGTGTATTTACAAATAAGGCCGTATGAAAAACATTGCCCAGGAATAAAAGCTGACGTTCTGCGCTTTAGTCTCAAGCTCATCTTTTGATCTGTTATGAGTACATAACAAACTGATTTCATCCTGTTGTCCTAACATTTTTGTTTCTCACTGTGTGCTGTTTTTGTGGCCTGACTCAAATAGCATGTTGTGAATTAACACATCATGTGTGTATTCCCAACAGTGTGAGTACAATAAGAGTCGTGCATTATTTTTACTATAAAAAAAATCATGGAATTTTTCTGCCATTTAATGTGGCTTTTGTAGCTTGTGGCAACTTGTGTGACAAGTGTGCCCCCTAGTGGTTGTTACACATGAAGTGCATTCCAAATCTAGAGAATATAATTAAGGATATTTGATACTAAACTTGATTGTTATATTAAACATCCAACTGTGAATAAAAATGAATTAAAGCATCCTAAATTGATGTTTTAGTACTTTTACAGATCATAATGATATGAAGAAACCTTGGCTGAGTGATACACTAACTTTACAGTGCATAAAGAAGAACTTATTCCACTGCTGCCTAAATCATTAAACACATGCTTATAAAAGGAATAGATTACTAATGATCAAAAGAAAACAAGTATAGCCAACTTTACTTACAGAACAGCCACGCAGAAGAAGACAGTAGTGGAGAGTGAATGAAGTTGCCTACAAAATGAAATATCAGTGTGCTGAGAAAATCACATAGTCATGATTTTACGAAAATAAACGAACAAAAGAACAAAAGAATATTATTTACCAATTTAACATGTTTAAAAACTATGTTTTCACTCCAGAACAGTTTAGGGTGTTTTGTTTTCAGGTTATCTACAGCATTCTGTGACAAACATTTTTATTTCATTTCTAATTCCTGTTTATAGCAGCCCTAACATGACAAACATTTATGAAGAGCTTAGATTTCTGTAGCATTAAATGTGTATCTAGATGCTTAAGGTGAAGGACAGACATCTGGGCATTATGTGGCCAGAGTTTGCACTTACAGCAGCTGGTGAGCAGTGTTGGCATGAAATGGATAGAAGGACTCAGATAATATAATAATAATAATTTTTTAGCCTATAACTTGATAAATACAACAGCACAAACATTTCTTTTAACAGCACAAACCAACACAAACAATTAAGACACCTTTGTTGTGATGTGGACATTGATGGGGGGGCTGTGTGATGTCACTCGTCCAACCTTTATGGCTTTATAACTGGAGAATTAAAACAGCACAAATGTTTCCTTTAACAAACCAGCACAACACAGCACAAACAAATGAGACCCTTTTGGTTTGATTTGGACGTTGATGGGGGGGCTGAGTGATGTCACAGGCCATAAAATGTAATGTTTAATTTCTTAAAAATGCTGCCAGCACAAACGATGATTTCTACAGCACAAACGAATAGTAGCATTTTTATTCCATTTCTGACCACATGGGGGGGCCAGCTTCACGGAGGTTGCCCACTTTACATCACTAGAGGAGAATGTTGGCAAAATACATTGGCCGTTCATTATTATTCCCATGACGTACTTATACACTGTGTGCACACAGGAGCAAGAATAACCTGCTTAGAGAAAACATGGATGTCTAAAATGTCTAAAAAAGGACATAAAGAACAGTTTAACAAAAAAAAAAAGTCAAACGTTTTCATTGTTTAACCTTCTGTTTGTTTAGGAATCTATGGAGATGACGGGCACGTTCAAGCAGCAGAAGTTCCGTCTGGTAAAGAGCGGGTTCAACCCTTCCACCATCAGTGACCCGCTCTACTTCTTGGACTATACAGAGAAAAGCTACGTCCCCCTCACAGACTCTATCTATGAAAGCATTCGGGCCCGCCAGCGGAAGCTCTAGCCTTCAGCTGGCCCAGAGGCCGTGTTACACTGGCAGAGCATAAGCCATGCTATTACAAAGGAAAAGCCCCAATGTGCCCAACTCATTTGTAGTGTTGTATATTTGATGGGGCCTGAGAGCAACCCAAGATGAACGCCACCCTGAATAATGAATCGCTTCCTCCTTTGTGAGCATTTCACATGGACAGCATAAGTTAATAATAAATTAGAGAGTTCTAATGACTTACGTGACCTTTTGTGGGGAGCGAGGAGGCTGATAGGCAGGATAAGGAAGAATGAGTCTGCCTCAATCTCAACAAAGCCCGTCTGGTGTCGGGTTCTGTCGGCTCCTCTGTTGCTGCTTGTCCGTCTGGTTTTCGAAGGCCAGGTCACTCCCGACATTAACGATGCTCGATAATCCACCTTCACTTCACCCTTCATCTTCATTTTCCCCGTAAATCAGTCTCAGGTAGTCCTCAATGGACGTTACAGTTATGCCGTCACAGTACTTGAAATCTCTCTCAGCCTGATCTACATGTAAAAACATTCCAGTATATATAAAGCTGTGCTCTATAATTACACGTCTATATGCATCTATACTGCTGTTCAAAAGTCTGGAATCACTAATAATAAGCATCATTTTTTAATTCTTTCTATTGTTTTTATATACTGTGCTTCACTGCATCAAAATAAACAGGACTATGCTGTATTTGTGATGCAACATGCAGTTTTCCAGTGTTTTTAAGCACTGACAATGTCCACAATATACTCAGAAAAGCATATTATGACATACAGACTGTGCGAAAGTCAGAGACCACTGTTTGTTGACTTAATTTCCAGTCAAACAGCCATAAAGTACAAAAAATCAGAGAACATAAAAAACTATCACTCTTTTCAGGAGTTTTTAAAGAAATCTGAAGTGATCTTTTTCTGAAGTTCAGTCTTAGAAGTTGGTTACTTTTTCTGCTTCTCATGATCCAAGTAATCCCAAACAAATTCAGTTATGTTCAGGTCTGGACTCAACTGGGGTGGTCAGTCCACTGTTCTGAGATTCTTTAGATGGTCTTCCAGGTCCTGTATGGTTGTATGGTTGGAGTCCCATTTCTGTATGTCTTTTAATCATTTGTTGAACTTCAGTTTTTATTCACTTTTCCTTTGACCTTTACTGCCCTCATGCAAGTGGATCTGATATCTAACCTCCTCAGAAATGAATAACTTGGCCGTTTTGCCTGGATATTGAGTAAATGATGGTGGTCTCTGACGTTTGCACAGAACTATAATTCATCACAACAACAATAAATATCGTCATGTTGCCCTCCTCTTTATACTCGGTGGTCGGGAACAACATGAAGTTATTAAATTACTGTAATTATCTATTTATAGTCGTTTTTTGTAAAACTATCTGCCTCCGACTTTGTTCACCACTTTGAAATAAGGGTCATCGTGGATATTAACTTTATTCCAACTTCATTCTCGATACTGTACATCTTTCTCAGTCATTTCAGAATCATTCACAGCTGTTCATCATTCTGGACACATCTAAATGTTGTTATTTTTTGATAGCGTCCTACAAATGATTTAAACCCTTTTTGAATCATTTTATAAGTGTAGCTACAAAAATTATTTTTATATTACTTCGACCGTTGATTCCAAACTTTTGAATGGGTTCTGTAAATATCTCTGGCTGCTTTTTAGCAATAAGCCTTTGGTCAGTGGGTTAAGGGTCATAAATCCATAAATACATACACAAAGGCCTTTACAGCTCCACATTGCATTCCATTTTGTACAGTGAGCTCCAGAAGTATTTGGACAGTAGCACATATCATTTATAAATGACAGCATATTTTTCATTTATTCCATTTTGGGACGACAGCTGCTCTAAAAGCAAATGGACACACCTAATAACCTCTAATAAGAAACAGTTCCAAATGTAACATTAGAACAGTAGAAATGATTTTCATGCCCCTCAGTGGGACAGGTGTGTACAAATATGCTGTATTTTATGAACTGAAATGAGTGGAAATTCAAACTGACATGTTATTATCCTTTAAATGTACAAAATGTATGCAAATTCATCACGATCCCAAATATATATAAATATTTATAGTATACAGCATACTGTATTATACACAATTTGCCTTTTTTAAATAAATCTGTACATGCTTTATCTTCAGGAGTTAAAATACATGTACACCAGTAAGAACCCAGCAGTACAACTTTGCCTCGAGTCATAATTCAGAGTGACCATTTACTGTAGTGCATCAGTGTCCGATGACTATGAGAAAGCCTTACTTCCTACAGTGAGCTTAGTTTTTAATTCTTGAAATATGGTTGATATTGTATTTTTACATTGTTCTTGTTAATGTGGGTAACAAAAATAACGTCCAGTTAGAAATTCACTGTGAATCGCAGGTCTGTGTGCTGTAATGGAATAAAGCATTTATGTCAGTCTAGACAAGGCAGGTGGACATAAGAACAAGCTGAAGTCTTTATTATACAAAACAGTAAATAAACAACAGAGCATGAGACAGATAAGAAGACAAACACAGACGTCAGCTCTGAAAATAAACACAGACAGCTGGGCCAGACTGAACAGGGGGTAGACTATAACATGAAAACACAGGTAACAGTATGCTGTCTGCTAAGCTAATGCTAAATCCAAAGGCTAATGAGGCATGTAAGGGGAGGACAGAGGGTTTAGGTCAGAGGTTTTCCAAACTTTGGATCATACCGTGTCTAAATACCCGAGGGCCAAAATATTATCCACAAATGATTCAAAATATTAAGTTTTGAAAATATCAGCACATAAAATCAGAGCTGTCTGCTACTGTCTTTCCTATCACTGCGTAAAAGATGCACGAGGCTTCTTTAATTGTTGGATTGCTCAGAGCAATTCAGATCAGTAAGCACTTATAACAAATAATTCAATCAGTGACGACAAAACGTCTCTAATGCATTTTATTCCTATTCAGCTGTTTACTTGTTGAAAAGTATAATTTGTGAGACAAACTAAACAAAATTCTATAAATTTTCGGTTTTGTTAGATTATGTTCTTTACATATCAAATAAGTGCAGCAGAAGCATTCAGAAATCACTTTATTAAGCGTAAAAAGCAGATTAAACAGCATAAATAGCCGAGTTTTTGTTTAACCTTAAAGGGTTAGTGTTTACTAAACTACTGAATTGCCCTAATAAGAAGTTCTTACTGAGAACTGAGTAGTTTGCAATTGCTTTAGCTCTCCTCCCTGTATATTTATTGCAATGTCCATGCTTTGTTTCATGTCTATTGATGTTTAATTCATTACTGTCTTTTGACATAGGAGGCTGATGGCATTTGCTGTGGCTCTCAATGGAAAAAGTATTCAAGTTCACATCTCGCCAAATTCGCCAATCTGAGTTCGAGCTTTATGGCTGCAGTCTGGACTAAATGTGGTTCAGTAAATGAAGCTGCAGGTCTAGCCAGAGAAGAAAGACTCTTAAACTTTGGCTAACTTTGTTACCAGTGTGGTGCTTTACACTGTAATATTATATCACTGCTGCCACCACCAGGTGAAAGGTAGAACTGCAGTTTACTGGCGTGCCAGTTATAACACACTCTAAAACAGAAGCCGATTAAAATGTGTCTACAGGCCACGTTCAGCCCTGGGGCCAGACTTTGGACACCCCTGGCATGGACAGTGGCTAGAGCAGTGATTAAAGTAATGCTAATAACATAAGCAGAGACGAAGCAAAGACCATAAACAAAAAGAACATCCATGACAATGAGTAAGGAAAAGAAGTGAGACTAGACTAGCAAGACAAACAGCTAAGACTAGCAAAAACAAGGAACCAAGGCTAGACCGGACAACTGTGACTATGACAGACCACAAAGAGACAAGAAAAGAAGCTGGACATTGAGATACTAGCAAACAGCAAAAAGAAGCATAAGCAAAAGACAAACAATTTGAGTACACAATATCTGACAGGGGACACTGAAACGAGAAGGCAGTACACACACACACACACACACACACACACACACACACACACACAACCAAGCACAAATAAGGCATGGCTGAGTGACACTAATAGAAAGGCTGGACTAGAGTGGAGACTAGGAGGTAGTGTTTGGGAAAGAAGACAGAAACGAGCCCAGGACACAGACGTGGGTGGAGGCTTCAGAGGGACATTGTGACAATTTGATAACCTTTTTCAAAATTTTGCTTAAGAGCCTTAAGACTATTTTAATATCAATTAGCTGTCACAGCTGTCATCCAACTGTGCAGTAATGAATTCAACTAGACATTTTGTTATGGAGACTGTACACGGCTATTGTATTTGCAGCGGATACAACCTGTTAGAACCACTGTAACAGGGCATAACGCCTTTAATAAAGCTCTCTTGATTGTTTACTGTGATTGCTTTATTCAAATGTTAGGCTTTTGTTTAGTCACTTTAATGTCCATATTCAAAGATGTCAGTTGTTTTGAACAGATGTACTTTAAATGAATTTGAATGGTGTGTAAATCAGGCATTTTTTTCCTCCTCAGAGTTTATCACCTGATAGTGCTTAACCAGACCAAACCATCATAAAAGTTCAAATGGGGTGGGCGACATGATGCTATTGTGATAAATTACATCACAATAAACTTCTTGAGTATATAATGTTTATTGTCAGGAACACTGAACCATCATTAACCAGACAGATTTAGACCAATTATATAGAGTTTGTAAAAGACAACGTAAAGTAACTATAAACTACACCGTAACAAGCAGCTGATTGGATATCAGTCCACTGTGATGTCATCTTATTTAATTAATGTCGTTTTACCAACTGTTTGATTTTTTTTTCTTCTTAAAAAGTTATTTTTGCAAACATTGAAATAAGCATGGTACTCAGTTTTATTTTAAAGGGGAATTCCACCAATTTTCTCAAAATTGCCTTATAATTCAAATGCTGAGATGCAAAGTCATTCCGAGTGGTTTTATGTGGCATGGTTTATTTTGGAGAAACTTACCAAGTTTGATTTCTTTACAGTGGTGGTGATAGTAACCAGGAGTCACAATGTCAAATATAGCCATTTTATTTACTGTCCAAATGACCAGTGAACCTACACATCCTCTTAGGTTTTATATGCAGTGTTGATAATGGCTAAATCAAGCAGTGTATTCATAACCATTTCATGTAATAACTTTCTGTGAGGGAGCTTTTAGAGGCATTAAACTCTTCAGATGTCTGGTTCCTATCACCACCACTGTGAACAATTCTGACTCACATCTGACATTTCACATCAAATCACTGTAAATGACTTTACATCTTAACCTTTAATTATGCTGAATTTTGAAATATTGGTGGAATTCCTCATTAAAAGTGCAACTACTGTTATACTGTTTTTGTCGATTCTAATTTAGAGAAACCAAATATCATGATACACATTCTGTATACACATTCAAGCATCGTGATGTTATATTTTTGTCAAATTGTCCACTCTTAAGCTCAGATATTTATCAGAGATCATCAAGGATGAAAATGTGGCGTGTATTGATATGCTCTATCTCACATGGAAGCAGCTGGATATGATAAAGGAGACACTATCAGTAATACGATCCTAAAGGCTGCATAACTTAATACCAACAAAAATAGTCAGTTAAGAAATCATGTAACCTGAACAGCCAAAAAACATTTGTTATTTCTTGGTCTAATGTAAAACTTGAAGTCCACCAAATTTTTAAATTGTCTGTATAATTCCATCATTATGATGTAAACAAACTCATTCAGATTGGTATGATGTTACAAATGCACTGTCTGATGCCTGATATATTGTTTTATGATAGCTTTTAGAGAAGGTTTTAGGACTAAACTTGTTTTTTCATGGTGGAAAGGTACATGCAGGGTGTTAAAAGGCAAAATAGTCCCCAAATAAAACTTATTTTACCACTATTTCACTATCATCACCATTATATATATAAAACACTGAAGACACGTGGGTTTACTGTCTCTTTAACTTGATTAATCTAAGTTGATTTTTTCTGCTTCTTTAATTTTAATTTCCCTGCAACATTTTCCTACTAGCTTTTTTAAGCGTACTTCAGTCTTTTAAAACATGAGTAAATGTATTGTCATACTGTTTGTTGCATTTACTGTAAGCTGATTGCATTTCAGTTCATCATGAATTCTAATGTTGCCTATAAATGACATTATTACGGTACTTCAGGAACAAGACCTCTCTGAAAACTGTTAGAACACTAAATACAGGCAGAGTTTTTGGGAAGATATTCCAGTCAATGCTCTTATATTTCATGACTGTGTTGTGTGCAGTTGTCATGCTTGTCATTTCTCATTAATACATATAGTTTATAGTTAATTCCGACATGAAAGTGCTGTTTAAAAATGAAATATGAGTATTGCTCATTAAACAAAAAGGCACTACAAAACATGAAGCCTGACTGTTTTTCACCTCATGCACTTTACAGAGGCAAAGCTTGGGCATTTTTATTAGAACAATACAAAACATCAGGCCATATAGCAACAAAAGAATTGTAATTGCGTAACTTTAAGAACAACACAGATAAGTGGTAAGTGATGTTATCTTGCATTAATTTATCATATCTTTGTAGCCTCACTTCAGTTTATGGGGTGTATTTTATATACAGATGTCTGATTTATTACTTGTAAAAGGTTATTATCCACAACGTTAGAACTGCCTTCACACCCTGAGCAAAGACAGGAATTACAGCACAGTCGTACTGAAAGCACACCAATCAGCCAAAACATTAAAACCACCTACTTTTTCACCTCCACCTACCATATAGGTGCACTTCATAGTTCTACAATTACACACTAGTCTAGTTTTAAACACCTCAGTGTCACTGCTGGACTGAGAATAGTCCACCAACCAAAAATATCCAGCCACAGTGTCCTGTGACCACAGATGAGGATGACCAACACAAACTGCGCAGCAACAGATGTGCTACTGACTTCACATCCACAAGGTGGATCAGCAAGGAAGATGTGCCTGATAGAGTGGACAGTGAGTGGACATAGTGTTTAAAAACTCCAGCAGCACTGCTGTGTCTGATCCACTCATACCAGCGCAACATACACTAACACACCTCCACCATGTCAGTGTCACTGCAGTGCTGAGAATGACCCACCACCCAAATAATACCTGTTCTGTGGTGGTCCTGTGGGAGTCCTGACCACTGAAGAACAGGATGAAAGGGAGCTAACAAAGTATGCAGACAAACAGATGGACTACAGTCTGTAATTGTAGCACTTCAAAGTGCAGCTGATAAAATGGACAATGAGTGTAGATATGAGGGGGTGGTTTTAATGGTTATGGCTGATCAGTGGTGTTAAATTGTATTTATGATTTTTATTTTTATCATCATCATCAATGTCTAAAGAATCATAATAAAAGCGGTGCACTTAGTTAAGTCAGGTCCGATACTTAAGCTGGATTAATCTGCAACAGCTACTCAGGGTAACAGTCTAAATATAGCCTGTGAGTGAGCCAGTTTGACTTAATATGTCTGTAAAGGTTTTCAGTCATCCAGATCACTGAATTGTATAATAGTAGCAAACTGACTGGACTTCACTGAGTAATGAAACTCCAGGGATGAATGGCGAAACAGTTTCAAAGGTATACTCTTTAAAATTACACCACAAGATGGGTTGCCTTGACTACCAGGGGTTAAACGAGGATTTAAACGGAGGGAGTCGCACTTCTCTCACAGGTGGATGCTGTAGTACGTACAAAGCCTCTTATTCAAATGCAAATGAGAGCCTGTAAAACAATGATCCTTTGTAATATTTTATTCACTTATTTCTGTTCAGTTTTACAAAGATGGATTGTAAGAGAGTTCAAAGAAAACAAAATGAACAGAATTCTATTATTAGTACTCAGTATGCATTTATCTTTAGTAGTATATTATACTATATACAATTATATGCAGTATTCTTATGGGGTATATAGCATGCATTATTGCCTCATATGTAGTATCCATTTACATAGAATCCATTATGCATTACAAAGTATATAAGGAGTATATAGTAGTATACAGGATGCATTTTGTAGTTTGTAATATGCATGTGTGGTATGTAGTTTTTGTATAAAAGAGTAAATATTATGCATTAATAGCATGCATCTATAGAATGCAGTATGAATTTATATATAGTATGTAGTATGATGTGTGCAGGAAATAGTTTTTTATTTGTATTTGTTTATTTGTGTTTGTTTGTTCTATGCTATGCTTTGTTGGGGAAGAAGTATCTCAGTTAACCCCTTAAAATCCCAGGATTATTACATACTAAGGCTTATTTTTCAGTAACTACAGAGACTTCAATGCAAACTTGCCAAGCTATTCTTAGGTGATAGAAGTGTGTGATAAAACTTTGAGCCTGCCGGTGGGTTCTGGTCATTTGAGGAGTTAATATCAGAACCATGACAAATAAATGGGTTAAAAATAAAGATGAATCTCTTGGCATAACTCCAAACTCCATATAGGTCATACTGGAGAACAGAACAAAGGCCAAACTGGAGTTGGCTGACTCCCACACTCATAAAATCATGAGGAATTCAGTGTAGGCACAAGCTTAGAAACAGGATGTGGAGGCTCAGTTTTTGACCTTGCAGTTGTAATGTCATGTACAGCAGGCAGTCCTGACTGCAACAACTGACCAAACACTGGGCAACCAGCAGACTGAGGCTGGGGCTCCTCGCCTACAAACACTGGAGCTCATGAGAGCTCAAACACTTCTGCACTTTTTATGTAAGAAGATCACAGATTAATAAGTAAATACGATATTCTGACAGTCAATCATCACACAAAAAAGCAAAGATATGTGGACCTTTGGTCAGCCTCAAAATTACACTGTTGTTAAGTGGTGTAGATACAGCCTGACAATCAAAATTGGGAATCTCCTCACTGCTATAAAGAAAAGCCCTGATGTAGAATCCACATGTAATATTTTTAGCGTGCTAGAAGTAATTTTACATATCGTTTGCATAAACCTGCTAGCAAAAAATAAAATAAATAAATAAGCAATAAACATCCCAGCCTCAGGTATCTACTGTATAGTGCATCTAGCTTTTCTAGCTTTTTAATCTCAGAATAATTCAGTGCTTGAGATGTAACCAGAGTCATCTAGAGGGGTTTGAAGTTAAACCAGGGATCACAATGCCTATGTCTACAACACAAATATTGCCATTTTATTTGCTATCCAAAACCACCAGTGAACCTACAAGCGTCTTCTAGGGTTTTATATGTAAGGACTATGATGATAAAATATATATTCATAAATATGAAAAAATGAGTTTTCTTTGGGGACTATTTTGCCTTAAAACACCCTGCACATATCCCTCCACCATGATTGGAATAAATTGATTAAAATATGTTTTAGACCAAAACTTTACCACAAAACTGCAGTAAAACTATGTGTCAGACATCAGGCAGCTTATGTCTAACATTTCATATAATACCTTTCTAGGAGGAGCTTTCGGAGGCATTAACCTCTTCAGACGTCTGGTTCCTATCACGCCCACTGTTAACGGTTCTGACTCGGTAAGTTTCTCTAGAACGAAGCACTTCACACCAAACCACTCCGAACGACTTCGTTTATATCTCAACCGTTTAATTATGAGGAAGATTTGAAAATACGGTTGAGTTCCCCTTTATTGTGGTAACAGAGAGAGAGAGAGAGAGAAAGACAGACAGACAGAGAGAGAGAGAGAGAGAGAAAGACAGACAGACAGAGAGAGAGAGAGAGAGAGAGAGACAGACAGACAGAGAGAGAGCGGCACAGAGAGAGAGAGAGAGAGAGAGAGAGAGACACAGAGAGAGAGAGAGAGAGAGAGAGAGAGAGAGAGAGAGAGAGAGAGAGAGACAGACAAAGAGAGCGGGTCGGTGGGCGTGGCCGTCTGAGTCCCGCGTGCAGTGCAACTCTCGGCGGCTGGAGCGCGAGCTCCCCCACTGGCGCGCGCTCACACCATCATGGCGGACGCTCACGCGCACGGCGGCGGTAACCTGGTCCCGGTGCTGCTTTCCTTCTCCGTGTTTTCGCGACTCTCCGCCGTTCCCGCCGGCTCGGGCTATGAAGTGCTTATCCAGAAGTTTCTCGCCATTTACGGCGCGCAGATCGACGTGCACCGCAAATTCCTCATGCAGCTGTTCTCGGAGGAGTGGGGTCAGTACATCGACCTGCCCAAGGGCTTCACCATCTCCGAGAAGTGCAGGCTCCGGCTGGTGCCCCTGCAGACAGACGTAAGGCTGCCGTTCGCGCTGTTTCACATTCACACCTTCACATATGGTCGTTGTGCTGCGTGTGAAAGAGAGAGAGAGAGTCTGTCACAGTCTCTTCCTCACACGTAGCTTCCAGCCTCCTGCTTTACTTTGACGTCTAAAACGCAGGTTTTTCACGCTGTAGTCGACCACCTAGACCTCCTGACCCCTTTATTGCTCTTTCCTCGTAGTTGTGACCGACATGCTTTACCTTGTTTTTCTTCCAGACGTCCTAAAAATAGCCAACTTGTTGCTTTTCGTGACAATAATGAAAGTGAAATGTGGCTGTGACGTCACAGGTTTTTGCTGTGATACGTGTTTTGTGCTGTAGTCTGTATTCAGAGTTACTGTTTGCCCCGAAGTGCCATAGAGAAACAGGCTGCTGTGTGTTTTATGGTGGTCTCCACACGCTGCCCTACATCTACATCTTCATCGCGTCTGTGTCCAGTAGACTGCAGCCTTAGGGAACCACAGTGTAACTGTTAAGTCAGCGTGCAGTCGCTTATGAAGAGTCCTCCTCAGTGGCCGTCCAGACATGACCAGTGGCCATGAAATGGCTTGTTTATATCGTGCACTACTAAAGATGTAGTGTTCCTGATCGTACAAAATGGGCCACATAATCCTCGGAGGCTTACGGCTTTTGTGTGACATCTGTTTCTGTGGAGATGCGTGTGGAAAAAAGAGGGGAATTATTTAGAAAAATAGCCCATTTACGTGCGAGAAACAGCTGTAACCACTAACTGCAGGTTTCCCTTCCAGTGTTTTCAGCGTAAGACCCAGCCAGGTGACTTTTTTTGATTACTGTGTGTTGTATACTGTGTTGGATTTAGAGCACGGCATATGGCTTAAAGCCAAATGATCTCTAGCTACAGTGCAATCAACAGACCAGACTAGAGAAGTGACCTTTTGATTAGGCCCACACTACGACCCTCTTTTTCATCTGCTTAAAGCCCAGACCAGTGGATCAGGTGTAGTGAGTCTCTGAATGGATGAGATGGAACGTGGAGTAGATTACGCCCATAATAAGCCGTCCGAAAACAATGCAGACCCGACAGCTCGCTGGGATATTAATAGCGCAAAAGGTGAGCCGCTGTGAGTGAGTGAGCTTGTGATTTCTCTTCCCTTGCTGTAGATCACAGCGCTGGGCAACCTCTCCCCAGCCACCACCGTCTTCTTCTGCTGTGACATGCAGGAGCGCTTCAGGCCCGCCATCAAGTACTTCGGTGACATCATCAGCGTTGGCCAGAGGCTGGTAAGACTGCGCCTTCCTCTGTCTGACCCCATTTATCTCTCTCTCTTTCCATCACAATGCATTTTTCACGGTTACTTGACCTCCTCTGTTTGGTGTGCTTATAAACGTTTCAGTGACAGTGCGCAGGCCGAGCACCACTTTATATGATGGTCTGTATTATTTAAAGGCACGAAGGGCAGACGATGACGGTTTATGGGCGTTTTTATTGCTTCCGTGAACTCATTCTCACTCAGTTTATCATCTGGTTTGTCTGTGCTGTCTCTGACCTCCAGATGCTTTTCCTGCTCATGCTCCCTTTTCCTGTGTCCCCAGGACCTGGATTTTGTCTGGCATAATCCATTTCAGTTATAGATTGAGGTCAACCCAGTCGTTAAAGAGGGGCTGTTCAGCTGCACTAATTTTAACAAAAACAGGACGTTCCGGAATGTCGAATAGGAACATGTTCTCGTTTATTGTTCACCTGTATATTGATTTCATGGATATTGTCTCTAGTCCTTCTGAATATTGATGAGCCGCCGTTGATTGGCGTGCACTGTCTGAGCTGACAATGCTAGCTACTGAATTAAAAAAAAGAAAATGCAACAATGACTGGACAGTTCCTTAGAAATCATTTTAATAACATTCATTGCCAGTACCCACCGTTTTGAGTGGCAGAGTTGTCGGACTACCATTGTAAAGTAAGGGCCGCAGTATGTTTGATGTTAACCACAGCGTGTGAGCTACAGCAGCAGTATTGTTCACACAGAAGATTAAAAGCTTTTTCCAGCAGGTCGGGGCTGAAACATTCATAGCCAACATTTGGAATACCTTTATGGACAGTCCCTTCCGATTTTGCACAATAAAGGAAGCATGAGCATGACAACAGTTGTTTGTCATAGAAAGGGATGAGAAGCAGACCGTAGAAGTGGCCTGCGGACGTGTCATGTCAGTTTCTGAGGATTTATACAACCAATGCTTTGAACAAACACAGGATACGGGGACAGCCAGCTTGTCCAAACGTATGGACAGTTAAAATCAATTACACTGCAGCAGTAAGGCTGCACTACGTAGACAAAAGTATAGTAGTAACGTGTTTATATTGCATCATGGTGGTTGTGATTGGCCTGCATTATTTTGATTAACATAACAGGGATGCACCGATATGGGAATTTTGGTCTGATGCCGATATCCGACATTTTTCACATACACACAATGCTGTTCAAAAGTTCTTTCATTTAAAGAATTTTCAATTAACATAGCCTAAAGTGTAAGTACATTTTTCAGTGTTAGTCAAAAAGCAGGAAACATATTTTAAAAAAAAATTACACAGATGCTTCAACAACTATAATTTAAAATGTTCAGTATTTACGGTGTCCACTCTTTGCCTTTATTACAGCTTACAGTTCTTTTCAGGAGACTTGCTTTCATTTTTTTCAAAGAAATCTGCAGGATTATTTTTCCACACCTCAGTCTTAGGAGTTTCACAATCCAAGTAGTCTCAAACACATTCAGTGATGCTGAGGTCTGGACTCTGGGGTGGTCAGACCTTTGACCTAAGAACACCAGCAGCTTCTGCATTTAATTTGCAAATTATCTTCTTTTTTTCTGTAATAGTTTATTCAGGCTGCTACTTCGTGACAGATTCCTTTCAGACTGATAGTGTTGAGTTATTTTCCCACAGTGGACAGATGAATAGGAACACCTGTGAATTTTTTTCAGATCTGAAATAGCTCGTCCTTAATTTTCTCTTGTCTCTGAAAGATGAAAGCTTTAAGTACTGTTTATCTGCTGATGCATAAACATATATAAAGTGCAGCGATTGGGATTAAATCCACCTGGATTAATATTACAGAGACATGTAACGTTTATTTCTGTAGCTTTACAAATGCAGTAGAAGGAATAAAAAGCAGACATTTAGTGCAGGAGCCCAGTGTGGTCTACATGCCCAGCTTATCTGGAGTACAATAAATAAATATAGATCATTTTTTAAAGCAGTTATCTGCTGATCTCAATATCTGCCCACATCAATGCAATGCAATGCACATCTATACAGAATACAGAGTACATGATTGACCAAGATGCACAAGGACACATTAAACACATTGTGATTGGTTAGAGGGTCATTTTCAGATTGCAGCCTTCTACGATATCAAAAGCCAAATATTGTGAAAATGATTAACAGACAGTAAGTTGTACAGCCAAACTGAAGAGTGAGACAAACTGAAATCTTTCAGTTGGTTTGGGATGGTTGTGTCAGGCTGAAAGCTGGGAGTCGTTGCTCTGGAACCTGGTTCATCTACAGCACATAAGCAATAAAGGTTCATTTTTTACTTGTGTGTTTTAGCTCCAAGGGGCTCGTATTCTAGGCATCCCTGTCATCGTGTCGGAGCAGTACCCGAAAGGCCTGGGCAGCACGGTGCAGGAGATGGACCTGACAGGAGCCAAGATGGTCTTTCCTAAAACCAAGTTCTCCATGGTGCTTCCGGAGGTGGAAGCCACCCTGGCTGAGATTCCAGGAGCCCGTAGCATTGTCCTCTTTGGAGTTGAGGTTAGCGACTCGTCTGCCTTTGTTTAATTGGATTTGGTGCAGTACAGTGTGTGAATAAAAATGAATAAAAATCATATTAAAATAATAATTTTTTAAAATGTGGCACTGCTGGTCTGTTCCAACTTTCAATCAAGCTAAATATTGTGATGTGTATCATGTATCGTCAGAATGTCTCAAGGTGTCATGATTTTATGTTTTTGCCGCATCGCTCGCCCCTCCAACCTGGACACTTCTGTTTTGGGAAGGTCATTTTATTGAATTGAATAGATGTTATTGAATAAATGAGTATATTATTGAATTGGATATGAACATGAATTTTCAGTTTCTTTTATTGGTTATTCACTTTCTTTCATTGACATTGATAATCTTTAATCTCTGTAGTTATTTAAATACCAAATCATATATACAAATGTGTATTATATGAAGTAACTGAGTAAATTACAATTAACTGCAGGTTAGAATTGCACAGTAGAAAAGCTGTTTTTGCCCAATAACATGGAGAAGAATCTTGAGGCTCATGTTTGGAAGAACTTCATAATAGGATATCTACTCTAGACAGGCGTTTGTGTTGGGGCTTTTTTTTTTTAACATAACCAAAGAATGAGTTCAACCAAAGAATGCAAATGTGGATAATAAAAGCTAGTATTGTTAATTTTTGCCATTGTTGTCATTCATGTTTGCCCGAAACTCCAACTTAAATTGTTCTAGTAGTTCTTGGTCAGGTTTTTCTAGAGAAACATTCACCATGATTTATGATTCATATATTCATGTAATGAAATGAAGTGGTTTGTCCAATTAAATTTCTCTTACTGTAGAAGCTATTTGCTTGTTTGCTCTTGGAGATGCTGCCATCTAGTGGTGTAAACAGCAGGTTGCTTTGTCTTATTTCAAATTTAAAGTGAACATTGTGAACAGTGTGTCTTTTCTGTTACCTCTTTTGTGTGCATATTTTTCTTGGTAGTAAAAACCACCATTGAGTAACTGTAATCTGATCTACACACATCTGATCTACACACAGACTCACGTGTGCATACAGCAGACGGCCCTGGACCTGATCGGGAGGGGTTTTGAAGTGCACATTGTAGCTGACGCAACATCCTCCAGAAGCATGATGGACAGAATGTTTGCACTAGAGGTAACATACTCAAATATTGATGCCCCAAGAATATTGTTCCAAATTTTACAGTGCTGATACCAATATGGATACCTCGACTCTGATACTGATTCCCAATACTTTTTTTTGATACCTTTGTTTATTTACAAACAAAGTGGGTGTGGCTTAAACATGGGAGTTGAGTGCATTTCCTGATGTTAACAGATTACAGATTACTCATTAAGCCCTGATGTTAGTCACATGCATGCATAATGTAATTTAGGCAGGCAAGATTTTGGAACAAGCATGCTTACTGGCTCACAAATGCTAATACTGACTACTTAGATACTGAAATGTAGTATTGAATGGCATGGAATGATTCAGTACCTTATTGTATTGAAGTAATTCATTTGGTACTGTACAAGTATTGGATTACGATATCCAGCCCTAGATATCACTTGCGTATGATTCATGAACCTAATGTTTATGTCCACTGAAAATAGGTTGATGACCTCTACGCTGCAGCTAAATGCACTTCTGAAACCCATGGCCGCTCGTTCTAAACACACCAGCAGTTTATAACTGAGATTGAGTTGCATCATGAATCACATTCATTTAATTTTTCTCAGTTGTGATTATTTTTTTGGCCCAAGCTGAAGCTTTGTGTTTAGGAACGTGTTTTGCAGGTGCTGCAGATTAGTATTCGAACCTATAAATCTGAAAAGAATTTCGGTAAGAAATGTAATACAATGAAATGTAAGTCTGTCACACAAAAACAGCACTGAATTCTGGATAATTTCACTCTTTATGCTGTTTACAGTGTTTACAGCCTTTTGCAGATCCTCTTCGTTTTGGTGACTCTGGTCTTATCAAGTGGTGCAGGATGTTTTAAGTTGGTGGTGCAGAAATTTTAAGCAGCAACAGTATGGCCTGCGTGGAGATGTCAACATTATATGCCAGTTAAAAAACAGAAACATGTCATAATGTGCTGTAATGTTGCAAGAAACAACTGACATCAAACTGCTGATGCATACCCTGATTTCTCTGCCCGCTCTCTCTCGCGCTCTCTCCCCCCACCCCCCCACCCCCCCCTCTGCACAGACTGGATGAGCTGAGCACACCCTGGTTGTTGTGTGGCTCAATAACCTACACACTGAAATTCAATACTTAAGCATACCCAAAGCAGCCAACAGCTGTCATGTTGAGCGATTTGGCTCATAATGAAAATGCAGTTTTAATGTAAACCAGGGGTGTCAAACTCAACCACTAAAGGGGCCATATTAAAAAAATTCAACAAATCTGTAGGTTTGTTGACTGTTTTATTCCATTTTTTAAATGACATTTTGCTGTAGCCTGAAGTGGCCATTGTTTATTCAAAATAAGGCAAATCAACAGTAAAATATAGGCACGTGTAGTAGACCTTGAAATATTACATGAAAACTTGAAATATTAATCAAAATGTCCCCAGGAGGTAGATCTTTAAAACCTACCTATTTGCTTGATTTAGGCACCTGGCATCTTTTCTTTGCTGCAAGTTCATTAATTCTTGGCATCAGTTTCTGAGCTGCTGAGCTAAATGCTAATATAAATGCTATATAAATGCTAATATCGGTTGAACTGCAGCTGAAATTTCATGGGCCAGATAGGATTGCGTTGTGGGCCTGATCTGGCCCACAGGCCTTGTGTTTGACATATAGGACGTAAACACTGCTGCATATTTTGAAAAAATGTATAAAAATATTCCACACTAAACAAGCATATATATAAAATATCCTGAAATCTGATGGTGCTACAGGAGACATTCATTTTTTGACCATATAAGATTTTTCTGGAGACTTCAGAGTTCTTCCTGCTGGAACCGTTGGCATTGTGGCCCATTTCTCAGAGATGCTGTAGTGCAGTTGTTCTTAATCTTGGTTCTGCACATAAAGAGGTTTTACTCTAAACAGTCCGTTCTGAGCTGGAGACTTACTGTCCTCTCGGGTTGTACAGCATTTGTTTCTTGTGGTTATTGACCAGTGACTAAATATACGGTCACTGGTGATACATCTGGGCCATTCTATCAAATCTTTAGAGTTTTTCTTGCTTTAGTCTTCTATAGTATATTAGCTCTGCCAGTTGGTTTTCCAGTATTGAAGTTTCAGCTGGTAACATACAGTTAAAATAGGCAATTATAATGTTTTGCCTCTTTGTTTGATTTTTACCAACATAATCAATGTGAGCATTACTGTCTAAAAGGATATATAATTCCAGTGCAGTCGGCTATATTGCATTATTGGGAAATACATTCTTTCAAGCCTCATTGCTTATGTGCTCCAGTCTGACAAGGTGTTTGTTATTTTGAGTTGGGGCGTTTGCATTTGGGCCAGCATCGATTTTAATCTCTCGTTTAGATGGATGAATTCTATTTTAGCATGAGCATGCCAGGTTTTAAAGCCTTGTTTGGACTGAAAGCAATACACACACTGTATTTAGAGCTCATAATAGGGTTTATTCTTAATGACAAAGCTGGGTAAAAACATTGTTTAAAGTAATTGTTTGAATCAAATTTACATGATTTTCTCTTAATCCAAATATAGTCGATCAGCCAAGTTGAGTTTAGTGTCTAAAGGTGTCTCTGCTTCTTTAGTTCTGCAGTGGAGATGCGAGGCTAATGTAGCTAACAAGTAAAGGAAGCGTATACGCCTCCACTGACCAAACTGAGTCCCCACAAATGCCTCAAAATGTCTCAAGTTGTTAAACAATCTCAAATAAATATGCTTAAGTGGCTTCTGATGCTGTATGTCATACTGTTATCAATACAAATAGATGAAAATATGCACAAAATCCAGACTTCAACTGTTTTTATCTGTTTTTTAAAGGGGATTATGTGTAGGCTTCATTTTAAACCATCATTTTTTAAACTACTTTCCTGATGAAAGCTGCTCTCCCTCTCTCTCAGCGCCTTGCACGCACCGGAATCATCGTCACCACCAGCGAGTCTGTCCTGCTGCAGCTCGTAGCCGACAAAGAGCATCCCAAATTCAAAGAGGTCCAGAATATCATTAAGGCCAGCGCCCCTGAGTCCGGCCTGCTGTCCAAGGTGTGAGGAGGTCCAGGCAGTGAAACGTGAGACGCTTGTCTGACTTGCTGCAGTCTTTATATTTTGCCCAACATCTCTTACAGGTTCTGCAAAAAGTTCTTCAGATTTGATGGATGTTTTCAAATATTAGTTCATTCACGTGTTTCAAATCGTACCAACTTTGTTAACAGGTTAAAACTGTAGTGTTTTAAGGTGGTGGCGGATTTAGCTGACGTTTACTTTTAGATGTCTGTTTGCTTGGCAACAAACTGGATAACTTGCCTAAGGCCACACAAAGGTATTGTTTAATGGATGTCTCACTTTTTAAATTGAAACTATGCTATAAATGTTGGAAGAGGGAATTAAGGGAATTAGTTCTTTCAACAGAAATATTGTCCTGTGTATCACTATGGACACCACTGGAACTGCAGATGGAGCACAAAACACCCCCCACCCCCCACCCACCCCCAAAATGCCCCAAATCCCAGTTTCATTCATCTAGAATCTATTAAACAGGTATTTTAATTTGCATGGTCCAGTAGTTTAATGGTTACGAAGTTAATAGCAATCATAAACCATGCTGAATGTGCAGTAAAAAGTTAAAACGTGAAGACTATTGTGACCTTAGTGAATGAAGTGGTGGTAGAATTGGCGGATTAATGAACTGCAGAAGCATGAGGAGTTCTACCGCTTTAGTTTGTGAGCTGAATTTGTACGAAAAACCTATAGGGCGACACTTGTAGTATGGGTAGTACTGTATTTCTGTGGCGTATTGCTTAAATAGGGCTACGTAAAGAAATGTGTAACGTCCCATGTTTGATGTGATGTGAAAACCCAAGGTCCCCAAGTCTGGAATAGTTTAAAATTCATTTGTCATTTCCCCTTAAAATTTTACCAACCACTTGTTCAGCTGTTTGCTTTATTTATTGAGGAGCCTACGTGCTCAGCTGTTACGGTTACATTAAAATCCTAGACAGAGAAGTTAGAGATGGCATCAAAAGCAGACTGCCTCTCATTTCATTAATTTCTTCATTTGGTTAAACTCCTGAAAATGTTACAAGCCATTAAATAACACCCTTAAAGTTATGTGCATGTTTGTGAAGGCATGAGAATGTCGTAAGTATTAAAAATGTACAGACTATTGAAACTGAAGTTAGTTTGAGCCATAATTGAAAACATTTCTGTTACATAATTTTGGGTCAGGCTTAACCCTTAGAAGTCGGGAGTTATTACTTTTGTTTTGATGCACTATTTAAATGTAATTACATAATAACATTGAATTATATGGTTATTATTTGAGTTACACACTGAATTTACTCTAATGATCTTAGAGCTGCACCAGTATCAGATTTGTGGGTTGAAGCCACTCTTCGACATTTTTCATGTACATATCTGCCAATGTGGATACATAAACATTTATATTGAAATTGGGACTACATGTACCTTCTTTAGCATTATAGAGGAATAACTTTAGTTTCTATAGGGTTACAAAAGCAATAAAATTAATAAAATGCAGACATTGTAGCACAGTAGCCTAGTGTCACCTAAACGTTCTGAGTACAATAAATACATCGTCAAATATCTGTTTGAAATATCGGTCAGATCTAAACATCTCTCCACTGCCGCTGATTATTTAATAAGCAGATATCGGCGGATACCAATATGATTGTCATATTTTTTTTTATTTTCAGTATGAATGAGTTTGAGCCTTTACTGCCCTTTTGCTTTCTGTTTTAATGTTGAGATGACAAGAAAAGCAAAAATGTAATGCGGTATGAAAGCTTAGAATCTGTACTTCCAACAGAATATCTCCATTTATTCAGTGAGCTGCTAGTGAGAAACTGAGCTGCTCTATGTTTTTGTCATTGCTGCCGATAACCATGACCTCTAAGGGTTAATGTTTTAGTTAATTGAATCAAGGCTGAAAAATCACCCAGCGTCATGTACTTCAAGTTACTGGTCACATTTATTATAATTTTTTTGTTGCTGTTTCTGTTGTGTGTGTTTGAAAGTCCTCCTGTAGGTTTATTTTGTGGTCTTTTTCCTGTGTTCTGTGTTTTCTGATTGAGTTCATGCACAAAACCCCTAAATGGCACTAAAGCTACATCGTCCTTTAAGTCTGAAAGGGCTGAAGGGTCTGTATGTTCACTTCCCAGCGTCTGATCCAGCTTTGCTCTCTGGCATTTACTGTTTGTGTATGTTTGTTACATCTTTTAAAGGTCTGGATACAAACATCACCCATTAATGTCATACATCTAAATAACATGCAAAGTCACACGCTCTCATGTAATATCTCTGAGTTTCTGCAACTACAGGCAGTTTCAGGCCCTATGAGTGAAAGGTGGGGGAAAACATCACTTGTTGCTTTTTCAGTCATAGATGACATGGCAGTCCTGTGATTTTGACTTAAGTAGATATCATGCTTTTATCATGCTTTTATATGGATGTTGTATTTGGAGCAAATCTTGGTGGTTTAATCCATTATTTGTGTCGCTGTCCATTTCACTTGTCTTGGGGTGTACTGTCTGTTTGGAAGTTTGGACACACTTGATAATTTCCTTTCATTTAAAGAATTAATTGTATTTATTTTGAAGGAAAGTGTGAGTGACAGTTCAGCAAACAACTTTTCAACATTTTCATTCATAAATGATTGGTATATCGAAGTAAATATCTAATGTAATGTGTTTATTCTTTGTCATTACTGTCATATTTTGTTTTTCTTGTTTAACAATCGATGGCAGCACATCTCAAATGTGACAGTGTAGTAAATAACACATAGTAAAAAACTGGAAATGACTACAGTGAATTAAAATAAGCCACAGCAAAGGTAATCTGGAAGGAAGTTTTGAGTATCTGATGAGGAGTAGCACAAATGATGATGATTTTTATTATTATTGTTAATATTATTATTATTATTATAATTATTGACAGTATGTACTGGTGTAAAATTAGGCCTGTAAAAAGTGCCTGTAGTTCCGCAGACAACCTTCTACTTTACCCCATTAAAGACAGTAAGCATGTGGATCAAATCGGAATGATGCAGATATAATTCCTGTTCGTCTCATTACATTTTTTTGTTTTGTTTTGTTTTTCCATTTTAACGACATGTCATCGCTAAACCACTGACGGATGGACTCATTGTGTCTAAAGTGTATCCAGACCCAAAGTAAGAGTGCAAGTGTAAACCTCCTCCAGCTGATGGTGTGTATACGTGTGTAAGCAGAAAGATTATATACAGTGCCTATTTATGAACAGTCCAAACTGATTGTACCTCTCGCATATAGCCTACTTCTTGATGTGACAAAATAGATTTGTGCACTTTGGTAACATAACTATATAAGAACACCTTCATTTTTGTAACAGCTTACATACAGTATGGAATAAATGTTTATATTATGCACTATGATAGACTTTGCCCAGTTTCATTGATTTACATGGTTTCTGTCATTTGATTAACAATAGACACAGTAGACTGATGCAAAGTACTGCTCTTATGAAGCATTAAAATGTGGCTAAGGCACTCATGGTGCCCCCTTGTGGAGAATATGCAGCCTGTTAAACATGAGTGTGCGAGTAAATCAGTCACAAGCCAGGTCAGTGAGGTGCTTCACATCTAAAAAAAATGTTTGTATATCTGCCAACACTTCGTAGCATCTTTATTTAGTTGTCATGTGGAGTCGCTCACTTTCGGATAGTGATATGAAGGCTTACGTTACCCTGCTAAAAAATGACACATGGTGCTTTAGCCTGTTTTGGATGGTCTAAGATGATCAAAGTAGCTGACCCGTTGGACATATAGTTGGTAGGCCAGTGGATTTAAGCTGGTCATGCTGGTAGGCCAGCTAAATCATTAACTGAAATGAAAAACCCTGTGCTGATCGACCGTCTAAAATGGTTAATCTGGCAGAGCAGCTTGGTCAAGATGGTAGAGCAGTTAATCCACTCCACATTAAATGTGACTTCTGTGGCATTACTGGAAATGAGGCCTGCATATCTAATTAATGCGCACCAAGCTGTATACAAAACTGAACACTAGAATGCTTGCTAATGTGTACACATGGTGTTACACACATGCACACAGGCTTCTTTCATAGGAAAGTCCACAGAATAAGTGCAAAATCAAATGAGGTTCCTTTGTGCTTATGTATCGTCACCTTTTAACCTTTTATCTCCATTTTTGTCATTTTTGGGTTTTTTATGCTGTGTGTAAATTTCATGATGAATGGACCAATAGAAATCGTCCATAATTACTTCAAAGAAACCTTTTTACAGTAACTTCCATTATAATAATAATAATAATAAAAATAATAATAAGAATAATGTTTTTTTCATTTTTCTGAAATGTTACCATCTTGGAGATACAAAGTTTTGTTATGGCAGCGATGACACTGTACTTGTGGTATATAACATTTTATTGTCTTTAGATTTGGAACAGGAAAAATATGTATCAACACAATCCAGGGTCTTTTCTGGTGAGGAGTGGACAAAGTGGACAAGCTTTGATCCCTTAAATTTTAAAGCAGTGGTGCCCAATACATCAATTGTGAACGACCAGTCGATTGCCCAGTTCTCGTTGGTGGATCGCGCCTCATTCAAACAGGCTATCACATTTCAACACTTTCTTACTGCTTCTGGTCAGTGTGATTGACTGACTGATGTGAAATGTGGATAGTCTCTCTTTAATTTACTGCTTGTTACCGTAGCTACGCCACAGCCTGCCTAAAGCGCTGCTGTGAATTTGCCTCTCTAGCGATCTCGAAAGTTTTCATTTATCAAAAGCCAGTTTGTGTGGCGCCATTTTTGCATTTTTCTTTTGTAACCTACGCGGACTCTTTCAGAGGACGAGTGCTAGGTCTCGCACAAAGCAACCGAAAACTTACCTCTTCCATGCAGAGCGGGAGGAGGACTATTTTCCTTTTTTTCTTTTTTTTTTACAGTGTCAGACTTTGAGTGCATCTGCTTGATTTGCCAAGTAGCCATAGCAGTTCCAAAGAAGGGGAAAGTTGAGAGGCATTTTCAAACTATACCCAGAAACTATGATGACGAAGTCTTCAGAATAAGGATGAGGCCAAATTTTTGTAAAAGGTAGATTATGATGACCTGTCCACTGGAAAAAGTAGATATCAAGCCATAAAAGTATGGGCACCCCGGCTTTAAAGCGTGTTCTGTTGGGCCTAGCTGACAAAACAGTAAAACTCTATGTAGAAACTCACATAAGTGATGATAAAAGACCAAAATTACATCCAAAACATATTTGTCAACAGAACATATTTGTTTGTTTTGTTGATCTATGAGTGAAAAATAGTTAAACAAACTGTAAGAAGGCTTTGGAACACTTCTGTTTACCACAGGCTGTGACAATTTTCAAAAAATGCCATTCAGGTTTTCCAGTAAGAAAAACGGCCTAGACTCTGCATTTCTTATTTGGGTATGATGCTGGCTACCTCACTGTCAGAGGCCTGTTTGAAGGCTGCAACAGTCTAAAGCCAACAGCTCACACTGTGTCCTCTGCAGGACAGAATGCTGAAGCCTTTAGTGTGTATCTGATCTTTGGTGGCTCTGTTTCAGTGCTGAATATCAGCATTTTAAGAGAGTAGAAGGGCAGAAGCACAACCTGCCTACCTCCATCAGTACATCTGCAAGCTGAAAACAAGGAGATGACCACAAGTTAAGTTGTTTCTGTTTGTTTTCTGTCTAACCTTTTAAAACTTTCAAGGGCAGTTTTAAAGATAAATATGAAGAATTACTCCCAGACCTGGGAAGTGAAATTGCTTAATGAATTAAAAGTCCGCAAATTTGTGTAGGTCTGGTTTCCTGTGACTGAACTGAGTGGGAAGTAGGTCATCATGAATAGGATAATGCAATCACTTTCATACAAAATATTTAATTGCGTCTTGACAAATAGAGTAGTTGGACTGTGAAGTACATCATCAAGGTCTGTCTGTGTGTGTGTGAAAGAGAGATAACACAGCACAATCTGTCCTCATTTGTCTCAGTGACAAGATAATAACACCGTTCAAACTGACAGTGGCTGTTTCTGCTCGCTGTGATTTAAGAGGAACATAATGAAAAAAGAACCATGGCTATTCACTGCTGCGTAATAATCTGGGAAACTTATGTTTTATACATATTTTTGCTTAATTCAACAAGAGCAACATCAATAATGCAGTGCAATGTACATTTTTAAGAATCTATAATGTATAAAATTAATCACTTGTTCTGTCTTTGGTATTTAAAGTTTTTTTGGGAACTGATGAGGAAAAATGAGAAATAATACAGTATATTTCTTTACTATATAGTATGTTACTAAATTTAACACCAATGCAATATCTTCATTCTTGTCACTGTACAGCTTTCTCAGACACTTTATCATCTACAGCTATATTTGTTTTGGCTACATATAAAATTTTTAGTAGCACTTTTGTGTAAGGTAGTGTTCATAAGGCTACATGACACCTACATAAGCCCTTCATGACAACTGACATAGACCTGCATGTACATTTATAGACATCATTTGTCATAAAGGTTGCATTTGCAAACTATGATGTCATGTTGACGTAACACCTGTTTCGAGTAACAGTGTTTTTTTCCTAATGTTAGGTTGTGTCATGACACTTTTTGTGGTGAAATGACTTGACAACTGACTTACAGTCTTCCCCGAAAGTATTCTAATGGCGAGGTCAACTCTTTTTGTTATATACACTGAAGACATTTGGGTTTAGTATCAAAAAATCGAGACAACAGATCATAATTTCAGCTTTTATTTCCTGATATTTATATTTAGATGTATTAAACAACTTAAAACATGGCACCTCTTATTTAAACCCACCCATTTTTCAAGTGAGCAACAATGTTGGGACTTGTGACTGACATGTACAGGGTGTCCCCAAAAAAAATGACAATTTCGTAGTGTAATAACAGCCAGTTGTCCCTCAAATTATCTCAAATTTTAACAAAATGTGTAAAACTAACCAAGTTTAATTTTTAATGTTTTATTTTCTGGTTGAAGAATGGCCTTCACTAGAAATGAAAAGGCATTTTGTGTGTTAGAATATGCACGAACACAGTCATGCAGCGTGCATTTTCGAAAAAATTCAATAAAAATGCAGTAACTGGAAAGCAGATTTGGACATGGCACAAAAAATTCAAAGAGGAAGGCTGTCTGTGGGCGAAGGGATCTGGACGACCACCAGTAACGGAAGATATTACATTTCTGAAGCTTTGTGAAATCAGTTATAAAATCTACATCCGTCTGAATTTCTTGTTCGAATTTTGATAAATAAATCTTGTATTGTTCAACATGAAGCCTATTTAATTTCGTTTGCCCAGGACATGGAGTTACTCAGATATTCACATCTCAAATGATGTCAATTTTTTGGGACACTGCATTTCTTGTTGCCCTGGTTTGCCCTGTTAGATTGATTTTTGAACAGGTAACAGCTCTGAATGTCTAGTCTTGGTTTAAACCCTGGGTTTCACCTGTGAAGACTGCATTTGTTCTTAAAAAGGATAAACCAACATGAAGACCAGAAAGCTGTCTATTGGCGAAAAGCGAGCTATTTTGAAGCGGAGAAAAGAGGAAAAATCGAGCAGAGCCTTTGCAGAAGCATTGGGCATAACACAACAATTTGTCCTGAATGTCCTGAAAAAGAAAGGAACTGTGTGAGAGCTGTGACGAAAAGCCAAAAAACAACAGTGACATCACCACTAACCTCCACAGTGCAGGGGTAAAGGGACCGCAATCCACAGTTCAAAGAAGACTAAGAGAGCAGAAATATAGAGGCCATACCACAAGATGCAAACAACTCATCAGCAGTAAGAATCGGAAAGGCCAGATTGGAATTTGCAAAGAAATAAAGAGATGAGCCACAAAAGTTACGCATCAGTTTTATAAACTGCTGAGACCAAGATTAATCTTGACCAAACTGATGGAAACGGTAAAGTGTAGAGAAAGAAAGCATCTGCTCATGATCCAAAACATACCAGCTCATCAGTAAAGCATGGTGGAGGTAGTGTGATGGCCTGGTCTTGCATGGCTGCTTCGGGAACCAGCAGCCAGAATCCTTATTGATGATGTATCTCATGAAGTCAGAAGTCTAGGCAAACATTCTGTCTGCCTGTTCAGAGAAAAGTACATCCAGTCTACTCGGGAGGAGCTTCACCCAGCAAGACAATGACCCTAAACACACCAAAGGACTTCATCAGGGGCAAAAAGTGGAAGGTTTAAACCTGGTAGGTGTCATAAAGCATTATGAGTGCTGCCCTACAGTAAATTGCTCAATAAAGTTGCCCAATAATAGCTTCGTAGTAAAATCATTTGATGAACATACTCACAAAGACATTGGTTGGGCAGGCCACTATTGAAAACATTGATTCCAAACGTTTGAGCTGTTGTGTATTTTAGTCCTACAGGATGCAGCGCTATAAACATTTATCATATTTATCAAATTTCCATAATAGCCCAACTGCAATGGACAAACATTCATGAAGTATAATCTGTGAACTGTATTTCAATACATTACCAGCTTGGATAATTGAAAAATGTATGGCCTTAATTAAACATTTATGCACTTATAAATGTCTGGTGTTTTATTTGGCCGAAATCTTAATTCAGTTATTGACCATTCACCTGTGCCACCACTGCAGCTGTTTGGAGTTCTAGGTAAGTGTTTCTCTGTCACAGTAGCTTGTATTGTGATGAGCCTTTATCCTTGTCAGATGCAAGAAATGGCAAAACATGTATTAAACATATAGGTTTGCCTATTGATTAATCCATTCAGTTCTTGCTTTCCTTCAACCATAATCTTTATAATCAGAAAAGGTCAAACACAAAGAAACCAAAAGAAAAAAAAGCAGCAATATAATTTTAGGTTTTTTGACGGTTACTGGTCAAGTTGGTGGTGCTGCTTTTCCTTATACCACCATCAGGATTTATACTGGTTTAAATTAGAACCTTGTAGGCCCAAGTAGTGGAGGCACAGAGAGGCCTGTGTAATGATCTGTGTGATGGTAGAAGGTGCATTGCAAATGAACTGAGCTATGAGATAAGCTGTTGCTCAGACGTCAGTTCTATTGTGATTTTATAAATCAGTTTTTTCTTTGTGTCACCACAATTGGCACCGTGATAATAATCACAACTACACAAACAGACAGAATGACCGAAGTCAATATTTTACAGATTTTGTTCCTTTTCAGTTCTGCTTCCTTCTTCTTCAGCAGGGAGTCGAAGCCTGGGGTGTAGAGATCTTCCAGCCAAAAGTTCAGTTTCCTAGGGTCTTCCTAGAACAGAACAGATTTATGTGAATTCAACATGAAGGAGCAAGACCATATTCCAAATCACACACATGATCACTCAGACAAATCACTGCTTTCTTTCTAGTGAATCATCTTACCACAGAGGGCTGATCATATGTTTCACAAACTAATCGTTAGCGTATACACCCACTGGCCACGTTACTAATAAGCCACTATCACGTCAGCGTTAATGCAGTGCTGAGGAAAATCCACCTCCTATATAATACCTGCACAACAGTGGTCCTGTGGGGGTCCTGACCATTGATGAGCACATGAAACAGATGGAATAATATCTGCTATTGTAGATATTAACTGCAACATGCACCTACAGTACACATTCAGAGACCACTGTTCATTTATTTAAGTTCCAGTCAAAACAGCCATTAACCTGAATAATAAGCCTTAGTATATAGGGATTTTGAGGGCTCAGTCACAGAAGCCATACAATAATACAAGTTTTTAGGAGGTAGGAAGACAACTATGGGTCTGAAAGAACGTGCAGCTGTTAAGAAGCTGTTACTGAGAAAAGGAAATTGACAAGTGCATTGTTCTGAAAAGGCCGGCAGCTTTTTTGTTTAATGTACAATTAAGTCCAGACTTCAACTGAGTCCAGACCTCAACATCACTGAATGTGTTTGGGATTACTTGGGTGGTGAGGAGCAGAAAATGCAACCAACTTCTATGACTGAACATTAGAGATGAGAAAAATGCAGATTATTTGTTGTTGATGGCTTTAGTCTTCTGTTAATTATATGCTTTCTGCTTTTTTTTCATAAGCACTTGTACTTGATGGCTGTTTTAACTAGTAATGAAATAAATAAAGGGTGGGCTATGACTTTTGTTCACTGCATATGGTAAGTGGACCTGATAAAATGGACAGTGAGTGTAGATACAAGGGAATAAAGTGGCCAGTACGTATGTATTAGCATATGTCTAAAAATTAATTCCTTTTTAATATCAGTACACCTGTGGAATCAACTTTTGTTCGTCATGAGCCTGAAGCTAACATTTGACAATTTTCCTTTCATTTTATAAGTGATTTCTCGGTTTAACTCCATAGTGAAAATGTTCCTGGATCCAAATAACCCCAGCTATGCTAAGTACATGCTCTAGCATAATGATAATATGAATGCAGAACTCAGCGTGACTGGAATTTAAATTACACTGCTTTTGATTTGTCGTGTGCATTTTAAAGTTATGACTATGTAATTACGAGCGTTACTGTCATCATCATCCTGCTGAGTGTGCATCTGGAGTAGAGTGAAACACAATAAAGCTTCCAGCAGTTATGGCTGTTCCCATTATATTCATTCTGATATTCTCAGTCGAACCCCTGAAACGTTGAGACCTGATGTCTTGGTTTTTGATTACAAAACTTTTGTTTGTGTTTGTTTTTTTACACCATTTTTCACACCATTTGAAAACTGCAGTTCCTCTTCAAGTTGTGTGAACTTTTCATGATGAATGGACTATAAAATGGTCCAAAATTACTGGTACTAAATCTCTTTATATTACCATATTAAAATTAGAACATATTTTTCTTCCTCTGGAAATCTATAAACGCTGACAGTTTGCTTCCCGACAGTCAGGAACAGCATATATCCATATCATCCACTCAGGAGTGTCCAATCTTATCCGCAAAGGGCCGGTGTGGCTGCAGGTTTTCACTCCAAACAAGCTGAAGTACACCTGATTCTATGTGTTTAATCAGTTGGTCTTAGTCTTCAAACATTTCGTCAGGTGACCTCCTGCTTTGTTGGAGTGAAAACCTGCAGCCACACCGGCCCTCTGCGAATAAGACTGGACACCCCTGCTCTACAGACTTCCTGCAGTTAACAACACTCTGTATCACTTCAACGTGAAAGGGCGGGGCTAAACTGCTGTAGGCTGAAGAGGTAATAGGTAAATATGTTCATGGTTTGGACTGCAAAACCATGATGGATTCAAAACAGCTCAGTTCTGTATATGAACTCTGTGGCTCGGACAGGGAGCCTGGTTTTCTGGACTATCCCATTCCTCTTAAGACTCCTTATCCTGGATTGGTTGGGTGACATTACATCTGGTGACATTTAAACTTTAAAGCATCAAGTAACAGTGTGAACTGATAACACCAGTATTGATTGTCACTGGCTTTATCTGTCCTCTGTCCTGTCCAACTGTGCCATTTACTCATATTAAAACTTTTGCCTTAACACATATTTGCTCCAGCAGTAATTACAATAGTATTATGACTGAATATAGACAGGTATTTACATCTGTTAAAGAAATAGTTTGGCGCAAAATCTAATTTACACTTTTTTTGTCTTATCCCAAATGTAGTTATTCATCTAAGACATATTTGGTGTCTGAAGTTTGCTTTTAGGTTATGCACTGGATCATTGAGTCTAATGTAGCTGAAAAGTAATGGAAACTTCAACTCATTAATCCTGTTAATTAGCATGCCTAATTCCGCACACTCGCCTCAAGATTAAGTGATCTATGATAGACTTACTTATGTGGTTCCTAACAGTGTACAACATGCTGTCATCCAAAAAATCAAAATCATGTTGCAGAGCTAATGGCAGTAGTAGCAACATCTGGAAGACCAGCACAAAGCTAAAGAAGGAAACATCAGACACTAAACATAGGTTAGCTGACTGGCTACATTTAGGATAAGGGTAAAGTTGTGTACATTTTTTCGTAAATGATCCTTCACTGTTTAATAGGAACTTAAGCTACCGAACAACTTGCTGCTCAGTCCAGTTTTCAGTGTTGGTTTTGTTCTTTTAGGCTCCAAATACTACCACTCTGTACCTGTAGATACTCTGCTAGGTTGCCATGCATTGCGTGTCTATCATAGTCCTCGATGGTCCAGGAGGGTTTGGTCCTGTGGTTCTCCTCAGCTTCAGCAGTCCGTATGTCCATGTAGAGGGGGTTCTTTTTGATCTTTGGTTTCAGAGTGAGTGGTGTGATGTGCTGCTCCAGCTCGCGGTCTCTGAACTCCAGGCTGACAACTGGAGGCCGCTGACCTTCTGTGCCTCTCAGCCCCCTCCGCTCTCTCTGTACAGAACAAACGTCCAGAACAAACTGTTAAGCTCGGATTGAAAAGGACAGGGACATCAGGACAGTTTCAGCTACTCCCTTTGGATTTGTGGTTCCTTTGGAAGACTACAGTGATTCATCATTGCCATTTTTAAAAATGCTTGCAGTAATAACACTCCTCAGCACTTCAACATGAATGGGTGGGCTACATTTCAGTAGGCTAAAGGAGTGGTCATATATGCTAATATAGTTCCTTATATGAACTGTACGGGTTAGGACAGAGGTGGGAACTCTGGTCCTGGAGGGCCGAATCCCTGTACAGCTAAATTTCAATATTCCACGATTTAGGCCCTTTAACTGCTGAGGCCCTAAGTGCTTTAGGCCCTAAGTGCTGGAAATGCCAAAGGAACACTTGTCTGGCTTTGTTAGCGACAGAATGGAGGGCTTTCTGAACATGATGAATAAAATATGCTCCATAAGGGTGGCGCACTCTGAATGATCTCTCTGTAAACACTGTTGCATAAGTGATGAAAGCCTGTAGCAACAAGCACATATCTTGCAACGAGACAGATTTCACACGGGGCTGAGAAACACCCTTATTCACCCAGACTGAGCCTTGATCGCTATGTGTAACTTAGAGTTAGAAGTCTCCAGTGAAAGGTGCTTTTTTGTTGTTTTTTTTAAGTCTCTGCACAGGGAATAAAATTTTGATCTGTTTCAATAAATGCTGCACCATGACCGCTGCTCAGTCTCTGATGTGGGTTTGCATCAGTGCAGGTCTGTTCAACAAAGAGATTTCTCTCAAAACTAAAGCCATATTTCACACCAGAAAAGATATGATGCACCCAGTAAAACCTAATGTTGCGATTACTTATATTTAGTTATGATAAAATAGTGCATTCCTATGACACAGGTCCAAACAGGCCCAAATATATCTGAGAATATTCCTTACACAATCTTCAAGACACTCACCCTGAAAACAAACAACTGTATCTCATCTTAATTGTAAATAGGATCTCAACCTAAAGTTCAGGTGTACTCAGTTCTTGTTTATATTTATTTTTCAAAGAAACTAATTGCCTTACATTTTTGGACTGAAGCAACTGCCCATTGACTTTATTATAGGAGTATTTTGAGTCAACTGGTTCTTTTTGCTGTTCATCCATCAACCATATGATACAGATGTGCCAGATTGAAAGCAGGTTGAAAAAGGTTGAAAAAAGTATACCTTTAATGTGCAGCACTGTCCAGCAGTCAGAGACCACCCTTCATTTGTTTAATTTCCGGTCAAAATTAAGTACAAGTTATTCATTTTTGTCCAAGATAAAATTATCCACTTGTATATTGAAAGGAAAACAATCATGCAAGACCTGGTAGACACCAAAACTGCCACCATTAGACAAACAGTATTTAAAGCTTTCAGCTTTGAGAGAAAATCAAGCTTCACTCCTGCTTCACATCTGAAAAAATCCACAGGTGCTTCTGTCCATCCTTCCACTGAGAAAAGACAGCCCAACACTATGAGTCTGAAAGGACATGTAGCTGTCAAAAAGCTGTTACTGAAACAATGGACTGACCTCAACATCAATGAATGTGTCTGAAAGGCAAGAAGCAGAAAGTGCAACCAACTTCAAAGACTGAACTTTGGAGGTGTGAAAAAAATATTCCTGCAGATTTCTTTGAAAAACTGAAAGCAAGACTTCTGAAAAGAATGGAAGCCGTAATAAACATAAAGAGTGGAAACAGTAGTTGGTGAGTCTTCTGTGTAATTCTCTGTTTAATATATCATTGCTGTTGTAACAAACCCCTGTACCATTCTTTGAAAACACTAGCTGACCTTTACCTTGCGTGAAATTTTCATGATGAATGAACCAACAGAAAGAATTTTACAATTGGAAAAACTATTTTTACATTAATTTCCATAATCAGTAATGTTTTTTTTTTCCTGTAAAGTTGCCATTTTGGAGATACAAGGTTTTGTTTTGATGGTATTGATATGTTTTCTACTTTTTCCCTGAGAGTAAAAAGTCAGTAACTTAAGGTCGTTTTGACTCAAAATAAAAAAAAGAAGGGTGGTCTCTGATTTTGCACAGTACTGGAGGTGTTTAAGTAAATGGTGTCACTTAATTTTTCTGTGATAAAACAAAGATCAGAATAAAAATCTACTGGGCGTCTAAATTAGCATGAATAAGTTTTCAAATAACCACTGACCTGTCAGATTGTCTCGGCCCCTCCTGTTGTGTTGATGAAGCTGCTAAGCTGTTTAGCTTTTAAATATCAGCACCTACCTGTGAATACACTCTGTTCTGCCACTGCCTCTGGCCAGAGAGTGCTGCCCCAATCTGGAACATGCCGTGGGTGGCTGGTAGCATCCCCACATCCAGCTGGAGGAATTTCTCTGGATGGTTATTGTTGGGGAGAACGGTGATGTCCATGTTCTTCGCCCAGATACAGTGGCCTTCTGAGTCTGACTCAGTCTGACTGCACTAATGACTTATTAATGAAGAAGCAGGTGTGTGTAACCCTATCTAACCTCAGCGGCCTGGTTAACATAACCCATACTGCTGAGCAGAGGAAGAAAAGCGGGGAGTCATGCCGCACCCACAGGCTACTGATTAAGGCTTTAAAGGAAACCAAGTGTCCACATATGATCCCATACTTCACTTTTCCACTCTCATAACTACATAACTTACATATTATCACTTTTGTAACAAAGCCTTTTATCTCAAAATGGTAACTTTACAGGAAAAAGGAGAACAAATGTCCATTTTTACTGGTCCATTTAACACAAAATATTCACAATGGAGATTTTGATACGATAGTGACAATATTATTTTCACAGTAGTTACTGAGCAACACATTTTAATATCAATAACTGAACAGTAGGCCTGGAGTTCATGAGGTTTAAGAGGCATTATGGCCAAAATGAAAAGTATAACCAGTGCTACATCTGTTGTAAACATACCTATTTATCTCCTATAGTGATGCCACAATAGTACCAAGAGTTTTAACTAGGAAATTCCCTCAGTTCACGTATCCTGAAAGTGGGATACACCTGAAAAATTGAAAGGGCTTTGGGGGGGTTGCATGAGAAGAGTTGCTGAACACAGTAGATCCACTGTAATCAGTTCCACACAAATTAAATACACTATAGGGCCAATAGGGCCAAAAGTGTATGTACACCTGACCATCGCACCTATGTGAGCTTGTTGGACACCCCATTCCAAAATCATGAGCATTAACATGGAGTTGACGCCCCTTTGCAGCTATAACAGCCTCCACTGGACTGAGAAGACTTTCCACAGAATTTTGGAGTGTGTCTTTGTGAATTTGTTCCCATTCACTCAAAAGAGCATTTGTGAGGATAGGCACAGATGTTTGATGAGAAGGCCTGGGTTCCGTTCTAATTAATTCCAAAATTGTTCAGTGGGGTTGAGGTCAGGGCTCTGTGCAGACCACTGGAGTAACTCCACCCCACACCATGTCTTCATGGAGCTCGCTTTGTGCACAGGGGCACAGACATGCTGGAACAGGAAAGAGCCTTCTACATACTGCTGGCCACAAAGCTGGAAGCATATAATTGTCTAAAATGTCTTTGTATGCATAAACATTACCCTTCGCTGGAACTGAACCCTGAAAAACAACTCCCTTCTCCACCAAACTTTACTGTTAGCACTATGCATTCCTATAGGTAACGTTCTTCTGGCACTGTCCAAACCCAGATTTATCCATCAGACTGCCAGATAGTGAAGCATCATTCATCACTACACTCGTACATAGTGATCTTAGGCTTGTGTTCTGCTGCTCAGCCATGGAAACCCATTTAACAAAGCTCCCGATGCACAGTTCTTGTGCTGATGTTGCTTCCATGGGCAGTCAGATGATTTTTACGTGCTACGTGGTCCAGCACTCTGCAGCCCTGCTCTATATGTTTGCTTCATGGCTGAGTTGTCACTGCTCCTAGATGCTTCCATGTGAAAATAATAGTGCTTACAGTTGACCAGGGAAGATCTGGCAAAGTCATAAAGTGACTTGTGACCAATGTGGCATCCTATGGCAGTGCCATGTTTAAAGTCACTAAGCTTTTCAGTATGACCCATTCTGCTGACAGTGTCTGTCATTGGAGATTGCATGGCTATGTGCCTGATTTTACACTGCAGTTAACAATGGGTGTGGCTGAAAAAACTGAACTCAGTAATTAGTAGTGTCTGCATACTTTTGGCCATACACTGTGTGTTACATCAACTTGAGTACTTACACATACTTATTATGTTGATGTAACATATTTCATTCCTGTTGAGCCAATCTCTCCATTTAAGCAACTTCCCAGTGTGCTAGAAACAGAGGCCTTTGTGATGCCTGACTTTTATAGCACGAATTTCAACCAAGTCAATGTGTATATTATACACAGTATCACAAGACTTTTACAGTTTCAGCTGTTTTGGAAAACGACTGCTGAAGTCCTTAGGGGGAAAAGCATAGGACTGAATCCTTTTGTTGTAGTCTACTGCATTTTCAGATATGACATATTTCCTACCACTAGAGGTCGATATGCACTGGGTGATAATTGAGGTGTCATAGATCAGAGTGGGTAGTCATAAAGCATCAGATGGATGGATGGATGGACAGATAGATAATCTTGATTCATATAGCATGTTTCATGCTGGTGGTAGCTCAAAGTGCTTTACAGGCAGGTGATAAAGCTTAAAAGTATAAGTATTCATTTAGAATCATATAAGAAAATGACAGATCAAATTAACAAGATAATACTAAAAGACAGAGTTTAAATTCAATGCTAAGTTAAAGAGATATGTTTATAAATGTTTCTTAAAAGTGAGCACTGAGCTGGACTGTCTGATAAAAGGGGGAGCTGAGTTCCCCAGTTTAGAAGTATAATAAATGAACAAGGCCACTCCACATTTTCTGTATTTTACAGAAAGTATTTACAGAAGGTCTGTATCTGCAGATCTAAGATCACATGCTGGAACATGAACAGGCAGACATTCTGTGATGTAAACGTGTGCTAGTTCATTTAGAGTCTTTAAAACTAAAAAACTAGTAGCAATATTGGTTTCAGTATCAGAAAAGAAAAAGTGCCATCATGCCATCTGCAATAACAGACAGACAGACAGACAGAACTGAGGTGATTCCGTTGAAAACAGCTCATTTTGAAGCTTAGCAGTTTTTTAAAGAAGCGATATTGGGTTCTCTTGGCAAACACGCAAGGTTTCAAAATGTGAATCAAAAAAGAAATCATGGTGTTGCACAATCTCTAATAGACAGATAGGCAGACAGACAAAGTCATAAAACATCAGTTAGACAGAGAGATGGATGTTTTGGGCTTTGGCACATTCTAATTACATTCTGCTCTGCTGCTCTGACTCATCTCCTAATTGCCTTCATGAGTTGATTTGGGTGTGTGAAAGCAGGATAAACTCTATAATTGTTCTTCAAAACTTGAATTTGGCGTGCTCGGCCTACATGCCTCTCAGAATGGACGACATGGCACCTCTGGGATCCTGGAGTACTCTGCAGGGCACTGGGGTGTGGCGCTTTGACAGGGTGAGCCAAAAAGGCATTTACTGCAGGAAATGAAAAACAAAGTGGAAACCCAGATGATCTGTAATAAATAATAATTAAAAAACACATTCTAAATATACGAATCAGGCTTTATTTACACTTTCATCCTTTGTAAAACAGTACATTCTTATTTGCTCAAGATGGCCAAAGTAGTTCATGTGAGGTCTTGGGGCAAATCTTCAAGTACACCCATATAAAAATGGGATTTTAAAATCAGAGCGTGGTATGAAGCAACTAGGCAGTTTTTGACTGGCAAACTACAATGATATGCACAAAAAAAGCATTTTAAACCACAACGGGATCTGTGTGATGTACAGCCAGAGAGGCTTTGAACAGACTTTGGTATGCTAATGGTATTGTGGCCCTCCGGGAACGCGAATGAATCAGCTGAGCTGGACGTTCAATACACTAAATCTGACATCTCGGAAGAATCGGTTCGGTGAGGTGAATCGAACTTTCCATTAATTGATTACTGCAAGCTGCTAATAGGAAGATAGATTCAGTTTAACGAACCGACTCCTTCGAACTTGCCGTTCCAATGAATCGAAAGTCCGAGTCAATAATTCATTTTCGTTCCTCGGTGATTAATCAAGTTTATTTTCCCCCTATCTTCTTCATATGTAATGATTTTCTGTTCAAGCAGTAAGAGTCTGGTGTCCTCTGCTTAATAAGGAATTCCATGAATACACAAAGCACCAACACATCAAGAAATAGGAGGGCGGCTACAGTGAAAATGCGTGTTCTGTTACGATAATTTTCTAAAGTTATGACGTGTAGATAACCAGTATAACTAGTAAATAAACGTGATTCGAATTGTATCGCAATCCTTCAGCCTATAACATGGATGTAAACGTGTGGATTCAGTTGCACTTGTGAATCGGTTCGACAGTTTTATTGAAAAGAATCAGTTCGAAAGAACGGTTCGGTTAGGAGTCGGACAGCGCTACCACCAGCTCCGCGCTCCGCTGGTTCTCCCTGTAGACGGCAGTTTGGGAAGAGGAGCAGTGGGCTGCTTTCTTTCGCTCCGCCCTGTGACAGTCTAGCGAAAAAAAACTCCCCTTACTTTTGCTGCCGGGGGCTCATCCTGAGGTCACGGCGACCAGGACAAGCAAACGGTCGAAACAGGGAAAAGTATGTAAGTCAGACCAGCGTAGTAGGTTAAGTTCTTTAGGGTATCACTGTTTGTCAAAGTGTAACGTACACAAAATGGCGAGTCAGACGGAGGATGCGTTAACGTTAGCTAGGTGGCGGAGGAATCGCTGTGGCTACCTAAACTGAGGGGGGAAGTCTTCAACTGTCGGCATTTTTTTCCAGAAAGAGTCTTAAAATCACTATGGCACATAAGAAGTCGGAAAAGGAGGGAGTGAACTCAGTGAGCCGAAAACACCAGCCGAGTGAAAATGTAATGCTTTGCTGAGGCGACGAAGAGTTGGAGCTTCGTTCTCTTTCTAACGTTTCTAACGGACCGTCCAGCAACTCTCTCAGCCGAGCGGGACGCTTAAAACATTTTCCGAAGGATTTCTTTCTTTCTCCGCAAGAATGTGGTTTTGTTTACAGAAGCAGAGCCATGGCCGTCTGCGGTGCTCGGACAAACGCGACGTTGTTTCTCTCTGGAAGAAAAAAACGCCAACTCTTTCATCGCCTCAGAGTTTCTAACGCGCTCGCTCCTCCATGTGTTTACTCGGCGTCGAGGACCCGCTCGGAGCTTCTCCCTTCAGCCGCAGCTTAGCTCACCATGCTCGCTCGCCGGTCCTGTGAAGCCGACCAAGCCGAGGATATCAGTAACGTTCATTCGCTCGTACCCTTCGTCTCCCGCCCGTTGATGCCACCACCACCATGGCGGTGAGGTCCAGGAGACCGTGGCTGAGTGTGGTTGTTGGGGTCGTGCTTGGTTTCACCGCCGCGTCCTGGTTCGTCGTGCCGGCCGTCGTAGAGCTCAACGGCGGCGCCAAGAGAAAGTCTCCGGCGTGCTCGCACCACAGAGACAGCGGCGGGGATTTGGCTGTGGGGAAAGTTTGGGAGGCCGGTGGAAGCTCCAGCACCGCGGCCGGCCGCACTTGGCGCAGGGAGGAGAGAGAGGAGGTGGAAGAGGGAGAGGAGGAGAGTGCCTCCAGGACAGGCAATGGCGACCCTCCACCCAAACGCTTCCTATATGTGGGGGTCATGACGGCCAAGAAGTACCTGGACTCCAGGGCGGTCGCTGCCCATAAGACGTGGACGCGGAGTATACCGGGGAAGGTGGAGTTTTTCTCCAGCGAAGGCTCAGACGTGGTGCCCCTGCCAGCCCCCGTCCCTGTAGTCTCATTATCAGGGGTGGATGATTCATATCCGCCTCAGAAGAAGTCCTTCATGATGCTCAAGTACATGCATGACCATTACCTGGACAAGTACGAGTGGTTCATGCGAGCAGACGACGATGTCTACATAAGAGGTGAAATGAGGGGGTCTGCTTCTTTGAAAACTGCTTTTCTGTGCGTGTGGTCTAAATTTAAAGTTGTGAAATAAGTCAGGCAGTATATTCAATGGCCATATTTCCTGACAAAGGAAATATACTTTAAGCCAAAGCTGCTGGCCATCACTGAATCACTGCATAGACGAGAAGGTGAACATACTCTAATAAGGAGAAGATAAGAGCCTCAAGTTTCAGCCTTATCTTAATAGCCCAGTACATTCAGTGCAGAAATAACCAGGCTTACCTTGATGGTTACTCCACTTTCCTGATGTACAGAAAGCCATCGTAAATTAGGCTTTTGAACTGCCAACACGGTAACTTTCAACATGAGTTAGTTTTGAAAAAGGCAAGCTTAACTACATGTCATGTACTTTATAGACCATCTACTGCGGTGATGCCAAATCCAGGTCCTGGAGACCTACAATGTAGAGTTTAGCTCCAACCCTAATCTAACACACCTTATCTAGTTAATGAAGGCCTTTAGGGTCTTCTGAATAATAGAGTTGGGTGTGTTGGGTCTGAGCTCTCCAAGGTGGAAGATGTCCAGGAGCAGGATTGGCACCTGTGAGTTACTGCATCTAGTTTTGGAAAAAAGTTCCTGTTTTTATCTCATACTGAGTTTATATGTATGGTACATGACTGATCACTATGTATTTGTGCTCTTTTTTGTTTATTTAGACTTGGACTAGTCACTTTATATAATAAGTTTTCATCAGATATCATATGATGCACTTAGAATAACTAGGAATGAACAGTAGACTGTGAACCATGAATAGAAGATTGCTAATGTGCTTCTAGTTGTGTTGTTAATACAGTATTGAGACAGTATAAGCAATGACCATGGTAAATATACATCTTTTTTAATACAATTCTTCATCTCTAAAGCTGGGCTGGGGAACTGAGGGCTGGAGTTTTCCCTGCTCTGACACTCCAACTAAACCTGGCAATTAACTGATGATTTGAATCAGGTGTGTCTGAGCAGGAAAATCACATGTCTTTGCAGGAATCCAGCTGTCCTGGACCCCACCCCTGCTCTACGCAAAGTGAAGTGTTGACTGACTATTGAGGAATACATGAAATTAGGGGTGGGCAATATGGCAAAAATCTAGTATCACAACACTTCAAGATATTTTCGCAGTGCTCGTTATGCATCAAAATCTTTAGTTTATCTGAAGTTCCATATTTAAAAAGTACTATCAAAACTATCAATACAACAATTTGTATTCAGTGTGTCACATGGTGCGCTGCACTAACTTCAGTTAAACAGAACTGATTATGCTTTCTTTGCAATGAAAGATGCAGTTTGTCAGTGTTAAAGTGCTTACGATATTCACAATATGCTGAGAAAAGCATATTGTAACCTAATTTATCACAGTAACGATATCATCACATTGCCCACCCCACAAAGTGCCCAGTACTCTTGTCATGCATATATATAGTTAGATATAGGTAAATACCCACTATGCTGTGTTATGACGTAAATAAGCTGTGATTGCAGTTTAAATTATTGTTGCTGTGTAAAACATGTCCACACAAATGAACATTGATGGTATATTTGTTTCTTAGTTTGATAAGCTCTCTTCATTCCTTTAAAAGTTTAATGTCTGTTGTTTTTGTTTATGTGATTGTTTTTGGACGATTATTTAACTTCCTAAACTAAGAAACAGTTTAGCATTTTGCACATTATTAAAATACAGTAAAAGAAAACAGGGTAGCAGAAATGCTAAACCTGCCATAAGGATTCTTAGGGCACACTGACATTGCAGAACAGTGAAAGACTTGACTAAAGCCTTCAATTGATAATGCTGTAGAGCATTGGGCTGAAATTGGAACAGTATAAATACCCTGTCATTTTAGGACAGCTAAGTGATAAGCCAGCCGCTTTATTACTTACATCTGAAAAAAAGGCTTAATAGATATGTTTCCCTTCTCAAATTTATTTTATTTATTATTATTATTATTATTATTATTATTAACCCTGTTATACAAACAGTAGGGTAATAAACCATGACATGTTTGGTAATAAAGGATATAAAATATTCAGTCAAAAAGGTGAAAGCTGTTTCTCTGAGCTGTTAAGACATGCACAATGAATTTTACTAAGATTAAATGCAACGTAGGTAATCCATATGTATCTCTCTCTTTTTCTCTTTTTCTCTCGCTCTCTCTCCCTCTCTCTCAGGTGAAAAGCTGGAGCTTTTCTTGCGCTCGCTCAACAGCAGTAAGCCTCTGTACCTAGGGCAGACAGGCCTGGGCACCACAGAGGAACTGGGCAAGCTTGCCTTGGAGCCTGGCGAGAACTTCTGCATGGGTGGTCCGGGCATGATCTTCAGCCGCGAGGTGCTCCGCAGGATGGTGCCCCACATCAGCACCTGCTTGAGGGAGATGTACACCACCCATGAAGATGTGGAGGTGGGCCGCTGTGTCAGGCGCTTTGGAGGAACTCAGTGTGTATGGTCCTACGAGGTAAGACATGAGCCTTTATGCGTTCAGACCCTTTAGAGTACCGTAGAGGCTTTGGAAAAAGCCCAAATTAGAGATTGGTGCAGTTATTCAAATATACAGACATTCGGACCCGTCTTATTATTTGTTTTCGAGTCAAACAAGGCATGAGGTTTTTTGGAGTGTGCAATGTAGAACCACACAGGATGTTAAGACACATGCAGCTCATACAGCATCTCGTGTTAAGTGATATTGCAATGTCTAAGCAGAGCTATGTATAGAAGTATTTTAAACGAAAAGATGACAAATTTGTACAGTGTAATTGGTGCAACCACAAGTTATCACTCTGTCCCAGTGGAGAAAGTGAGACTTGTTCTTAATCATCTTTGGACTCACTTCATGACTGAACAAGGGTACATACTTATATTCTTAAACAAGCCTGATTTAACGGGAGCATCTGTTACAGATTAGCATCAAAAATGCTTTCCTGTTGGAATATTCGAACACCATCGGTTTAGAAATGTGGCTGCTCGTATAGCAAACATGGTTATGATTCCTATCCCCAGGGTAAAAGTACTGTTTGTGTGATTTCATTCACTCGGTAGTATGCAGTTTTCTATTCTTTTGTGTATTTTTACTTTCACAACTTTTTGTTCAGACTGGAGGCAAGCAAATGATGTAATTCCCCCAAAATCAGGAGGAAAGACACTAATATTTTCTATATAAACTACAGCCCGTGTTATATACTTGTTTAAATCTGTCCTTATTGAATGTACAAAGCTGTTTGCCAAAGGCAATGAGTATGTGAAGAGGATTATCGTGCTGTTAGCAGTTAATGCGTTGTTCCAAACAACCCACTCGTAATCACTGCATACCTGATGGAACTATGGTATTTTGTTTTTACTGAAGTCACCTGAAAACATTTGGAGATAGAGCAGTGATTGAGAAAAGACATAGCAGATGAGGCATTGTGGTTACTTATTGGTGGAAGGATTTATATTTCTGTATGTTGATCAGTCAGACTCTCTTTAATTGAAAAAAGACTAAAAGAAGTGAGCTTCAAAAGATGTTGAAATTGATTTTCTCTGAATTTAGTGTCGAATTCCCACACCCGTACTAGGTCTCTCACTGACTGTCTGATCTCTGAAGAATCTGGGAGGGCAAAGACTGAAAAGCCTCTAACAGCTTGTTTGTTCTCTAGTCCTGCTTAGTTCTGGCTCAACATTTTAACTTCTGTATGTCTCATCATTGCACGGCTCTTCCATGTCTTTTTACATTAGCATATATACCAGCTAGCTAGCTGCTTTGCGAGACGTTGAATCTGAGGAACTGACTTCTGAGGCACAGAAAATCTAAAGCAGATGATGTGTGAGTGCCTCATTATCTACATTCAGAGTAGGCAAGCCTTGATTTTCTTCTTAATTTGAAACTTGCCAGATGTTTCATTGGTCTGCGGAGTGTCCCAAAGGCATGCCGTGGCTGACAGGTGTGTTGGTAGTGTGCTATTTGAATCTTTTTGTTCAACAAAACCTTGAAGTCGATTCATCATGTCGTTAAGGGCATTCGGCTCTAGGTGCGCTTGCCGTCTGGCTGTCTGATTTTATTATCTCTCTCTTAACTTATTCTCAGCCCCTTCATTATTAATGAGCTTTGTAGGCCTGAATACAGAGCAAGTCTGTGCAACGTTTTAGTCTTTGCAGCTTTTGCAATGGAAGAAAATCTAACTCAAGCAGCCGTATTATCTTTGCAGTTAACATCTACAGGCAAACAGCTTTAGACTTATTCAGCTAGTGAAGAGATTATTAGCTGAACTAGAGAACGCAGTGTTAACCTGTTTACAGGTACTTAGTTGAGCTGTTATTCTGTCTTTTTTTTAAAGATCACAAATTCATACTTGTAAACTTCATCTGGGGTTTTCAGGGCAGCATCCAGTATCTCAATTCACACTCCCGCTCTGTATGTGCTTACTGTTGAACTGTAAATAGTGAAGAAGTGACTTTAATCTTCTAGTACTCATTCATTGAAGTCCATGGAAGTTTTGAAGCTTTTCAGAGGGGAAAAAAAGAAATTTCATTCACAGACAGTTTTTACTAACATACGTAGCATTGTTATTTGGACTATCCCCCCCATCCCACCACCACCACCAGTTTGTTTAATCCCTCGTAAACTGAAATAGCTTTCATGCTCTGAAGAACTTCATATGCATATTGATTAAAGTGGAGGCCTCTCTCTTTCCCCAAGGCTGGAGTCGGGTTAAACCCTCTCTGGTACCACACTCTCCTACTCTCCTGTGCTCCACCAGTGCCTTTACCCGCAATAATGAGAGTATCTCTGCACATGTGTGATGTTTAATTCATTGCCTGTCGTGATGGTGTAGGCATGCTTTTATTTTTTTCATCATATATCTTTTCCCCTTTTGCCGCTGCGTGTAATTGCACATGCTGATGACTTCAAAGGCATTTATCTGTGGGCATTTACAAATTAAAGATTTGTTTTATTCAGCCTGTGATACGCATTTTGTTCCATTTGCAAGCACTTTGGTGCACTGGTCCCTCAACAATTGTAAAAGGGACTCTTTAGATGGCTTGATGTGAAATGAGTTTGTAAAACATTAGTGAACTTGATAATGTAGTCAGCTGTGCGTTCTCTAAAATGTTCCTCAGATAAAACCTGGAACCGCAGTTCATTGCTAATTAAATAGATTAATCACCTGGAAAGGACCACACTAGCTGCTAAAATAATGCATCTTTATGGAAAAACCCAAGCATTTTTCAGTACCGCAGCTTTTGGAAGCATTTAAACACATGTGATTTTAGTTTTATAGCATTATAGGTTCTTCACATGAACCCAGGCTGCCACTGTGGAATGAACTTTATTTTTCTGTTTAGACTCTCAAACCCAATTCCGTAAACATCACAATACCACAAAGCAAAGTAGGTCCTCACATTGGCTCGAGCAGAAATTCAAGGAGATCCGAGCCAACTTCTTCTCTAAACAAAGCTGAGAAACAGAATCCCTCCCACGAAAACAACACTCCTCCAAATCCCCAGGATTCCTTCTGTTCAGTGCGTTCAAACAACACTGTTCACTCCACATACATTTTGAAACACCGTTGTTTTCATGCGTATTATTACACTGGTTATAATATAACTAGCATTACAGCACCACGTGAAGCTCATAAACACAGCACATGTAATCACATTGACACCTTTATTGAGCTTTATGTATATTAGATTTCTGAATATTAGACTTCTGTATGTGACTTTATAATGAAACAGTTGTTGGCTGGTGCTTTTCTGCACAGTGCACAGTGATATTGGAGTCATTTACATCAGCAGATAATTGCTCAAAGAAAAATGATCAGCATCAGGCAAATGTCAAACCCTTATTTGATGACATTTATTGTACTACAGAAGAGTTCAGTGTTAAGGTGACCCTAAAATATCTGCATTTTATTTATTCTACTTATTCTACTATTTGTAACACTATAAAAATAAATGGTACATTTTTCCATAGTGCTAATTGAGGTGAATCTAGTCTCAGTTTCTGCATATTACAAATATTTACGTGTCTGCATCTGCAAATATGTCTTTGGAAAGTAATGTATATCATCATTGGCTCGTAGTTCCCGTATTGGTGCGTCCCTGTATTTTTCAAAAGGGCTTGTAGAAAAATAAGTGAAGGCTTTACTCAACCTTCTTACATCATCTTGTCCATTGTTTGAGCATGTTCTTTTTTTCTACCTGTAGCATGGTTAATATAGTTATCCTTGGTGTACAGCTACCCTGCCCTTGATTACTTTGCTACAAGAATGGATAATTGAACATGTAAAACGTTTAACATGTAGAATTGGAATGATTCCTGTTATTGTTGTGATAATACTGCTAAATCAAGCTGTTGTCTTAATCTGAAAATGTATTTACATTTGCTGTCTGCAGTGTTTGTTGTTGATCAGGATTACAATTCTGTGCCTGAAGTTTAATAGAGTTTGTTGCAGAGGGCTGTCTGTACAATCAGCAGTACTCAGAACACCCAGGTGACTTCAGCGATAATGCTTAAATTCTGCTTGTGATGTCCTTTCTGAGCATGCTGCTTTGTGTCTGCCTGTGCTTACTGAGTGTGTGTGTGTATGTGAGCGGGAGAGAGGCTTGTGCGTACACAGACCAATTTCATGTTTCGTGCACTGTAACATAATATTATGCTTCTGTACAACTATGTGTGTTCAGCTCAGGTGTATGTAAGAGAAAGACCAGACCACGCAAATCATGTTTGTGAAAAGCTTCATGTTGCTGAATATCCGTTCAACTGAAAACGTGTGTAAGATTGTGATCAGGAAGTTGCTAATCTAGACGGTTTCCCGTAGAGAAAGAGAAGCAAGGTCCTCCGAGTGAGGTTTAGGGACGGGCCATGTAGATAAGCAGTTCCCATTCGAGCAGCTAGATTGAGAACTAATCTCTATGCAGCATACTGGTTCTGGATTGCTTCATAGGTGGTTATTAGGAATGTAACAGGACAAACGTCACAATGCAGAGATGTGCACGTTACATATTGATGGAGATGAGAGCTGCATTGTATTAGTTATGTTAATAGAATTATATTAATTTTGCCATCGAATGCAATTGGACTGTCACATGTATTACATCACCTGACCTGCATAGTGTTTAGCTTTCACAATTATATGTTCATGTCACACATGCTTTTTTAATCAGTTGGTTTTGGGCTGAATACATGTACATTTTGTTAATGTAATGGGTCTTAGGAAAACAACAAAGTTCTATTCTATAGTGCTGTATTGCCTTTACACAAAAAAGACTATTTAAATGTTAGTCACAATTAATTATGTGGCAATTTATCATTAGAGTTAGACAGGTATTTTTGAACCCCAAAGGTAGAGATACACTGATACCACTTTTTCACTTCTGATACAGGTCAACCAGTTAATCAAATTCAATTGACTATTGGGTTCAGTTTCACGAGCCACACCCAGGCATGATTACAGCCAGACCTGTTGAACAGTAATTAAG